TCTACCACTAGCAGTGGCTTTTCCCTCATCTCCCCTGTGACTTACACTGTCCCTGGCCTTCTCCTTGCCCTTACGAGATACCTGGACCTTAGTTACCTCACCAGAAGTAGTGGACTTGGCCTTGGGGGATTCACCATTGGAATGATTAACCTCAGGAGTAGCGTAGCGGCTAGCAGAAGTACCCAAGTTGGAATTAACCTTAGCGTTGGAAGAACCAGAGTTGGGAGAACCAGTGTTGTTGCTGGAAGACATAGCGAATGAAAAAATTTTTATAAAAAAATAAAGGATAAATTTGTATATAGATTAAAAAAAATGAAATATCGTAGATATCAAAATGGGTCTTTAAGAAATAATCAAAGTAAAGATAACCTTTTATTAAGAGTTGAATGAGCTCGTATTTATACTTTTACGAAGCTGTGTCTAAACTAATAGTAGATCCAATCGGGATTTACTATTCAATCGTTTATCCATTTGAATTGAATAAATGTTTATCCATGTATTCTTATTCGTTCATAACAATCTTTCCATGATTACGATCTCCAGTCTGTCTACTGAGATCTAATATTGGATTTCTATTGTTTCTATGATTCAATACATCTGCGATACAACAATGTATATCTATGCCCGTATGTCACTTATGCAGTAAACCACCATTCTATGCCATCAACGTATGATCAATATGCTACGCCTTCTATTACTTTACTTTATACTTAAATCCGATTATGAATTGATATAAATACTTTACTTGATTTTATGAATAAAAAGAATGATCATTTTTCTATCTTTAACTTTAACAGTCCCCAATAAACCCCAATTATTACAGTGGTGGAGTAGCTAAACATGTCCCAACAACAAGATAATTCTGCTCGTTCTACTTCCGGTAACATTTCTTTGAGTGCTAATCCTCTTGGTATCTCCAATTCTGGTTTTACTCCTCGTATGCCAAATCCTCGCAACGTCCCTCGTACTGGATCTTCTACCTCAGGTGAAGGGGAGAATGGTGCTGGTACTGACACTTCGACTGGTGATACTGCTAACCAGAATCAAGAAGAAATTAAGGTCTTTTACCTTCATTTGAGATAGAAGTTCGTGGAAATTCGACAATATGTCCAGGTTGGTCGTCCTCAAAGACAAGATATATTACTTGAAATCAACAACAACATATCTACTTTGGAGAGTAATCTTCAGACGGTATCTCCTGCCCAACAGGCTGGTATTACGCCTATGTTGAATGGTTTCAAGTGGGACAAACAGCGTGTCGAAACTGAATTAAATCAGCTTGAATCTATGGTGGAAACCGAAAGATAGTGGTTGTCTGACCAACTAGGTGAATTAGCTCGTAGTGCTGGTGAAGTACTTGGTCGTCTCGTTACCGAATATAGTTGGCCTACTCTTCAAGATTGTTATGACCTACAAGTTCCTCAAGAGGTTTTCAATCTGCTTACTCCTAATCATGGTGTAGGTCTGCCCAACCATTGTCTGCAAGCAAACAACATTATGAATGAAGTTCGTGCTTATGTTCAACAGGTGTTAGGTCAGTCCACTAGATCTATGGAAGTCGAACAACAAGGTGGTAGTAATAAGAATGATTCGAGACAGGATGTTGGAAAGCGTTATCGTAAGATTATTCCATTTGATCCTAAGAATTTGACCAACTCGGAGGAGGCTCGAGTTTGGTTGTCAAAGTACCAATGGTACTCAAAGTATGATGGTGTATCGGAGTTGTCAAGAATGAAAGATTTACCCATGTACTTGGATGGTATGGCATTTACCTGGTTTGTAGCGTTACCCGATCCGACTCAAAAGTCGTGGGAATTGTTTTCAGGAGCTTTCTTAAAACAATATGCTGGTGGGTTAAGCACCAATGAAGCTGCTCTTCAGGAGTTGAAGAATATCACGAAAGGAAACATGCCCATGCACGAATTTGGTATTAAATTAATTGGTTTATTTAATCGTGCTAACGTTTTTGCTCTGAATCTGCAGTTAGATTACTTGCGAGGAAAGCTACCTCACAAGTTAGGAGAAACGTTGATTATGAAAGACCCTCAGTCTTTTGAGGAAGCTATTTCAATTTGTTCCCGAATGGAAGCTCACCTGAACACTTCTGGTAGTGGAAGCTCGTCGGTGTTACCTCTGACTTCGTTGACTCCAAGTTTATATTCGACAACGCAAAATAGTCAGCAGCAACGTGAGACTCGTATATGCTACAGGTGCAAGAAGCCTGGTCATCTGAAAAAGGATTGTCGTGTCAAGACTAGCGGTGGCAATTACCGTGATACAAATGGGGGTTCTCGTAGAAATGACCGTCATTTTCGTACTGATACAAGAAAAGTGAATAATCAGGTATCAGAGGATATTGTTGTCAAGGATACTCCTTCTATTTTTTCTAGATTTAAGATGAACGTTGCATCTGTCGGTGACAGTAAATTTCGTTTTTATGTGGATGCACGCACTATTGATGGAACACCTTTACCACGTATTTTGGTGGATACAGATTCAATGATTAGCACCATGACGATGAAGACAGCTCAGGGGCTAAAATTACCTGTGGACAACTGTGACCCAGTAGAAATCGAATACGGTAATGTTACTTGCCAAGTAACTGATTGTATGGCTACTTTAGCCTTTACCACGGAAGATATTTTATCGGCTAAAGCTCGTGTTTATGTGGTCGAGAATCAAAATGAAGAAATTATCCTTGGCATGGACTGGATGGAGTCTGAACAGATTTGTCTGATGACACATTTGAAAAAGATGTTTAAAACTAACTCTGCTAATATTAACACACTCAATGTTGACAGTATTACCGAAGCTCTCTTGGCTGAATTTCCTGGTATTACTTCGGTTTCGGAACAACAAGCTTTGACTTTGGCCCCTTATAAACACCGCATCGAGACAGGCGATGTGGCTCCAGTTGCGACAAGAGATTATAGACGTCCCCCAGCAGAAGTTCTACAGATTGACGAAATGGTGCAAGAGTATTTGAAGAAAGGTGTTATCCAAGCAAGTGATAGTCCTTGGTCGTCTCCGGTAGTATTAGTTAACAAGCCCGATGGTACTAAACGTTTTTGTGTGGATTACAGAAACCTAAACAAGGTAACCATCCCTGACAAGTACCCCATTCCGCGTATAGCCGAATTATTAGATCAGCTTACTGGAAACCAATATTTCACTACAATGGATCTCAAATCCGGATATTGGCACATTCCTGTTGCTGAGGAACATCGAGAAAAAACCGCTTTTTTGGCCAATGGTTCCCTTTATGAATTCAAGGTTCTTCCTTTTGGTGTTACCAATGGTCCCCCTACGTTTCAACGTTTTATGAAAGGAGTCTTGAGTGGTCTCAAGAATGTGATGGTATATCTCGATGATATCATTTGTTTTAACATTTCTTTTGAAGAACACATACAGAATTTGAAATTAGTATTACTGTAGCTCGTCTGCAAGAGTTCAATTTAAGAATTTCACCCGATAAATGTCAGTGGATCCAACCTGAAGTAAAATTTTTAGGTTTTTTGGTCGGTGCAAATGGTATTCGAGCAAATCCAGACAAGACTGCTGCCATTCGAGATTGGCCTCTTCCGCAAACCGTCAAGGCCTTACAACGTTTTTTAGGTATATGTGTCTTTTATCACCGCTTTATCAAAAATTTAGCAATGATCGCCGCTCCCCTTTATCAGCTGTTGAAGAAAGATGAAGAATTTATTTGGTCACCTGCTCGACTGCAAGCATTTGAAGATTTAAAATGTACGGTGTGTAATCTTACATCATTAGCTTATCCAGATCCTGCACTTCCGTTCGATTTGCATACAGATGCTAGTACTGTCGGTATCGGTGCTGTGTTGGTTCAAGGTGGTCGACCGGTTGCTTTTGCTAGTAGGTCCCTCACACCAGCGGAAAAGAATTACAGCACCACAGAACAAGAATGTTTGACCGTTGTTTGGTCACTCGACTATTTTTATTGCTATATTTATGGGTCTAATCTTACTATTTATAAAGACCATATGGCTCTCAAGTCCATTCTTACTACTAAAATGCCTCGTGGTCGTATTTCTCGTTGGATAATGACAATTCAAAGCTACCAATTCAACATTGTCCACAAGAAAGGTATTCTGAATGTCGACGCCGATGCTCTTAGCCGTCAACATCAACAAAATGTTCAGTTCTCTTCCGACATCAATATCCAAGATTTAGATGGATCCGCATTAATTCGTTTACAGAAAGATGACCCTATAGTCTCAGCTCTTCAAAAGGGGGGAGAATCTGGATCAAATCAAGAATTTGGATACCATAAGGGGATATTTTGTAGAAATAGTGTTATAGTGTTACCAAGAAAACTAATTCCGTCCATATTAAAAATGGTGCACGATGGACCCACAAGTGGTCACTTTGGTTTAGATAAGACTTTAGAAAAAGTGAAGCAAATTGGTTGGTGGCTGGCGATGATTAATGATATCAAGGACTGGATTAGAGCATGCACCAAGTGTCAAATATACAAAACAGATACGAAGAATACTACACCTCCATTGAAAAGTATCATGCCATCTTATGTTGGTGAAATCTGGGCTGCAGATATCGCTATTCTCCCGACTTCCAAGATAGGCAACTCATATGTATTAGTCATGATGGAATATCTAACAAAGTGGGCTATTACCACTGCATTACCTTCATTTGATTCAGATCATGTCGCTCAGGTACTATTATTCGAAGTAGTATTAAAATTTGGTATAATTAGGAGACTCATCACGGATAACGGATCAAATTTTGTGTCGGATGCAATGAATACGGTGTGTACAAGACTTGATATAAAGAGATCCATGACTAGTGTAGAGCACCCCAATACTGATGGATTGGTCGAACGATTTAATAGAACTCTCAAAGATGGATTAGCCTTATATGTTGATCAAGACCCACTAACCTGGGATGAATATTTACCTTTCGTTACTTTTGCTTACAACACTTCCAAACATGCATCAACTGGATATTCCCCATTCAAACTCTTATATGGTAGAAGTCCTGATATTCCAGTTCGTCAAGATTTAAAGATGATCGAACCGAAAACGTATGAAAGTGAAAGATGGTTAATTTATTTGAATAAGCACTTGCCAGCTCTACATTCCGATGCTCTGTCGAAAATCGAAAAGGCTCATGCAAGACAAAAGAAATTCTATGATCCTGCTGGTTCAGTAACTTATGATTATCAAATTGGTGATTTGATCAAGAGAAGAAACTTGGAAAAACTTACATTCCCAAAGAAACGGTGGTCTGGTCCCTGGGTTATCTTGGCTAAGAACAATGAAGAAGGCACCTCATGGGTCATTCAACGCCAAGGTACTTCTGACCCTATGGATAGGACAACTGCGAATGTCAAACACATGCGCCCTTGGATTTCTCAAGACAATAATGAAGACACTATCTAAAGGAGAAAGATTGTGATCATATGCAAGTCACGCACATTACTTTTAGCAGCCATGCGTTTGCCATTATGTATATCTATGCCCGTATGTCACTTATGCAGTAAACCACCATTCTATGCCATCAACTTATGATCAATATGCTACGCCTTCTATTACTTTACTTTATACTTAAATCCGATTATGAATTGATATAAATACTTTACTTGATTTTATGAATAAAAAGAATAATCATTTTTCTATCTTTAACTTTAACAGTCCCCAATAAACCCCAATTATTATGTAATATTCAGACGTTCGGTACTTAAATAGAAAGTTAAGATAATAAAAATAAGATACTTTATTTAATAATGATTGTTTGGAGTATTTATAGTTTAGGGATAATTGCTGCGGATGGGATAAGTATATGTGTTAGTGTAATTCAGGATAAGTATGAAGTGCTGCGGTCTTGACGACGCAGTAGGTGGATAGTGATACGAGAGTGAGAGTGGCTTGACTGGATATTCGGAGTTTAGAGTATTACATATTACACCCCAATTTTTTGACTGCTTTTCTCCCCTTTTTCCATAAAAGGGGTCCCCAAAAACAAATAAACATTTCTTCAGTCAGTCTTTACTTCACTTTGAATTTGTCATTAAGTCTCGTCTTAATCCATCTTTTTAGTTATTGAATTTAATAAGATCTTAATTATACTTGAACATAACTTCCTACTTAAATCATCAAATTAAAGATTCAGTTGTACATTACTACTCCTTCGAATTCTGCATTGAACTGATTTCGTCGCTAAAGTTATCCAAAGCTATAACCTTTTTATTATTATTTCTAAATAAGTTGACTATTTTCACAGTCTGGTGCTCACTATAAATACATCTGTTATTCTTCCTTTTATTCCTTATTTTAAATTTCATACCAAAAACCTTACAACAATATAGAATTATGTACTCGAATTAGTAGAAGTTGTATAGCAGTATACATGCGTATGCTGGTATGCAACATCAAAGGTTGTTTTAATTTCATAGTTTATTTATTTAAACGATTTGCTTAATTATTCTCAAATAAATCGTACCCAAATACGACAATACTAGTCATTACAGATATTTTCTTCGACAACTCAATGTCATGAGCAGTAACTATTTTTACACTCGTCTAAAATGCTATCTTATTACCGATGAGACCTGATAACATAAATATACAGACAATCAACGCCACGCCATCCCGAAAGGTTGTAAATCAAACACATGCATGCCCTCAGCTTAAAAAGATGAAGCGATCTCCTAAAACTTGTTTTGTTTGTGTGGATAAATTCGCTTGTAGTGGTAAATTAAATTCCCAATCATGCTTAAACAAATGCGTGATATTTTATAATGATAAATGTCCTGGACGGTTCCATATATACTATCAACCCCTAAAATATTTTAGAAACCCCCACTGATTAGCGAACCCTTGTTTTCTTTTCCAAAAGAAAACTAATCAAGTACAAAAATCTGTGTTTTCTTATATTTTGCAATAAAAAAAAATACACCCGGTAACTTCTTTTTTTTTAAGAGAACATTGGCACCCAAAAGCAAAAGCATTAAAAATAATTCCTCCTTGGGGCATAAGGCCATCTTCAGACAAGAAAATAGACTGAGTTTAAATTTAATTTAATTTTGGTGTCCAAAATGAACGTTTTTTTTTTCTTTTCGATAAACAGCATCTTAACATGTCTACTAGAAAGAAGGTTCTACTGAAGGTAACGACGGAAATAAAATTCAGTTGCGCAATAAAGCTTACAACTTTTGATGTCATATAGGTTATTATTCTTGGAGATAGTGGGTAAGATAGTAGCAATGTTACATGTCACGTTTTAGCTAATGGATAATTGACCAGTGTTGGCAAGACTTCTTTGATGAACCAGTATGTAAACAAGAAATTCAGCGGCCAGTATAAGGCAACCATTGGAGCAGACTTTTTAACAAAAGAAGTCATGGTTGATGACAAATTAGTCACTATGCAGGTATTGTACATACCTATGGCAGTTTGCTTTTTGCTCATAATTTTTTATTTAGATTTGGGACACAGCAGGTCAAGAGCGTTTTCAATCTTTGGGTGTCGCATTTTATCGTGGTGCCGATTGCTGTGTTCTAGTATACGACGTAAACAATAATAAGAGTTATGAATCACTTGGTCAATGGCATGATGAGTTTCTGGTTCAAGCTTCACCGCGTGATCCTGATAATTTTCCTTTTGTTGTATTAGGTAATAAAGTCGATGTTGATGAGTCCAAGCGTATGGTAAGATACAAGAGAAATATGTGCCCTGCTTGCTTATCACTTACCGCTTTTTTTCTTAGGTATCTCAAAAACGTGCTATGGCTTTTTGTCAAGCCAAGGGCAATATCCCGTAAGTACTCTATAATTTCATCAATATTACAGCATATTTATCATTTCGTCAGTTATTTTGAAACCTCCGCAAAGGAGGCTATTAACGTCGAACAAGCTTTCCAAACAATTGCAAAGAATGCTCTTCAACAAGAAACGGACGTCGAACTTTACAGTGACATTAGTGACCCCATCCGTATTGATAGCGATAACACTAAAGATTTTAGTGGGTGCGCATGTTAATTTAGCATCAAACAATATCAATCATAATTTTACAAAAACATGGTTTCCACGATTTTAAATTTATTAAAAAAAAAATTAAGAAGCCTTAGCAAAACGTTCAGCGACTGTAGTCCAGTTGACAACTTCCCAAATGTTCTTGAGGTAATCAGGACGGACGTTCTTGTATTGCAAGTAGTAAGCCTAATAAAGAAATACGTTAAATTGGTTTCTGGCATCATACACAGCATTAACTTACATGCTCCCAAACATCAATACCCAAAAGAGGAGTCAAGTCTAAAGATGTTACAAAAAAGAAAAAAAAAGTTTGATTAGTCACCCTAAATAAATTTTATGCAAAATACGCACGAAGTAAAGGATCTTGGTTAGGGGTGGTAGCAATTTCGACGCGCTTGGAAGCCTTGTTATAACCCTGTTTTTTATAGAAAAAAAAAAAAGTAGAATAAATATCATATATTTATCATGAATAGATATCAGATACATACCAACCAGGCCCATCCAGAACCTAAAACAATACGAATTAATTTAAATTAAAAAAAGACACATTGTCAATGTACGTACCTTGAACACCAGCAGCAGCAGCATTAAATTGCTTTACGAAATCATCGAATGAACCAAACTCCTTTGCAATAGCAGAAGATAAGGCACCCTTGGGAAGAGATCCACCACCGTTGGCCTTGGGGGTCAAGTTTTGCCAGAAGAGAGTATGATTGATATGTCCACCACCGTTGAACTTGAGAGCACCTTGAAGGGCAAGTTGTTGGGTCAAGTCATTAGCTTGGAAAGCGCCAGAGAGCTTTTCTTCGGCTTGATTATAACCGTTAACATAAGCTTGATGATGCTTGCTATGATGAAGCTTCATGATCTCAGTGTTGATATAAGGCTCAAGACCCTAACAGAAAACAAAGGTCAATACTGGCGTTATTTCGCGTGATAATTTAATTTTTTTACATCATATTCGTAAGGAAGCTCGGGCAAAGTAACCTTTGTACGGATTGAGGTCAAGGGACGGAGAGTCGACTTGATGGTAGATGATTTGATAGAACGAGCAGCAATTGAAAGCATTTTTGGATATGGCAAAAGAAAAGGAAAATTTTAAATCAGAAAAAAAACCCCCACATATTTATTAATTTTTTTTTCTGTTCTGTTACACAGCGCAAAAATTATGATGATGTCAGAATCAGGCCAAGTGCCGCGTTTTTTATTGTGGAAACGGGTAAAGTTTTAGCGTTATCAATTTTATAACCAATGATTTGGTGCAAGAAAAATATTTAACCGTGGTATACTGTTGGACGGCGTTTATGGTCTAACGTTTGAAAACTAGAATCTTTCTTGTCACTACAAGAACTTGTTAGTTTGCAGGAAAAGTGATAAAGTGATCCTGTCCTACCTCTTCTCAACAAGTCTCTTTGTAATATCATCAATGTCCAAACCAAGATAATCAACAATGAAGTCACCAATTTCTGTGTTTTCATGACTTCCTCGTAAGACCTCAGTGCCATCGCCTTTTGCGTATAAATTAACATCGACAGCAGTGTGGCCATGGGTAGTCCACTATGTTCAGAAATGTAAGTTTCTGTTACCCATTATCTGTTAACTATATATACTTACTCCGATCTCTGCACGTCGTGAAACCATTTCAGCAAAAATATTAGCCAAGTGAATGGTAGTGATATTTTCTGTTGGTTCCCAGGCATTTACTTTAGCAACCTCCTGATCTGTAATATCGTCGATGCCCAATCCTGCTTTGATCAAAATGTTTCGCAAAAAGCTTTGTGTAGAAGTTTTGGCAACACGTGCACTATCCCAAGCTAACGCTAATGCCTCCGATGAGTTTTGTACACGCTTTACAACTTCAGGATACCTGTCCTTTATTGTTAGTTGGCTATGACAAGTGATCACGAGTAAGGTACTCACCAAATATATTCAGGGTATTCTTCACCAACTTGTCTACCGGCAGTAAAACCACCAGTTTCATGATCACTTGTAGAGATAACAACGGTATTAGGGTTTTCCTCAACAAATTTTGTAACCATTGCAACCGTTCTCTGATATTCCAAAATTTCATGAACGTGTGCGGCAGGATCATTTGTATGAGCTCCCATATCGATACGACTACCTTCAATCATCAAAAAGAAACCAGTGTCTTGCTTTTCTGACTGCTTTTTCAAAATTGATAAAGCCTTGGCAGCCATCTCGTGAAGAGCAGGCTGTTCACTGGGTTTTCTATCCATTTCATAGTCCATATGCTGTATGTATATATACCAAAAAAAAAGAAATGGGTCAGATTGGAGTTTACGTTTTGATAAAATAACCTACGCCTGGGGAAAACAGGGCCATAACGGGTAATTGTACATCAACATCAATTTTATCAAACTTTTGTCTACTACCCTTGCCATAAATCACTTGCCAACCAAACTGTTCCTGGGCTTCAACAAAAAGGTCACGACCATCTTCTCTGCAACTATCCTGGGTTGTGTTACTAAGAAATTCACATACGCCACCACCAAACATAATATCAACTGTGCGACCCAATGGATTGTGACCGATCTGCTGTTCGGCAATCTCATTTTCTGATTCACGCCATTGGACATGGGAGGAGAATGCGGCAGGTGTAGCGTGGGTAATACGAGAAGTTACGACTAGACCTGTTAGCATATCTTTATGAATCTTTGCAGATTCCAAAACTGTTCCACATGGGATTTCTTGGGGGTCAACTAAAAAAAAAAAAATTTAATGATTACATGATCGTATTTGTTTGTTTGGGGATTACCACATACATCCAATAGCACCATTGTACGATTTTTTCGCGCATGAAAACGCAGTTGCCCCTGCAGCGCTATCAGTAATCAGGCTTGAGGAACTCTGAGTACGACTATGACCCACATGGATTCTATCCAATGGCAGCATATATTTCATTTCTCTTTCATTTAACCATTGATCATATTGTCTAGCAAAGGTTTCAGATGCAGGGCCGAATCCATCACTTATCATCATGATCACATTTTTCTTGGGAACTTTACGATTGAGTTAGAAATTTAAATGCAAATCTTAATTTTGTTTTGTTTTGTTTTTACCTGGCTCGATAGTGGTGCCTAAAAAAATCGCAGAAGCAATAATTGCAGAACCCGCTAAACCAAGGATAGAAGCACCTACAATAAGATTGAGCTTCTTTTTCTATATAAAAAAAAATAAAGAAAATTACACGCAAAAGTTAGTTCAAATAAAAGAAAAAGTGACAATAATAGCAGAAAAAATTACATAGGCTGGAACTTGTTTAGGTGAAGATCTCTCAGGATCAGTTGGAATGGAGTTGTAGTTGCTCATCGTGAACAAGCAAAAACCAAAAATAATGTAATAAAGAAAAAGAAAAAGCAAACTTTAATGTGATTCAATCTAATTTATCTATCAAATCATAGGGGTATTTTTTTTATTACCAATTATGGTAATCACAAAATTATAACCTCCATTGGACCTTTGGTCATCATTGTTCGTCAAAACTTCAACCAAATAAATAAACGGTTTATTTATTCATCATCGATCACACTTCATATAAAAAAAAAGTGATCATGTTATTCTTTTCTTTTTAGATCTATTTACAACCATTATGAAGCAATATACCGAAAATTTTAGTCAGCCTATCCCTCCTGCTTACAGCAAACAAGAAAACAACAACAGCAGTAATGATATTAACAGTAATTTATCATCGTCTGTTACCTTGGATTCGATTGAAAAACCAAAGGAAACCCATGCTGCAAATGTCATTCATAAATGGAGATTTATTCTCCGCATCTTTCAAATGCTCAACGTCATTGGTTCATTTGGGTTCCAAGCAAGCGCAAGCACTGTAGATAAGACGTTAAAAAAATTACACGATTCTTTAGAGTAACATTTTACATTGTAGTGGTCTGGGAAAAATGTACCCTTTAAGAGCGTGTCATTATTTTATTTCTTTTATGCTATTGAATGGTTATCGTTTATATGGAGTGCCTTTTGTATTTATGTCAGTTTATCCATGAAGATGAACAAAACTGCTACAGGAAATATCAAACCGGCCATTGTTTTTGCTGTGGATACGCTGTTAGCTGCTTTATTAGGCATTGGAATCAGCACAGAAATAGGAACCTACACCTGTCCGGCTGGTGGGTTCAATGGATGGTAAGATAAATACGTCTTATCTTTTTATCTATTCTTAATTTAGTATGTCTAGGTGTAATTTTTATAATGCCGGTCTTTGCTTTGGCATGATGCTGTTTTTAAGTTTTGGAATAAGCGCATTATGGGATTTATTTAATGGGCTTTCATGTTTACGCACAAAATCATCTTCAAATAACAATCTTGTATGAATTGGACTACCTTATGGCGCAATCCCAGGAACCGCCCAATAAAACTATGCCGTTAGACACTATTTTTCATCTCCGCATTTTAATAAAAATCCCCCATCATCTTTCTTTTTTTTTGCCTCTTCCTCATAACAAGCTTTTTATAAATATTAAATATGTCCACTAACATTACATGGCACGAAGGTAGCGTCTCCTTGGCTGAACGTCAGACTCTTTTGAACCAAAAGGTAAGATATGCAAGATATGATGTGCATACATGGTTAGGCTAACGCGCAGAAAATTTAAAAAAAGGGTTTCACTCTTTGGTTCACTGGTCTCTCTGCCTCTGGTAAATCTACTTTGGCTTCTGCTTTAGAACAAACTTTGCTTCACGCTGGCGTCAATGCTTATCGTTTAGATGGTGACAACATTCGTTTCGGTTTGAATAAGAACTTGGGTTTTGGTCCTGATGATCGTACCGAGAACATTCGTCGTATTTCAGAGGTAAGTTTGATACGTGTGCATGGCAGAAAGGGATTATGTATTTAAATCAATCAATTAGGTTGCCAAGTTGTTTGCTGATGCTACTGTTATTGCTATCACTGCTTTTATCAGTCCTTATAGAGCTGATCGTGATACTGCCAGAGCTCTTCATCAAGCTGCCAACATCCCCTTCATTGAAGTGTATGCTGATGCTCCTCTTTCTGTTGTCGAAGAACGTGATCCCAAGGGTCTTTACAAGAAGGCTAAGGCTGGTGAGATCAAGGAATTCACTGGTATCTCTGCTCCTTATGAAGCTCCCGAGAATGCTGAAATCCACATCAAGACTCACGAAGGCACTGTCGAACAAGGTGTTCAACAAATCTTGGATTATCTTGTCAAGAACAACCATCTCACCACTGATCAAATTGCCAAGAAGAACTAAAAAAAAGAGAGAGAGTAATATTAGTGCAATCATTGCGTGTATCTGTATTTTTATAATTTAGTGATCAATGGACCGTGTATAGAAATAAATCATTGTCATTTCCCCACCTTTTTTTTTTTTGACGAGAAATTGTAATTGGTATAAATGGTAGGCATAGACCATCCATAAGCATATTTACAAAATCTTTTTGAGATTTATGCAACTACCAGTCTAATTACACAAGAAACGTTTGCATAAAGAGAAGCTATGACAAAGGAAGATCGCATCGTCACCCGACTTGGATGGCGCAGCGAATTCTCAGAAACAATTGTTTTGCTTTATCATCACTGCTGACAAAGATCCCACCCCCCTCATTTTCTATCTCATTTACATCAGTATCATTTATTTACTAAACATTATTTATTTACAATATTGCCCGATTTTAATCTTGAAACGGGTAAATCTGAAAGAAGTTTGTCCATCATGGTCAGTAACATCCGCTTGGAAAGATCTCCAAATTACGGCTACTCTCTTTTTCACGCCGCAACTGCAACCGGAGTCAAATGGTCAAAACCTTATTGTTGAAAAACTGTCCAACATATGCGATTCACGGCACATGAAGCTTTTTTTTTTAAAAAAAAAGCTAGTATATAGTTTACAGCTTGTTTGTTATTTGTCATGAGCTGGAGATGCGTAACCTGAGCTGTACTGAGTAAATAAATATAGATCCATATGCCCGTTATGCTTCTACATATCTAGTATCAATGATTGAGTGTGATTTTATTGGGTGATCGATATTTAACAACGATTCAACTTAGCCTCTGATACATTTATTTTTCTGTTAACGGAATATGCTCTCTGGAGTTTCGATCGGATGATAAACAATATGACCCCACTAAAATTAGAATGTCAATAGCATGGATTAAAAAATAATTATGGTTTATGTCAGAATGTGATCACTATCCAAAACTGACAAAACAATTTCATTGCAGAGTCATCAACAGAGACACCAAATCAGTCTATTAGCGTCTGTAAAATGACAGTTTTGATGACAGCTCAGCTATGGTAAAAAAAAACAGAGTTTTGTCGTCGGTGTTAAATGCAAAAGAACGTTTTACGAAATAAGATATCTCCTCTCAACGTGGATTAATCAATGATAATTAATGGGCAATGATCAACGATTACTTTGACAGGAAGTCAAAAAGTGTCATCACCATCATAAGAACACGTGGAACTCTCAAATAATTTTAACGCTGCCAAAAAGCTATTAGTAAATGGGTTGAAGAAAAATTGCGTCGATCTGTAACAATTTATAAACTCGATATTGCTCATAAATTCGTCGGGAGCAAAGAATTGCCAGTAACAAAGGTTTCTATACATACGCATTATGAAAAACATATTTTATTGTAAATATTACGTTTTATTTACATAGGAAGTTTAATAATATCTGCATTTATAGTATTTCAATGAGTGTTTATTGAATAAAGCTCTTCATTCCAAAATTGAAACATTGGCTGTTTAATATAGAATGCCTTTTTTTTTTTTTTTGTTATAGCTTTGCATCCTCTAAAATTTAACAAGAATAGGCAGACGTAAAACGAGCACCACCAGGTTTAATAAAGAGGATCCAGCAGCTCATATTTAAACATAGCAAAGTCAACAGTTATCAGAGCTAAACAAAAAGGAATCAATACCTCTTGAACAGCAAGAGAGTTTAACATTTTTAAAAAGTTGCTGTGAGTTTGTTACGGTGTCTGGCAGGTCATGATTTACGGCCTCCTGTGTATGAAAAAAAAATCGACAAGGCAATCTTGTTAGTGAACATTATAGAAAACAAGTACGAATTATAAGAGTACTTTCGATCCAATGCACTCGTTGCAAAACTTGAGTACTTCCACCCTATTTGAACATGATTATCATTGGTCAACAGAAGCTTCTTCTACTACTAATACTTTTCATGAACATGAATCACTATTTTGAATTTAAGAACGATTTCTTTTTGTCTGCTAAATAATGAAATCTAACATAATCAGGAGCGACCTAGAGTTTGGGAGGGGGTAATTTTAACCGCACACAGGCGAGCAATTGCTATACGTAATTTTGCCGCGGGTTTATTGTAGACATTGTGAAAAAAAAAAAAGGAACTAGAACCCCGAATTCGAATATTATTATGACGATGAATTCTTATCTTTTTATTTTTTTACAATCGCATACATATATTTGAATAGAAAACCAAAAAAAAAGGGGGGGGGGGCAGTGGGTGGGTGGAAGGGACGGTATATAGATTGATCAAATCTCGGATCCGATACTGTAGTTGACACTTTGTACATTATTAAAGACGGCAATATGTTTGTTGTGATCCGGAATCATATCGTCTTCGTCCAAATTATCGAACCTAGACACAGGAATATATTGAGATCCAAAGGCTGGTTTCTTTGGGAGATAATCGCCAATGAAAAAGATGCAATGAAGTGCAAAACATAAACCGACGATGGAGATATCAAATATGTAGAATGTCCATTCAGTGCTGCCGATAGGACCCTCCAAGCCAGTTGTGTACAAGCAGGCCGTATATATCGAGCGGATGAAGAGTAACGTGGATGTGACAATGATTAGCATAATCGCACGTTCTTTGGCGTAAGGTTGATTCTTCACAGAAATTACGTATTCTGGACTTTGACGGATGTAAAGCGCAATAAACACAAAGCATGTAAATAGGATTGCATGCACAGAAAGGCCGATAATATTGACAACAATAAGAGCGTTGCCTTTATCAATCACTCGTTGCACCCAGAAGAAAAGGACCTCGACTATAAAAAAGAACCAGGTAACAAATGCAGGATTTAAAAAGAATTGCGTTGACTGAACATTCGACCGCTTGATGATTTTGCCTAGAGTAATATAGTTGACCAAAGTAAGAACGGAAGAAGGTATCATTAAGAATATTGTCATGATGATAAATTTAGAGAATGACGGTGAGCTGAGAAAGGCTGCTCTATAAACAAATCCACTGGATTCTATAAAAGCTATGACTGGTAGCATATACAGGAAATTGGGGCCTTTAGACATGTATATACGAGTGACCAAGTAGATTGCAATAAAGTCAAAGTTTATCAAAGACATAACAGCCAGAGATGTGCTGGGTCTGTAGTGAAAAAAAGTCATTACTGGGTCTGCGGTCTCCATAGTGTGCGTAAATAATAATAATAAAAAAAGGTTTTCAAAAAATATATATATATATAAAAAAAAAACGAGAAAGTGAAAGAGAAGGACAATTTGAGTTTAGTATTTATAGAATCTTGGCGGGATTGTCGTTAAAAATGTCTTGGGTGCTATTCTCGGGTATTGAAATCCCCCCAAACGTCTGCACTAAAATAGTAACGATACATTTATTATATGGGTAAATAACCTGTGATCACCTTTCGTTTCATGGAGATTTTGTCGCTTTTTTTTTTTTCTTTTTTTTTTACATGGGAACAGACATTGTATCAGTCAAATGGATCCTTATAGTATAAAAAAGCACAATGTTACAAATATTACCCATTGGAAGCCCGCCCAAGATTACATTTGCTCTCATAAATCAATAGCTATTGAGGCAAGGTCAAGTCCCGGATCAACTTGAGTTGTTCAACATGTAGTGAGTGATGAAATATTGAAACGCCAAGGACGAGCTTTTGTTGCAGACATTTTGTACCTATAATTTGTTCTAAAAACAGCATGTCAACATATAAAACAAATTACAAGCAATTAACGAGACCATTCTTTTTACTAAAAAAGGCTTGTACATAACCTATTCTGTTCTCCTTTATAAAAAGCACTGACGGGGATCAATGAAGTCCAGCTCTTACCGAGTTACCTGTAAGCAGTTGTTGATCAACCCGCGGGATAGGGAGGGGCAGATTGTCCTTTTCAGCTGGGTTTCAGCAGTTTTTTTTTTTTTTTTTTTGGGAAGAGCCACGAAATTTGATTTAACATGTTTAGAGGGTTGATGTACGTTAATCTCAGATGCATATTGAGTTGAATTTGTCTACCCACTAATCTATTAGCCCTTAAAATGGAGAGGCAGATCGTAAAAATAAAAGAAAAAAACCTCAACCACCCAATGGACATGTGTGACCATCTTTGTTTTAATTCATATTATAGCGCCCCCCCCCCCCTTATCGGTATTACATTTGGAGGTATACATAGGGTTGATTGTGTCACGTAATTTGTGTTTGACAATCGCCTGAATTTTGGCACAGCATATATCCCGAATCCGGCGTATCGAAATTAAGCGTAAAAAATTTACAATGAAAACATGCATGCAAGATTTGATAGTACGTCAGAAACCATGGTTATTGCAGCTTTCAAGACATCCAAAAAAAAAATAAAAAAAATTGCAGGAATCTTGATGCTTGCTAAATGTCAAACTGCCAAGTAGTTTTGTTGTTGTTTTAAATGCCTTGTTGGCACGGCAATCGAATTAGCAGCTTCATGGAAACATGAGGGTCATACGTCTGCAGCCACATACAAACACTGTCATTGTACGACAATCACAATAATAAAGACGCAATCCGTTTGGGATATTCTTTATTTTCATCCTTCTTGATATATATTTTTTTCTTTGTTCTCTCTCCATCCAGAAAAAAAAAAAAAAGTAAGGCAATGGGTAGAATTCAACTTTTTTTGTTGTTTGTTCGATTTTATCCGTTATTAAATCAGATTTTATATTTAAAAAAAATTTCTTCTCATAACAGTGAGTGCTTTGACGATTGAAGAAGTAAGAATGATGGAGAGCCAGATTGAAGATCATATCTATCCTCCTGTCCGGCCTTTTAAGCCTCATGCGTATGATGAGGATATGCCTGACAGTGTTGAGGGAGCCAATGGCGGTGTCAGCTATAAACCAAACACGCCTGATACCGGAATGGATAAACCCAATACACCTGATGTCCCTATAGAGAATAAACCCAATCGAGCTGATGTCCCTATAGAAAATAAACCTCACACGCTTGAAGCCAGGTCCTCTGCCGATCCTTGCCCATCGGAGGTGACAACCATTGATATTGAAAGGGAAGAAGAAAGAAGAAGGATCAAATTGAGTGCTCAAGAAGAAGAATACGCTGCTATTAGTAAAATGATTTGGCCACCGCCTTAAAGACAAAGAGAGAGACAGAGAAAAAGATACGCCCTTTCTTTAATAAACTTTTTTTTTTTTTTTTTTTTTTTTTTTTTTTTTGGTTTGACGAAGTAAATTGTAAATTACTATGGCGATGTCAAAAGAATGCTGCGAATATGAGGCCCATGCGTTAAGAAGTAGGCGCAAAGCACCCTTCCCTATCGAGGTGCCAGAGTTACTTTTCTACATTCGATATCGTGCACGGAACAGCACATTTTGTAACTACATGTCTAATCTCCACGACCATCCTGACCACGGTACTTCCTGGCTTAACGCAATGAACACCCATGTCGACGTCAGGGCAGAAATGGAGAAAAATATACAAAAATGGAGCATTGATCTAACCCTTTATCCTCCCCTCATCGGTGCCAGGCACATTGTCACTCTACGTCTACCTCACAGCACTACTGAACCACACACGAAGCTTGCACGTCCCGCCGTGTCTAAACCCACACCCACACCCACACCCACACCCACACCCACACCCAAAGCCAAACCTACACCCACACCCAAGCCAAAATCCAAACCCACACCCAAGCCAAGACCCAAACCTGCACCCAAACCCAAGCCTACACCCAAGCCCACCCTCACAGAAATTCTCGCTAGTCGCGATAACGCTCCTAGAGAACCTGGAAAGAAGAGGGGTTACTGTATCTCATCAGAAACCGTGCAATTGGTACATGACTTGGGTATTGCAGGTAAAGGCTCGTACTCTGTTGCTTCTCTCCCCCGAAGTCAAAATAGCTTACCGAATCGTACATCGAATGTCAGACAATCTGAAAATATGGAATTAAACTACCCTGAACAACGTTCCATCGTGCTACCTGATGATCCTATGGATCCTAGAAAGAGGGAAGTTCAGCCCACAAGCCCTTCACCATCATCATCAGCACAGATCCAACCTGCCACCAAAACGACCATCCCTACCATCATAACGACACCAACACCCACTACGGCAATAAACGCTACCGATTCCAGGCAACCGCCCATTGAGAAACCTAGCACAAATCCCGTACCACCTGAAAACCTGTCAAAGTCACATCCTGTTACCTCCACAAAGAGAAAATCAGCTGAAAAGGAAAAAAAGGTAGAAGGCAAGGAAAAACGTGTCAAGGGGGCAAGTGCGATCGATGAATGGCCAATTGTCTTGATTGAGTCGTGGGATCCGTACAAAAAACAAATTAATGTGTTATTAGATGTTCCCATTGCAGCAATGGAAAACAACGATACCGATGTGGAAGAGGATGTCGATGTGGAAGAGGATGTCGATATGGAAGAGGGTGTCGATATGGAAGAGGGTGTCGATGCAGAAGACGATGTCTATACGGAAGAGGATATCGATGTAGAAGAAGGTACCGATACTGCTGATATAGACCCTGACGATACATCATTCAATATCCCAGATTACGACAGACACGCGATGGATGTTGAAATAAATCCAGTACCTGATCAACAACAAGTTCCCTCCTCACCACCACCACCTCCTCCTAAAAAACGTGTACCCGTGGTTATTGAAGCTGCCTCAGATCAAGACGATTCGGAAGAAGAAGGATTGACACTGAATCAATATGATGCTAGTGAAGCACAGAAATTTCCCCCACTCATCACCACCACCACCGCCAAGGATGAGGCGATCACTCATCTCTCCAATTTCTTTTTGAATGATGATGATAATAGCAGTTTTGAAGACTATGATGATTTTGAAGATTATACAGGAATCGATATTCAAACACAGGAAGCTCTCTCTCAATCACAAACCCTGTATCAATCACAGATCGTGTCAGACTCACAGTCCATGGAAACAAGTTTAGTTCAAAAGGAGGAGGATGTGACACAGAAGAAGGATCATGGTGATACGTCTGAATCAGTGATCATGCGTGATGGAGAAAAGGATCCTCGTGCCATGATGCATGAGATTGATTTGGAAGCTGTGTTTGCTGATGAGGATGATTTGTTTCGTGACATGGAGGATTCAGAAAGTTTTGAATTGGATGATCATTTACAGGCGGAGGATATGGATAGTGAGGAGTTGTCTGTCGGAATGGAAGAGATTTGGGTTGAACCTGCAATTTTGAAAGAGGAATCCGTGGACCGGGTCAAGCTAGAGGATGCCATCACACTGGTGGAAGCAGAAGAGGCCATCCCACTGGAGGAAGAAGAAGAAGAAGAGGATATCATTCCACTAGAGGAAGAAGAAGAGATCATCTCACTGAAGGAAGAAGAGGAGTTCATTCCGATGATGGAAGAGTTGATTAACCCAACACAGGAAGAAGAGCCAATGGACGAATCGCCTATGGATCGACAAGATATGGAAACAAGGAATTCTGTCATTGACTTGCACATCCAAAATAAAAATCCCATGGTGGATTCACAACTGCAAACAGACATTAGAAATCCTATTGTGGATTTACGACTGCAACCCAACCTCAGGAATCCCGTGGTCGACTTGAAACTAGACGATCTTATCGAGTCCCATAATCCCATTGTGGATCTACGCTTGGATGAGGAGGATATCATTGATTACAATAACCCGGTGGTGGATTTACGGCTTGTTTGGAGCGATGATGAAGAGGAGGTACAAACAAAAAAAAAGCATCCACGAAAAGTCGTTCGTTTCGTGGACGAGTGTGATGAATATGGCAATAAAAGTACTATTGATGATGATACGGGTCATGACGACGGTGGCCATCACGACGAGGGTGGTTATGACGACGAGGGTTCTCATTACAACGAGGGTGGTTATAACGACGGTGGCCATCACGACGAGGGTGGTTATGACGACAAGACTGGTTATGTCGAAGAGACTGGTTATGTCAACGAGGGTGTTCATGTCGACGAGGGTGTTCATGTCGACGAGAGTGGCTATGTCGACGAGGGTGTTCATGTCGACGAGGGTGGCTATGTCGACGAGGGTGTTCATGTCGACGAGGGTGTTCATGACGAAGAGGGTGTTCATGACGAAGAGGTTGGTGATAATGATGATAATCATGACATTGAAGAGGAGGATATGGATGAGGAGGATCAGTTCTTTCAAGGCCTTGTGACTCGAACCAGTTGTGAGATTCCCGATCTGGAGACAGACGATGAATTATTAAAGGAGGCGTACCAGCAATATCTTGTTGAAAAAAAAATGGACGAGGAACTTGGGGTATACTTGGGTATTCGCGTGCCAGAAGCGGTTTTGATGGTGATGAGTCATATCACCATTAGACCGTATACAGAATAAAAAAAAAAAGAGAGAAAACAAAAAAAAAAATTAATTTATTGTAAAATTTCTACGTAATAAGAGTGATTGTGATAGGGAGCGATAGATAGGTTGAGTGATAAAATCTTGAACAGATTGAATAGGTGAATCATGTTCTAAACCATAAATACGTTCAATGTAACAGGCAATGGAATGACCTACGAGTTCATAATCCACGCCAATAATGAGATCTGTGCGAAGATGGCTGGATTGATAAAATAGGCTTGAATTGTTTAAACTTGTGGGTAAAATAGGTGATGTTCCTAATAATTTAAAGATATTTTTTTAAAGTTAATTTTTTTTTCCCCCTTCTTTTAAGTCAACTATGTTCAATGCATATATTAAAAATTACCTATCAAGAATTGGACCCAAGTGGTAAACCATTTTTTTTCAATGAGATACACATATTTTTCTTGTCCGTTTGTGAATAAGGCTTGTTCAATGGATCTTCGATGTTGGATATTGAATGGTAACTGAGTCATGAATTGAATGATTCTTCTAGAGATGTAGATTTCTGATTTAGACTGATCTAGCTGTCTTTGACAAGCATGACAATAGACTTCAATAAAATGGACAGTGGATAACCTCACAAAAATCAAATGCTGATGACAAGAAGAAAGATGGTTGGAGGAGAGGCAATTAGGTTCTATGCAAATGTCAAGTGAGGTGGTATCATCCAATGCATTTGCCATTCCTCCTATAAGCGTTTCTCTGATTGATTGCAAATGAGCGACATGACGGTAATTGATATGGTGACACATTTGATCGGCATGACCAGAGATCAACAAGTTCCACCAAGATTGATGAGGAGAACAATATCCAATATGAAATTTTCTTTGGACGAGATCACGCCAGAATAAATCATTTCCTGTAAGAACATGAAATGAATGGCAGGTACTTGTAAATGAGAGAAGATCTCTTGTGTTTAAATGCAGCAAGACGAGTAGTATGATTTCGTTTGGTAGAGAAAAGGTCATCTAATAAAAAAAAGGGCGATGTCAAATCAAAAAAAAAAAAATCCTGCAATTGCAGTTCTTTAACGGCGATTTAAATAAGAAAGTGACACAGAAATTTGAACCAATCATTTGTAGTAAGTAATGCACACTAAAAAAAAAAAGCATCTATATTTCATCTTGAAACCAAGGCAGAAATTCCACCCACCCCCCTAAATTTCTCTCTCTTCTTTTCTTTTTTCTTACTAAACCAATACACAAAAAAAAAAATATACACAAATGAAATTTCTGGAAGTGGACTCTTTAGATTTAATAAACACCGACTTTAGATGGGAGACATCTGAATGCATATTAACAGGACGTGTTGAAGCGTACTCTTGTAAGGCCCCCCCTCTTTGTTGTTTAGAAGAAAGGAAGAATAAAAAGCTAACGTTTGCGTTATATAAAAAAAAAAGGTAAATCTGCAGGAACAGACAAAAAGCTTTACAAGACGTTAGAGAACAGATACAATGCCGACTTGTTAGCACCTGGGTCCATCTCGCCAGATGAGTTGCAGATTATTTCTCCATTTGGTAGATTGACGGAAGCTGCACCTCGCAAAACATTCTTTTATTTACTTGCTACCTTAAACGCTGCCTTTCCTGAACATGACTTTGAAGACGTTCGACCCGACCAATTTTTGAAATTGCCCTCGATAGAGATGGTGATGAATTCTGTAAATACGACCTTATTCAATCTAGGTAATGATGTGATTGTGAATCGATACAGGTAAAAAAAAAAGACATAGCAGCGGAAAAAAAGAGATCATTGGTGTGTGTGTGTATATATAATTAACATGATGTATAGGTTATGGGATGTGATGGATGAGATTGTTCAATTGAACGAGTGTGATATTTATACCTATAATCCTGATGTGGACGACGATCCAATGAACGAAGAAGAAGGTTACCTGTAAGCACTGCAAAAAAAAAAAGGACCCAATCATATTTTATACCTGGGAACTGACATCATTATTTCCTAATTAGGTGGTCCATGAACTATTTCTTTTTTAATCGAAAATTAAAACGAATGATTTTCTTTTCTATCAAGAGTGAAAGGTAAAGTGCGGGGTGGGAGAAGGTTCATATTTTTAAATATGTGTGTATTCTGACATAGCCAACTCTGTAGTATGAATGCTCCAACGGCTGAAGATGATATTGAAGATATTGAAGATGATGACACGATGGGAGCAAGGTAAGCAATCATCGGTCCTTATAATATTTTAGCGTATTGATCCCTTTTTTTCATGTGTCCCCTTCCACACACCCCCCTTTTTACTCCTTCTTATTTAGGCGTTATCATGACGAATTTTCCATGGATGATATGGAATAAGAAAACATACCATATATATTGTTTTATAATAAACATCAAAATATTTAAGCGCTTTGTAATCAAGTAAAGAAGAAGTGTCCTTTTTCTTTTGAGGCGTTTTTACATGTGAGTGGTACAGGATGATCCAATCCAAAGGGCAAAAACCTTATCAAAGGGGAAAGAAGAACCCCCTTAAAAGAGTAGCCACGGCTAATGTTTGACTAGACTCATTTTAAGGTTTTTGGGCTGTTGTGTAAGAAACGTCAATCATTTAATATACACATGGTTTAATTAGCGTGTGGAACTTTTTCTTTCCAAGATCAATCATGCTGTTATTTTATCTATTCTTGGTTAGCTTATAAAGAAGAGTGTGTCGAACCTAAAAAGCAATAGAGAGAGAGAAGGTATAGCAAATATGTGCGGCAAAAAGAAAGAAAAATTGCATTTTATTTAGCCTCAAAATTTCATCATATTAAAGTAACACGTTAAAAAACGCATGATCCCATTATTTTTAAAAGAACGAATTCCATAAATTACAAGTATAGGATTGACAGGCGTTTGGGCTCACGGAACAAAACGTCATTTGACCTAATAATTTTTTTTTTTTTTTTTTTTTGGGTTTCCGCTCTATTATTGTGTCCATTACCTACCTTTCGGGTTGAACTTTCTCCTTTAAAAACCTACTCACACCCTATCATTTTATTATTAAAAACTCCTTTTTTTGTGTGTGTATATACACTTTGGGCTAAAATGGCGTTGTTATTTATAATATTTACCCAGACTCGCTCTCTTTCTCTCTCTTTCTTTCTCTTTTTCCTCACTTAAAAAAAATTATCCACATGCAACAAAAACGAACAAGAAACTCAAGACCCAAGGTATTTCAATGCACTGGATATGGCGACTGCAAGATGGTATTCACCAGAAGTGAGCATCTGGCACGTCATCTCAGGTAAGCTAATACATTATTTTAGCTTATCAAATCTTTATACTAATTTACACACTCATAAAAAAAAAAAGAAAACATACAGGCGAGGTGAGTCTTTCTGTTAAACAAATCAGTTTGAATAGCATATACTCATACCTTCTCTCTTTTTAGAAACCCTTTGTCTGCATTGTACCTCTCTGTACTAAAGCATTCAGCCGATTTGATAATATGATGCAACACACGCAAACACACCGTAGTAATAGCTACAACATTATTACAGCTAAAGAACGACATCATACGCGGGCAACTCGAGCCCAAGCTAAGAAGGAAGAGACGAATGAAGAGATAAAGAAACCATTACAGATCCAAACAACACACTCTGTATCTTCTGGCCTGTTCTCACCTGTTTCACCACAAAGTAACACACCTTCACCCAACCCAAAGAAACGAGCTTATTCATACTCTTCCTGCTACTCTTCTGATGAAGAAGGATCTACATCAAGCACCCATACCAACACTAACACCCATACCAACAACGTTACTAGCCGACGAAGATTATCGATAGCCGATTTATGTAACCCTATCAGTACAGGTCCCGTCTGTTTAACAAAGGACGAATATGAAGCTCTCGAAGGAATTGGCCGTTTTCGACATTCTCCTCCAGTGTTTTTCGACTCTTTGAAAGATCTAGCCTCTCAAAACTTATTCAGATGAATTTATCTCTCTTTCTTTCTTTCTTTTTTTTTTCCCACTCTGATAACTCTTTTTTTTTTTTCCCTTTTTCTTCAAAAAAAAAAAATGTACATATTATTTTCTTCCCCCCCCCCCTTTTTTCCGTTATCTTGTCAATTAAAAAAAATATTTTTTTCTCATGCACTAAATCATAAAAGTATTAGTTGCAAGTAATAGTTACAATTTGTTTTTGTTCAGGCACACTTGAAGAAACGCCGTATTGTATTACGTTAAATAAACAGGAAGCATGACTATCAAGTCATGCGCTTGGTGAGAAAAAGCAAGCTTATTGGATAGATTTTTTTTTTTTTTTTTTGGGTAAGTAAGTGGTTCCTGCTTTCTACAATATGAAAGAGAGACCAACGGCGATCTCCCCTTAGAAACACTCTTGTGATATGCGAACCCTTGTGACACACTAAAAAAAAAAATAGGTTCTTGAACGTCATCCTTTCCGAATGGCCCCTAAAACTAATTTAGTCTATATGCTAAAAAAAACAAAGCATGTGTGAGAGATTTTTTTTTTTTTTTTTGATTTTTTATAAAATGGGGAACACACAGACACTTCTTATATTTGTTGATGATTTAAAAATAGATCTCCCCCCCCCCCTTCTCTCTGATCTTATCGAACCATTTTATATATTCAAATCCAGATTCCCGCCTCTTTTTTTTTTCTTATACCAAAAAGTTACCCTCATCCTACGAGTGTGTCCTACCTAAAATATGAGAGAAACCCCCCGTTAAAAAAATGTGACGTGGTTTTTATTTCTCTCTCTGTTATTTTTGCATTATGATTGTTTCCCCCCCCCAAATAAAACGCGCTTTTTTTTTTTATTTTTATAATTCTTCTTCTTTTTCTTCTTTACTCTTTTTTTTTTTAAAGCAAAAATTCTAATAACAAAAATGGTTCGCAACTTTTTCATTGGTGGTAACTGGAAGATGAATGGCTCTGTTGCCGAAGCTAAGCAACTCGTTGAAATGCTCAATGGTTTCGAAGTTCCCGCCAACACTGGTAAAGTAGTATAGTCAAACCAAAAAAATAGATATATATTTGAATTAACAACGGGGAATGACACAATAATAGAGGTTGTTGTTGCTCCTCCTGCTCTTTACATTGACCGTGTCCATGCTGGTTTAAAGAAGGAAATCAAGGTAGCAGCCCAAAACGCCTACCTCAAGGCCTCTGGTGCATACACAGGTGAGATCTCTCCTCAAATGCTCAAGGATTTAGGTCTTGAATGGGTCATTCTCGGTCACTCTGAACGTCGTCAATATTTCCACGAATCTGATGAACTTGTGGGTCAAAAGACTGCCTTTGCTCTTGAGGCTGGTCTTTCTGTTATTGCCTGTATCGGTGAGAAGCTTGAGGAACGTGAGGCTAACGTCACCAACGATGTGGTTGCTCGTCAAATGAAGGCTATTGCTGCTGAGATTAAGGATTGGTCCAAGGTAGTAGTTGCTTATGAGCCTGTTTGGGCTATTGGTACTGGTAAGGTCGCTTCTCCTGAGCAAGCTCAAGATGTTCACGAGTTCCTCCGTCAATGGTTGGCCGAGAATGTTTCTCAAAAGGCTGCTGATGAGACTCGTATCCTTTACGGTGGTTCCGTCAACGGTGGTAACTGTAAGACCCTTGGTGGTAAGCCCGACATTGATGGTTTCTTGGTAAGTTTTTTTTTTTTTTATTGTTGTTGTCAAGTCTTTTTTTATTAATTATCTCTTTTTTGTTTGTAGGTCGGTGGTGCTTCTCTCAAGCCCGAATTCGGTGAGATCATTCTCTCTCGTCAATAAGTCTTTTTCTTTTACGCACATATATATCATTTTTTAAAAAATAAATAAATCTACGCATTGTTCCAACTCGATTAAAAAAAAAAAATTGTCCTTTGAAACCTTGGAGTTTCAACTAGGTCTTTTATTTTTTTTGACACCGCTTTATCTTGGCCCATCCTTATCCGATTTGCCAACAGAGATGCGTTTTTTTTTATTTAAAAAAAAAGGGGGGGGGGGTGGGGGACTATCTTAATCAGATAGATGAGGGTTTACGTGTTAATTTTTTTTTTTTTTTTTTTTTTTTAGTCTGCTTTTAACATTTGCTTTCACGTGTATAAGCGTACCCTCATCTCTTTTGGTTGTCAGTGACATGTTCCCCCCTCCCCCCTTATTTCTCCGTGCTCTCAACTCTATAATATTTCTGCAGGTGATACAGACAGTTTTGTTACACACATTCAGGAACGCGTAAAAAAAAAAATTCGCATCTCAAAAGATTTGAAACCATGTCTTCATGGAGTCCCTCATATCGATTGTCACACGTAACTGTCTTTTAAAATAGAAAACTCGGTGGGTGTAACAATCTCCCCCCCCCGTTTCGTTTTGCATAATAAAAAACGAACAGGCCACATTGGACTTATGCGTCAGTGGCACTTTTTTTTTTCATATACGTGTGTATTCTCCGTCCGGGGGGAGCTTGTTGTAACCATTTTTTTTTTTTGTGCTCAAAAAGAATCATTTTGTATAAATAAAAAAAAAATAGTGCTGCACCTGTCACATATATATATATACATATATACATATATAATAACGATTTGTTATGTTTACGAAATTTTAAATCACATAACAATCTATCCCAACCAACTTGGAACATTGTTCTCATGTATATAGTTTAATTTTTTTTTTTTTTACCATTTTATAAAAAAAAGGACGGTTATTTAAATAGGTCGGGGAGGCAAAAAAAAAAAAAATATTTAAAAAACGTACCCCTTTTCAATCTCCTGTTACCGGGTTACTGGATTTTTGTGTCGTCATGGGATCTTTAATTTACATATGGGAGTGTCATGGAGACAAAGGGAAATCCATCTGTAGCTGACTCCCATAGAAAAAAAAAAGGGGGAGGGGGGGATAGATAAAATAATTCAGTCTAGAGAAATGGAGCACGCCCGTGTGTACAATAACACATTGTGTTCTATAGTAAGAACGATTATATAAATAATTTTTAGAGAGATGAGAAGAAATTTAAAGAGTTAGTGTAAAAAAAAAAGATGACATCTATGTCTGCTCATGGAGGATCAGCAGGGCGAGCAGATACTAACCAAATATACCTGTCAAAAGGGGAAGAGGGGTGGGGCTGAAATCACATGAGGTATAGACTAGCGTTTCAACGTATAAAGAATGCAAAACGGTATGGCACGTAACACGGTTCTGTTTTGACGTTCTATCCTGCTTAAACTATGGTTTTGTCATGACTCTCGCACCGTGTCATTCGACCCATGAAAGCACTGAAATAAAAATGTGTGACTTTTTTTTTTCTGTAGTTTTTTAATTCATTTCGGTGAGGTTCGGGTAAAGATATGCCATAAGAATTCGCACTGCCCTTTTGTTGTTTTCCAGAAAAGGGAATGTTGCGTATGCAAAGAAAGGAAAGAGAAAAAAAAAATTGCTTAATTTCTGCTTTGCCTCCCTCCCCCCATTGGTAAAGGGGTGAGGACAACGTTTCGCTTTTCCCTTTTTTTTTTTTTTTAAAAAAAAAAAATTGTCAATAATAAATAGGTTTTCTACTCCTTTTTTTGGTATACATGAAAACAATTAAGGTGGTACTACCCACGTTGTTTTGTAAAGAAAGCCCCCCCCCCCCAAAAAAAAAAAGAGAAAGAGAGAGAGAGAGACCATCATGGCGTGTACCTGCAGAAAGAAAAGGATTGCGTCAATTTACTAGTCGACACTCTTCATCATTGAGGTTTTTTAAAAAAAAAAGTAAGAGGATAATAGAGAAAAGAACTGGATCGGCGTTTCAGAAATAACCTCGATTTGTATATATGTGTGTGTGAAGCTTATTTCACTATAATTACACACTTAATTTTTTATTTTTATACATAATTTTTATTTTTCCTTTCTAAATATAAACTTTTTTATTATTATTATTATTATTATTGCACATATACTGTTATGACCAGTCAATCACCACCTTTAAGGTCCTTTCAATGGCCAGCACCCGTTTCTCCAACCGACATTTCCGTCAAGGAAATCATTGAGAAGTATTATCCCCACGATAAGGAGCTACTCAAACATGCCTTAATGGCTAAAGTAGAAGAAGACAAAGTAAGTTGGCTCATTTTTTTTTTCTTCTAGATGTTAAAACACAACCTAATAAAACCTCTTTTCAAAGAAACAAACAGCTCAGGATGTATTAAAGACCGAAATGACAAGAATTCATCTTCGACAATTGGATCTTGAAGTCATGAGAGAACAGAGTAGATTAACGGGCGTTCGTTCTGGGTATCATCCTCCTCCTTCTTCTTCAACTACTGGTCCTCCCCCTCCTTCTTCTTCTTCAGCTGCTGGTCCTCCTCCTCCTTCTTCTTCCACTACCACTACTACTGCTGCTGCTGCTGGACAGGCTCCCCCTTCTCACCACAACCACAATCACCACCACCACCACCAACAGCAGCAACAGCAACAGCAACAGCATGCGGGAGGGTATTATAGCCTAGCTCCAGTTCAACAACAAGTATTGGCTCGTATCACTGCCAATCAACCTTCATCACCTGTGGTCTATCCACATTCAGCTCATCCATTATGTATACCTGATAACCGACTTAACCCACCACGACAATACGCTCAACATCTTCAATTACCTACATCGCAACAACAACCTACGACCCCCATCTCTCCTAACCACGATTATGATTTCCAACGAAAGCGAGTGAGAGGATCGATTACAGAGGAAGAGAAATTGAGTCATAATAAAGTGATGGAAGCCTTAAAGGCCAAGATCCAAAGAGGGAGTCATTCACCACTGACGACGGTGGCACCTAGTTCGGCATTTCGACCAACGACGATACATGAGAATAATAAAAGACAACGAACGTTACCGAAACCTACCGTGATTGCTACCACAACAGAGTTACAACCTTCAACACCTTCACCTCGTTCTGCTAAACCCATTTTACCACCGATTGATACGACGATTGGACGCATACCTACCACTCATTTACCATCTCATCCACTTATATCTCCCATCAAAAGCTCAACTCCTCCAGCTCTGACCACCACCACAACAACGACCACTATTACTACTTTACCCGCGCGTGATACTTTTGTAAATTCTGAATAATTCTTTTTTTTCTTTCTCTCTGTCCCACTCATTTTCCACTTAATGTTCATATATCATACTCCCTTCCCTTTTTTTTTTTTTTTTTTTTTTTAATTAACTTTGTAAATTTTAAATGCAACGTAAAAAAAAGAAAAACAGAAAAAAAAAAAACTATATATTTTAATTAATTAATCAGCCTTGTTTTGGGCAGCCTTCTTTTCCTTATTCTGTTCAACTGTCTTTTTAGCAGCTTCTTTTACTTGTTCTCTTGTCTTGACTTGACCTTCTTCCTTGGTCATGTAATGAAAGAGGAGAGCAAATGCACCAAAGAGGACGGGTGTAACGTACATCCAATGATCTCCAAAGAACACAAAGAAGGCCTTGACTTTACCCATTGTTTGCGAGGGAGCTGTGGAATGACCTATTAAGGTATCCAAGGACTGAGCAGCCTTCAAGATCGTCTGAGGAGAATCATTCATCAAGGAGAATCGGGTCTGATCTGCCTGTTGATCATAATAAAGTTGGGATTGGGGGTCCAAGATAACCAACGCAGGCAATTTATCACTTTGAATATGATACGCACGTGTGATGAATTTACCCCATTTCTTACCATCCAATTGAGCAAATCTAATCTCTTTACCACCTTGTTCGTCACGATAGATTTTGGCTATACTACGCAACTTGGATTGTGATTCGGTGTCCTCTGGATCGGTGATACCCAAGACCACGATGTGTTCTCCCTTGAGCACTTGTCTTGAGTTAGCGGGTAAAACACGTGTGACAAGAGGTTGACTTTCCTCGATAAGCCAAGAGGCAAGATCTTTTAAAGGAGATGTGAAGCGTTTGAAGGTACCGTCCTTGACAATCACGGAAGCGGGGAGATCGCTTTCTTGCAAGTTGAAACGAAGCGCGGTCTTTTTATCGGAGGTTGAAAAGAAGGGTAAGGTCTTCATGAAGGGAGCAGCAATGGATTCCAAAAAGGAGATAGAGTCCTCCTCCTCGCCCGTGGTGGACGCTTGTTGTTGAGGGTGCGTAATATGAACAAAGTTGACATCGCGACCATCAAATAATTCTTGTAATTCTTCATCGGATTCAACGTTTTGGATAGGAGAACCTGCTTTTTGAAGCGCGTAGTCCTTTAACTTTTCTAAACTTCTTTCACCATTGTATTCCAATGAAGAGCCATGCACAAAGCTATTGATATCAGTTAGTGTTCATCCCCCCGGGGATGTTTTATACAGTACCAAAAAAAAAAAAAAAAAAAAAGACTTACTAGAGGAGAGTAGGTAAACCAGCTACTTTGAATTCTTCACAAATAGCTATAAATTTCACCACAACACAATTCAATAAATATTTATATATATATCAATATCAATGACCCCGCTTACCTTTATGAGATTCACAGTTGACTTCAGCAAGATTGATTTGACCTTGCAATTCCTTGGCCAATTCTTCCCAAACAGGAGCGAGATGTTTACAATGACCGCACCAAGGAGCATAAAATTTGACAAACCAAGGTTCTTTACTGGAGATCATGCTATGAATTTGTTTCGAGGAGACAATCGGGAAGGACTCACCGTGTTCATTGCGTTTCGCTTGATTTGCCTTGATGTATTCGTTCACGTCCTCCAATGAAAAATCGCCCGTGTATTCTTTCCATGCACCTCCTCCACTTTGCATTTGAATAGTGGGGACACGGACTATACCCTTTTCTTTACAGTAATCGAGATGATTAGCACAGTTTAACTTTGCAAATGTTGCACCAGGATGACTTTTCGCGAGTTGCGACCATTTAGGTTCTGCAGTTCAAACCAACCAAAAAAAAAAAAGGGATGAGAGATGCTTGTATTAAAATGGGGTGGGGGGGGGGATCGCGTCCACGATGAAAAAGCTTACCGAATTCACTGCAATGTTGACACTCTGGGCTGTAATATTCAACAAACCTTACATATTAAAAAAAAAAAAAGTACGTGAACAAAACAGGCATAATTATTATTTTTCTCTCTCTCTCCCTCTCTCTCTCTTACAAGGAGCTATCTTTGTTATTATCAATTGTGTTTGGTGTGACTTCTCCAATATTCAAAGCTTGAGCAGAATATTGAAGCAGAGCTACTGTAGCAGCAATTGTAAATAAACGAACCATACTTGATAAACAAAAAAGATAAAGAAGAAGAAAGGATGAAACACAAGAAAAAGAATTTTTATTGAGAGAGGTGATACACAAAAAAAAAAAGTCCGGTTATAGAAAATATTTCCCTGTAAAGAAGGGAAGATGTGTATGTGTGTGTGTGTCCCCACTACCCCCCGAGGTGGTATAACATATTAAGCATCATAGTTGGTAGAAGAAACATTACCACCTTTTCCGGTCCAATTGGTGTGAATATGCGTACCAGGGTTAGATAAGAGTTCATAGGTATGTGCACCAAAATAATCACGTTGAGCCTGTAAAAGATTGGCAGGTAACATTTCATGTCGAAGTCCATCATAAAAGTTCAAGGACGTTGAGAGTGCAGGTGTGGGGATACCTTGGGTTACAGCCATTGCAATCACTTTTCTCCAAGCACTTTGTGCTGTGGCCGTTGCCTCTGTAAAGAAGGGGTCAAACAATAGGTTCTCCAAGGATGGGTTCACAGTATAAGCATCCTTAATTTTGCCAAGGAAAGCAGAGCGAATAATACATCCTCCACGCCACATGAGAGCAATACCTGCAAAATTTAAGTTCCAGCCGTAGTCTGAGGCCGCTTGACGCATAAGCATAAATCCTTGAGCATAAGATACAATCTTGGCAGCATAGAGAGCTTCACCCAAGGCATCTAAAAATTCAGACTTATCTACAGCAGTTTGTGAGGTAGGACCAACCAATATCTTGGAAGCACGTGTACGTTCATCTTTCAAAGAAGATAAGCAACGAGCATATACTGCCTCACCAATCAATGAGACGGGAATACCACGATCCAAAGAATCAATGCCTGTCCATTTACCAGTACCCTTTTGACCGGCCGTATCACGAATCTTTTCAACGAGAGCTGTACCATCCTCGTCCTTGAATCGAAGAATATCACGCGTAATTTCAATCAGGAATGAATCAAGTTTACCTTTATTCCATTCCTCAAAGGTATCTGCCATCTCATCTGAACTCATACCTAATCCTTCCTTCATGATTTGGTATACTTCACAGATCAATTGCATATCACCGTACTCTACAGTGTTAAAAAAGAAAAGAAAAAAGTGTCAGCTTGAAGTTAATGCATCAATATTTTTTATTTTGTTTTACCAATGCCGTTATGAACCATCTTGACATAGTGACCAGACCCTTCTTCACCAACCCAGTCACAACAGGGAGCACCATCGGGTGCTTTAGCAGCAATAGCTTGAAAGATAGGCTTGATAAAGGGCCAAGCTTGAGGGTTACCACCCGGCATGAGAGAGGGACCAAAACGAGCGCCTTCCTCACCACCCGAAACACCCGAGCCGACAAAGAGAATACCCTTCTCAGCCAACGTCTTGGCACGACGTACGGAATCAGGGAAATGTGAGTTACCACCATCAATAATGATATCACCTTGTTCAAGGAAAGGTAAAAGTTGATCAATGAAGCTATCGACAGCTGAACCTGCTTTCACCAACATCATGACTTTACGAGGTCGCTTTAATTTAGAACACAAGTCCTCAATGGAGGTAGCACCAATGATTTGAGTGTCTTTTGCTTCGTTGGCTAAAAAATGGTCTACTTTGGCTTGAGTACGATTATATGCACATACGACAAATCCGTGGTCGTTCATGTTCAAGATCAAGTTTTGACCCATCACGGCTAATCCAATTAATCCAATATCTGCACTAAATAAAATTTTAAAAGTTCTGAGTGTTAGTTCTAATTCCCCCCCTTTTTTTGTTGTTGTTGTCTCTGTTGCGTCAGTCACTTACGTTGCCATGGTTTATATTTGTGTATGTGTATATCTGTTGGAGATGTATAAAAGAAAAGGGGGGAAAGGAATTCCCTTGTGTTATCTTTTATACAGCAAAAATTTGTACCTTACATAAATATCAGTAAGCCGGAGTCTTAATCCTTATTATGCAAGGTTGACTAATTCCTTGGTCATGATGGGGCTTGCGTAAAAAAAAAAAAAAAATTTTGTGCTATCATTCTCGGATATAGGATGGGCCCTCCAATGAATGATTTGGGTAAACGTTTTTCGTAGTGTATATAGGGTATCATCAGTTTAAAAAAAAAAGTGAGTACAAACGGGCAGGTAGAGAAAAGGCACTCAGTGACACAGACATGTTAAAAGGCTTTTTTTTTTTTTTTTTATTATTTTATTTATTCACGCTATTAAATTCTATCGTGATCAGCAGGAGAGTCGGGCGTGTGTGTCTTTCTTTTCTGTCTATTTAGGGTAATCATGCGATAGATTGACAATCATGAAGGGATAAAATAATAGTGGAGTTTCCCAAGTTGAATTTTATCAGCACTGTTTGAGCCACTCATGATCTACGGGAGAGTTACTCAGATGGATCAGCATGAAAAGCACTTGTAATAATTAAAAAAAAAAAAAAAAAAAAAAAAAAAAAATAGGGTAACACGTCATATGGTTGGATAGTGGCCCTGTACAGCCTAAACAATAACAAAAAAAAAAAAAGGCAATATGACTTTTAAAAAAGTGGGACTTACATAAAAAAAAAGAGACTACGTGGCCCACCACATTATGGAGTGAACACGTTGTCCATGTCCAAATCGTAGTAATACAATAAAGCATATTATGCAACTGATGTATACAAAAAAAGGTGAGGAAAGTAATGATAAAAAAGCTGGGTTGTTGTTTTTTTATTATTATTATTTTTTTTTTTTTTACAAATGATTTTTACATAAAAAAAAAAAAGATACTTGATGGGGTAGGGTATTCATGATAATTTTTTTTGTTTTTGTTTGGATTTCGCCATGAAATTTATTGTGTTTTTTTTTGTGTGTGAGTGGAAAATCAAGATGGAGGGGAAAATTTACTTCTTCTTCTTGGGGTTTTCGGCAGCGGTAGCCCAATTGCTAGCCTATATATTATATACAAAATGATAATAATAAAAAAAAGGAGGGAAAAAAATTTTTTTTTTTCTTGTTAGTTTTTTGGATCGCGAAAAAAAATAAAAATTACACAATTCACGTAAAAAAATAAAAAAAAAATAAAAAAAAGAGGGAAAAAAAAAACTTACAGCCTTCTTGAAAACCTAATGATTTAATAAAAAAAAAAAAAGTCAGACTATGAAAGAAATAAAGCCCAATGTTTTTAACTTACATCCTTATGAGCCATAGTGGGGTTAGCCTTCTTAACCTTAGCGATTTCAGTCTGTTTATATTTAAAAAAAAAAATGGTTTAGGCCCTTGCTTTCTTTCACACCATGTATTATAAAGTGAAAAAAAAATCCTTTTTTTTTTTCTTTTATTATGATTATTCTTACCTTGATGAAAGTGTTATAAGCAGAGACCTTTCTGGCACCTAATATAACAAGATGATTTTGCTCAATTAATATAATGTCCATACCAAGACGCGTTTTTATAAAAAAAATAACACTTTACCTTGCTTCTTTGTGATCTTCTCCTTGGCCATTTTTAAATAAGTTATATAAAAGAGATATAAGGAAAAATTATCAAAAAAATTTGATTTTCACTTTGCAAAAAAAAAAAAAAAAAAAAAAAAAATTAATTTATATAGACTTCCTTTTTTGAACCAATCGTATTGCATACATCACATGACACTCTTTATTATTTATGATCACTGGTAAAAAAACGCGTAACCCGCTTATGTTTGCACTAACAAGCTTTTTAATCCCACAATCGCATTCTCCTGAACAAGGCTTAAAATCAACACCGTAATCGATTCTTCTCCTACCAGATAAACTTGACCACCTCCTAGCTCTTTAAAAGCACTCAAGATCTCTTTATATTCTTCCCCTTTTAAAAACTCTTCCAGTGTCTTGAACCGTACCTGGCTCCCTTCTTCTTCTTCATCCACCAAACCAAGCCCTATCAGCTCATCAACTGTCTTTGGTAACTCCTTCTTTTCCGTAGTGGTATTAATCCATTCGAAAGGTTCGTCTGACTCCGATGAAAGATACACGTCCTTGCTTATACTGGTCAATCTCGTCTTGGCTTCTTGTACCATCGGACCCGAACTAGGCTTCAATCGGCTATTCACTTTAGGTTTCTCTAAAGGTTTAATTTCAGCTGGTCCAGGATTAATCACTGGGTTGTTTAACATGGCCATATAACTATTATCTGCTTCTTCTGACATTTTTCTTAAAAAAAAAAAAGAAAAACAAGAAATAGAAAAAAAAAACAATTAAATTTTAAAATAGCATTTTGTGACCGTCATGCATTACATCATTTTAGTGCTCTGCATAACATGGATTCCTTTTCTGTCATCAAGTGAATAAGGCCATTTGGCATTTATTCATGTCCTCTGTGGCTTGTCGTTAAATATAAAAAAAATCAGTATTCATATCTGTCACTAGTGCATAAAGTTAAAATTATTTGAATTAAATTAGATATGCCTATGATCAAAATATATAAATATCATTTATCAACCCTCATATCACAACGGCTTATTCTCAAGTGAGGATCCTTTTGCCTCCTGCTGCTGCTGTTGTTAACTTTTCCAAACTCCGTCAAAGAATGAAAACGCCAAGAGAGAGAGGTGCGTCTCCAAAAAGAAGCTGTCACGCACAATGTGTTACAAAAGACTGGCAAAAATGACAAAGACGATGCAATACGACAAGAACCACACACTCTCATGTAAAAAAGGAAAGCAAATCTTTTTTTCTTTTTACAGTGTGTACATGTCATGACAGACAATAAAAGTTACAGGCAAATGACTCACTTCCTTGACGGTAGAATCGTTAGTAGAGGACGACGCCCTGATCTAATGATTTATCTGAGACATTTCGAGCAGCACGATACATGGAACTCTGCCTAAAGTCACGGTTACACTAAAACAAAACAAAAAAATAGAGAAGGGCTGTTATCTTTGACGCTGTAAAAGGTGATGTATCTAGGGCAGTTGTCCCTCAAGTTGAACAGCGGGGTTTGAATAAGCTAAACGGTTGTTATGACTGAATATCCGCTGGGCAATCCTATTCAGGCAGTCCTGGTCTGGTTTTATCATGGTAATTAAGCAACTTAGAATATTAATTCAGACACTAAAAAAAAGCATTCATTCGCCAGGTAATCTTTACTAAAAAAAATGGAATTCATCACTCAAATTGCTTTTAGCTTGTAAAGAAAACAAAAATACGATTAAATATTAGATAAAGAATCTGATGATCATATGTTGATACCTTTACAGTATCGCTCAAGTATGTCTTATATTATCACAAGCATAACATATAAATTAACAAGCAAAACCATATTGTATACACATGAGCAATATTTGCACCAGTTAAACTGTCATCTTGTAATACATTCAGCCCTACATGCTCTTATCAAAGTCTGTAATCGTTTGTACATACACTTTCATGTAGGACATGATTTTATAAAAGACAGATGATGTATGATATAAAAGTACAAATATTATAACCTTTGTAACCATCGATCAGCGTTACTCTGACAAGCAATGCAATTCCGATAACTCATTGCAGGTAAATTGCTATAAAAAAGTAATATTCGGTTTTGAAAGTGGTCTGTGCTGATAGTTGTTTAAATCAGAAAACGATCCACTCATTCACCGGGCCAGACTGCTTCCCTGCCGGACTGGTGGCACACTAGCAGCACGCTCCCGTTTATTTTCATAAAGTTCGCGGTAGTTTAAAAATGTGTTTTGATTCAGTACCTTTCCTACAATGTTGTCGATGTATCAATTCCCCAAACAGACGAGAGCATTAGATGCCATAAAAAGATTAAAAATCTTTCTTGAGATTCAGGGCAATACTGAAAAAGAGGTAATGCTGTACTTGAGAATGGAAAAGTGAACTATATAATGTTGAAACTTTTCTTTATCATATTGCCAGCCTTTACCTACAATGTCGAAAATCGTAGACTATTGCATAAAATACCCACGATTATTACGAAGTAATTGCGGATTCAAAAAAAAAACATAACGTGTCGAAATTAAAACAATAATCGTGTTATATAGTTCGCGATTCGCCACTGAAAGTTTTACACGATCCTAGTTTGCCCTATGTTGTGGTACATGATTGGTATATTGGCATTGCTCTTGATTATCTGGAGGCCTCAGTTGTAGTATTACTGGAACAATGGGAAAAGGATTTCAAGGTTTGTTCGAATATAAAAATAAAAACAAAAAGCCTGACACGACGTTCTCCTTGTAGAAAAAGAGACATGCACCAGAGCAGATATCGGAGCAGTTTGTGCGACTTGTGGATGACATTTATAAATGTTACGAACATACCGGGCTTGCATTGAAAATGCCTTTTCCGGAGTAAGTATCAAAGATGCTATAAATGAAGATAGGGCAATGGCTGATTTTGTCTTAATACTTTAGAGGGAGTCCATTGGGTGCAGCCGAATTAAAAGACAAGGTGAAATATGCCAGTATTGCATTAATCAAGGATAAAACCACACATTTCTTTACGGACACAACAAAAAGTTTTTACGAAGAAGGTCTAAAGACAATCGAAATTTTATTCCGTGCGCGCCTCAAAACGGAAGAGAACCCAAGTTTTGCGTATCTGTTTTCGCCTGGTGTGGCAAAATACAAAGATCAAGAACTCGAATTTCATGTTCAGTCTATTTTGGATTCGAATTTACCTGGTTTAGTAGACGTATTCAACTTGCCGGACGATATGCTGGAAGATGCCTGTAACGAAATATCGAAAAAAAAGAAGCCAAAGAATATTAGTGTTGATAGCTGGATGGACCCGACTGAAGAGGAGGATTACGAGTCTGTGGAAAAACATGAATCCAAATTGCAGGATTTTAGTGATGTATGTGTAAAATTAAATGCTTTATCACTGACACCAGACTGGACAGCTATTTTGGTTGAAGTAATTAAGAAGAGATTACATAGCCAGATATGGATAGATAAATGGGACGAATCCATGGTTACAATACAGCTGAAATGGCTTCATGTATTAATTCTGCCTTGGATTTCGTACGTATTACCAAAAGTAGAAGATATAAATGCAAACTGGAATGACTTTTTACGGCAAAAGATGAAGGCTGAGCATATCCTTTACGAGAACATATATCAAACTAGGTAAGATATTACTCATTTGTATTGGAGTCAAGTGGAAATAATGATAGTCTACATTTTTTTTTTTTTTAGAATTCCTCACATCTTTGACATTATAGAAGATTATCCTTCAACTTCTGAAGCCATTCTTGATTTTCATGTAAGTTCTCTAGCTGTCATTAGATAAAAAAAAAACGCCAACATGTAAACTGCAGATTACTGCCACGAAAAGAGGATTACTGGAAGACTTGAAAGAAAAATTGATCCAAGAGTAAGTTTATTTGATTTTGATTTTTTGTAAAAAAAAAACACACACACCTAAACACACCATCATAGATTACAAAAAAGACTTTTACACCAAGGAGCCGCGGCCGGTAGATTATTAAATCATTACAGCAATTGCACTCAATGTCTATGTATCATAGACCCTAGTTGCAAGACCATGGTTCCGATTATTCATTTGGTAGAAGACTATGTCAAGTAGGACCCTAAATAGATTTGTATTTATAATATAAAAGTACTAAATGCTACTGCTTAGACAATATCGTAACGATATTATAGATGGCGCCGTTGAATTAATCAGAGGACAAGGCGATGATGCGTTTCAAAACTCGGAGAACGGATATGTGTATGTATTCAAACAATCGGAAATAAATGACGAGGAAGCGCCCCGAACCGGCATTGTTATTGAAGAAGATGAGACAGGTACAGAGCATGAAAATAATGTCAATTGTATAATTTATCTAAATGACTGTTCATTTTCATAGCTATGCTTCGTAAACTACAAGTAAAATCTAGAGATCCCGTAGCGATGATAATCAGTATGTGCAATCCTATCCAAAAGTTTATCGAAAGATACGGTGAAATTTTAGCCGAAGCTTTACTTCAACTCACGGATTATGACACGGATAAAGAAGTTCAAAGATTAGAACTATTGAAGAAGAACTTTCCAGCCGACGCTTTTACAAAATGTGATGTCATGTTGAGAGATGTTGATATTAGTAGAAGATTAGATCGGCAGATTCATGAAAATCCGGAAATCGATAGTACATTTCATACGGTATTGTTGTCAAGGTTGTACTGGCCTGATGCAGATGAAGAAGATAATGATGATAGCGAGGATGATTTAAATAATTCAGGTCTACAGCTGTGGCCTAGATATGAAAGGTAATCGCAAGTTTTTATATTTAGTAAAACCGTTATATAAACCGTTTTCTTTTTAGTACGCTTGAAAAATACGAAGAAGAATATAAAAGCGCCAGGGCATCAAGGAAATTAAAGTACCTGCACAATAAAGGATCAGTGATCTTGCAGCTTGAATTTAAAACTAGAGTGGAGACATTCAAGACTTCACCCGAGGCTGCTACAATCATATCACTGTTTGAAACAAAAGGTACTTGAAACATTTCCATCTTAAAAAAAAGACAAAAAGCTAACTTGGTTAAAATAAAGATAATCAATTTACCAAGGATGAGATAGTAGAAAAGGTTGGCTTGTCTAAACAAAAGGTGATAGAAGCATTGGAGTTTTGGACCGAGAAAAATGTTATTGAATTATTAGCAAATGGAAACTTTGTGTTACTGGAGGATTAAAAATGAAACTTTGGCATGTTAATCAAAAGCTTTCCTTTTTAGTTACTTGTTTCTATGACTTTACTTCAATAAATAATTCAAGGCTTTTTTTTTTTTTTTTTTTTTTCTAGAAAATTTTCCGACAGCGAATAATCGATACCAAGATATAATTATTATTATAAATCCTATAGCTATCCTTAGAAGGAAGTACAGAAAGTCATTTATCATGAAGTGATTGGCCGAATAAACCGAATGACTATTCAGCCATTTCATTTCCGATCATGTATTTTCCGAATAAGCTTTGGTGTAAACAGACACTTTTTTAATGGTATTAGTGATGTTCTTCAAGACATGTCTATTTGGTCAATATGAAAGCCTGTATACATGTATCATCACCATCAGCTACAATGATAGTGCCAATACACTCCTAATATTACCCTTCCTCTGATTTGATAAGTTAATATGGGATCAAAACCTCTCACGCCAAGCCATCAAATGGTACAAATGTAGACAAGTATATCATTAAACCCGTAAAAACCATATTATCTGATCCCGCTGTCAGCGGCTCAAAGATACATTTACCCAAGCAGTAAGTAGTGAAATCAGTCGTAAGTATTTAAAGCTCTTTCGAATGCATATATATGAATGACCAATCTGTCTACTGGGCCTCAAGTTATGACAAAGATGCTTTATTAAATTTGGCAGTGCAGATCATTGTTGAAAATGACAATAAAAGCTAAATTAGTAGTTGGCTGATTTAGCTAACCACAAAAGTAACAATAAAGAAAAGAAAAACACCGATTGTTTGTATCAAAGAGTGCTAATATTGAATGATTCAGAATATCCTTCTCTCTCTTTCGAGTTATTAATATGATTGTAAAACATCATGATGATCGATTAACTGTTACCGGATATGTTTCACAAAAAGTACACGGTTGATTTTTTAATGAGATACAGTTGGAAAAGCACTGTAAATGTGACATTCCTTACTGAATATATATGTACTGCTTGTACTTGTATATTAAGATTTAATATTAAACAAATAAATACAATAAAGTCAGTGCATTTTTTCTATATGAAACAACAATCATCGATAGATCAAGATTGATATTTTGTCCTGTATTTTAAGCCCCTTAATTTAAAAAAACCTGGCGAAACTACTGTCAAGGAATACCTTAATTTAGCCAAGGTAAATAAACAAATACGTCAATCAGATAGCAAAAAAAAAAACTGAGGATAAAAATATATAACCGGCTTCTGAGAAGGAGAGATACAAAGACAACAGTACACAAAAAAAACGGTAACTGAAGAAGGATGTCAAAAAAAAAAACTATCAAGTATGGTTCATACTCTATTGAATATATTGAAAAGACGAAAAGTCTAGAGCCATGTTGGTAGAACGTCTTTTAAATTTTATTCACGATTGGTTGTGATGTGAAATGGAAAGTAAGCAAAATGCAACGTTGCAGTGTTACGGTATTTTTAAGTTCAGTTTCAGCTCACAAGCCCAAAGGGGAACCTTAAATGGCATCATTTTGCGTACTGTATGTGGCTTATTTTTAACTCCAGTTTCCCTCCCTCTCATCTATCCAATTCACAAGCCCATAAAAAAGTACAAGACATGCTTGTGTGTGCTTAATTTTTTAGTTTTTTTTTTTTTTTTCTGCAACATATATTTTTTTTATGATTCTATTTATTTTATTATTAATAGCAACAACGGTGGCTGCCCAGAACAGTTGTATTTCCCTTGCCAATTCCAAAACATGCACAGCCTTCTCACAATTTTATATTGGCCTACCGGGATTAGGAACAGAATATCCATTTTTATTAAACACAACCACGATTGAAGAATTCGACAAACGTTTACTATCCTTTGTCAACTCGACAAGCTCTTATCTTTTTCCTCTAGGATGTTTAAGTTCAAATTATAACCCGACCATTCCGTATGCTCGATACTCCATTACGAAATTATGCGCTGCCATGATTCAAAGTCCATCTCATTCCCTGCCATGTAATTTCGATTACGATTTAGTTCCTCCACCTCTTTGTCAGAAGACTTGCATCGAGTGGGTAGACAGTATAGATCATATCACCCATAATCCACGAGTGTGCTCGGATTCGATACAACGTAATGATTCGCTTGCTAATTTTTTGGATCAATGCCATACTTGGGAAGGATTTAACGGCACCGTTTCTGATAATTGTATATCAGGTATAGCAAATGAGCCTTATACATGTGGTAAGTGAACATTTGTATGTGTGTGTACCCTTCATTATTTGTTTCATGTGAATACGTTTTTAACATCTATATAGGTTTTGGCCCTGATAATGCAAAATATGCGTGTCGTTATTGTGAAAAGAACCCTGACGACGGATGCTGTCAAAATGTGGCCAATTGTAGTCAAAAATTATCAACCGGTGCGATTGTTGGCATAGCAATAGGAAGTGCAGTTGGAGTTGCAGTAATAGGATTTTGTATATTTTTATCTTGCCGTAAAAGGAAAGACACACTTTTTCGATTCATGTCCGCATCAGCAACATCATCTTCTACTACCCAAGCAAAGGCACTAATGAAGGAGCCTTTGGAATTACAGCCGACGGCCAATAACAGTAAACTACAAATCGCCAGTGATTTTTCGACGACTATTATACCACCCAAAGAAGAATTTTATGTGGTCATTCATCCATATCCATCACAATTGCCTGATGAATTGGAATTAAAAACAGGCGATATTATCTGCTTGGCTATGCATTTTGATGATGGATGGGCTTTAGGATTTAATGTGACAACCGGATTAAAAGGAGCATTTCCATTGGTCTGTATATCACATGTACCGGCGGATAGTCTAGATCAACTATTAAATCCAGAAGAAGTACCACTCAATGCAAGCCCACCAGCACCAACACCAGCACCGCCGACATTACCATTACCATTACCATCAACACAGCATAATAATACTAATAATAAACCCATCATCAACACAACACCAATACCAAAACGCTCTGCAAGCTGTAAATCTAATTATGATTACATTGAAGCAGAGAGCCCGTCTTCCCCTACTTTCCATACGCCCTTCTTTAATCAGAAATAATAATAAATGTATTTGTACTATAGTACTAGGAACAAAACAAATCAATTTTTCCCGCTGCCTTTTGATCTGAATCAAAAAGCTTATGACATGTCTCAGTTGTTCTCGGCCAGATCCATCCATAGGGTGAGAACAAAAAAAAAGAAACGTCATTTTTTTGAATTGGACAATCATGTCAACATTAACCTCTTTGTTCAAAAATAATTTAAGCAACAACCAACATATATACAATCAATGAGGCGACATCATGCATGAGTATGCAAACAAGTTTGGTTTCTTGTCGTCAGTTACGCCCATATTTGTATTATAAAATCACCACAAAAAAAAAAAAAAAAAAAAAAAAAACGTTCGGCTTGAATCGCCGCTGTAGCGATGAATCATTTTGCCAATAAAAATGACAGCAGTCTATTTTAGCTTTTTCTTTGAGATTCTTTTTTTTTTTTGTATTAAACCAGAAATGACCTTACAAACACATGTAACTGGATCGAGTAGTCAGAATGAAGCCAGTAAAGTTTTGTCCATAACGGAAAGCGGTACTAGCTCACACTCTACCACCATTACAACTATAACAGGTAAAGAAAGGAATGAGAAAGAACAAGAAAAGAGACAACGGGTTTAACGTGCATATTAGACGAAGCTCCTAGCTATGAATATACCCTACCTGAAAATACAGACAGTACGTTATCGATATTTAATTCGACATCGAATGCGACCAAAAGATATCAGACGAAAATGTTGTTAGCATCATTGATCGAGCACTTTTGTCGTGCGTATGGTGATACCCCGGATGCCAACCGAAAAGTGTTTTTTCTTATTTGTCAAACACTGCGATCATTGGGTATCATTGATGCGGAATTTATGGATGAAATGGCTAGTGTGCGCTCTTCTTTTCAACAGGCGTTCCATAAACTCTTCTTCACTGCCGTTCAAACCGTACGAAATCAAGACCTTGTCCATTTTAACGATCACTTGCCAAAAATGATACAACCACCTACTACCAATAACAACAGTTTGACGCTAGAAATACCAAAGCCAACAAAGACTCCACACGAAGATTATTTCTCTTCACCTGTCGGCACCACTTTTACGAGCTCTCCACCTAGTTCTTCCACCAATAAGATGCATCCATTCATTCATGGTGGTAATTTGAGTGTACAAAACTCTCGATATAATAATGATTTTGTCGAAATTAGTTTGCTGGGAAAAGGAGGTTTCGCTAGTGCCTTTAGAGCTCGTAATAAATTAGACGGTATTGATTACGCAGTCAAAAAAATTCGTTTGGGAAATGATATTGAAGATAACGGTCAGGAGGGTAATCCATACGAGAAAATATTTCGAGAAATTAAAAACTTGGCAAGACTAGAGCATGTCAATGTGATTCGATATTATTCTTCTTGGCTGGAATACGATGAAAGCTCAAATGACCCTACAGATACTTCAGATTGGGAAGACGATACGTCAAGACATAAGAGTTTTCTTTCTACAGACTCAAGTAGTAGTGTATTTGGTGGGTGTGACCCAACCTTTGACCAAAGTGGTATGTCACAAATCCAATTCGGTACAAATGATGGAATGTATGACCAAAGTGGTATATCCCAAATCCAATTCGAAAAAGAGCCTATGGATCAAAGTGTTGCATCCATTCAATTTGGTGATGATAATACAAGTGTGTCATCCGTTGTACCGTCCTGTACAAGGACTGTCGCTCAAAGTGGCTGGACTTTATTTATTCAGATGCAATTATGTCCAAGTAAGTTGACCCATGATCGACGCGCTATTAAATATTGGTCTAACCATTGACAGCTACCTTACACGACTACATCAAACTACGTAATAAAAAGTTTTCTGAAACCTCAAGTTATGGTGACCTGCTAGACAAGAAGCGCAATATTGAAATATTCTCTCAAATCTTACAAGGCACGGCTTACATCCATGACCAAGGTTTAATCCATCGCGATTTAAAGCCCAGCAATATCTTTCTCAGTATGCCAAATCTATCAGCGCACGATGGAAAAAGAAAAAGAGCGAGCAATGCATTTTTGGATGGACACCGTTCATCTGTTGATTCCTCTGTCTCAGAAAATGGAACCAAGGAAAGTATGTGGGAAGAAGCATGGGTGCCCAAAATTGGTGATTTTGGCTTAGCCGCAGAAGCCATGGATGAAGGAGATGGAGTACTTGTACCTACGCCCATGTCATCCACACCACCCAGCCCAAAAATACTTCCTAAAGACGATTATTTGGTCGAAAAGATGAGAAAGAGTAGTGTACATGATGGTAGACCAAAGAGACCCAAGCCAAAGCGTACACGTACAGTGGGTGTAGGCACTCGAACTGTAAGTAAAAAAAAAAAAAAAAAAAATTAGTTTTATATCGTACGTTTTATTTTGCTATTATATAATATTTTACTAATCACTCTCTATCCAGTATGCCTCACCTGAACAATTAGCGGTTCCAGTACAGCCGTATGACGAAAAAGTGGATATCTATTCGTTAGGCATTATTCTTTTTGAACTGTTCCAGCCTTTCGCCACTGGTATGGAACGAGCAGACAGCATCGAGAAATTAAAACATGGTGTATTCCCTGATGGTTTTTTGGAGCTGTATCCTAAAGTTTCAGCACTGATCATCTGGATGATGGATGAAAAGCCCCATCATCGACCTACAGCACAACAATTGTTGGAGTTTGAACTATTCTCACATCCCGACGATGCGGACATCTACTCTTCGTTACAGACACAATTATTGTCAAAAACGAATATGATTGATGAATTGAAAAAGACCGTAGAAAGGGTCCAGCGTGAAAAGGAGGAGGCTCTTAATGAAATGCAGCAACGACTTGATGCAATGCAGCTTGAATTAAATGCTTTACAACGTAAGGAACTGACTTCTTTAAAAAAGAAGAAGGAAGTACGTTGGTGCACCTTTAACTCTGAGTAGATCAATTTTTTGATCTTGTAAATATATCCTAAAAAAAAACTAAACAAAACAATAATAATAACAATAATAAAAAATACATGACCACCATTCCCATCAGGGAAAAGCAACTTCTTTTCGCTTCTGGAAGCAATCGTTAATTAAAAATATATATATATAATATCTCGTGTTTCCCGGCAATAGAAAACAACCGGTTATAACAATGGGTCCCATGTGGAGTGATACACACTGGTATATGGGAAGGGGAATGATGTATTTTATTTAATTATTACTATTACTATTATTATTACTATTATTACTATTATTTTGGAATGATATAGATGAAGAAAATTTGCCAAAGGCTTCTAAAAAGGCCTTCTTCTTTTTCTTTTCTTTGGTTGGTTTGTCCAAAGGTTTGGGCGGTGGAGGTGGGCTTGCTGATCTTCTGGGAGTCATATTATCAGATGTCGGATATGATCTTTGTTGATGAGGTGTTGTGGGTGGACTATATGTACTCCTGGATGGAGAGTACATGGTAGCACCACTAAATGTGGAAGCTCTATTACTTGGTGACGATCCGTATGTAGATCGATTATTTACACTGAGCGAAGGTTTTCTGATGGATGCAGATGAAGATCTAAAAGATTGTAAAGTGGGTGATGCTGAATTACTTTCATAATTGGATGCTGCTGCTGCTGCCAGTGATAATCTGGATGTCGAGCCAGCCGATTGTTCGAGTGAGTTATTGAAACTAGATGATGACAAGGATGCTGTGGGTGAAATAGGTGGTGGTGAGTCTATGCTAGATCCCAGTGTTGCATTAGGTGAAGACACTGTTCTAGAACGAATCACATGCTGTTGCTGTTGCTGTTGTAGATTTTGTTGTTGCTGGATCATTTTTTTGGCTGCAATCATCATCTTCAGGGCTCTAATCTGTAAACTAGTCTGATGTGATAATGCTGCGGTTTCAAATATTAATGGTGCAGTAGACATGTTTAACATCTGATGTAGTGCATGTGTTGACAATTCTCGAAGACGGGGGATATCATACATGTCTGATAAAAGTAATAACTGTGACAGAATATGTGGTTGATATTGTTGTGCCGTTAATAAGTTGTCTGTATAGATGTACTGCAGTAATGCAATTACTACAGTATGTGGATAGGGAAATGACATGTAATGACTTTTGATCAATGTTACTTCTTTTGTATTATCGGTTTTTGTTGCTATCGCTTCCATAGGTTGTTGATCTTCCTTTGCTTCTGTAGAAGACAATGTACTTAAAGAAGAAGTAACGGAGGCATCTTCTTTAATTGTATCTTCTATCACTTCCTGTGTTGGGGTGACGGTAGTTGTTTCCGGTTGAAGTTGAGATGAACGTTTTGAAGTAGACTGAGACTTGACCTTTTCATGATTATCCTTCATGAGATTAGCAAAATAAGGCCATCGTTGGGATAACACAGCCGAATTAACGGGAATACTAAGGTTATCTTGAGTAATGATATGGAAGTCGGAAACTGCAGGCTCGTTCAACAAACGAAGTCCCATCTCCTGAGCCAAAGAAGAGCAAGTTACTTTTGGTAATGAATAGACACCGAATGCCTCCAGATCAACCATAGCAATATGATCAAAGTTGACTTGTCTGTGGTTATAATCGTCTAATAGACTTCTGTTTGTGTTACCAAAAACAATAAAACGGTTTTCATTTTCGTATAATACACCACGATTCCAAGAACCAGAGCTAAATACTGTGCCAGTTTCGATACGAGACCAAGTTAATTTACCGAGATCGAGAGACCAGATTGTATAAGATTGAGATTGAGGTGATAAATAGGTACCAGCCAAAATCAAATGGTTACCGAGGGTGTGGCCTGTAGGAAATCTTAATCCTGGAGGCATCACAGAACCATTCATAAAAGTAGAACAATCCTCTACTTGAGCTGAGGAATAAATCAATTGTAATTCACGTTTAACATCGGCAAAGTTATAGTTAGTATATAAATAAATAGGATTTGGTTCATCAGGAGTTTGAAGAGAAGAAGAGCTGAATTGTCGAACAGTCGAGGTACGATGACTAGCACCATTTAAATTATTAGTGTTGATTGCAGAAGCATCGTTTTCTAGGTCGTTTAAATCGTCTACAGCTGTTGTACTACTATCTTCATTTTTCATCATGTAAGAATTGGACGGGATTCTTGTACCAGGTGGTGCGGTTACCGCAATGGACCTGTAAGCACCCACATGCTTTTCAAATGTTTTCACTTGTTCCCAATCCCACGTCTTTAGATTTAAAACATTCATTTCGTCCAGATAATTATTATCTAAATCTTGACCACCCACCACAATAAGCTTATCCTCAGTTACTGAAGATAAATGAGCATAACGAGATTGTGGTGAGTATAAGGAAGGCTGAATATTGGGTGTAATCCAGCACATAGTTTCAACATCCAGCACTGTAATATCATCTAAAACACATAATCCATCGTTTGTAAGTCTTGAATATCCCATACCACCAAAAATAATAAGTTGCTTTTTATAAACACTAGTTGAATGAAAGTAACGAGCCATAGGTGGTTTTTCTGAGTCGGGTGGTGGAATATGTCGAGTCCAAATGAGTGTATGAAGATCGAGAATATACAGGTAGTTGGTCATTTTGCGAGATGACGCTAATCGTCCCGCAAATACATAGACTTTATCATCAATCACATTGACGGAGGCACCGACTAAAGCAGGTGGTACTTCCTCTGTGGTTGAATGTATTTGTGTGATAATTCCAGAGATGGACTGCATTTGCATTGTTGAAGGCATGATTCGTTATTTATAATAATTTAAAAAAAAATTGACTGTACAAGTATGTATAATAATAAAGGGAATAAGAAAATTTAAAAATTGGTTGTAAGAAAAAAAAAAAAAAGAAAACCCCCGGCCCCCTTCCCCTTCTCCCCCAGATTATATAATTGCCTTTTCGAGTCAAGTGGGTTACACTCTTGATAATGCTGCCAAAATAAACTTTTGCACGTTTTTCTTCATTAATTATCTTTATTACCGATAAGTTTTAAAAGCAACTCGATTCAGTCATAATTTTTATAAATATTATGTTGTCACTTGGGTGACTCAAAGCAGCCCATGTTTTCGAACCGCGACGACCTTGTTGGATACCTGTCTTATGCGAAGAAAATAGGCTCCTTGAAATGTCCGTGATGGATATTTCTTTATCCCCCAAAAGATGTGATATGGCGGAGTCGTTTCTTCTAAACAAGGGTAACTTGAGGAGGAAGGGTAAGTTGCATCTCTATTTGCTCACGTCGTTATAAATATATGTCTATTGTTTTAATCAATAGTTTACATTGGCAAGGAATCTGTACTACAATGTTGGTATCACACAACGTTGCTAGACTTACATATATTACCCGCACTTCGAATAGTTCGGCGTTATATGGTAATTATAGGCGCGCGCATGAGCTGGAGTTTGATCTTTAAGTAATAAATTCAGGGCAACTGTATAAATTGAAAATAGAAGGTACAACACCTTTTATTTTTCTACTCAGAAAAACAAAGCTATTTTATGTGAATAGCTTCGGCATGTGTGGAAACAAGTGTTGATTCGATTATTGGGTTGCTGTCGGTTTGTCAATACATAGTCGGCTAATCAAAGCAGAATGGAAATCGGAAGTTCAAATACTTTGTTAAAAACCTTTTAGACAGGTAATAAAAACGTATTTGCACACTTGTTCAGCACAAGATATACTTTTTTTTTTCGGTTGAGAGTAACTCTTCAATAAACCATATCGTATCCAAAGTTTGCATCGATACTATTATTCTACATGGACTAGTGCGTGAATCCGGAGATATGACATATAATGATAGTAGCTACTATAATCAATGCTATTGTTTTAAGTTTAGATCTAGTAATAATTAGGATCACTTGCACGGCTAACTCTTAACGTTTTTTTTCTCAGGGTCCGAGCGTTTTCCTTTTTTTTATCTTTAATTCCGTATATGTTTCCTCTTTCATAATGTGTGCCTATAACTATTATTATTTTCGTTTATCTACAGACCGAAGCAACCTTTTCATTTATTTTTAAGGTAGACGAAGTTTCTCAGAATCGTATTGAAATTTTCAACAGCTGTAGCGTTTTTTTAAGCGCTGCTTTTTATTTTTTTGGTATTTTAGGGGATGTCCTTTAGTCGTTGCTTATCCTCAAGTCATACGGTGGGCGCTAAATCTTTTTTTTTTTTTTGTCTTGGCTATATTCCAAAAAGGGTCTGAAACGTATATTTAGTCGGTTTAAAACAGCAGCGCATCAGACAGAAGGACAAATAACGAGATATTTTTTCAAGTTAATCTATTATAAACTTGCTTCACATTTATCAGCAGTTAGTTTGACGATTCTGCAACAAATACCAGACTAGCAGGATCACTCGAGATTTTAACTAGTAATGGCTGTATAAATGATGTTTAAGGATTCGATATGTAAATCCCAAAGGCGGGTAAAGTGGATTGCTAGAATAATCTAGTTAGATCTGTGTAACTATTGAAGGGATTTACCTCTGTATGTGTTAATCAAGATCTACATAATAAGTATTTTTGGATATTGTCATTATTAGAAAACTTGCCATATCTATTCACGATGTTTGTCAAATATTTTGTGTCCTACATAAGGTGTGACAGTAACACAATATCATTATGTCATGGCATAGCAGTAATTAGTTCAGCAAAACGTTTCCATGTTTTACTGGTAAATGTTCGAATGATCGTGTCCTTTTATAGGAAATTTGTAGGAAAAGGGGAGATTCATTTTTCTTAACCATTTTCTAACCAAAAAAATCCATCACGAACAAGAGTTTTGTAACAAACTAGGACCGGGGTATTTGCATATTGTCCATGCGGTATTCAAAGGAGATGTTACACCATCAGGATATCAACGAAAAATGTATTGAGTATGAAGGATCTGATTAATATGATACTCGATCAAATCCAGAATTCTGTTATTGACCAAGAGTATTTGCTTAGACCCCCTAACCTCTAAACTGGCAAAAAGATCAGTGTTTAAACAGTATCGCACGGGAAATGCCCTGTGTGTAGAATTGCTAATTCAAGAAAGTCAAAGTTGGTCACCAAAAAGCTTTCCCGGTTATTCTCATCCAGGAATATGGATCTTTCAAACACAATGCAACCGCTCTTTCAACATTGTATTGGTCAAAATATATTAAACAAAATTATTTGCATCGTGCACACTTGACGAATTGACGAGCTAAGATTTGTGTACTACACTGTAATCAGCAATTTTAAACCAAATGTGGCGTCAGAACTCTTAATTGGAAACGACCCTCAACAGTAATCATTCTTTCAACTATCGAAGCTATGCATTTATATATCATTTTTTAATGAATACTGAAACGTATCTGACGCGGGCACCACAAAAAAGTTAGACTCTTTGCCACTAAGTTTACTTGAGATTTTTTGATGCCATTGCGAGCACAATTTGACGAAACTCAGTGTAGTCCATTGATAATATTCACACTTATAAAGTCTCTTACGGACGTTACCCCCATTTTTTTATGTCTTATCTTCAACTAATAGTTAACACATACATTGAAAAGGTATAGCCAAGTATACAGTCACTCAAGCATGTAATTAGAAAAGAGTAAAGACAAACGAGCTAACAATTAAATGAATATCGCTTGTATAGACTGCTTGAAATGGCACATTGCCTTAATTGAAAATGTCTAATAATATGACACCTTGTTTTGTGTGTAATGTAACTACCAAAGACTTACCCAATGTACTGTTTATACTGGAATTTGTAGAATTTACTGTGCTTTGACTTACAAATATATCTATCAAAACTTGGTTAACGCTACCAAAGCCAGGACAAAAGCTGAAACAGCATTAAATATCCACAATGGCATCCTACCCGTTGCTATGCGATTTGAACAACTGATAGATATATTCGGATTTGGTGCCTTTGGTCTGGTTTTGAATCAAACCTGTGGCAGACTATTAAATTATACCAATTGTCAATTCTCACAACTGTTTCAATCCCTTCCCAATACATCTACAACATCATATGCAATGTAAACAATATAACCTTCCATGAATCATGGAAAAAAGAACTGCCCAATACACCTACGTTTCTCCTCCCCCTCTTCCCCCAAAAAACGATTTGAAAGCAATACAAGAATTATAATAATTAAAGTTCTTTTTATTGTTCGACATACAATCATTAAATTTCACTGATTGAAACTATTTTAAACGTAGGATTAAATCATTGGGTTCTGTTTGAAAACAAGAACGTCCAATGTTATTAGTATTATGGGGATCTTGGGACTTGTCTTGTGGCACTTTCAACATAAGCGCTTCATTTTAGAACCAAGTTTTTTCGAGCAATGAATGTAAGTAAATAACTGTGAAGGCTGGATCAAGCATTCTGTTTCGTTTGTTGAGCCAATATATTATAGCATCTAATTTAACAAATATCACTATCTTCCAAAAAACTAAACAACTTGTTTAATCTGGTATTTTAAGACGGGTATGTTATAAGGGAAAGCTAAGACACATACAAAGTACAAGACATTTAGGTTACATAGACAATTAACGTGTGTACACATATTTATTGAGAACAATAGAAAAGAGGTATGTATGATTGAAAAGATGGTGAGTGGTTCTACAAGACACAATTATAAATCAAGTAGAATACATTCTACAATCTTGTTAAGGTGTGTTAGAATTAAGTAAGAGCTATAGTCAGTAAAACTGATGCTGATGTGAAGTGACAAAAAATCACACACCACCGCCGGACATTCACTCCCCGGTCCACTGGACAAGTAGTACAAAAGAAATATTACTATATACGGAATTAAATGGGTGGCATACACAGGTTGGACAGCAATAAGTAGAATAAAAAGGGCTTGCTAGATTGGGCGATCATCTTGTAGCAATACATTTATATATAACTGGAACGAGGTATTTTTTTGTTATGGAAAATACGCATTTCGGTTCATTTAAGCGATCAGTATCAATTTATAACAGCGATGCTATTCCTAGCCAACGGATATGCCCGCGTGTCCAAATTATGCTCAGTTTTGGATGAAAAATAGACTTACTCACAGTCACACCGTAGAACACACGCATCTTTTTCGCAGTTCCCTTCTTATTATCTGTTTCTTGATATTCTTTCTTATATATAAGGACGGTTGTTTTATATAGCATTTATACGTGTAAGCACAAAACAAACAGTACAACAGGAAAGGAAGTACATAAAACAAATATAAGTCAAAATCTTGCTATTTTCCCATGAAGGTAAAAAAAAAAAAAAAAAAAAAAAAAAAAAGGAGTAAGAGCAATGACCCTAATTGAAATTTACTGTACACTGTAGTTTGGCAAACAAATCCAAAGCCAACAGTTTACAGAATGGAGTCCTTACTATTTAGATTATAAAGGACTGAAAAAGTTCATTAGTTCGTTATTGAATACACCAACAGATAGTTTAAGAGCTTTGGGTTTACCACATGTGAATGTCGAAGAAGACCGCGCAAAGTTACTCCAGTCTCAGAAAGCAGCATTTTTCTTCAAACTCGAGCGTGAGCTTGAAAAGGTACAGCTTAAAAAGAATATGAAAAAATCAAGGATGGTTCGGTCAGACTTAACATAAACGCCGTAGATCAATTCATTTTATCTTCAAAAGGAGAATGAACTTAAAGTTCGATTAAGGACATTAATTGATAAGAAGAAGGTACTACAATCAGACACACGTAGACTCAAACACGCTTCTACTCTATTCAAAGCAATTCAAGAAGCCTTTGTTCAATTCGAACAAGAATTAACAAAGATTCAAGTAAGATTAGAGTTTATACTGATTAATCCGGAAAACTGAGCTCCTTTGTTTAGAAATATGTCGAATTAAACAATGAAGGTTTTCGAAAAATTTTGAAGAAATGGGATAAACGATCAAAATCGTCAACAAAAGAACTATACCTTTCACGCCAAATTGATATTCAACCTTGCTTCAATACCCAAGTTTTGTGTGAATTATCAGATCTAGCATCTGCAAATCGTATCGAACTATCCAACATTCAAGATGGCATACCTATTAGTCCTGTCTCATCCCACATGACCAATGACGGTTCATCAAACAATAACTATGATGAGATAGATGATATCGAGTTAGAATTAGTGAAATCTGTTTCAAGCGGACAGAGTTCTTTAGTTCGAGAAATCCTAGACAGAATCATTCAGAATCCATCTCCCGATGATAAAGGAAAAATAACTAGAGTCTTTTGGCATGCCTGCTCAGAAGCACCTAAGGATATCACAGACATGCTTATCGAAACCAAGCTTGTCAATTTTGAATATGTGGATGATATTATCGAAAGATCTTGTTTGCATGTGGCTGCTATGAATGGAAGATTAGATTTATTAGAAATTTGTACAAAAAATGGTGCTAATGTAGAGGCAAGAGATGCTTATGGAAGAACTGCATTACATTATGCTACAATGAATGGCTTCAGTGATTGCGTCTCGTTTTTATTAACCCGTCAAACTGATATCGAATGCCGTGACCATGATGGTTTTAGTCCTCTTATATATGCTATTATGAACGGACATACTCCTTGTGTTGAAATATTAATCAAAGCCCATGCTAATATTGAACCAAGACATGCAGGCGATCATATCCCATTATCTCTGGCCTGCCATTTCGGTCATACAGACATTGCTTTGATGTTGTACAACCAAGGCGCACAAAATTTGCCCAATGCAGAATCATTATACCCTTTACATTTAGCTGCTCGTCAGGGTCATGCTGAACTGTGTCGTGTGCTCTCTCAAAATGCCGCTGATATCGATACACCTGATAAATATAATACCTGGACACCTTTGTTTTGGGCTGCCAACGATGGACATGTTGAATGCGTACGTATATTAATCAATGCCGGTTGTAAAGTTAACGCCAAAGATGAAAACGGGAAAACGGCACTGTATTATGCGGCTTGGGAAGGGCATATGGATTGCGTACAATTATTATTAGATGCCGGATGCGAGGTTGAGCCTATACATGAGATTCAGCCCTCAGTTTTAGCAAGACCAGAAGAAGAAGAAATGATGGACGAGAATGAACTGGACATTATCCCTTCGCTTTCATTGCCTCCGCCCATTATTCCCTTCCGTATCTATGGACACAATTACCTCGATCGTAAATACCAAATTCAAATCAGTTTGCGTCAACCACCTATCCGTCTTTATGATAATGCTCAAATATCTTCCTTGAGATTAATTATCTCTTCTAAACCGGATACCGGGATGATTCCTCATAGCGTCATCTTACCCCTTGTGGACGACCGTGATGTTTTTAACTTTCAGGTTGATAAATTGGACGATTTCTTGTTGGAGTTTGATATATTGGCTACATTTGGGTCGAAAGTTTTGGGCCGTGGTGTTGCTTTACCCCAATCCTTTTCTTTGGCTGATTTTAAGGTGGCCGAAGGCCATCGTACCATCCCTCTTTTAGATGTTCATCTTAAAGTGATTGGTGAGCTTTCTTACGATTATTCAGTTATTAATCCATTCCGAGGTGTTCAATTAGAAATAGGAGGTAGAATAGAAACTTATTGGAAGTCTACAAATACAGTTCTACCCTCAGCATCTACTTCACCTCATATCAGCCCGCTATCTACTCTGCCTGCAATTGCACCTGTCAATACATCAAATGCTGCAACGACTGGGCCTGTAGTACCTGCATCTTCTTCTATTTCATCAACAGTACCTTCATTTATCACTGCTTCTTCTTTATCGGGTGACTACGTTCATGTTGCTATCCAATTAACAAAGGATTTAGTACCTGTTGTTTTTGGAAACTGGATGGTGCCCTATCAAGGACTCGATCTGGCTGTATCTGATTTAACACTAAGTCAGTTTATACGTATTGGTACAAGCATCCTTAAGGACTTCCAGCCTAGTTCGTCAGACATTGCAGATGATAAATGTCCAATTACCGGAAATAGTTTAATCATACAAAAATTAAGCAACTACCAATCTTTCTTGTCTTTGGAACAGGTCTTGGAGGTAATTTCTTCTACAAAAAAAAACAGAAAACAAAAAGTGTGTAGTGTGTCGAATTACTAAATCTATTTCTTTTTAATTTGTAGAAACTGCCATTAAGCATGGGGCTTCATCTTGAATTGAAATACCCTTCACCAAGTGATCAAAGTTTATACTCTTTTACAAATGTCGCAGGACGAAATACGTTTGTTGATACAATTCTTCAATGTATATATGATCATGTGCGATCATTATCACCCGACACTGCAAGTCGTAGTCTATTCTTTTCTTCTTATAATCCAGCTATTTGTATGGTAGTTAATTGGAAACAACCTAATTGTAAGTTTTATTCATTGGGAGCGGGGGATGTTTAGAAAATATTGCTTTAATGATCTAACGTTAAAAAATTCTAGATGCTGTCTTTTTTGGTACATATTGCGGGTTCAATGTGCACCGTGGAAAAAAACGTAACTCAGATGGCGAAGAAACCATTGTATATAAGAACAACGATGTGCGATGCTCTTCTTTAAAAGAGGCAGTTAAGTTTTCGAAACAGAATAATCTATTGGGTGTTATCTGTGGTGCACAAACACTCGTACAAGTGCCATCTTTGATCAAGACAGCTAAAGAAAGCGGATTGATCCTTGTCACAGCAGGCAAAGTCAACTCTGATGTCAGATACCGTAATATTCAGGAACGCTATGGCGTAGATGCAATGATGATTAATCAAGTAGTTCATTTCAATATGTCAATGGCTGGTGCTGGATTTTAGTGATAATTATACTTTTTAAAAATACAACGTACTATAATAATAATAGCAAAAAATGAAAAAGGATATTTTTCTCGCCAGGGTCAACCATCTGACATCTATTGTTGTATTATGGATAAAGGGGATTATATTGTGGAATTTATATATGTATGTAATAAATAACTCTGTATCTTTGTCCGGTTTGTTAAAAGCACGTAACACGCAGCTTTGTATAACTAAGCCTCTACACAAACCGTTGATAGACAATGCAAAGTTGTATATCCCTTTAATCAGCCTATATTGAGTACTAATTGATTAAGGTGTCAGCAGAAATCTTCCATACTTAAAAAGCTGGGCCCATGTTATACCAAAAAGTAAAATTACTTCTTTCACATGTAACCAGTTTTTAATTGGCTTAAAAAAAGCCATTGTTTGCTGCCACCTACACCGACAGTGTCAAAATATATAAAAGGGGAGAGAAGCACCAAAGCGCTAAATAAAAAAAAATTATCGGTTGCTTCTTTTAGTTATAATGACCATTGCCTTGGAAGGATACCGCACTGCGACTTTAAATTTATCAACTACGCCTGAGTTTACCGATTTGACTAATTGGCGTCTCAAGGTGAAAGAAGGTGCTCAGACATGGCATTATTTAAATACTGATGAGGAACGTAAATCATGGCCTCAAACCATCTGGGATAAATACCATTTGGGTCTCCCCATTGTAAATATTTTGCTTTAAACACTGTTGTATATTTGACTCACTGGTTCTCATTAGGATGTACCCGATCTCGAAAAACCAACTACACCACTCGAAGCAGCACGCAATGGCTTCGAATTTTATCGTCGTCTCCAAACTGAAGATGGACATTGGGGTGGAGAATACGGTGGACCAATGTAAAGTTTCACGAATAAAAGAAGGTTTACAAAATTATTAACAGAAATTTAGGTTTTTGATTCCCGGTCTGATTATCACATACTACATTACTGGCGAACCTGTCCCTGAAGCTATGCGATTAGAATTGATCCGTTACTTAATAACAAGAGCTCACGCCGAAGATGGCGGCTGGGGCATTCATATTGAAGGAGTGTCTACGGTTTTTGGTACTGCCTTGAATTATGTAACACTCCGTATCTTGGGTTTGAGTCCTGATCATCCTGTTCTGGTCAAAGCCCGTGGTACACTTCACAAGCTTGGCGGTGCCAGTGCAATTCCTGCTTGGGGTAAGTTCTGGTTGGCTGCCTTGGGTGTTTATGAATGGAAAGGTGTAAATCCTATCCCTCCAGAGTTATGGGCTTTACCCAATTCCCTCCCTATCTGCCCAGGTAACTGGTGGGTTCATACCCGTATGGTGTACCTTCCCATGGGCTACATTTATGCTCGTCGTTTAAGCGCTCCTTTAACCACGTTTACCCAATCTTTGCGTGAAGAATTGTACGTTGAGCCTTATGATTCCATCAACTGGGATAAACAAAGAAATAACGTTGCTGAAGTCGATCTGTATACCCCACATTCTAAAATTATGGATGTTCTTAATTGTAAGTCACCTGCAATTACAAAAGCTTTAATTTCCCTTTAATGCTAACTTTACCGCTCCATAGATGGTCTGACTTATTATGAAGCACTTGCGCCTAAGTTTCCTTGGCTTCGTGACTATGCGCTCAAATTAACTGTAGAACAAATCAAAATGGAAGACGAGTGTACTTTCTATCTTGATATCGGACCTGTCAACAAAGCTATGAACTGGCTTGTAGTTTTCTATCATTATGGAAGAGATTCACATGAGTTCCGTGAGCATGTGAAACGTAATGATGATTTTATGTGGATGGGACCCGAAGGTATGATGATGAACGGTACCAATGGTAGTCAACTCTGGGATGCTACATTTATCGCACAGGCATGTGCTGAAGCTAAACTTGCTGATAATGTCAATTACCGTGAGAACATGATTAAGACTTTAGAGTTTATTGATGTCAGTCAGATCCGTCGTAACCCACCCTTCATGAAGGAAAGCTATCGTCAAACTTCTTTAGGCGCTTGGCCATTTAGTACCAGAGATCAAGGCTATACAGTTTCTGATTGTACAGCTGAAGGTATTAAGGCAACCAATGCTCTTCAAAAAGTGCCTGGTTTACCCACTCTGATTGATAACAGTCGTCTTCGTGATGCAGTCGATGTACTTTTAACCATGCAAAATTCCGATAATGGTTTCGCCTCCTATGAAACAATTCGTGGTCCTCGCTTTTTGGAATTATTGAACCCTGCCGAAGTATTTGCTAACATTATGATTGAATACAGTTATCCAGAATGTACTACGGCTGTTCTTATGGGTCTTCGTAGTTTTGTCAAGATTGATCCTGAATATCGTCGTGATGAAATTGATGAGGCATGTAGCCGTTGTTTACAGTATATTAAAAAAGTACAGCATGAAGATGGTTCATGGTATGGTGCTTGGGCGATTTGTTACACTTATGCAGCCATGTTTGCACTTCAAAGTTTAGCCAGTGTCGGTGAATACTATGATACCTCAGATCATTCCAAACGTGGCTGTGATTTTTTGATTTCCCACCAAGAAAGTGACGGTGGCTGGGGTGAGACCTATAAATCATGCGAGCTGCATGTCTATTCCCACAACGAGACTTCTCAAGTAGTGAATACAGCATTTTCTGTGATGGCTTTGTTGGATGCCAAATATCCCGATAAGGAGCCTATTCGTCGTGGTATTGAGTTCATCATGAAGAGACAACAGGCAAATGGCGAATGGTTGCAAGAGAGTATTGAAGGTGTATTCAACAAGAATTGCATGATTTCTTATCCCAATTACAAGTTTGCTTTTAGTATCTGGGCGCTTGGTAAATATGCCAACGTCTACGGTGATAGCATTTCTGAGAAATCGTCATGAAAAAAAATAAAGAAATAAAATCTGGCTTGACAAATAATTTGCGCTCAACGCTTTATTTATTGTATTAATTGAGAGTTTCTTTATTTTTATTTTGGATTCGTGATTTTTATTAGTAAAGAAGGCCAATCTAAACCCTAAACGAAGCGAAAAATAAATGATTAGTATTTTAAAATACACAAGACAGATATAATCACTTACTTCTTGACAATTTGGACAACATCTTCGTCCATGAGGACATGCTCCTTACCGACCTTTTGAGGGTTATGCTTGACGGAAGCACCCCAAACATATGCACATTTGAATTGATCCATAATAGATTTATGGATACTGTTACAGAAATCTTCGACGGTGTTCTTTTGTTGTGTCATGACAACGGGTTGTTCATAATCTGGTAATTGACCCTTGGGTTTAGTGTAAATTCTGACCAAGTTCAACTTTTCCCACATAACTTCTAACAATTCATCGAAATTCCATTCATGATTTGAAGAGATAGGAACGGCGTTAGGAATCTTGTAAATAAGATCCAACTCTTGGATGGAAATTTGATCGATTTTGTTAAGAACATAAACACATGGGATATAGATACTAAAAGAAAAGACATATGAGTATACGCCTATTTCCTACAATGTAAATTGAAATTGAATTTACCGGTTGCCTTCAACAACATCAATAAGATCATCAATAGTAGCATCCTCCTTGAAAGAGATATCAGCATTATGAATACGGTATTCATGTAAAACAGCCTTGACTTCATCAGCTGTAATGTTGTTAAGAGGGACAGTGTTGGAAATACTGATACCACCCTTCTCCTTCTTCTTGAAAATAATAGCAGGAGGCTTCTTGTTCAATCTAATACCGAAACCTTCCAATTCCTTCTCGATCAATTTTTTATCAGTCATGGGCTTGAGAACATCAAGCACAATGAAAATAAGTGAACAAGTACGTGCAACTATTTACGTATGTGTCAACAATTTATGCAATTCCCATTAAATACAAAAACAAACTTACCAGCAATAACTTGACGACCTCTACCCTTACCATCCTTGGCACCTTCAATGATACCGGGAAGATCGAGAATCTGACATTACGGCGTTAATATCCCCTTCTTTCTTGTAAATCAAAACATTTATTTGAAAATACCTGGAGCTTAGCACCCTTATACTGGACAATACCAGGAACAGTTGTAAGAGTTGTGAACTCATAAGCACCGACTTCGGAAGCGGTACCGGTAAGCTTAGACATGAGTGTGGACTTACCGACGGAAGGAAAACCTAAACAAACAAAATTAGACTAAATCCATCAACAAATTAAATCACAACACATACCGACAAAACCAATACGGGCAACACCAGTCTTAGCAACATCGAAACCAACTATGTAAGGGTCGTATTTAGTCTTTTTGACAACTGTCACTTTTTATTACTGCTTTTATTTTTAACTTACCACCTGGTCCACCTCCACCACCACTGGTGGGAGTAAGCAAATCACGCTTCAACTTTGCAAGCTTTGCTTTCAATTGACCCAAATGGAAAGAAGTGGCCTTGTTCTTTTGGGTTTTGGCCATCTCATTCTACAATAGAAATATTATTAGCCACTCCATAAGAGACTTTTTTTTTTTATTATTCTCTTTTAGTTTTGTTTCATACTTCGACTTCCTAATAAATTGACGTGAAAAAAATAATTATGTTAATACTGACAAACAGAAAAACTATGCAATTAAGCGCGAACTGATTACCTTGATTTTATCGACTAAACTCATCTTTGGTTATATTTCTTTTCTGTTAAGAGTAGGGAATAAAAAAAAACTTTTAGCGAAAAAAAAAAATCTTTAGTTTGAAAAAAACGATTCTTAATGTGACTTCTATTTATTTTACTTCTCAAACCCTTCTTAACTCCTCTGACATGTATACGTCTACTACACATGAATAGCTAATGCAAGTTGTAAATAAATATGTGTATTTTCAAAATTACATTCACTGTTATTATGGATTCATATTTACGCGAGTAATATGAGAGCTACTTTTAATTTTTGCAAACTTTATTGTATGTACCTGATAATTTATTAAAATTAAATTTGAGTGAGTTTTATATTCTTTTTAAATTACTAAAAACCTGTTCTCCACAGGTCTACTGGTGAATTGTCTACACCCATGAGGATATAATGTTTGTTTTGTAACTCTTTCTAAGGTCACAAAGTTTCTCGATTTACCCAAATTTGTATACGGCCTCATATTTAAGATGGCGATCTAAGTAAAACTGTTTTTGTTGGCTTTGATGCCAGCAAAATATGCTAAAGGTCTACCAGCTCTGGGGCAAATGGGTTACTATGTCTGTTCCCAATATTCTTTGTGACGCTGGTGTATCAAAGTCAAACAATTGTAGTAAAAGAAACTTTAGAATGTGTGTGGCTGAAAAGATATTGATTTAGACCTTAAATCGTTGTAAACCTGCATCTTCGAGTTGTTGTGCGCAAGTAAACTTGCTCCCAAGTTGATGTCCTTTCAAGTGGATGAAACAATCCGGCTCAGAAAGCAGTCAGTCTCAAGTTGAAGTTCCGTTATAAAATGACGTCGCTGTTAGGTCTCAAGCCAATTGGGCATGGTTTGATATTAATTTGCATATTAAGGTGGTACCAAACCAAACGATAAAATCTAGTGATACCTAAAGGTCCCCAACTTTTTATCAGGAAAAGGGTGCACGGACAGACATCAAAAAGGCGGACGATGGGGTGGTTTTTTATATAGTAATAATTATTTAACAAATGAATTTATTTTTTTAAAATGATACATGCAATTCAATTTTTTTTTTGTGAGATATGAAAACAATTTAGTTCTTGCTGGAAAGAGCAGTGACACCAGGAAGTTCCTTACCCTCGAGAAGTTCGAGAGAGGCACCACCACCGGTGGAGATGTGAGAGACCTTTTCACCGGCACCCCACTTGAGGGCAGCAGTGGCGGTATCACCACCACCAATGATGGTGGTAGCACCATTGTTAGTGGCCTCAACAACGGCGTTAAGGGTTTGCTTGGTACCGTTGGCAAAGGCATCAAACTCAAAGACACCGGAAGGACCGTTCCAGACAATAGTCTTAGCCTTTAAGATTTCGTCACGGAAAAGCTTGATAGATTCCTCACCACAATCAAGACCCATCCATTCATCAGGGATACCAGTGGCATCAGTGGCATAACCAGTCTTGGCATCAGGAGCGAACTTATCGGCAGTGACGAAATCAACAGGGAAAACAATCTTGACGTTCTTGGCCTCAGCCTTCTTCATAAGATCAGCAACCAACTTGGAACCATCTTCATCAAAGAGAGAAGTACCAATCTATTAAAAAAAGTTAGCTTATCGGTAATTTAATGCAACTGCCTGGGTCTTGGATTGGGCATAAAGTTTAAACACGCGTTCTTTTTTTTTTTTTTTTTTTTTTTTTTGTGAAAACTCCCATGATACAACCCTTTTCCCCCGAGGCCCATTTGATGGGTAATTTACCTTGACGTTATCAAGAGTCTTCTTGAAAGTGAAAGCCATACCACCACAAACAATCAAAGAGTTGACCTTGTCAAGCATGTTTTCGATCAACATGATCTTATCGGAGACCTTGGCACCACCGAGAATGGCAAGGAAAGGACGGGCAGGGTTCTCGAGAGCCTTGGCAAAGTATTCAAGTTCCTTTTGCATAAGCAAACCAGCGGCACGTTGAGGAACATCAACACCGACCATGGAAGAGTGAGCACGATGAGCGGTACCGAAGGCATCGTTCACGTAAACATCAGCAAGAGAGGTTAAAGAAGCACGGAACTTCTTGACGGCCTCAGGATCAGCCTTAACCTTCTTACCATCAATCTTTTGAGAACCCTCTTCCTCAGCATGGAAACGGAGATTCTCCAAAAGGATAACCTTACCACCAGTGGCACTTTGGCAAGCCTTCTCGACATCAGGTCCAACACAATCGTGGAGGAACTCAACGGGCTTGTTTAAAAGCTTTTCAACTTCAGCAGCAACAGGCTTAAGAGAGTACTTTTGAACAGCTTCACCGTTGGGACGACCGAGATGGGACATCAAAATAACAGCATCAGCACCTTGGTCAAGAGCAAACTTGACGGTAGGGAGAGCTTGAACAATACGGTTGTTGTTGGTGATCTCACCTTCCTTGTTAAGAGGGACGTTGAAATCAACACTGTAAAATTAATAGGGATGAGTATTAAAAACTTTCAATTTCTTTTCTTTTTGTTAGTGTTTTACCGAATAAGGACACGCTTGTTCTTAAGATCAAGATCGCGGATGGAAAGTTTGTTGGATAAAGACATGATTAAATATAGATTCTAAAAATGAAGAAGAAGAAAAAGCAAAATCACGTTGAGAGGGATTTTTTTATCTTTTATAGTTTTTTTTTTATTTCCAAACATGACTCGTAAAATTTTAGCTTTCCATAAGCGAAATCCGATCTCCTCTAATAATCTGAATCCATCCATTGGACGATGACTTTTGATGAACTCGGATTCACACGTTTTTTCTCGAAAAAAAACGCGTAAAAATTAGCAACTTCATGTGCTTTCAACAAGAATATTTTCTACACCCTACTTTGTACTCTTTCCTTTATTCTTTATATTTTTAAGACTTTTTCATTCAAAAATATTAATAGTAAAAAATATCACACACCCATGTATAAAATTAAGCTAAAATTATAAGGTGATCTTACCCCCAAGATGATTGTAGTTTTTAAACTATCACTGATAACATCTATGGTAATTTTCTAAAAAAAAAGGATTTTATTTGTAGCTGGTTTTAAAATGCGTCATGTATATATTAGCGGGCAATCAAACAATCGAATGATGATGGCTTTGATACTGGCAGTTTAAAGTTTTCATGCATTTTTCTTCTGCAGAACCGTGTTTCTTACACTGCAGTAAATGGTTTCAAACAAATGTAAAACTAAAAAAATAATTGAACCGGTTCCAGTATCATCTCGTTTACATGATTATTACATAAGCTGTACACACAACTGACTCAAATTTAGATCTGATATCGCTGACGGTTAACAACGTCATGCAACAAACATACCACATGCAATATTGATAAGATCTAGGGGTCTGACATACCCCGACTCAAAGCTTTTAAAATTAAAACTCTTAGCCATGTTCTCCTACTGCTCTATCTATGGGACTATATTTAGCTACCTCAAGGTAGATATTACGTCTCCACAAAATAGAAGAAGTCACTATATGAATTAACCATAGCAATTAATTTCAGCTTAGCCCACTCAAACAGGAACTATTAAAATATGAAACTTAAATTTTGCATGAAATGAGCCTTGTTGAGCAAATACACCTATGGCGTTTTACATACTTTTATTAAAATTCACAAATTAAACAAATCATTTAGCGATTTTGGGGAATCTGCTGTTTGCTTTTTGTCCTCTACAGCCTCCCATACTTCCATTTCGTTAAGCATGGCATCAGCCAAGTCATTTCCTCCCTGGGCTGCCTTTTCAAGCCAATAGATACCCTCGTCTTTGCTTTTGTCTATCCCCAATCCATTCAGGTGCATTATTCCTACTCGCATTTGTGCTTTTGGGTTTCCTATTCTTGCTAATACAAAATAGTTCTTGTATGCTTGCAAGTAGTTTTGGCTTACACCGTGTCCCTCATCATACATACGGCCTATTCGATAATGTGCTTCTGATCTGCGATCGTCGTTTACTAGCCGCCTATAGATACTGATAGCCTTTTTATAATTTTGTGCAGTCCCCCTGCCTTTCTCATACCATGTGGCTACTTTATATAGGGAAATTTCATCATCAAATTCAGAAGCTTTGGAATAAAGTTCAAAAGCTTTAGGATAATCTTTGGGAACATAATCACCATTTTCGTACAGAACACCCAAATTATACATTGCCAGCACGTGATTGCCCGTATCTGCCGCAGTTGTATAGTACTCAAACGCACATTGATAATCCCGAAGTACGCCCAAACCATCATTGTAAAGAATCCCAAGACGAAATTGAGACTCTATATCGCCGAATTCAGCCGCTCTTTTATACCATTCAAAAGCCTTACAATAATCTTGCTCGACACCTTGACCAAAGTAATATAATCTTGCGATTTTTTCTACAGCTTTCAAATGGCCATATTTAGAAGCCTGTAGAAAACACTTGTAAGCTTCTTTATAGTTTTTTCTGGCGTGTGTACCGAGATAGTAGACCATGCCAATATTGTATTCAGAATCTGCCCTTGTTTCTTCAAGCAATGTTCCTGGTAGATAGGCACACAGGGGATTATTAACACCTTCAGCGTCAAACATTTTTTCATGCTCTCTTTCGTATTCCTCCGCCTCTAAACGAAACCATTCATGCCCTGTTCTTCCTAATAGGAATAAAAAGTGTTAAAGATCGACTATTGACAAGACATTGTTTGATCGCTACATACTTTTAGCATATTCTTCAAATTTCATGTGGGATAAATGTTAAGAAGAGAGAAGAATATGAAAGAATAAAGCTCTATATTATTTAAGTTTTTAATCAATTAATGTGTGACGGGCACACGTGAGTACATAATTAATGTTGCTGTAACCCCTTATAATAAGCTCAGGATTAGAATGAGGCCCATCCAAGTTTAAGTTTAAAGCCGACAATCGCTTGTTTTCCTCTTTCTAAGTTTAGCTTTATTGTGTTCAAGAGGCTGGCTATTTCTTTGGTGTAAATCATCCATGGCACTTAAAAATACGCGCTCATGTATGCTAGGTCGATATTCGTTTTTTGTAGTCATTTAAGTTACAGGTTAATGCAAAAAAAAGAAAGGAAGAAAAAACATTAATGTCAGGTGATGAAAACAAAGTTTAGCAAACAAATGCATTTATGGAGTTGGTTGTTGAAACACTTTGAGGATTCATTTTTAGAATACAACTTATGGTCGCATTTGTTATGAATAGATACTGAATTATCAAAGAAAATAAAATCAAGTTGGAGTTTACAAGAAATAATAGTAAGCGCGAAAGGGAATAAAGATGACTGACATCTCACAAAAATCAGGTCCTCAGGCCTTACATCTATTATTCTCAAAGAGCATAAAACAATTGAATTAAGAAGGATAAAGATTTAGATTGACTACACTTACTATTAGATATTACTACTGCAGAAAAAGAAAGTGCTGTCACTAATCAAAGTGAAATGTATACCATCAACTCTAGACAGTATCTAATTCACAGTGTATACTCACCGGTTCAATAAAAGAAAGTCTGCAGTAAACACCACACTATGAAGGAGTAACCGAAATCATTTTATTTCACTAGATTGTGATTTTACCTTGGATTTTAGCCTATTCTTCAGTGGTAGGTGTTGCATATAAAAACTGGGAGTGACGAGGTTTCAAGGACCGCTGTCAAGAGGTGAATCTTATCTGTAATACAAATGAGCTTATTGCTATAATCAATACACCCGAAAGAATGTAGTACTTTGACGCTGTAGCTTTTTTTATTTATTTTTTATTGCTCATATTATTCTCATTATAGGGATGGATATGGTCGGCCATGGCAAAAAGATTCAAAAAAAGAAAGTGACATTAAAATTTGACAGGTAAATCTCCGTGCCCCTCAGAATAAAAAGAGATACGTCACGATTTTGTAGGTGGATTTTGAGCGGTGCGAAAATGAGGGTGTGCGCGTAAAAAACAAAAAAATATTTTATAACCCAGAAAAAAAGCCCCAGGGGGGGGCGTGTATATAATTTCTACAAACTTTTTTATTTCTTTTTTAACCCTTCTCTCTTTTTTTTTTTACAAAGAAAAAAATGATCTTCACTCGTGTTTTAGGAAAGTCTTCTATTAATGCCATTCGTGTGCAAAAGGCTAATGCTCGTACCCTCGGTCGTGCCGTTACCCAATCCGTAACTGGTATGTATTTTATAAGAAAAGAAAAAGAAAATATGTTATACTCATGTCAATTTTATTTTAGCTCGTACCTACGCTACTGCTGCCAGTGCTGGTCAAATTCGGTAAAGAAAAAAAGATACTTATAAACGATTATTCAGTTCAACTTATTCAACTCTATGATAATAGTTCCGTTATTGGTGCCGTTGTCGATGTCCAATTCGAACAAGATAACTTGCCTGCTATTTTGAACGCCCTTGAAGTTCAAGATCACTCTGGTGGACGTCTTGTTCTCGAAGTTTCTCAACATTTAGGTGAGAACACTGTCCGTACTATTGCTATGGATGGTACTGAAGGTAAAGTTTTAAATGGCATTATGTAATATATAAAAAAAGTGGGGTAAAAAAGATATTAATAATCTTAATAGGTCTTGTCCGTGGTCAAAAGGTCATTGATACTGGTGCCCCCATCACTATTCCCGTTGGTAAGGAAGTCCTCGGTCGTATCATTAACGTCATTGGTGAACCCATTGATGAACGTGGACCTATTGCTGCCAAGACTCACCGTCCCATTCACGCTGAAGCTCCCGAATTCGTTGATCAATCTCCCACTCCCGAGATTCTCGAGACTGGTATCAAGGTTGTTGATTTGTTGGCTCCTTATGCTCGTGGTGGTAAGATTGGTCTTTTCGGTGGTGCTGGTGTTGGTAAGACTGTCTTGATTCAAGAGTTGATTAACAACATTGCTAAGGCTCATGGTGGTTACTCCATTTTCTGTGGTGTCGGTGAACGTACTCGTGAAGGTAACGATCTTTACCATGAAATGATTGAAACCGGTGTCATCCAACTCGAAGGTGAGTCCAAGTGTGCTCTCGTCTTTGGTCAAATGAACGAACCCCCAGGAGCTCGTGCTCGTGTTGCCTTGACTGGTTTGACCATTGCTGAATACTTCCGTGATGATGAGGGTCAAGATGTCTTGCTTTTCATTGATAACATTTTCAGATTCACCCAAGCTGGTTCTGAGGTCTCTGCCCTTTTGGGTCGTATTCCCTCTGCTGTCGGTTACCAACCCACTCTTTCCACCGATATGGGTGGTATGCAAGAACGTATTACTACTACCAAGAACGGTTCCATTACCTCCGTCCAAGCTGTCTATGTCCCTGCTGATGATTTGACCGATCCTGCTCCTGCTACCACCTTCGCACATTTGGATGCTACCACTGTCTTGTCTCGTTCCATTGCTGAGTTGGGTATTTACCCCGCTGTCGATCCTCTTGATTCCAAGTCTCGTATCCTCGATCCCCGTATTGTCGGTGATGAGCATTACAAGGTTGCCACTCAAGTTCAACAAATCCTCCAAAACTATAAGTCTCTCCAAGATATTATTGCCATTTTGGGTATGGATGAATTGTCCGAAGAAGATAAGCTCGTTGTCGAACGTGCCCGTAAGATCCAACGTTTCTTGTCTCAACCTTTCGCTGTTGCCCAAGTCTTCACTGGTTATGAAGGTCGTCTCGTCCCTCTTGCTGATACCATCCGCTCTTTCCAAGAAATCTTGGGTGGTAAGCACGATAACTTGCCCGAATCTGCTTTCTACATGCAAGGTGATATCAACGATGTCCAAAAGCGTGCTGAAGAGCTCGCCAAGGAAATCGGTTCTCAGTAAATTATTGTAAACTAAAAAACTGAAAAAATCTTTTTTTTCCTCTACCTCCTTTTTCTCCATTTTTGTATTTTCCATTAGTGTTATTCATCTCCTATACTTTTGCTTTTTTTTTCTCTTGATAAAAAAGTGAATAATAAAATAAAAACAAGTTTTAAAAATAACACTCAAACACTTTCCTGACCCATAACATGTTATGTAACCATGGTTACGACTTGTCAGATTAACAGCATCTGATAACAATATTATTCCCTGCTTTTATGGGAATGTATCCATGGTTTATATGCGTGGTACCTACATAGTCAATAAACAGATGAAGTAATATTGTGACACAAACCTAATATATCTTTAAAGATACATTGGTTCCTGAATTGAAATGCACAGTGTAGTAAAGCAATACGTAGAACAGCGGCTGTTCATTTCAATAGTAAATAGATATACAAAACCCAATATAACATACATGGCTATTATAAGTAGAATAAATGATGTATATAGTACATGCTTTCGCCCATTTAAAGATGGTTAATGATATTATGTATGACGAATGGGTGAGAAATTACACCGTCAACAAGCTACCGATTGATGATGCCTTTCAATTTAAGATACACGTCTTTTTTTTTCCCATCAGTTGTGTGACACTTCTAAAAGTATCGCCAATAGACAATCAACTGGCGTAATAGCATTATTAAAATCTCCGGTAGAAACTACCCGGGGGGACAAAAAGTCACACACTTTTATAAGTTCTCAAGGTTTTTTTTTTCTTCTTTCTTATTCCCCCCTTTTTTTCATATACACATATAAAAATGTCCAAGGTAAACATTTTATAAAAGAAACACGCGTATAATTGTCTAATAATCCTTTTTCTTACAAAGCCTGTTTCCCAAGAAAAATTCGTGCCCTCTGAAATCTCTTTTGGTGGTGGAGCACTTTCTGGTTTCTATGACAGTTTTGAATTCAGTGACATTGTCGATGCTTTTACCGAAGCTCTCGATTCAGGCATCAACTCTTTTGATACTTCACCTTATTACGGTAACAGCGAAATTCTTATGGGTGATGCTTTCAAGCAAATTCGTGAGAAATATCCCAGAGAAAACTACTATATCGCTACTAAGATGGGCCGTTACGGTAAGACCGTCCATGAAATGGATTACAGTGCCAAGAAGACCTATGAAAGTGTTGCCGAGAGTCTAAAGAGATTACACACTGATTATCTCGACGTTGTTTATGCTCATGATGTTGAGTTCGTAAAGTTTGAAGAGGTTGTTGGTAAAGGACAAGCCTTGGAAGCATTATTTGATTTAAAGGCCCAAGGAAAGATCAAGTATGTTGGTTGCTCAGGTAAGCGAGAAAACGAAAAAAAGTCGCACGCTCGTTTTAGAACTGAAAGTCTAATATATTTCCTTTTCTTTTTATAGCCTATCCACTTGAAGTTTTGTTAAAGGTCGCTGAACATCAATTTGCCAAGGGACAACCTCTTGATATTATTCTTTCTTATGCTCATTACACACTTCAAAACACATCTCTCGCAGATTATGCTCCCAAGTTTAGAGCTGCTGGTGTCAAGTACATCATGAGTGCTTCTCCCCTTTGTATGGCTCTTTTACGTGATGAAGCTACCCCCGATTGGCATCCTGCTCATAGTGGTATTCGTGAGGCTGCTGACAAAGCTGTATCAGTTACATCTAAAAACAACCTTAGCATGGCTAACATGGCCAACCGCTTCTCATTCCAAGGTAAAGACACCTTTGGTTTAGACTCCACCGTTCTTGGTCTTGCTAGAAAGTCTGAAGTTCAAGATGCTGTCCGCACCTTGAAGGATGTGAAAGAACGTGAAAACTCTGAGCTCGAAAATAAGGTGTTTGAAGAAATCCACAAGATCTTCGAACCTGTCAAGAACTTTTCATGGCAAAGTCCTACCGAGGTAGAGTTAGCTTTACCTAAAACCTTGTAAAAAAAAGAATTTGTTTTTATTTAAATAAAGCTAAATCAAGCACCATAACCCTTAATTTGTTCAGCGAAACCCCATTCAGTATCCAAAGCATAAGGTTCAGTGACTTCGATTCCACTTTCGGTAATCTTTGCTCTTTGGAACTTATTCATAGATCTAGCATCTCTGTAAAACAAAACACGCAAACATTCGTTCATAATTTCGATAGCCTCCTCTTCAGTTAACTCATCTTCTCTGCCTTCGACTCTTCTTCTCAAAATAGGTTGTGCTAAATGTGCACCGAATCCAGTAGCAATTGTGGTAGATTGATAAGTGGTACCTCTTAAATCGACATAACCAAGGAATCTATTATTTGTTTCGATTCACAATCAAAATCAGCACAACAACAAGGCATATTGGCTACTCGATAAAAACTTACTTTTCTCCCTTTTCAATACCACCAACAACTAAAGAATTCCAAAGAGGATTGAACTTGGATCTTCTGTTGTACATGACTCTCCACAAATATTCGTAGATATGGGGGGTACCTAAAACGTGTCCGTCATCAGCACAATGCTCCTTTACCCTGTTAAAAACATATGAGTGTGATGTTTACATACAGTCATTTTTTTTTTTTTTTTGATATTTTACATGAGTGAATCCAAAAGATGTTGAATGTATTGATAATCTGAAATATCACCAGATGCACCAACAACAGTGTGATTACCAACGGGAGTTAATCTCTTGATGTCACGGAAACGAGCCAAGGATCCATATGAACCTATTCATTGCTTGTTAGTGACTTTGTTACTTTCATTGTAAGAATATACGTACCAAGCATATCTGCTGCCATCATGATACCGTCTCTGTACTTGAAAGCAAGAATAGAGGTACCTGTAACCAAAGGGGTTCTAAATACAAGCAAGTTAATGCATGCTTAACAATCGTCAAAAGATAATAAAGGGCAAAACTTACTGAGTTCTTGCCATTGGTCCATAAGCAGACTCTGTCAAGTTTTGTGGAAGTGTTTGATAAAGAGGAACAGTGTTGTGTTCATCAGTATTTTCGGCGCGAGGCTTTCCCCAATGAGAAGGATTATGTTGCATATTAGTCCTTAGATTTTTATTAGAGCAAAAAAAAAGATGATACGCAGAGTTTCCCCAATTTAAAACAACAAAAGATACGCGTTCGATGACGTTTTGCTTGTGACTGTTTGACGAACCTTCATAAAAAGCAAAATTGCGATTTTGAAAGCCAGTCTCTTTGTTTTCACTACATATATTTGCTCTGCTGGCTCGACAAACCTTTCGCATTGACGCCTAATTGTTCATTAAATTGAAATGCTTGTTACCCGCATCTTTGAAAGCGGATTTCTATTTTTATTCAGGAACACCAATGAAATATATTAATTATTATCATGCAAAAAAAACATTCTCTCTGAGACCAAATTAGGATAAACTAAATGTAGTAACCATATACTCCTCCATTTCTTTTATTCAGGTGTGGGTAAAAAAAAAAAAAAAAAAAAAAAAAGTTAGAACCGGATACGATTCTCGTTATCTGAAAAGCTAGTGATGCTATGGTGAGAATCGAGCTCGTTGTCGGATTCATTTGCTGAAGATTGGTTCCATCCACGTTCACTGACAGCATCCCAACTCTCCTCCGAGTCCGAAATACGATTCGTATGAGAAACTACTGAGTTAGCAGTAGATGTGGTAGGTGTAAGACTTGCTGCGGGATAATAAAGCTCAGTGCTGTTATGTAATGGTCTATCATTCTCACGATGAATTGTCTCTGTACTATCACTGGTGTTTTCTGCACTTTCCTGGTGGGGTCGGCTGAATAACGCCATATGATCTTTAAGACTTTGATCATCTTCATTATCACTACTACTATTGCTACTGATAAATCTAGACGAATGTTGGGTGACATCATCATCAAAGCCTCTCATGAGTGCTTGCTTACGATTTCGAAGGTTTTCTTCCTCTTGGTCAAGAAATGCTTGTTCGGCCATTAATTTTCTTTTTCTTTCAGAAATGGACGTTTCTAAATCTGTCAACTCGTATTGCGATTGTTCAGTGGAAGAAGTCTATAGGATACATTAACATCAAATATATGTGTGTGTAAATAAAGAGAGAGATAAATAGTTTACCCCGTTTTGACTACGTTTCTTAAAGGGTCTTCTTCTTCTTAACGTGTCTTCATCATCACTATCATCAAATTCTTTGTTCCTTCTTTCAAAGTGATTATATTGCTGTCGCTCTTGTTCATAGCGAGTACGATGTCTCTGGTACTGTTCGTACATTTTTGCTTCTTGGTAATCCTCATATATTTTATAACTTATTGCAGCTACACCAGCAAAAGCAATGATTGCATAGACAGCTGGGTGCACCATTTTTTCCGTTATCAACAAGAGAGGAAAAAGAAAATAAAAAGGGGGTGAGAGAGAACAACAACAACAACAACAACAAAAAGGAAATGAACTGCCCCCTCCTTAAATTTATGATGCAGATGCTGATCATATGAGGAGCACCAATCTCAACCAAGCAAATTCATTTGACTGCAATTTTTTTTTTTTTTTTTTTTTTGCATGATAGGTTTTTTTTTAGGCTTACCCTTTTCTTTTAAATAGCCTATTGGCTATTGGTTTTAATTTGCACCCCGATTATAATCATTCCGTTAGCTTCATAGACAAACATCAAATAAATGGTGTTGCCAATATTATTGCCCATAATATATAGGTGATGTAATAATTACAGCATATAAAGGATTTTTTAAAAGAGCTTTCCGATGTATGGATGATTTTTTGGGAACCAAACCCAGTTTGGATGATGATACAGGTTATATATTTTACCAAAAGACTCATCTTCTTTTGATTCAATTGCCTTAAATTAACAGAAACTAACTTCATTTTTTCGTGGCCACAGATGCATATATGTAGTACTTGTTATCACCACTCACATTTTAAAGTTTACACAAGCACTTCATCCATTTAGTCATACAAAAGGTTTAATGGGGAACAAGCTTAACGACTCAAGCTTTTATACTGTTTTTACTCATTTAAAGTTGGCACAGTCACTGTACCATAGAATAGTGAAAGGTTTCCTAAAGAAATACATCCTTATTTATAGAAAATACCATATTAAAATAATGGTAAGTGCTTTCAATGCTCAATGTTACGTTCTAGCGGTCTTTGTTAGGTCATAATTTAGTTTAAAATCTTTAACTATTATCTATGATACTTCCGAGCAGGAAATTTATATCGACACTTTGGCAGAAATATTTCTGTCCTACCTCATGAATAAAGAGTTCATATTTAGCTAGTAAGTGGTTAGCATGTTAATTGGAATACGTTTGAAATATACTGACGTTATTAATACTATGCATAAGGTGCGAAGCAAGCATGATTTATCAAGCCAACAGCCAAGTCATTCCAGGTGTCTGGAATAATAGTACCGAAAGATTGCTTACAGATGGTGTTGAACGCAAGGATGGGTTCGAAATAGTAATCATGGAATAATCTGGGCTCTCTCCACTCCATGAAAGATACCTGGAAGCTCATAACCATGACCTTCCATGAACTTTGCAAAGCCTTTTGATCAGCACGACTACTTTTTGAAAAGTCTAGCAAAAACATATTGGATATGGCGATATTGCACTTGTCTTGTACGTTTTCTATATCTGTGATTAATAACTTTGGTAAATTAGGAATATGATTTATTGATATTGAAGAACCCATCAATTCAGTGTCGCTTGCATCCGACTAGTCCTATATATCGTTAACAATGAATAAACTCTGTTTTTTTTTACATAAATCGGTTTGTAACTTTACCATGTTTGTCGATTGGCTTGGTCCCTCTAAAGACAATATATACACCTACATCGTTTCTAATTTTATACGTCTCTTGTAAAGTCACATATACAGAGAAAATATATGACTTACAACAATTTTGGGAGAGACCAGCAGGCCAGTCTGATTACTACCATTTGCTGTGTAACCCTTGCTAACTATAGTCCACCCATCAACTGAGTATCTAAATTCCCAAGAAATCAACCTAGGAGGTCATTATCCTATAGCAAAGACTAGCCGTAACCGTAATATCGCAAGAATGGTAATGCATCTTTTAATTTTTTTATAAAAAAAGAACTAATAATTTAGTGTTTCATGAAAAACAAAAGTAATTATATACTAACCTTTCAAATTTCATGTAAACAAAAGAGAAGTATGTTAAAGTTAAAGAAAAAGGAAAAAAGAGTGTGTAAACGAGTCTTATAGGATGATTTAATTAAAAGAGTGTGTAAAATTGATGAACAAGACAGCTTTTATGAGTCAGGATGATTTAATTGTTTATTTAATCATCCACAATGTTTGGGCTTTTACTTAATAGAAACATTCACAAATACCCTAAGCACTTCGAAATTTGGCAGTGGTTTATCAGTGTTTCAGTAGTAGCATGTACTGATAATGAAGCATCTTTTATAAAAATCAAAAATCGATCATCTTAAAAAGTTAAGATGATATGGCATGCTGATTGACGTAAACATTTTTCTTAGACTTATGGTTAAGGTAGACCGATTTATTTCGTTGTCAGGGGATATTTGTAAAATGCCTCCAAACCCTGGCTGTTGCTTGCACACTTTTCAAGTTGTTAATCTTATGTAAATACATTACTTAACTTAAACGCTTTCTATGTTTACCGTGCACATTTGAACTTTTGAATAAACAAAAAATTCTGTATAAATACATGAAAAAACAATTATAAATAACAACATATTCATGCTTTATTTTCTATGTCATATCTATCTGAATGAACCTGCATGGGAAAGCTTTCCACAAGTTAGCCACAAGTAAGCATAAAGCGATGTATTTGTCTCCATACTCATCAAAATCAAATCCAATCGAGCAGTTTTCGAGAGCGGTCAAAGGCAAAATGAAACACGATCGATTATTGGCGTAAGAAAACTTATCTGGTAGAATTGTTGATGCCTGCAATGATGTGCTCATCAGCGACCTCAATGGTTTCTGTAAACACTCAAAGCGCCAGATTATTAAATGTTACAAAAAAACATTATTCTAATATATAAATACAAATCTTAAATAAATGATTATTTTTAAAAGTCATATATCTGTGATTCACTTAAGCGCCAACTTACAAATGTTTGACTGTATCATATGTTTGTGTAATATGAACACTGCCAAACTATTAATTTTTTTGTAAGTTTTAGATCAAGTGACACTATATAATAAAAATAATAAAAGACCGTCGATACATTAATCTTATCTTAAGTTTTCAGAAGAAAAAAAAGTAGGTTGATAATTTGGAAGTAATCAGAACAGGATAGAAACTATTGGATGCAGTCAACTGAGATATAAATGTAAATATGTTACCCACTTATCGGGTTGGCTGAGTCCTTTGTTTTTCATAACAAGGAAGCCACTTCTTCTTTTAGGTTTTTATTTTTTGAGCTATCTTTTGGGTTTTCAACGTGTAAGTGGGCCAATCAGGTGGGCCAAAGAACTAATTTTGGCAAAGTTGCAGCTTACTATTTAATGATGTAAACCCGAATAGGCTTTTAAAAACACGATATTCGGCGATTGAATCTCCCGCAATAGTGTGCTCAATGTGGTGCCTGTTTTTAAAAGGCTCCAGGGCTGGATGATGTAATAGACCTTGATAGGCAATATTTAACGTAAACCATGAAGTTATTTAGAGTTGAAATGCAATGTATCAAATATATGATAACGAAAAATAAAAATAAATGGCAGTGCGGAAGATGACCGATCGATAATGAATGACTGTACCAATAACAATTACTATTTTAGATAGTTTTTATATGGAACAATCGAAATTTTTTTTTATTGAATGGTGTGTATCATTAACTTTTTGATAATGACACCAGTCACTTTTTTTTTCCATCTCTTTTATTTTTTTTTTATTCTCCCTTGTCTCTTTTTCTTTCACTTTTTATTTTACGTAAGAAGATTCACACAAATTTTGTTGATTTTGTTGATTTTTTTCCCTTACTTTTTTTTGTTCTATTTTTTCTTGATATAGTATTATACACTTCGATTATAAAACACCAAATTTCTTTAACTGGATACAATATTTATAGTTTACATATTTAATAATTGGTAGTTTAAAAGGTAAATCTTTCCACTGGGTCTCTTTATTATTCAAATATTGATTTTTATCATAGATACCTGCCATAACAACATCCAAACCCATCGCTCTCCTTTGTCATTCATTAATACCCTCCCCTCCTCTTTTTGCTAGAAGAAAAGTACGCGCTTTTTGTAAGTACAACATTCTTAAAGGAAATATATATTTTTTTTTGAACTAAAATTTTTTATTATTATTATTTTTAGGCAAACATGAAATCGCTGCCTTTTTTTCTTTGTGCGAGGAACCCTGAACAGGGTCAACATTATATGCTTGGAAGCGGCATAAGAGTATGTATATACTTTACCTTTGGAAGAAAGATTCTTTATTGATTCTTTTATCATTCTTTTTTTCATATAAATTTAGACATCCTTCTTGTCCCGCTTCTTTGCCCGAAAGAAAGGGAAACCGTTCTTGATCGTTTCTTGATACCCCCCCCCCTTCTTTGCTCTTTCCCTCCTTTGCCTGCCCTTCGTTTCTTGCTTTCGGGTGGTTTTTCCATCTGTTTGGATGTGTACGGTTGTGTGTGGAGAACCACGTCCTGTAATCGTCCTCGCTTGAGGCTTGGATAAAAACTTCCCCTTGTTTGGGAACGCACTTTGTTTTGTTGGTGCTCTTTGTGCCGTTTTGTGTCGGTGCCTTTTCGTTTGTGTCTGCGCGTGCGTGTGTGTCTGCGTGTGCGTGTGTGTGTGTGTGCCTGGTCCGACGACGTCGCTCATTGATGGTCGCGGGAGGAGTTTCCCTGTCGCTCAGGTGGTGGAATGGAGGTACCACTTCATTTGCTCGTTGTGTGGTGCCTCCCACTCTTTTAGACCCTTTTCTTTCTTTCTTTCTTTTCTCGGCCGTCGGGGGAGGTTAAAACAAATTGGCTGCCTGGTTGCTGCCTGTTTGCTGCCTGGTTGCTGCCTGGTTGCTTGGATGATGTCTTCCTTTTTGGGGAGAACCAAATGGTTTTTAAACTTCATTGTTTGGTCCTCGCTCGGGGGGTTTGGGGTGGACTCATTATGCCGTTGTGGGGGATTAGGTCATATTAATGGTAAAAGTCAATACCTTATCCCCCATCCCTCGTCTCTCCGCGAGGGAGTTATATTTAGTGGAAGTGTTGTCTTTGTCTTATGGACGACGAAGGAGTGGAACTATAAAACATTGTTTCCGTTTCCACTCCCAAAAATTTTAATAAAAAAGAAACTTTTTTTTTTTTTTGTTCAATTTTATTCTTTTGTAAGCGGTCTCATCACAGGAAACGCCAATACTTCACGAATATGGCTTGCTCCTGTCAATAGTTGAACTACTCTATCTACACCCATTCCCCAACCGGCTGTCGGGGGTAACCCATACTCTAATGCATCACAAAAATCAGTATCAGGAATAGGCGCTTCCAAATCTCCGTTATCTCTATCTTTCAACTGCAATTTAAATCTTCGTCTCTGCTCATTTGGATCATTTAACTCCTCGTACGCATTTACAATCTCTTTTCCGCCAACAAATAACTCAAATCTGGCAGCAACCGTTTGCCCCTTTAAAAACAAATAAATAAATAAAATCATGAGTGATTTAATACTTACAAAACCAAAACAAACAAACTTACATTGGGATCAACTGCATCTTTTGCTAACGGACTCAATGCAAGCGGGTGATTAAATAAAAAGGTAGGTTGGATACATTCAGGCTCGATAAATTCAGAGATTAATTTATCCAAAATTCTTGACAGGGTTAGTGGTCCTGAAATCTTAATACCACGTATTGTACACAATACAATTAATTGGTCGAGAGCATCTATTAAAGTTAAATTAGGTTACCTGGATACCGTTTTCAATATATAAGCTTTTACCTCGGCTATCTAGGAATAGAAGTGGTGTACCCAGTTCTTTTGCTAACCTATCTGTCACATTGATTCTTTTAAAAGGTGTCTTAAAATCAATAACATCTCCTGATCTAGAGACAACGGGTGTATCACCACAGACATGTTCTGCCATCTCTGACAACAGTGTTTCTGTATCATTCATCAGACTTTCTAAATTTCCATAAGCTTGATAAAATTCACAGGTAGTGAATTCAGGATTATGATCAGCATCGATACCCTCATTTCTAAATTGCTTTCCGATTTCATACACACGATCCATACCACCAATGACCAACTGCTTTAAATAGAGTTCGGGTGCAATTCTTAATTGCATATCCATATCCAAAGCATGAGCATGAGTTTCAAATGGCTTTGCATTTGCTCCACCTGCTTTTCCAGATAAGACAGGTGTCTCCACTTCAAGGAAATCACGATCGTCCAAGAAATGTCTGATGAATTTGATAATTTTGGTACGAGTTCTTAAAATTCTAGCAGATTCTGGGTTGACTAATAAATCTAAATGTCTTGCTCTAAATCTTTTCTCGGGATCTTTGATACCGGTTCGAGGAATATCTTGAATACAAGGTGACAAAACTTTCATTTCTCTGGTCACAAACACACCAAGCTGTCCACGATCTGTCTTTCCAGGCACACCCGTAAATGCTATGTATAACACAAAAATTAGCGCCCCCAAAACACACGCAATTACAAGACAAAAACCTTACAAACAATATCGCCTCTACATAAATCCCGATTCTTTTCCGCAAAATCTTCTTTACTGCCACCAAATCGTTTTTGTGAGGCCACCACTTGCAAATTTTCTCCATTTTGGACAATATCATAAAAGACAAGTTTACCACTTGACTCGCGTTTAGACACAATTCTACCTGTTATGGTCACTAAATCATTTTCCACTTTTTCTCCCTTTTCCAGAGTTTGATAACGTTGCATGTCTTTTGCTGTTACCCATCGACCATGTATTTCCGGATGAATCGCGAATCTTGGGTAACTAACCACTCTTTCTCTACGAAAAGCTAATAGGCCATGGTCAATGTCGCCAATACAACTTTTTATTCCAATTACTATATTTTACTTGTTTGTGAAAAAGAGCGTTGTATTAATCTCTTTGGTAGACTTTGACGTTTAATTAAACTAAGCAACATTGTTGACATTGCGTTGTATGCAAAAAATAATAATATGTAAATGGGCCCTGATTAAAAACGATGTGACTTTGGCAGTGTATATTGAAAGTCAGTCTACAAATCTGAAAACTCATAGATGCCTGTTATCTAAAAATAAATGGTACAGAAAATTCAAATAGCAGAACAAGACCAACAACTTTGTTATCTAATGAAAACTGAAAACACTTATTATTTTCCCTCACACTATTATCGGTACCATACACTGTACTGGTGTTGTTCAAGTTATTATGAGAAACAGCCCCCTAAAAAGCAAGCTTGCATAATGCAGGTTACACTCTGATCACCAGTGTTTCATTTTCATGATTTTGTCATCAGTGTGTACGATGCGTTCTAAGCCGCTCCAATCTGAGTAAACCAGTGATTATCTTTATTTTCATGTATTATACTGATATATTATAAAAAGTATAATGACCTAGTCACAATCTATAATCGAATCGTATCTTATTTTATTAATGATGTGCAATGTAAAGTATATAATAATCTATAATGCTGTATATTAGGTCTAAGTGTATAAATAATAATTTATAATATATAATATAAAAAGTAAATGCAATATATGTATGTTGTGTAAGTATGTGAAATAGTGCGTTAAATTGTTCGGTAAGAGAACGTAACAGATCTTCCTGCAAATACAGGGTAGTTCTCTACTACAGCCTTATACAGGATCACATCTTGCGGTCTCTTTTTCATAACAATATACTTTTTTATACTAACGGCTAGAGGTGTTGCTTCCTTTAATCCATTTCTCTCTGCATTTCTAAGATACTTGTACGCTAGATCATAGTTATTCACTCTGTCAAAACATGTACCGTTAAGAAAAGCTTTGCCGATAATTAACTGGGCTTCTGCAATACCATGGTCTGCTGCCATTTGACACCACTTCATCGACTGGTCGTTGTCTTTAAAGTCTTTGTAAATCTTGCCAATTTGTAAACATGCTTCATACCGCTTAGATGACTTAGCATCGTTATAGTATTCTTTATATAGAGTAAGAGCATACAGAGTATCTAAGCCAAGTTCTCTAAGAGTCAAAGCAACGTTGAACCTCGCTTCGCTAAAGTTGTAACTCATCGCCTTCTTATAATACTCGAGTGCCAAATGCTTGTCGGATTCATATTCACTGTTGCCGTTATAATAAATATTTCCAATGCTATTTGCTGCTTTACCATCAAATTGTGCAAGGGCCTTTTTATAAAACTCCATTGCATCTCTATAGCCCCCTTCCTGTTCTTTCATGAGACCGCAGTAATGTTGTCCATAGCTACAACCTTGCTCAGCAGACGCGATAAAATACTTCTCATGAGGCCAAATGATACAGTTCGGGACCAGATTCTTTTTAAGTAATAAGCCAATGTTGTATTCAGGAATTCCACCATATCTTCCCAGTAACCTTTTGAATGCATGATATGCCTCGTTGTATGATTGTTGATGAAGAAGAATGGATGCGAGACTACCTTCTGCACGCTTTATGTATCTACTGTATTTATTTATGCCTCTTGACGACATTAAAGAAATTGATCTTTCAAACCAATGTTTTGCCCGATCGAATTCCCCAAGAAGAAAACACAATTCACCAATACGAAAACTTGCTTCAGGGAATTTTCCCGTTTCATGGGCCTTCATGTAATGGCTTATGGAGTGCTCATAATTCTTTCTATAAGTGTCATCACCATGCTTGCAAATGTTTCCCATAATGTTGTAAATATCATCGTTATACTGTGGACCTCCATCGGCTGCTGCAATAGACATTTGGAAAAAAGTTAATGCTTCAGAAAAATCACTCTTCTTTATGTCATTTTTTTGCATCAAAATATTTCCCATATAGAAGTAAGATCCAGGGGTATAATTATGTGTCACAACTCCAGCTTCATTCGTAATAACTGGCTCTTTGCTAGCTAATTCAAATTTCAACATTGCTGTCGGGTAATCCTTTATCTCATAATAATGTATGCCCATTAAAAAGTTATTGTTGGTGTCATAAATAGGAGCAACTGCAACTACAACAACAAATATTAGAATCTTATTTTGATTTGTTATATTTTATATATTAAGTTAATGTAAGCTTACCTTGATTATGACGAACCGTCTTAGGCTTGCTTCTGTTCCGACAAAAAGGCATTTAATAAATGTTATTGTAGATATGATAAATAAAAAGAAAAGAAAAAAAATTGATTGATTTTATATTAAATGATCCGTGCGGCTTTCATCAAATTGTAGCTAAAAATAAACTATACATGGTGAAGTAAATAGCCACACATTAGCGCAGCTGATACGTTGTAATATTTCCTTTAATGCGTTGTGGCTAATCGTTGTCTAAGTCATGCCTATCTTATCAAATAGTTAACTTGTTTGGAATTGAAGGCTTTCTTTTGAAGAAAACTTTTATAACTAATACTGATAGATCAATAGTTAAAATGAGATGTTATAATTGCAATCCCAAAACTTTATTCTTGACTGTCAAAAAAAAAAAAAAAAAAAAAAAAATTAAGCTTAAAGTTTTCTGTTCCGGTATGTGGGGTTGTATCCTCCATATGGCAATCTGTACGCCTCAGTACAATAAACCCAAGTAAAATTTAAAGTTTGCCAAAAGCATTTCAGAAGCTTTTTTTTAAAAACGGAATAAATATATTCTCGTCTTCCAATTCGCTTTCTTCAATTGATCGTGTGATGCAGTAAGCATTATTTTTAAGTACAATTTTAAGCCAATGTGCTGCTTAATTTTTTTTTCTAAACGATGGTCTTGGCAGTTGGAAAACATTTATAATAAGTAGAGTAGGTAGTTACTGAAAAAATAAAGATTTGAATGAGCAGTTATCAAGTGATCGCAGCAGCTGAGACAAATTCTCCACCTTTCTCTCCCATACACAATGGCAAAAAATGTGATCATATCTATCAAGGAAAATTTTCTTTAGATATCTCTGCGAAAATGTTTAAAGATTAAAAAGATCATTACAATGCACAAGCTTTGCTTGCAACTTCCAGATATATAACTGATGACTTGGTCTATTAAAAAGTGTTAAGTGGAAAGAAAATGTGTGTACAAATGTGGTTTTTACATAGTTTTTATTGGATTTGAACCTCAAACTTTTGTAATTATACAAAGTCAATTCAAAAACTTTAGTACAATAACCATTTTATAATTTTGATTATTTATACTATAACAATTGCCTACTTTTATAGGCTAATTTATTTTTGGGTTTATTGTGTACTTAGTTAAACAAAATAGGTACACACTCTACTCGAATCCCTTTGGCTTTGTAACTATCGCCGTTCGAATTAGTTACAAATGTTCCAATTGGATTATGAGACCATTTGAGGTTAAAATGTATGGAATATTCTGCTGATTTAGCAATGCCATTTGCGATATTGTAATATTCTACAATTCGTTAGATTGTGCCACATACTGAAGAGGTATAGATGTCTAAGAGTCAAAACCCCAATGTTTATATCTAAAAATATGAATATGACCCCTTTCTAAATCATTTCTTCGTAGTCTAGAATAATGCGTCGCATTTATACGCACCTATTCAAATACATATCAAATAAGTTATTATATAGAGTGGTTCATTAGTTTTTACTGCGAAGAAAAAGAGAAGGAGACCTATGTGTATGATGATTCAATAAAAGTGTTATTGGTTGAATATATAGTAGAATCGAATTAGCGGGTTAAGTTTAAGAATTTATTGGCGATTTAATACAATTATTGTATCCCGTTTACGATGTTTATGTGATGTTTTTTATAGTTTTTATAGTTTTATTACATTAAAACCGGCTTTGGTCTTTCAAAAAATCTGCCGCTACTGCTGCTGCTGTTGTCACTTACAAACTGTTTGGTAAGTTTTTACGTTTATGCACATATGGATCGCGGAGTTTATATCCCCTAAGCCTCCATTTGTTCCCTGTCGCAAAGTTACTATGGGTGGACCTTTTTTTTTTTCTTCCTATTTTTAGTTCCTTTCACTGCGAAAAAAAAAAATATAAATGTCGACTACAACAGCCATTCTTGGGTCAAACGAGTTACAAGTAAAAAAGCAAACTCTCCCAAAAGAAACTAAATCCTATGTTCATTTTATTGCTGGAGGGTATGCAGAAGTAACGCTATACATGCTTGTAAATTCTAACATTGTGTCAATTAAAGTGTCGGTGGACTTGTCGGAGCTGTTTGTACCTCTCCTTTAGACGTTGTCAAAACTCGGTTACAGGTAATTCTGAAATTTTTCTTCATTTTCAGTAAACTAAAATTTTACAGTCAACGTTTTATCAACAAGGAGCAGAAAGAAACTTCAAGCGTACGAACTTTATCTTTGGTCATTTTTTTGAGACCGGTAAATTATTAGTGTAATTATCAAGAGAAATGGGCTCCTGTCAATAGTTACTTATCATGTATTGTAGACAAATAAAGCAGATTGAAGGGATTCGAGGTTATTTTAAAGGTCTTGGACCTAACTTGGTCGGTGTTATTCCAGCAAGGTAAGATTTTATTTTTTATTTTCCTGGATTTGTCATATTTATTTATATCAGAGCCATCAATTTTTATACATATGGAAACGGTAAAAAAATATTTACTGAGTTAAACCATGGAAAGGAAACAGCAGTAGTTCATTTAGCTTCTGCTGCTACGGCAGGTATGAAGACAAAGAAAATTAATGTAAAACATCTTTGTGTAACACAAATCTCGATTAGGCATTGTCACTTCAACTGTAACCAACCCCATTTGGGTGATCAAAACCCGATTGCAGCTACAAGGAAAGCAAAGACTTTACTCGAGTAGTTTTGATTGTGGTATTCAGATATTAAAACATGAAGGTATTAAAGGGTTATATAAAGGTATGAGTGCTTCATACCTTGGTGTCGCTGAAGGTACTATTCAGTGGGTTATGTACGAAAATCTCAAGAAGAGATGGGCCCAATCTTCTGATCAACTGGAAAATAAGAGGACGATCGGCGGTAAAAGTGCACAGGCATGGATTGGTAATTTAGGTGCTGCTGCAGTAGCAAAGTTAGTAGCCGCTTGTATTGCATATCCGCATGAAGTCATAAGAACAAGATTGAGAGAACCAGTTTCAAAGACCGGAACTGTCAAATATACTGGACTTTTGCAATGCTTAAAGTTGATCGTCAAAGAGGAAGGTGTAGTTGCATTATACGGCGGCATGTCTGCTCATCTCATGCGTGTCGTACCAAACGCTGCGATTATGTTCTTTTGCTATGAAGCTATTTTGCATAATTTCGGCGAAGAAAAAAAGCGCTGATATTAGAATCATCTGCTTTCTTTTATGTAAATACTATATTCATACACATTATCAAAAATAATTAAACACAATATGCTAAAGTCTCTCTTTTTGTTGTTAATGCATTGCCTATCAAAGGACAATGAATCAAGCATTTTTGTTTAATAAATAAACGACCCTCTTATGAAACTTTGCCAAGTTTTATCTGCCGGGTAAATTGAAGGATGCATGCGAAGGTTCCCCTTGACTCCTGTATTACAAGATTAAAAGAAGTTTTGGGAGGTATATAAAGTGTTTTTTAAGACACTTTTTTATATATATTTTTTTTTATTAAGGATATTTTTACATGATAGTACAAGTCGATTCTTTACTATTATTAGATTTCAAAATATTAGCATTACTCGTTCGTCTTTTTTCTTGAGTAATTGTGCGTCTTTTTTCGTTCTTTTGATGCTTGACTAAGCTTTCTAACAAAGCGACCCTTTCTTGAGCTGCCTTATGATTTCCCTTTTTTGCTGCCTTGGAATAATAATGGTGCGCTTGTTGGAAATCTCTTGGTATTCCAATACCAGTTTCAAAGTACCATCTATATATAAATGTTAGTATAAATACTCTTTCTTTACATGTATAGTCATATTACTAACCCTAATAAGTAACATGCATCAGGTATATTCTGATCTGCGGCTAAATGACACCATCTGAATGCTGCATCTTCATCGCGGAGTTGGTTTTGCATCCATCCAGACTCATCATGTTCAAAAATCAAGAGTTGTTCTTCTAACTGCTCTTGTGGGACCTTAACACCTTGGTTATATAAAGTTGCCAACTCTAACATGGCATATCCATTAGTATTCGTAGTTGCTGCCAGCTCAAAGTAGCTAAATGCCTTTGCTAAATTGACACGAATCCCATAAAGACCTTTTTCATAAATGCAACCTAGTCGATATTGAGCTACAGACATGCCCATGTCAGCTGCATATTCTAAATATGTTGTAGCTGCAAATGTGCCGCCATATGTCTGAATTAGTTCGCTATATAAAACATTAGAAAATAAATACATATACATATACTCATACAATCGTCATTACCTAGGTATGTTAACAGACGGGTATTCATTTGTAAGGAGTAAACCCAGAGTATATGGCGCTTCTGGACAAGTGCCTGTCGATTTTTCAGACGCCTTCATAAGCAACTGGATTGCTACAGTAATATTGCGTCTAGAACCAAATTCGCCGTTTAAATTGATCATCGCAATTCTCTATATAGAACAAAAAATATATTAAGACATGACGATAAAAAAATTTTGATTTGATCTTACATAAAGTGCTTCAACCAGACCTAAACTTGCAGCATCTTCATATAACTGGAAAGAAGTCATGTAGTCTTGTTCTCTTTCGTGGTATTGACCAACTGCAAACATGGCTTCAGGGACCTTGGCGTTGGCAGCAATTTCGTAAAATTTAATCGCTTTTGAACTTTTTCTAAATCCATACATGCCGCGATCATACCATAGCCCCAATAAGTAGGCGGCTTCACCTACTCGTTGCTTTGCCAACTTTTTGATCCAGCGTACACCTTCCTCTTCCAACATCTTCTTTTTCTTCTTTTTGGTGGCATCCTCATCTTCATTTGAAGGTACTTGCATCATGGTAGCTGAAGAGTCTCTTCTAAAAGCGCTCATATGAGTATCTATGCTACTACGACGGCTACTGGCAACACTGCTAGGTCTACCGGATGGTCGTTTAAGCAATGGCAGGGAAAGTGACAAATTGGGTTTAAACGGTTGTCTCTTTTCCTTTGAGTCATACAGACTAGCCACTTCCAACAGATATTTAGCATATGTTAGCTGAACGGTTGGGTCACCTGTCTTTAAAGCCATTGTTCTATATAACTTAATGGCATCTGGATGATTTGTAAGACTGTAAGAGGCTTTGTTGTATTTTGAGGATGCTTGTTGTTGCTGGTTGATCATGGATGCAGAGAAGGATGGTGTATATGAGGGAGTACGAGAATGCTGAGTGGACAATCTTCCTAATGGGGGAGAAAGACTGCGGCTACCTCCAGTTAGTAATTCATGATTTGATCTGTGGATCTGAGGTTCAATGGGTGAAGTAGGAGTATCATTTAACTCATCAGGTGATACTGTAAATTCGGCAGAAGGAATAATCATTGCATTAATTGATTGCTGAGCAACAGAAGGAGAACCCTTACTTGTAAAATAGTCAGGGTGATGCTGCGGTAACATGGGTGGTTGCGGTGAAGATTTGTTGGATTTGATGGATAATGCCTCTAATGGTGATACTTGGTTTAAAGCTGTTGGAGACAAATCGCCACTAACAGATGTTGGAGGGGTTGAGGGAGAAAGTAAGTAAGATTCATTCATTGTTAATAACGGAGGAAGTAATTCTAAAGGAGGCAATAATTCCAATTCATTATTTTTTGGAGTTTGATTTTCCACCAGTATTTTGGAAACTTTTCTACCAACTGTTGGCTGTTGCTGAGGTGATGAAGCGACATCGGAGAAGGAATGGTCAGTGTTTTTCCGCCAAGAATTTGGTGCACTGATAGGTGACGGTACCACAATAACAGAAGTTGATTGTGGCTGTTGTTGGATGGTAGCGTGTCGTAACTCAGGAGTAGAAGAAACACTATTTGATACAAGCGTGGGCTTATATGGTTGAATAGGTGGTTCATTATCCCCTTCGTAAAAGTCTGGGTTTATTACTCGAAGTGTAAACGATGGTTTCATATCCTGGATAGCCGTTCCTGTATCTGAGTCTACCGAGATCTTACTGTCATTTGTTGCAGATTGTAGTAATGAGTTTGTTGACTTTTTCGAATGTAACATATTTCCTGTTGCTGAAGACGCGTGTTTGAAAGAAAACATGAAATTTAAAAACAAAAAGAGAGAGAAAGGGAAAAAAATATAAGATTTGGAAACTAAAAGAAAAGAAGAGAAAGAAAAAAAAAATAAGTTTGATTCCCTTTAATAGAAGAAATTATACCCAGGCACAAAAAACAATGGTTCAACCTCCCCATGTGATTCACCTGCTTACTGGACCGGCTAAGAAAGTTACTATTAATAAACATTTTTGGTAAACAGCATTATGCGAATTTTCTGTAATTATGTCCATTGCAACTGTCTATTTTATTAATACAGTGAATTGCGTTTGAAAATAGAATTTTTGGGAAATAAAAATAGAATGTTTAATCTTGACACGAGAAAATTTTCTTAACCAATAGAAACTTTTAATGTTTGTCGTTCCTAATACAATTCTAGTTGATTCCACTCCGACATCCAATGTGATACATGCTGTCTGAACCACGCTTTATTTTCCTTTTTTCAATAAACAAATATATCTCTTTCTTCCTTATATCTTTCGAAGCAGCGCATCGTGGAGTAACTATGGAGAATGTCAATCATCAACAGCATGGTGAATCATCGCAGCAGCAACAACCACAACAGCACAGCACACTTTTGTCCGTTTTTCTTGTATTCATTTGTTTTGTTTTGTTTTAACCCATTATTACTTATTCCCTGTTTACATATTATACATGTTTTGCCAGCTTTGTTTCTTGTACATTTTATTCCTTAAACCATAAATTTTATTTTCATGACTATTTAAACGTAAGTATCATTTGGAGCGATGGGGAAGGGCTTTGCGGCACACAAAAGGTTTCAAAATCATTTAAGAACCAACGTATTTAGTGGCATTCCTGATGGTTTAACAGCATTCAACGATTCGACAGGGAAATTGGTTGCGCTTGAATTTTGTGTCTCTTCGATCGAGTCATCTGATAAGAAGTAACTGTCGTTATTGAGTATTTTACTACGACTATATACTTCGTATTTTCCTGTTTCGCGAAACCGATAGACCACAATGTATTCTAAACAACTATAATTACCATTAAATGTTAATACAGACCTAATAATCAAAAATCGCGATGCTATAAAACTTACATGACAAAGGTTCTGATATCACCAGGATTTGTGGAAATCCCGGCGTATTCGACAATCACAAGACATACTTTTTTGATGTTCACTGATAATTTTGACAATAAAGCTAAACCAATCGAGGATTAGTCATTGTGTTGTGTATCATTCCCATATCTCCAGAACTTACTTTGGGTGCTCCCAGCACAATAGTCCAACACCATTCTCTCAAGTTCCTTGACAGCATCAGGCATATCTCTGGAGGCAATGGGGCTACCAGCCAAACATCGTGGAGAAACATAGACTAATTCAGCAAGTGACCTTTTTTCAAGCAGTTGATCATATTCTGAAGATTGACCTCTTGGTCATCATTTGACATTTCACCGAGACTTTTTCTGGCATATCCGATGATTTCAACGTCATCTGCCTTTAGCTTGGTGATATAGTCCTCGTATCTTTTTTGATAGCTAGCCAAGTTTTGCGCAAAAAAGACTTATGCACAATGTTAGTACGAAGTTGTGTTCGTGAATTACGTATTTTTACAGTACTATGTACCTCTATCCTTTTCTTTTATCAGGTAAATTATTTTGGGCTCAGTTCGACTGTAAGCCTTACGCTTTCTCGATGTTCGAGCTTTTAGGTATTTGGCATCACAAGTTTGGTTACAGAGTCACCTTCAGATGCTTGTTTTGCGTACATATTAGTTTGTAGCGAACAACTGCAAAAAATATTAAAAGCAGTTGGTGATAAATCGTACAAATGTAATTGCAAAATCACTACTTAAGGATGAAATGAACGAGCTACTATACAGAGACTATGTTCCATCAGAGCTCAAGGTAGTATCCATCGACGAAACAAACATTAAAGATGCATTGTACGAAGTCCAAGAAATTTGAGACAACAGACAAGATCCGAATAGAGAACGTGAATATCTGATAAAACGGGTTGGGTATGGTGAACGTGAAAATTCATGGTTAAAGACATCAGCATTTTCGTCACCACAGTCTATCAAAACTTATTGGGATAAAGTAAGAGATCTAGAGAAACTTGAGCAAATACGTAAAGCAGAGCTGATGAAGAAATCAGACGTTTATCTCATTACAAAAATGGGTTACAAATATAATTTATCCGCAGGTTTGTTTGTCATTTAGGTCTAGATTTCCAGTTATCATCATCGTCGGAAAACTTTTTTTTTCTTTACCCGGTAAATAATAAATAGACTGTGGGGTTGTTTATATTGGACTTTGCAAATTGTACTACAGAAGTTTATTTTAAATAAAAATCTATTTTTAAATAAAAATTTACATTGGGGAGAGCATTAAACTATTTTGCCTTGATCGAGATTGTTGATCATTCAGCTTATCTATATTCTCTTGTAACTTTGTAAGCTTTTCTAATAAACTCTGGTTTAATTCCTCGAGTTTGTCAAGTCTCTCTGAATCATTTTCTTCTTTGTCTAATCCAAGTGCCCTATTGATAGGGAAAAAGCTATAATCAACGTCTTTCAAACATCCTGCAACATATGATTCAGGCCCTGTGTATTCTGTAGGATCCTTATTTCTCAAATGAACGAGAAAAAATAAATATTGCCTAAAGTTATAATTAGTAAAAAAATGTGTTAATCCTTCTTTCAGCCAATAAAACACACCAGATGTTATGATCATTTTTAACATGATCTTCAAATCCTTTTTTCGCATGACGTTGGAACTCCACTGCTGAAATACTACAAATGAAACACGCTTACATTTTTTATCGTGTCAATACAAGTTTACATTGTGATTGTAGGATACTTACAGTTTTTCATATCTTCATGAATAGATGATCTCTCTGGAAAGAAAGAAGTATGATGCTTAGTCAAAATACCATAATCATGTACTGTATAATATTACCATCACGTAGATGCCCGAATGTATCAAATATGATACCAAAAATGGCATTCAACAAAAATACAACCACAACCAAATAAAATGACATTTCAAAGGCCGTTCGCCACCCACTTGGCTTATGAAGCTCATCTGGTTCAAGTATGTCACCAATTCCGCCTCCTGATCGCACACTAAATAAATTTAATTAGACACAAGTGAAAAATTACACATGATTAATATAACATACCCATGTGACAGAACCGTGATAAAACACTCCATCAAAGATCCACAAAATAACCCTTTGGAATCATCGAATTCTTTACGAAAGTACATGAAGGCAACAATACTATGTATGTATATGACAATGATACCTAAAATAGCCTAATTATATTTTACACAGACAAAATTAGCCTATCCGTATGATAATATGAAGCTGATACAACGTACTGTTCGAGAAATAGAATGCACATTCAATGTAATACTTGAAATAACCCCCTGTAGGATACTATCACGAAATACAAAGTCTAGTAAATGAGCTGAATAAAATCCGGGATTGTAAATGAACCCGGTTAAAGAAAATGCAACCATCAGCAAGTGGTATAAAAATCTTGACTCGGTCACTGTTGCCCATAGAAATGTATATGATTTAAAATTTTGTTTGACGAAGGATAAAATAGATCTTTCATCTGTAACAGCTGCTTCTTGTAGCCTACGGTTAATTAAAACTGGCAACTGAATAAAGTAAAATTCTGATGTCAGCAATAGCCATAGTATAAGATGAATCATACTGAAAAAATATCTTGCTACTGTAATCACCAGCTTGATTGGGTCATCATCAGGGATTAACAAATTGGGGTAGACCATTAGCATGATATTGAGAACAATAGAAATACCATATGCGGATTCCCACCAAAATGAGCTATAATCTGTTAAGAAAGACAAATATCCGCTGTGTGCTACATGTGCCTGGTTTTCAATCCTATGGTAAACATTTAAGGTTTCAGTTAACAGCGATATCACTAATATATCAACGCTTCATACTCATAAATGATCATTTCTGATTGTTGTACAAAGTCTTCAATTTTTGCAGACGGTGAATCACTGTAAGGTAGAGCTATAAGTTATAACAAATTGAGTTATATGCTTTCATACAAACCGTTTAACATTCCATAAAAATCTTTCTTTAGTTTCATCTCTGAGATATTGACAAATTTCAGGAATTGGGAATAATACACGTGTTAGTTGCTTTTCACCGTAATTCATGACGATTTCTATTTGTCCGGTATGACTTTGAAAATATTTAAAGGCATCGTTGTTTTCTAGGAACATGGTACGCTACGAAATATAACAGGGATCAGTACAAAAAAAAAAGAAAAAAAAATGAGACTACGTAATAATTACTTGTGCTTGGTCCAATGCTGGTGTCAATGTCATAATTAATATACAATACAAAAATCCACATTCTAATTTTGAAAAAACATTTTTTGATTTGAGACTGTCGACATTTTCCTTGTAAATGATCTCCATATTATTTTTGACAGTTGCCAAATCGAGAGAATTTATCATTTCTCTAAAAATAGTTTCGCTGTTTTCAATCCCTCCTTCCAATAAGCTGAGTAAACAAATCACCACCTTAGACTGAATAGAGGGAGTTTTAATGACATCGGGAAACAAATGATAATTTGTGCAATTTATGTTTTACCTTTAGCTCGGTAACTTGTTTATGGCTACATCCTACGTAAGATTCTCTTAGTATGATATTGACTGGGTTGATCACCTTGTTGTTAAATATAGTAACTTGGTTCTCCAAACAACCCTATTAATAAATTTAGCTTCATAAAATATGCATGCGCTGCGCGATTTTCTCTTTTTACCTGCGCTAATTCGGTGATTGTATCGAGAACTTGGATGATCAACTCAATGTTATCAGCATTGCATAATGGCGCAATAGCATGGAAATAATCCACTACATCCAAAACTATGTTAAAGCTTTTAATATTGTCAGGTTGCTTGGCCAAGTAAGCTTGTAAATTTAGATTATGCCCTTCGACCATCAGTTGCAATGTTCTCATTGTGTCTTCCATCACTTTAAAATCCTTTGTCGTGGTACCAAACTCAAAAGTAGATTCGCTATTGGACAACATCAGCTGAGAAATTTCTCGATAAAGTTTAGTTGATTCTTTAGTAATCTCTGTAGGCTTTGATGTTACGTGAGTTGAATTGGGTCTGTTTCTTGCCATCATATACACCTGATGACTGTTGCGCTTATTGGATATTTCCGATGATTTATCCCCTGCACTAACCATGATTGATTTACTACGTCTGTGTTGTTGCGCCTTTCTTTTTATAGTCGACTCGGGCGATACATTAATATTGTCCAACATGTACTGTTGTCGGTTAATTTTATATAATCTTCTGGTCAAGTACATTTGAGAATCTTTGGAGGAAGCAATGCCTTCTTGTAAACGCTGGTGGAACGAATAAAAAAACCTTTCTTCTCTGATACTGTAAAAGTATTCCTCAAGTTTGTCCTACCAAGAAACAGTTAGTAAAACGTCTTACATGAACAATAAAAATAATTACCTGGACATTCTTATTTCCTCCTTCTAATAAAGATATGAGTAACTTTAATGCAGCATCAAAAATCTGCCTAGTCGGCGATGAGAGTAGGTTTTGGGCTACTAATGTACATCCCAAATCATTAAGCGTGTTTTGCGATTCAGTTTTCTTCAATTCCAATTCATCATATCGATCAGATTCTGTATATGGATCAATATTCATCCTTTTACGTATATACTGCATAGAAACCTCCTCTAACAGCTTAATAGAAGCAACTTGATACTTCTCGGTCCTTGCATCAACTTTTGTTGTTGTCATAGTGCTCAAGTATGAAATCAATGATTGAATGCTATCACTTCCTCCTTCACGATTTAAACTGAAATGTGAACCTATTGCTAAAGTATCAATAGATGCGTTGAGGCTTTATTTTGGCACTTACATAATTTCTCGAACTCAACTTGACGATATACTTCAAGTTCTTTGCTAACTTGTATACAGCTGAAATACGACTGAAAGGATACATTCGTTGATTCTTTGAGGGGTACTATTTCGCTCATCTTGCTTCCAGATTGGTATTCTCGGTGATAGCTTTTAGCGTACAAATTATTCAACGTCAAAGATGCCTCCTTCAGCAAATCGTATAATGACTGTGGATTCATACTTCCTCTAAATCCAGCCACATTAATCATACTATCCAAGCATATTAATAAGCTTTGAAGTGCGTTTTCATCATCATATGTCATCGGCAATAACTGCAATGTCAAGTCCACTAATCTTGAATAGAACTCCACCTTATCGCTGTCAACAGTTTCGATTGAAATATGATATTCAAATACGGAACGCAAAAACGCAGAAATACCGCAATATACATATTGGTGGAAGAACTCTGGTAGCAAATATTCTTGTTCGTACAGACATTGTGTCATGGCGGTTTCTGAAACAATCATAAGCTCTAATACATTTTGGCTATCATTGATAGGAATATCCAAAGGTAACTCAATATCTTCAATGTAAATCGAGGCCATAAATTTAAGCACAGCCGCTTTCAGAGAAAGCGATATATTTTGGTCTTGTACAATTTCGTAGATATCCCCGATAGAAAAAATGGTTCTTGCAAACTAAAGAAAACATTAATCATAATCCCCTGTATAAGTTATTTGATGGCTTACAGATTGTCCAAAAGTGTTTTCGCCCTGTCCACATATAGCCAGAATGTTAATCAAATTGACAAAATAGCTTGTTGTATCTTCATCCATCCCACGTAAGTTATCCATTGTCCGCTTATTATTAAAGGGGATATATTCATCTCTGTTCTCCATAATATATCTCATGACAATGTCTTGATTCTTTTTAATCAACTTGCCTTGAGGTTTCAAAAGATGTTGTAGTGCGAGTAAATACTCGCCTTGGTAGCCTTCAGATGTGCTTATAATTCGTATAATATGGCGCTCTTTTATATTCATGCTAATATAAAGGTTATTTGAAAAAAGGTTCGAAAACAAAGCAGCAAGTTTTGAAGACAGCAAAGTGATATCAATCAAGAGGTCAATGTTTTCAAGCACAAATAGACTCTATTGATGTTGTGAGTACATTATTTATATAAACAAAAGCATATATACCTGAAATTCTTTATCTTTCTCAGTAACAATACACAAGAGCTCGAAGCAAACCTCTAGCGTGTCAATATATTCACGATAATGTTTAGCTGGTATAATCAGAAGAGATCTCAATAAATTAGCCATCAGGCTGTATGTGTCCAGACTTTTAAAAATTCTGCAAAAAATTGTCTCGTCTTCAAGTTTGCATCTGATTCTATTTGCTTCCCCTTCTTCAAGTTTGCATCTGATTCTATTTGCTTCCCCTTCTTCCTTTTTGCTATCTTTTGATTCATCCTCTGTATCTGTGTCAAAAGCCATACGACATGTGGATTGTTTCCCAGAAAGCAATGGCTTTAAATCCCTAATCGCATCTCTTATCTTTTCCAAATACTGAGTGTGACCTTCTTCCTCCTCGTAATCCACGCGTACATAAGTTTTTAGTAGTTCTAAATGATCGATAATACTATGATATACAAGGCTGTGGTCTGTGTGCTCACTATTGATTATGATGACACTGTTCACCTTATTTAATATTTCTAGTGAGGTACACATTAATTTCCGATTATAAACACGTCACTGATATATACAATTACCTTGGCTATCGTCAAACAAACGATGCATTACTACGACCGCAATTTGTTTCAAAGGGGCATAATCATATTTTAAAATGTCTTTAAAAATGGGCATCAAAAATTTTTCACGGTGACAAAGTTCAGTCTCTTGGAACACTGCTAACAATTGACCAAGATCAAGCTTTTTTTCGTCCTTATCAACTTCTCTATTCGTAACATTTGATGCGCCACGTCAGGATATTTTCTTTTCTTTTCTTTTTTTACTTACCTGTGCCACATACAAGCCAAGTAACCAATACGTAAATGAAGTCTCAGGTCGAACATCATGTCCAACATACTTAGGATCTGTACCTTTGTATTCATAACTCTATGATTTTCTTCTGTCAGCTCATATCTCTCATGCCATTCTCGGGAATTATTCTCATTAAGAATAAAGTTTAAATGTTCCTCATTTCTGTAGGTAGAAGTATAATAAGCAGATAATCGTCTAACAAATTGTTGAATTTTGCTTACTTTGCATCTGTTCTTCCATCTAAAATATTAACCAGAAATCTAAAAAGTGAAATCATTTTTTTTGGCTCTACGAATACTCCTACTTTTAATTGACTATGGACTAGCTTCAGAATTGAATTTAAAAATTGAACTTGCTCCATGTTTTCTGTAAGCTATCAAATGGCCGAAAATTAGATATGATTAGCATATCATATATAAATAACCCTTACCTCATTGGGCACAGACTCTAAGAATTGAAGTGTCCATAATAAGACTTTCTTAAAAAACTCAGAATATATTTTAGGTGACCCCCGAGGATATTCAGTTTCTGGTTTGCATAAAACCCCTGATTCAATTGTGAAATTGTTTAGCGCTATAGTTTTATGCTCTGGGATGTCCAAATAAGCAACTAGATTGTGGATGTTAATGTAAAATTTCTTGTCACCTTTTGAAGATTTGATTACCTCTCAATATATCACAGAATCTAGAACGGATAGGGCTTGGAATTTTAGTATTTTTGATCGAATAAAAGCATACTTGACTATCAATAGATTGGCTAATGGTCTTAATTTTCGAAGTACCATTGGATAGCGTGTAAATCAACTTTAAAACGTAGTTTATGTAAAGCGAACATGAAGGTATTTCAACCACCGTCGTGATATTATGCCATCTGTCATCATTTCTAAATTTAATCTCGACCTGTTTCCCTCTAGAAATTCTTGTTTGTATCAAGCAATCAGAGCTTTTCGGATTGAATAAAGCTTCTGAAATTTGAGATGATGTCGACTCATCACGGCATAAAGCACAAAGTAGTCGGAAAGCGCTTATTCTTTGTCGATCTTGATCTACTCTGATTTGAGACCGAATTGTATTGACAATTATTTGTGTTTCAATTTTCGTTATTTCAATCAAAGATTTTGTCAAAGACACATTTTGTTCGTTGTGCTTCAGTAGTTTAATAAGGACATCTGTGGCACCTACATCAAACTGTACATGTCGTATAAACAATGCCATTCCCGATTCTCCTGAAACTGTCAGTATATATTGCTGATTCTCTTGTGCGATAGAATTTGGTACTTCGAAATGTGATCTTTCCACCAGAAATACACGCAATAAATGATAACACAACATGATGATGGAACGAAGTTTCTCGTGCATAATTTCAACCGGTCTTTCTTCAACTGATTGTTTTACTTTCTGATTTTTGTAATTTTTTGAAAGTTGCTTTTTGATATGATTTCTTTTAGACAGATCAAAAGGAGCTACAATCATTTGCACAACAGCATTGATAATCCCAATCTCTCTTAATAAAATCTGATGATCTAATATATATTAATTAGTAAAATGAAAATATTATCAGTCATATTGACATACACTCATTTGGTAACCCTTTACGCTTTTCGACATTTTTTTCTTTGCTTTTAGTACAAAAAATGATCAACGCTCTCTGTTAAGGTGTTAGAATCAATTATTCTCATAATGAAGCAACTGTTGTTACCAAAATTTTTATAATAGACTCATGTTCTTGGGCTTGAATCGGATACGCATCATCGTCTTGAACTTTTCTATCTTGATAAAGATACCATTGAAGATACGGTAGCATTTCACTAACAACATTAAACGTATCGCTTAATTCCTGTTCTACATTTGTAATCGAAAAACAGTCGTGGTAATATAACTCTTGAGAAGCAGTAATACGATATTTTACACTTTTCTCATCATCTACTTTAACTTCGTCGGATTGATCCTCAACTAAGGTAGAGAATGAATTAAATCGCGAATGATTACGGTCACCTTGTTGCGAGAGTGGTACTTGAGGGATATTTTCTTTGAAAGAAAGTTGTGGTGTACTCAAAGGAGATGAACTATACCCAAAGGTAGTTTGGGGTGGAATAACATGTATGCGTTCGTTCCTCTCTTCGCCATTTTCAGAATGCATCCAACAGCCTGTCAATAAATGCTGGATTCTTAAAAAGGAGCCATATGGGATACCAGATATCGATGGTGCAGATATAGGGACTAATTGGAACAAGGTTATGTCTTGACTAGAGTCACTAGCACACAATGGATTCTTTAGGAGTTTGAGAGTATATAATGGCTTTCCAGTTCCAACGTCCATTCGAACGTGACTTGGGTCGATCGATAAGTATGTGCGAGATGCTACGTGACGAATCCGAATTGTTTTTTTCCATCTTACTTTTGAGCCTCTCGATAGATCAACATTTTCGATCTAATACGATGTGAGTCTATATTACATAAACTTTTGTGTAAATGTTACCTCCCAAAATGCGAGTGGGGAATCAGTTTCTTTGGGGTCTAAGGGATTGATGATGTGCTTTTTTAATACAACTTCGCTCCTGAAAAGGAGAGTTAGATAAAATATACTATTTAGCTCAATATATACTGTACCCTTGATTATCAACCGGCGCTTGAAGATATGACTCCATCTCTTTGTGGTAAAATCGAACATATTGTCCAGAATTTGCATATTTGATATTTTTTGTGTCTTGCTCTGAGATGGAAGAGTAATGGAGTTTCATTGTCCAGGACGATATACGAGTATGCGAATAAACTTCATAATAGTCACCATGAAGACGATTATTACTTGTGAGGTTGGAGTCAACATTTAGATATCCTTCAGGCCTAACACATTGCAAAGCGATTGTTTCACCAACTCTAATGGCATCACCGACAAAGCGAATCCGATATCTTGGCATAATTCGGAAATAACCGATCGATTCTGTAGAAAGATTTACTTGCAAAAGATGGTGATTCAATGTCTCTGTAACTCTTGTCTTTCCGGTGACGGTCAAATACTTTTTAAAGTGTTGATTGAACAGCTGAATTACTTGACCGTATAATACAGGCTTTCCTAATAGCCGATATCTTTCCGTCTCATTTTGAGTAATTTCTTTGGCTGCCTTATACTGAAGTTGTTGCAATTCGAGTAACTCTTCTTTAGAAGCCTCAAGCGATACTTTTTCAAGGTCTCGGTCATCACCTAAAAAGAGCTCTAATTCTCGTTGTGCTGAATGAGATTGCTGTGGCTCTAATCTGAAAATGCTTGTTCCCATGGCATGATCCGAAGAAAGACATCTATTTAGAGTTGGTCTTACACATGCTCGTGTTTCTAAAGGATTTTCTGCCACTAAAATATAATTATTTTGGTCATAGAAAAATAGCTCGTCTCCTATCCTTAGCACTGGCTCGCTGGATTTATCATTTGACATGGTGGTAAGGTGTAAACAGTTACTGCTTTCCAAAATCGAAATATAAACTATAAAAAAAATATTTTAACATGCGACAGTAGTACGGTGTCTACCTAAAATACTGGAAGTATGATTAAGAGACTTTATCACAATTAAAGTTTCCTTACGAAGTATTGACTCCTCTAGTGATTGAAATACCCCCCCCCCAAAAAATAGACTTTCCATTACCATATCAGTCACGATCATTATGTGGCATCCGTATTCTCGATTTTTTCAACAACAAGCTTTACAATGGCGTTGTAATTTCCTCTCTGACTCGCTGCTATATCCTCACGTGTACCCCACCTCTACATTCTTCAACTCACTCTTAAATTGTCTATGGGTATAATTAAGACTGAAATCAAACATGCGTTCCTTCATCGGACAGCTTAAACATGTACCAGCACCAAATAGATTTAGTGTTAGCCAAGCTAAACACAGACCGAGCTTAACTATTTACAGTGTGACCAGCAGCTATTTACAGTCTTATCACTACCAGTTATGCGAAAACATGGTAAGAATAATCATCTTTGGATACACTTCTATATTCTTTTTATTTTTTTAACGTAACATCAACACTTCTGGTGAAAATGTGTAAAAATGGACAATATAGCTTTGGCAACAAGGAGGATGTTTACCAAGAGAGAGAGAAAGAGGAACAAAAAAAAAACCAAGCAAGTTTGTGCTAAGTTTTAGTGTTATTGATATGTACTTGACGCCGTCTGTGCTTCTACTGATTTTCTTCAGTTTTGAAGAAGAAATCTTCTTTCTGATTTACTTTACCCTTTCCCCGGCGTTCTCGTTTTTGCTCTTCGGGTAATGATGCTATGGGAAGTTGATCTTCGCTATCTTATTACGTTTTTCCACAGTATACATTCAATTTTGTTCTTATTTCGGCTCCTAGTATAATCTTGGTCTGCCCATATTATAGTAAAAAGGAGTAAAAAAAAAAATATTAAAGGCAATGGGAACTCATCTGCTGGACTAAAAAAGCGAGACCTCAATAAGGCAGCCAAGTTCTTTACTTATAGGAAACACTCTGCAAATAAGGAAATAAATCTACTTTTTCCCGATGCCCCAATACATAGACAAGCTAAATAATCAAAAACATTCAAACTGGATCAAGTTGTTTTTTACCCCTTTCCCTGTATTTTTAGTAAGACTCTATAAATGGAACGACTGTATTAATTCATTAATTTTATTCTCTTTAAAACCCCCTTTGCTACCGTAACTTCATTTTTTATATTAAATTTGTTTAATAAGATGAACAGTATTTCAAATAAAATTTAAATCGATTATATAAAACGGATGACTGTAACATTTTATTAAAATGCTTTGTAAGAATAATAATCTATAATATTACAGAGCACGTGTACGTGGTTTTTTATTACAAAAGAGGGATTGAGTAGTTTACATAAAAAGTGGGGGTGGGAATATGACTTAGATTAAGTAAGCGGCAACAATAAAAGCGGCAACGATCATACTGTTAGAGGTGAGTTGAATACCAGCGGAGCTTTCGGCATTTTGGACAGCAGCAACGGCAGCGACAGAAGAAGAGGCAGTAGCAGAGGGGGCAGCGGAAACAGCAGCGGAGGAAGCAGAGGAAGCGGAAGGAAGAGTGATATCAATTGTGGTAGAACTGGCGGTCGTGTTACTAGCAGTAGAGCTGGTGTTGGAAACAGCAGCAGCACCGAAAGGAGCGAAAACGACATTATCTTCGTAGTAAGGGTTAGTAATGTTCATACAAGTGGCAACATCAAGAACGTTCTTGTAAGCTTTTCTGATCTTAGGGAGGAATTCCATAGCAAGAGTCATAGTAGTATCATCGATTTCATGAGTTAAAGTAATTTGACCACTATTCTTGAAAGTTCCGTTAGCACCCATAGCAATGAAATCTTCGTAAGTCTTCTTGACAGTAGAGACAGTTTCAGTAGAACCAGCAGCCCAATCATCGGTATCAAGATCCCAAAGAATAGTAGTCAAACCAAGTTGAGTTGCAATCCAACGAACACGGTTATCGACATCTCCGAAAGCAGGACGCCAGTGTCTGGGGGTAACACCAGTAACCATCTTGATGGCCTTTTGAGTATAGTAAAGCTCAGCTAAAACTTCGGTATTGGTAAGAGTAGTCATCAATTGATGAGACCAGGTGTGATCGGCAATGTGATGACCGGCCTTTTGACCACGTTGAGCACCATATGGCCAGTTGACAACATTGGAACCAATGTAAAACATAGAGGCCTTGATCTTTTCGGCTTCCAAATAATCATAGAAAGCGTTGTGAGAACAGTTAGGTCCATCATCGTAAGTAAGACCCCAAGTTTCAGGTTCAGGACAGGTATAGATATCCTCGTTGATACCTTCTTGCTTAGGCTTAGTACAGGTAGAAGCAGACCACCAACAATCGGGATCGTTGTTTTGGTCATAACCAGCCATGTTAAGACTACCATCACTACTGATCTTACGGACCTTGATGTTGGGTGCCTTGGTCCAATCGATAGCATTGTAAACTCGCTTGAATTCGGCGGTTTCATTCATACCATTAGAGGTAGCGGTCTCCCAAAGGTTGGGCCATTCGCTTTCTTTAAAATCAAAGTTGGCAGGAGGCTCGTACCATTTACATTGAGTGGCACCATCAAGAGAGGTTGTCTGAGGAATCTTGGCAATAGTAATGTTGAGAGGATCTACTTTAGAATTGAAGCTCTTCCAGTAATCAGCAAGAACAAACTTTGTAGAAGAAGCGGTGCTGGTAGATTTAGTAGTGCTGGTAGCGGCTTGGACGAATCCAGCGATTTGAAGTAAGGTAACTGCAACAGCAGAAGTTTTGATATACATTTAATCTAAGGACTGCAAAGAAAAAAAGGAGAGAAATGAGTGGATTGGGGAGTTGTTTGAAAAAAAGATATATGGAGAGAAAAAAGGAAATGTAATTGCAATGGCATCCTTTTATACATTTTATTAGGTATCGTTTCATTTTAGCGGGATCTCTTTATTTTATTCTCCATTTTCGCAAACAATTTACTTTGTACAACTCTATTTTTTTATTATCCAAAATGGGTCTTACTATATATTGATAATCTGTCTATACTAGGGCAAAAGAACGAGGACAATGCAAGTTGGCCTCATTTTTAAAGTATACTGACAAGTGTTCCGTACATGTTAATATTATTACTGTTAAGCTGAGGATGTAAATAGCCGCTTCTAATTTTTTGAAAATGACGTTAGCCAAAAATTGCACTACAATTGTCTATTATTATAATCCAGTACCGTCCCTCGGCTGAAAGTTATTTTCATCGCCTACACACTACTGTCATTTAAACTTATCATCATTTTACTACTTTTGTCAAGAAGGGAGTAACAAAACCATGTATGTCCTAAATTAAATAGTCGGAAGCCATTGAAACGCATGCAATTACTTAACCTCTCCTAATGGACAAATGATAAATATCTTCTCTTTCTTTGTATTTAGTTGATGCCGTGTAACCTTACCGCCGTTGGATATATTTTTGTGTCTTATTTGCGCAATCACAACAGAAGATTTTTTTTGTCACAAAAAGCGACACGCTACTGGTGATCTGACATATAAACTCAAACGTTATATTTATAGCTTTTTTTTACCTTGCAGATTGCAATGCTAATCAGCAAAACTTATTCTCAAGCCGATTAACATTCACCAATAAAAATAGGCGGCATGTTTTTTTTTATTACGCAATTCCCGGTAGTATCATGAAGATTTTGCCAAGAGCTTTATTTATTACCATTTTTTAACGTTACCAAACCTTTTATATGATCGTCAGAAGTTTTTCCCGGGTTATAAACATCTGAAGTTTAAGTATAAAGATTCTTTTTAGAACAGGTGGTATAACATATTGCCTTCATATAACAACAGCCCCACGGTAATTAATTCCTGACCTGTTTTACAAGCAGACTATTCATTGACTAAAAATAAATAATATGTACAATTTTGAATCTTTTTTTTTTTCTTATTCTAAAATAGGGTAATATATATTTGGGGAACACAAATAGAACGTTACACACAGATTCATTTCACTGGCAGCAGAGCCTTTTACTTTATCCGGCTATACAGAGTGTTTTTTAAGATGAAAAGGAGTTGGATATACAATATTATCTGGTTAGTGTAGTCAACTATTTAAAGATGTGAAAACTTTAACAGCTTTATCTCATCATACGATTAAGGTTTTTAAAGAACCCAAATTTTGAATTTGTGTTCATCATCAATTGAATGGCCTGCACGAGTTCCTCGTTTAATGCAAGGATCTCCGTAAAGTTATTTTTATCTTTGAAAACATGACCCGATGTAACAAAATAACAGTAGTTCAAGCGAAGGATATTTTTGATTGAAGTTGTATATACATAAATTATTATTTTTAAAAAAAAAAATCCAAACTGGATAATTTTTTTTAAGAAAAAGGAGTATATGATACAAATAAATCTTTTGATGTAACCACGTTTCATGAGGTAGTTGCTGTCACAAAAACGTAAAATGCGCCTGGTGAAATTCTCCTATAACAACCGGTTTTATTCTAAAACAATGAAGCCGTTTGTTTTTTTTAGAAATCGTACTTTTCCTTTTAATTTATTGAAAAGCCTAGCAACACGCTTTTTAATGTGGTACAAATAATGTACTAATTCCGTAATAGATACAGAATTTAGAAATCTCTGCTAATTTGTACCTGCATGTGCGCATGAAAATTGAAAGAGGGGTTGGAGGCGTTAATAATTTGTAAGAAATTACTAAAGCCTGTAACAAGAATTTATTGCTTAATATACGTGAGTGTTTATTCACGAATCAAGCATGTTTCATCATGTAATTTATGATTTAACCTGATTACTACTGGGGATCTTCTACATGGATTGTATATAATATGGCCAGACAGCTCGAAATGTCTTGCGAAAATCATAATTGACTGCAGGAATCTTAAATACGACAAGTCAATAGTAAATTATCAATTGCGCAAATCGCTTCAACAAAACAAGTGTGAGTGGTGTTTTACGCGATGTTACACGATGGTCATTAAAATAAACTGGGATTAGTCAATATGGAGAGCGCTGATTCCGAAAAGCTTTTTTTTTTTTGCTCTTCAAGAATTATTGTAACAAAACAAATGCTAATTAATTTGATCCAAAGCTATAACTTAAATATAAGAAGCTAAATTGTATTATGTTGTCATACATTTCAAACATGGCCGTATCAGTATAGAATCATATGGGGGCATTGTGGTTGACATCACATAATTCAACTCCTGCATTGAACCACATATTTTCAACCACAGACCAGTACTTGCGAGATAAAAAAAAAGCAGATTGTACAAAGCCAATATTCCTGTAATCGGATTTTTATAATCCGAATTAAAACAGTCTCTTCTTGTGATCACAATGCAGAATTTAAGTTTCATGACCTAAATCTTCTATCAGTCAGCATTTATTATCACATAATGCTTATCTTGTATGGACATAACAATGATCAACATTGCTACAGCAATATTCCCTTAATGTTTTAGTGTCAAATGTCAGATTTCCTAGAATTCGTTACACGTCGGTAAAACTCGGCGGGTAAAAAGTTGAACGAGCTTAATCTAGGCTTTTTATTACCATCGTTTTTAGCTGTCTCGTTAAGATTTATGTATTTGTGGTTTTTTTACAAATCCTACTTGATCCATCATTTTAAGTACAACGACTTAAGTATTGTTGTCTCGAATTAGCTTATGACAGGTCTTACAGCTTTACTAAATGTTTTTCAGACCCCGATGTAAAAACAAGTTTGGTAAATGCGGTGCATATCTACATGAACCCGGCCGGCTTATATACAATGATTAAATCGAATAAAAATACTGGCCATATTCCACAATTTGAGTCGGTTTAAGATTTTTTTTTTTTTGAAAATCTTAATCTAGATCCTATCCAAACTCTACTGCATGAAGATAATAAAGTTATATGAATCTGGGAATCTGGGAATGTTGGAATTATAAAATTGTATTATGTGGCTTTATGGTGGATTTTCAAAGAAAACTATGCGCATGGATCAATGTGTAGGGAGAGTCCGAAATTCGTCTTTATGCTCGTTGTTATAGACGACCAGCATCATCTGAATCAAAGAATAGACTTTTTTTAAAACCGGAATGAGTCTACATCTAGATCGTGAAACACAGACATGCATGAATTTTTTCGAGTAGTTCATTCGTGCAGTACCAGGCTGATGAGGGGAAAACACTTATGCTAGAGTCGGCTTAAGCGGGCAAAAGTGACATTGCCGGAATATCGGGATCCGAATTTACATTGTAGAATGCGTGCAGAAAGAAGCATTTATTATTACGACTCTATTCGCTATAGAAAAAAATCACTAGTTTATTTATTCTGATGACATAAAAAAAGACAAAACTATGAGCTCATCCAACCGGCAGCTGGCAATCTGCAAATGTTCTAGTTTTTTTAATCGCCACTAATGTTTCAGGCTCATTTTGTATGGACTGTTCAATTAGAATATGGTATAAAAAAAAGTAGTCGTAATTTACAAATCATTTTCTTTCTTCTTCCTTTTTTTTCTTTAGATCTCTCCTCTTTAATTATTCCCTTTACTATAACCACATTTATTTAGTAATGGATGCCTTAAACACACCGGTACACAGAGTGGACATTAAACAAGAAACATTCGACGGCGATAACAATCAAGCGCTGCTTGCGTGGTCTGATTATATCAATCAAACACAGCCATTGATGTGGGGCACTGAAGGAGTTGACATGTCAAGTCTTGTTGATCCGAGCATATGGTCAACAGAACCCCAACAAGAGCCAAATGGCCTAATAAATTCAACTTTTGATAACCTGTTTGGACCTTGGAATGACAATATCCCATCAGCAGCACCTATAAAAGAAGAATGGCCATTAAATCCTATACAACAAGTTGGTTATCAACATCAAGATCCTTTATCATTTATGACCATGAACAATGCTGTTTATGTTAATCCATATTCTCGCGAAATTACTCCTCCATCATCTATAACATCTGAAAATAATTCACCAAATAGCAGTATATCTTCACCCCCATCCTGTTGTTCTAATCGTCGCAAATCTTCGTCAGATTATCAAGCGCCACGACCTTATCGCCGTAGAGCATCTTCACATCCCTCTGTTGCATCTGTTGTCTCTTTAACTGCCCATGAGCCTATCGCACGCATCATCGGAGGAGTTGAACACATAACATTTTTATATTCTCACGATCGACTTGTAAAAGAATATACAGTTCGAACAGATGTGAATAGCGTAAATTTAGAAAATATTCCTCAAGATTTCCGAACTCAAAATGCAATTTATCCCAGAGCAAATGTGACCAGGGAAGAATACGATGGTAATCGATGGGAATATGAAACTAGCTGTAACAAATTAGGATGGCAATTATGCTGGTTAAATCAAGACCAACTTTGTGGTAGACGTGGTCTCATTCAACGAGCAGTTGATTCATATCGTAACAGACATACAGAAATGAGATCAAGAAGAGTGACTCGCCAAGAAAAAGTAGCCAATGGCACCCTTCGCAAAAGACGAGTAAAGAAGGCTCAGTCTGCCATTTTGTAAATAAAAACCTTATCTAAACGAAAATCATGACATGTTCTTTACGTTATTTTTTAGCTTTACCAGAAATAGTATTTTTAATTTACGTACATCTTTCCCTCCGTACAAAAACTATTGTTTTGTACGACACAAAGATATCAAGTTATTATAACAATCCCGTCAACTAAAGCATCAACAGAGACCCCTCAGCCAATCCTGATTCACATTCGACGACCAAAAAGTATCCTTCCGGCCTCGAAAGACATTCACCATAACTGCTCATTGAGTACAGATTCTCAGGAATCTTCAGCCTCACCTGAGAACCATAAACGACTTACAGGCCCTCCCGCTAACACTGCTACAGCCGTTGAAACATCATCTCTAATCTGCAATCCAGCAACCAAACGTCCTTTCGCTGCCTCCACCATTGTAAAACTGTTTGACGACAACATTACACGCCATAAGAAATACATTGGTAAAAACTCCTCCACCATAAGCCATCCCTCTCAATCCCATATCCTCCACAACACGATGGAAAACAACACGCTTCCTGCAATCCACTTAACTTCTGCCACGACCCACGGAGTCAGCTCCCCTGACGATCTCTCATCTCACTCCCTAGACAAGGATGGTTCATCATTACGAAACAATTTCCAATTTGGAGATACGTCAAATGATTTTCTATCCCAGAGTAGTCTACCTGAGGTACCTCATAATCCTTCTTTAAACGATAATGATACACCCAAATGGGCTTTGGACCTACAAGCTCAGATGAATCGACTTGTTGCCCTTTTCGAAGTGTCTACAAAAGAAAATTTAACACTCCGTCAGGAACTAAAACTTTCTAATGCTCGTATAACTGCACTAGAACAAAAACTTTCTGGCACTCGACGTGCTGGAAATTTTGATTTTAATGTCCCTGAAACTTTTCTTAATAGTTTTGGCAGCAATGCTTCTAAGTATTCAGACACTAATTACTCGGCAAAACAATCGACCACTGGTCACAATAGCACTAAAGCTAGTAGTGATAATAAAAACGTACATTCTAAGACCTCCTTCGCAGACATGGCAAAGAAGCCGGTCCCACTGAACAATTCTCGTAAGCGAGTTACGGTTAAGCAACGTAAAGCAGCCGCCCGTATCTTTGAAGCTCCTGCTGCACAAACATCTTCCGATACTTTCCTTTACTTATACTTACCTAACAAATATCGAATTCGCATCAAGGAGTTCCGTCAAAAATTGCGAACCATGGGAATCGATAACGGTCGCATTCTTGACATTCACTATCCAGCTCGTGGAGTTGTGGCAATTTTGATCCATCACAGCTATCAAAATGAATTAAACTCCATCTTAATGAAATCTACCATCACGCCTATTGCAAATTTTAACCCAATCGCAGCTGAACATGTTAACGACATCTCCTTAAGTCAACTTACAGCTGATGAACGTGCAGTAAAGGCTATTGAATTTCATCAAACACGACTCATCAGGGGCTTGAAATTTATTAGAAGCTACCTTCGCAGATCAGTAGCACGAACGTTTGTAAATCAGGGATGGATCACTGAAACACAAGCACAACAAGTACTATTAGAGACTACCATGGGCAACGAATACCATGGTTCACCTAACAACGCCCACGAGACGAATAATTCCGACACAGCCAACCGACCTCGCTCAGGATTTAGTACAAGAGAACATACTCAAGTACCTCCACAAACTGACGAACAAATGGATATTGAAGAAGAAACAAGCAACAACTCCTCGCCTGGTGTCGGTCAACCAGCCCCCCGTCAATAAATGAGTACATTAATTGATACCACTAACCCTATGCCTACCTATGAAACTCCTATGACTACTGACATCTCTATGTTTACTAATATACCTATGCCTTTGACTACTAACCAAACCAGTCAGCCTAACATCGCTCACAATCAACCGACACCAACTACATTTAAATCCAATAAATTAAAAATCGGATCCATCAACTGTCGTAGCTTAGCCTCAACATCAGATCCAACTACTCGACGGAAATTCACCCGCTATCTTCGATCCCTAAAATACGATATACTCAACTTTCAAGAAGTCCGAACTGAAGACAACAATGTAATAGATTCCTTAATTATGGAACTACAAGCTAAAGATTCAACTTGGACACAACACGTCGGTATCGTTAGCCTCAATCCAAACATTCGAATCACACCCATTTTCATCACCCTCAGTAAACATGCAGTTTTTGTTAAAGTCCACCACATCAATCATCACTTTGAGCCGATCTTTTTACTCAACCTGTATGCCCCTAGTCAGTCGGGACCCAAGAAACAGTTTTATAGTGATCTTATAGAACTGCCTCTATTCAAAGATGAAATAGATATAGCACATTATACTAAGTATTCTAACTTCTTAATTGTCGGTGATTTTAACTATCATCATTACTCATCATATCGATCTTCGAATTCACCCACTCCCCACCCTATAGCGTCGTGGAAACGGATCCTCAGCCAACAACTTTATGACTGCATCAATTCAGATGATATAAGTGAAGTATTCTCTGTTGACAATCCACAAATAACATTCAGCCGGGGAACTTCACGCACAACCATTGATTACATTTTTGCGTCTCCTGCAATCAAAAGCAGTATCACCGCATCTGGGGTGAAATTTATTAACACTAACTGGACAGATCATGCTCTGCTATCCATTGATCTAATCATGGTGAGCAAAAAACACGGTAAAGGTATATATCGAGCGAACCCGGCACTGGTCAAGAACAAACGTTTCGTCGAACAATTATCTACACTACTACAAGATTTGAACCCTTCTACCACTCACGGCCCTCTTAATTCCCCTCAGAAGGAATGGGACGCTATGAAAAGAAAGGTAAGAAAGTTCTGTCAGAGCTTTAGCCGACACTACTGTCAATGGCGTGAAAAACAAATCGCTAGACTGCAAACTCGACGGTCCACGCTCATCGTTAAACATGCAAATTGTCCCGCCATCCTTAACCAACTTTTACCAACCGTTGAACAACAGTTAGGAATATTACAAAAGGAAGTGGCCGAAGTCGATGCAATTCGGGCTGGTAAACACTGGCGGGAACAAGGAGAAATTTCAGCTGGATACCTCAAGCGTACGATATCCCAACGGGAACAACAACGTAGCATGAAAGCAGTACACCATCCGATATCCGGGGAGCTATGCCATAATGACAAAGACATTCAGGAGTCTGTTAGAATTTACTACCAAGATTTGTTTAACCCGGATCCGATCAATCCCTCATCTGTTAATGCTATCTTATCTCACATTACTGAAGATTGTAAAATAACCAAAGATACTGCTGCAGGATTACTCCTTCCAATCACGATAGAGGAAATTCTAGAAGGTGCCAAACGATCTCCTGGCAAAAGCAGCCCGGGTTTGGACTCTATACCGTACGAAATTTTAAAACTTATCCTTGCTGACACTTATTTTAGCAACCTTTGTGTCATCATCTTTAATGAAGCGTTGACAAAATCAATTTTTCCGGACAGTTGGTTGAAAACATCGATGATCCTACTACCCAAGAAAGGTGATCTCACTCAACTAAAATGCTGGCGCCCAATTGCGCTCATTAATACAGATAGCAAAATATTTACTCGATTGATCAATTCGCGCATGATGGACTCAGCAGCCGACATCCTTAGCCCACAACAACTAGGTTTTATGCCAGGACGTTTCATTGGTGATCATGGACTTACCCTTCAACTAGCCGTTGAACACGTCAAACATCAGATAACACCGGATGATGAGAGCTACCACTGTATTGGACTTCTACTCGACCAAGAAAAAGGATACGATAGGGTATCATCAGACTATTTACGCGCCACCCTATTAGCTTTTGGATATCCCCAGACCCTTATTAATACCATTACCGGGCTATTTTTTAACACTTCCATTCAGGTCAATATTAATGGCCACCTTTCACCAGCCATTCAACAAAACCGAGGATTACGACAAGGCGATCCGATCTCACCCCTCCTGTTCAACTTGGCATTCGATCCATTCCTGAAATCAATAACAAAACACCCCGATTATTCCGGGTTACCGTTCACGCCAACACCACCGGATAGTACATCGCCTACTTCTACTTATACACTAAATAATGAAACGGCCTTGATCCCCAAACCTTTGCGACTCTGTGTCTACGCCGATGATACATTAGTTTTCCTTAAAAATCACTCGGACTTCCACATTCTTCAAGAGACCTACGCCCTCTACAGCGAAGCCTCCAATGCCAAACTGAATTATGATAAAACCGAAGCTTTTGCACTCAATGGTAAACCTTCTGAGGCTTGGACACAATTCTTACTGAACCACAACATCACTAAGTGGCACTCCCAATACTCGACAGCTCCACTGCGTTACTTGGGTTACCAACTCTGTTTCTCAACCAGTCAACGCAATCATTATGCTGACATCTTAATCGATAAGATTCAACAGGCATGCAACATCCACAAACAACGACAACTGTCAATTCGTGGACGAGCTACTGTTTTAAACTCTTTAATCTACTCAACATTATGGCATGTTATTCGGCTATTTCCCATGACTAAAGCCCAGATAGCCAAAATTCAATCGATTGGATACCAATTCCTTATGTTTCGAATGTTTCCAAAACTCAAATTGTCGATTCTTCAAAAACCACGATCACAAGGAGGACTCGGGATCCTAAACATCGGCCTTCAACAAAGGGTCTTTCAGTGGCGTTGGTTAAAACCCCTTTTAGAAGGTTATGGCTCCAACACTGACTGCCCAAAAGACGTGTACACTCTCCTCAAATTTGGACTGCGATCCTACAACGGGGATTTAACACACCATCACCTGCCATTGCTCTTAACAAAATATCGGGCTACCTCCCTCACTAATCATTATAGCCCATTTAGCACTATCTTCCAAGCTGTCGATTCCATTCCAAGAAACCTGACCAGCCTTCAGATCAACAAACACACCTGCCTTCAACTCCCCCTCTCATCCATCTGGATTCACACCAACACAACAACTACCGAAGACTCCTTCATCAAACCCGGAATTCAAAAGATGTTTGCACATCAACTATTCAGCATAGACGAAAGTAACACGCAAATTATTCGCAAACCCTATTCCGCACTCACACAACATCCTACTTTGGCCAGACACTTTTTCCGACTACTGGATCAAAACAACATAATGTTAAATTTATTCTTTATTCGTCAATGCTTGTCCCCTGGAAATACATTTAACACAGACAACCCGATACTACCTGAACAATCACACCTAGACCTGTCTCCCATAGTACATCATATGTTGACCTCCTTCTACGACAGCATCAAACAATTTGCAGGAATCAGGATTAATATCAACCGATTGGTACGACAACTCATGACGGGACAATCTCTCACTTCAGCTCCATCCAACAGTCACCCTACAAACACAGCCTGGACAAAATTCTGGAAGACCAGCCTCCATCCAACATCACGCAATATATGGTACCGCTTGGTCCACAACAAAGCTCCTGTCAAATCCTTCCTCCATCGAGTCTTCCCTGATATCCATAACAGTCCCAATTGTGATATCTGCCCAAACATACTCGCAAATGCAGAACACGTTTTCGTCACCTGTCCCCAACGATGGTCCGTATGGGCTTCTATATTACTTGCTTTCAACCAACTACAAGATTTATCCAAACCAGAACAACAAGCCATTATTTTACAAAGCATTTTTCAGCTCAAATATCAAGGCACAATCACCACACTCCCTCACTGCAACTTCATACAACTGCTAGGCTCGACTATCCACTCGATATGGCTATCACACCTCAACGAAATTTTCCGCGACATTACATTTCACGTAGAGACCACTGTCAAACGCACTCAGCAAACAATCGCTTCGTTACTCATAGAACAAGAAGAGGACATGGACATTTCCAAAAATATAAAAAATCAAAAAAATAACAAAAGCTAAAAACCCAAAAATATCCCACATCATCTCCTTCGCTCCACCCTTACATTAATTCCCATCCCCGTACCCATTATTCCACAGTCACTCAATTGTCCGGTCCAATAATATTTGCGATTCGAATTGTTGACTTTAAACAATAAAGATCTAGTCTCTTTCATACAAAAAAAAAAAAAGTATTTTTAATTTAAACGGAGTTTTTTCAGATTAAATATATGCCCACATTTCTTGCCTTCTCGATCCTATGAAGGTATTAAGTAATAATGAGGTGACACAAAGCTGTTGGCATTATATGATGCCAATCGTGTTACAAACAAAGATATAAAAATTACGTAAAAGCAAAGGTTTTTATTGATTCTATTAAATCTATCCGAATCTCACCTTCTTCTTTTCAGGTGCCTAATACATAATATTGAGTTAAACCATTTAATGTAGACAATTGATTAGTGTACTTACAGGAGGTTGGAATTTTTCACGAGCAGCCTGAGCCTTAGCTTTTGATTTTTGCTTTCTAGCCTCAGACTTTTTCTTCTTTTGCGCTTCAAGGTAGGCCTGCTTTACCTTTTCTAACTTTTCCTTTTTCTCTTCAGCTTTCAGGTCTTTCTTTGCGTCCTTTTCCTCGATTATCTTTGCTACATGAGCCTTCTTTGCCAATTTTTTTTCTACTTTTTCGTCTTCTTTCTTTGATGCTGATTCAACTAAATTTAACATGAAATCCTGTAACAAAAGTCAGAACCCAATCCCATTTCAATCCTCGTTAAGTCTCATACCAAATTAGCATATTTAGGGTTATCTACTTCGGAAGTTCCCTTGACACGTCTCTTGTGGGTGACCTTCGTTACTGTCTTTTTGTTTGTTTTTTTGACATTGCCTGTCTTTTTAGCAGCTACGGGCTTATCATTTGTTTTTGTTTCTGCCTAAGAGCATAAAAATTAGGAATTTACCGATCCTTGGGGATTTCACTGTTAATTACCTTAGTCTTAGCCATTGTGTATTTTTATTTGAACAAGAAAAATAAAACTTTTATGCTAAATGTTTCTGTGGCTTTCCTTCGACAAAAGAACAGTCCATTGTCGGCAATTTAAAAGGAAGTCTTTCTTTCCATGACACCATGGTTACTTACCTTACAGATGAAAAATATTTTCGAACAGACTCAAAAATGCTTTCAGACATATGAAAATATTTTTCGGACAAAGGTTTTTAACGATATTGAGGATATAATAATAACAAGCCGAAAGTCGGGTCGTCAGGAACGATCCAAAAAGACAAACTCCTGTATCATCACATACTGGGGAGGGTGGTCAGTTGTTCCATCCTGGATTCACCTTCATCAATAATAAAGCAATGCAAATAGCAAATAGTCACATATGACCTTAGAGATGCGTTATTGGAGATGAATATTATAGACGGACCCTTATTGTCTTTTTATGATTCATAAAAAACAATAAAGTTACCAAAAGTAACCAAATGCCCGTTCTCAGTGCTACCCACGATGAATTACATCCTTCAGTTCTACGAACAGGTTAATATCCAATTACAGCAGGCTATATAGACGCTACAACTACAAGAGCAACTCCCGGTAAAAGCTGTTCAAATAGTTCAAGCTGTACAATCAGTACAACCGGTCCGTCCTCGCGGACAAATACGCCGACCAAAGCAACCTCGCTTGTTTGCGCTTTTTCCAAATCCCAACTTCCTAAAGAGGAATAATGAAACAAACTTTGCATTTTACATACGTCGTTTTATAATTCATTTAACTTTATGAAATTGGGTATTAGAAGGTGAACTTTAAATCTAAATAGCACTATAAAAAAAAAGGAAGTATAACTGATTAAGCATATTTCAATCTATTGTACTTTATCAAATAGTCTTGAAGAACTACATAACTTACCAAGAATAAAATGATGCATGTTTTTAAACAGTTTTTATACTGATGGCTACACCTGTAGAATTTCTTTCACAAGAAATGTTCTCGAGAAGCTCGAGAAAGATCGTGTCAAACTTTAAATCCATGATTTTAAAAATAATGTCAATAGCTGCTTTCGTCCTTGTTTTTTCAGATCCTGGTCGAAAGAGCGCATACGTGGCATATTATGTTATGAACAAAACAGATCTTTATCAATAAATGAGTATTAATACTGCTCTAAATCAGTAAATTAATCAAGAAAAGAAGACAACCTTAAAATATAAAGGACGAAGAGTTAGTGTTTCTAATATTATTTATGAGAAATTGAAAAGAAACTCTCGGGGAGATTTTAGTTCCTGATCTAAAGGAATCACGGAACCTCATCCGTAAGCTATCTCGATGTAAGTGAACCCTTGGTATACATCGAATAGCTAAAAGTCTTAATCACAAATAGCATTTATTCAGGTTATAATGCTTATCTTACAATTGAACTGTCATGGTTTAAATTCATTGAGCAAGATTGCCACATGAAAATTATTTTTTTCTTGTGTCGCGTATGTCTCATTCTATATCGTCTCTGTAATATATCAATGATAGCTTGATTTATAGGAAAACAAAAGGCTACTTTCGAACTCTTCCATCACGAAAATCATATTATATAATTCTTTTAATATTGGGGAAAACATTAAGAGTATTTACCCTATTTAAATACATAGCTAATAAAGTGGTTGAAAATACTGTTTGTATTTATTGGATAACAATCCGGTAAGTGATAACCTATGCTCAAGTCACACGATAGTTATAAATGTAACCTATATATTTCCTAATTTACAACAGTCTTTTTTTTGCATTAGTCTACTTCACCACAATTATCTACATACTGGGAATACATAAGTTAAGTGCGATTCGTCAAATGCATACGGTGTACCGACGGATTGCTTAAAATGTAATTAAGCCAAAAACTTATATACCCCTTTCATCATTAATGGCGATTAAAATTCTACAAATGTTTTCACAACTGTTATCTTTTTGTGACACACACCTGTTATCTATTGTCATTTATCATTGTAACATAGATAAAGGTAACACTACCCATCGCATTCAAGATCTTCGGCTGAACAAAAATTTGTTTACAACTAATGTTGTTTGTCCGTTCCTGTAACTAACTTTTTTTTTAGGTGATACCAAGAAATATTGTTTTAAACCAATAATGGCGCTCGCATTGCATGAGTTTATCTTGGTGGTACACTTTGTTTAAATCAATTACTGCATTGCCTTCAGTTCATAAAATAGTGTTCTACATATACTGTGATAGCAAACATGGTTTATAATATTTCTTTTTTTAATTCGGTCCAAAATAAAGTCATTCGATCTTGCCATTTTATTAACTCAATTTAATTTTTGTATCTTCATATCCGTATTGATCGGATGTTGTATTTGCAAACCGGGCTGGCAGTTTTCTCTCTCTTTTGGAAAGCTTTCTGAGGGGGGACGGGGAAGGGGGGGGGGTATTTATCAGATGGCGTAGCCTTGAAATTTCTGTCAGAACGCAAATGAATCATTTTGATGTAATGTTTACCTATTTTCGACAGGGTAGATTCAATAAATTCGTCATGTACCTCACCATATTTAGTTAGACATCCTAATTTTCCGGCCAAAATTAGACAAAAAAAAAAGACTATACGTTTTACCGATAATGATGTTGTCTTTGTACAGAGGGATTTTATTCAAGTGCAAAAAATAGGTATACGCACTATCTAAAAGGGTGTGGGTGGGTACTGGAAAAGTAATAATACGAAGAAAGCAGTGTTGTATGTGTGTGTGTGTGTAAAAGAGAAGGAGGAGGAGGAGGGGGGGGGGAGAGAGATACGTTTGTAATTTCAAAGTGTCTACGCACAAGAGGACCTTTTGTATGGCATTAAGTTATCATCTGGGCTCGTACGCTTTTTTTGATTAGGATGTTTCCAACACACCTGTCCTTGTATTTTTTTATGCTCGATTCCCTGCGCTTGAATTAGCCTCTCAGCAAATTTCATGGTTTCAATGAGGCCAGCTGGTGGTTTATTCGCTAAGGCCTTTTCAACCAGTAAGCGATATTTTGGAACTAGAGAAGTAATGTAACGTTTAGAGAGAGACGCATCATTAAGATTCATGCAAGCAACGATTGAATATCGATGGAATTTTTTGTTATAATCGTGAATAGTATCATGACTCTTCATTTCCAACGATAACAATCGTTCCGCGTAAAGTGTATGTCTCTCTGTCATCCGTTTTTTCTCGTCCATCGTACCTTGCAACACAGGCGTGACTGGATGGTAAACACGAGTAGCAGCTTGGGTAGCTGACATAGAAGGATCAGTTTGAGGTTCGTTATGGTTAAACTGTTTGAAAGGTGTTTGCACATGGATATCAGGAAAAGCTTTCAAATAATATTTGCGAGCTGTATTCCAATTAAGCGACCTGTGTAAAATGGTATTTTCTGCCCATTTTATTTTGTCTTGCGGTAAAGCATGAACGAACAATGACTCCCACACATCTGACAGTTCCATTTTATTTTGTGCAGCAAATGTACGTGCCGTATTTTCAAATTGATCCAAAAATACGTTTGACGAAATATTGATTGATTCCGCGTTTACTTTAGTTGCTGGAGCGGAATCAATCTCCATATAATCTGGCTCTTTTGGTACAGACACTGTTTGTCGTTGTGCTCTTCCGACCATTTGAGAGTTCTGGGCTTGCAAGGGTTGATGGGATTCAATATCTTTTTGAGTATGACGGTCTCTAGAAGACTGAATGTCTTTTGATGGATGTATCTTTCTTGGACCGAGTACGTTTATTTTACCATCCTGTTGGTTATTTTGAATCACTTGTTGATGGTCCAATGGGTTCTTTTTGATTAGTCGTTGTGGACGATCCAACGATTTTTTTTTAATCGCCTCTTGCGAGTAGCCTAATATATTTTCGGTAATGACTAGTGGTTGTTGGTTTAATGGATTTCCTTTAACTACTTGATGTTGCTGGCTTAATGAAGTATCTTGAACTGTTTGTAATTGATGATTTAATGGGGGTTGGATAAGTACTTGCTGCTGATCCGGTGGACTGTCATTCACAGAAACCGGTGTGTCTCTTTGAATTATATGCTGTTGCTGAATCTGCGCAGTATTTGTAAGTTGTAGTGTATCATTTTGTACCAATTGTTGTTGATGTTCTTTGATTTTTGAAAGTGAATTGATGGCAGAAGCCGAAGTACTTCTGATAGCAGAATTGATCGTCTCTTTTTCATTATGGTTTTCCAAAAGCACGGGATATGTTAACTTCAGCACCCTAACAACCATGTTCAACCTATCGTAATGTTCCATAACTGAAACAAGTTTGTCTTGTCTGGATTTTATATCAGAAACTTGATTTAATGAATTAACCGTAGCTAAAAATTGCTCGGTCACTTTGACTAGTGTCGAAACAAGAACACCAGCACTACCAGTTTCACCTTCACTTAAAAACCCGATTTTCTGGTTATGATTATCTTCCATTTGTCTTTTATTATAGTTTGATAGGAAAAATAGAAAGTGAAAGAAAAAGATGAAAAAAAAGATTAAATGAAGGAAAAAAAAAACGACACTTAAAGTAAACAAGTGACTGCTGTAAATGATGTCCTAGCCAGTAGAAATTTCTTGCAATACAATAATGAAAATAGCACTCTCAGAACAATGAATCTCCCTCCTTTTGATGATGAAGGTGTGCTTATTCTATGTTACGTAATTCATTACGCGCTTTTATTCTGATTTTATAACGAGGGTAACGAGATGAGCTTACAAATGATTACAATGCAAATAATCATGAGCTTCAAATGTTGTGGTACCGTGGATGACATCTTTCACACTCTAAAAATTCGTTTCAGCAACATAAAATTATATCCTGTCCAAGCAAGCGCATATTTTAAACGGATATCAAAAACAGTTTCCATTAACAACAATTTAGAATCATTGTTGTATGATATATATATATATATATATATATATTGGCAGATCTAATAATCATATCTGCAGCTTTGTAGCTGGGCTTAAAAGCCGCCTGAGCTGCTTTAATTTTGACTTTTTAAATTAGGTAAGGAGACGTGTTTGATTTTTATTTATCTTTTTATAGGTATTAGGCGTAGTGTTAGGAAAGTGAGGGGTGTTTTTAATCAGATCATTCATATATTTCTTAGGATCTTCGCAAGTAAATATACAATGTTTTGAAAGATACTGTTTAGGAACATTTTGTGTGTGTGTGTGTGAAATGTTACTCTGAAAGTTGAATCTATCTTTCGGAACAGTGTAACCTTGTACAAACAAAAAAAGATCCCTTCATGGAAATCTTTCTGTAGAACTATGAAGGCTTACAGAGTTAAGCTTTGGTTATACCTAGTACGGATGACATTTAAAGGTCATATGAAGTTAAAGTCCTAGCAATGCTTTTGGGACTTTGATATCACTCCTAATTTTAAGTGAAAGTCGCTGATGTTTATAAAACTGGGGTTGTGATATATTGTTCAATATCAAGTTGTAAAAGAAAAGAAGAAAAGTAACCAACTCCAGCATTTATTTATACATATTCAAGCATAAATGGATAGCTGGACAAAATCGCTTAAACAAACAACCATGCTTGCACATGCTAGCATTCCTCTTGGTGTTAGGTCGTCTATAAGACTAGACAGCCATCAACAGATGGTATCTTAAGAATGCATCAATTATTGACAATAACAAGTACTCATAAATCATCCATTTTTTTGGACCCTCTCTCCCTCAATTCCAAAGAAAAGTTACATCGGTGGTACCCTTGTGTCCCTTGCAACTTACCAACCGGATCTTCTTGCGTATGCAACACACCTCGCCCGCATGAATGAACGCATTTCGATGTCATTTTTCACCAGCAAGGGTTTGTTCATGGCAAAAGTCATCAAGTTTTTTCAGGTTTATTTTCCTGTTTCTCGTATGCTAGTTTTCTGTAAAAATATTTATTATAAAAACCTGCCATGATTGAAAAGAGCTTAAATGGCAAGTTTTTGTAACTGACCACAAAGACAAATATAGAATGGTAATACATATTAAAAATATGCCAGATGCAAAATAAACGAGACTGTAGTCATCCTCGATTTTTAGTTATATGGTCTGGCTTGTGACCAACTTTAAGCATATGTACCAAAAAAATATCCCATTGTCTGAATAGCTTCCTCTACATTCTATACGGCGTAAACTGTATGATTGTTACATGTAAAAAGATCATATGAAATTTGAGCACAGTTAAATTTTCAACCGCGACCCAAAATTCTTTTTTGTTCTTAACTGACTTGACCATGTTTTCAACTGCAAGAGGCGTTCGTAAACTAACCCTGGAGAATATCCCCAAGATAACGAGACTGGCTACGCGTAGTTATATTCGACCTCACTACTACAACAACAAGGAAGGTTCATTGTCAAGTGCCTTGAAATCACAAAAAAACCCATTCAATCAATTTGGAACCAAAATTAACAACCTGCCTCCCAATGCAGTATTATGGACAGTTATTGGTACTAACGTAGGTGTATTCGGCTTATGGCAATACTCGATCAATACATATAAAACTTTTGGGGATGATTCCAGGCTCAACTTTATGGTCAAAAACTTCATGTGTTCCCCAAGTCATATTGAGAATGGCAGAATTCACACTTTGCTCACAAGTGCTTTCTCGCATAAATCATTGGATCACCTTGGTTTGAATATGTTTGTACTCTATACTATGGGACAAGGTGTTATTGAATTTATTGGGGCTTCACGTTTCTTATTGCTTTATGCCGGTGCTGGTATCACTGCTTCCCTTGTAGGTGTTGGTTATAGAAAGTATATTAAGCCCATGTTAGAAAAAGGATATAGACAGCAAAGGGACAACAGTTTATTTCTTGGTTCTTTAGGGGCTTCAGGTATAGCTTGGGACATCTAAATACGAAAAATGTTTAACGTCTTTTGTTAGGCTCCGTCATGGGTATCACTACATTATATGCATGTGCCTGTAAGTATCCAATTTGTAATATAGAATTAGTATTAATTTTTTTCCATTAGTCCCGAGAGCAACCTTTTTAGTGTTCTTTATAATCCCAATGCCAGCTATTGCCGTTGTTGGATTGTTTGCTGCTTATGACATTTACAAAGCTTCAACATTACATGTAAGTAATCTTTTTTTTTTCAATCTGATAAGCACTAAAATCTAATAAATATGATAGAACGGTATTGTTGATAGTGCGGCACATCTTGGTGGCGCTGCATATGGCGCTGGTTATTATTTGTTGAGAATGCGTCCAATGTTGAGAGCAGGTCGTTGGAAATTTTAGAAGTCACATGCGCCAATTCGTTGAGTTTGGGCTCTCTACCCCAAAGCTTGTCCCTTTTTAATTTTTTTTTTCTTCTCTCTTTCTCTTTTGTCTGCATTTCCCTCCAACATGGACTCCGTTCAAAGCCTTTTACCTTATTTAATCCCTGTTGTTCTTGCAGCCGGAACTGCTTATTTTTTTGTAAATAAAAAGAGTAAGCTAAACTTTAGAAGAAGAAAAAAAAAAGTTTTCAAAACTGACATGTGATAATTAGGCGAGGTATTAGATGCCAAGGTGTTCAAAAACTTTAAATTAGCTGAGAAGATTGTCATTTCTCATAACACAGCAATGTAAGTTTTTTTAATGTCATCATCAAGTTTATGAGCATATATTCATCAGAGTGTTAGTTATCGTTTCGCCTTGCCTCGTAAAGATGCTTGTTTGGGTCTTCCTATTGGTCAACATGTATCCGTTATGGCAGAGATTAATGGTAAACAGGTTTCTCGTAGTTATACACCCACAACTTCTGATGATGATCTTGGTCATTTCGATTTGCTTATCAAGGTAGGTTAGTTACTGATCCTGTCATACATAACCTCTAACTACTGTCTTTTTCTTAGTCCTATCCTCTTGGTAACATTTCTAGAAAGTTCAGTGAGCTCAAGATTGGGGATGAAATGGCTGTTAGAGGCCCCAAGGGTAACTTCAACTATACTCCTAATATGTGTAGAGCTATCGGTATGATTGCTGGTGGTACTGGTATCACCCCCATGCTCCAGGTAAAGAAATAATAAATTGTATAATGCCGAACAGCAATAAATCTCATCTCTTTTAAATCCTAGATTATTCATGCTATTTGCAAGAACCCTGCAGACAAAACCAAGGTCAGCCTTATTTTCGGTAATGTAAGTGAGGAAGATATTTTACTTCGCGAGGAATTAGATGGGCTTGCCGCCAAACATGATAATATTACTGTATATCACGTTTTGAACACTCCTCCTCCTAACTGGACACAAGGTTCTGGCTTTGTCAATGCTGCCATGATCAAGGAGCAGTGCCCTCCCCCTGCTAGTGATGTCAAGATGTTGCTTTGTGGTCCTTTGCCTATGGTGAAAGCCATGACCGAGGTAAATACAAATAGTTGAAAATTACATATAAATATACTGACTTGGATGTATAGAATTTGATTGAATTAGGTTACGATAAGCCTCGTGCTGTCAGTCAACTTGCCGATCAAGTTTTCAAGTTTTAAGTATAGTAATAATAGTAATAAAAATAAAGATATCATGGCCATTCAGGGCATATTCTGAGACAAGTCACGTTCAAATGGTGAAATAAAACACATACGTTTTTTAATTTTTAGTATCTCTTGTATTTTTTCTTTTTTTTCTTTCTTTATTAGAATAAATGTCGAATAGTTCACAAAACCATTGGTTAAGCAATATTCTTCGACCTCGAGCTTCGTCAATTTCTGTGGAATCTTGTTTGAACTTGACAACTAGCGATCCAACTACACCACTCGATGCTCGACCGGTTTTACCATTACTTGATTCTTCACAACCATTAGCGTCTCGCTGTAAACATCTAGCAGTATTTTCAGACATTTGTAAAAGCTATAAACTGTCTCATTTGGAAAACGTATTCTTTACAGTACAAGATGTATTAGATCCTACTATGCCTCGTGAGGCACGACATGTTGTATTTGAATTCATGTTGGCTTGTATTGTAGGCCAATACACAGATTTAGGTATGGCACGAGTCACGTTTTATTCTGCACTTCGAAATTACAACAACTGGGAAGACTTCGCCGACATGTACAAGGTGTTATTTGCTCTTTGTAAAGAGGGAAGAGACATATCAGGCTTTGAAAAGAATGTGTGTAAACTATTAATACATTGGCTAGATATTGCTGTCGTACAACAAAGACCGATAGACCAACCTATTCCTTACCTAAGTGATATTTTACACCTGTTAACATTGGTCGCAAAATTTAATTTTGCCTTGTTTGAAGAAGATGAAGTATCTCAAATGATTGATGCTACTCATAAGGCGTTTTTTTCTTCTCATCATCTGGATGATATCACGGCTTGTCTTGAATTTGCGGACATCGTTGTAAGATATAGATTTGTACCCTTTCATGCATTAACTCCATTTTTGGATATTTTGGCTGCTTCCGTTATTCTTGCACCTCAAAAATCAACCGTTTCTTCTTGGCCCATCTTTTTAAATTTACTTCGTTCTCATTGTGCTCATTCCGCTATTTTGACTCTGTGTAAATTCCTAGATAAATCACCTTCAAATATTGACAAGGAAAACATTTTGATCAAGGGCGCCATCACACTGCTTGGTGAAACTGCTTGGGGAAAAAACAGTAAGACTGGTGCTGACACATATATGGTGTCTGATTCTGTTATTCTCATGTATTTCAGAAGAGCTGCATCCAAAGGAAATGATACAATCAATGGAACAATTTTAAGTAGTTTGATATCACTTATTGCCGACCAAATGACGATGCCAAGTTTAATGGAATGGGAAGCTGTATGGGATATAGTTGATGTCTGTACTAAGCATATATTGAAAATCACTGATAATAATAGCAATAATGATTGCAGATTATTTGATGATGTTTCTACATATTCCTCCACATCTTGCATCTATCAATTTTCAAGGTTTAGTAAAATAATCATGCAACAAAACAGAGGACCGATGACTCGCTGGATAAATGTATTATATCAATTACGTGATTATTGTGGGGACCAAACAGCTAAGATATTACTGGATTATTACGTGACAGAACATTCCTTTTTACCGTCCACAGAAAATTGGTTGACCCTATTACAACAAATCACAAACACCTTCTATATTCACGCCACGGCCATCTCACCTTCTACTCGATTAACCATGTTGGATATTGTATATGACGTTTGTATTTCGGTCAAGGATTTTTATTCCGAAGTTACCTACGAAACTATCGTCATCCCAATGATGAAAGCCTTACCTCAGGAAACTGATCTCCAAATAAGACAAACTGCAATCGATTTATTAGTTTCTTCATTATCTGATTGTCAAAACGAATCAATCTTTGATACACTCATTGGAATTCTTCGAGAATGTGCCCATTGTCAATGTATTCCGGACGACCCTACCACTAAGTCATCCATCATACGTCGTACAAACACCACCGAAAATTCATTCTGTATTGGTGTCTCTGCCATGTGTGGTATCTCCGAATTATTCGAGAATTTACTATTGGCTTCAAATGGAAAGCTATGTGCAAAAACATTTGATATCATTGCTGAAATTGCGAACGATCCACAAGATTTATCTTGTCCATCTGGTGGCCCAAAGATTGTTGCCCTGGATTTGCTGTTAAGGTTTAGATGCCCAACAAATCACCACCTTTATCTTGTCGATGACAGTAAGTGTTGAAACCACTGTAGATTCACCCTCCTTTTTATTTACAGTTCTATTTTTGTTATTTATAAAGCCATAGAAGAAAAAGACAGTGTGATTGCCTCTATACGGAAGCATCAACAAGAACGAAAAGAAGCATACGAAAAGAAACGATCTTCTGAACGATTTATACCAGGCCCAAGCAACGCACCCACCACACAGCTGAGAGGGAAAAACATCTTCCATCCAAGTCCTTACGTATTTTCTTACAATGAGAATCCGTGTGATGAATCAGAGGTGGTGTTGGATATTAACGAAATGCTAAAATCTTATGTCAACGTGTTGACCGACTCTCCAAATTGGGTGGTCGCATTATTTGTATTGAAACGGCTACCTCAACAACTAAGCAATAAGCATTTATTCTGTGGAGCATCACCTTATATCAACAAATTGCGTCGTCGCTTAGTAAAATGGACCAGTACACGGAAATTCTTAGAAAATGTCACTAATGTACCTGCTACAACCAAACGTAACGATCTCAATGTATACGCCTATAGCCTTCTCACTGTATTGATTTCCTATCGTCGAATCTTTACTGAGCCGAAACAAGACCAAGATGAGATTGTGTACGCCTTCTATGTAGGTATCATGCAAGTCACAAGTGCAACTCGTCTCTGTATCAACTCACTAGCTGTTTGTTGTCACGAACTGCCCTTGTCCGTGGCAAAAATGCTCAACGAAATCTTACAGCGGATGTCACAAATCATTTCTGTAAGTAGTGTGTCTGTTCATATCCTGGAGTTTTTATCGGGTTTGGCAAGATTGCCAGATTTATATGCAAACTTTACTGGTGACATGTATAAGCCTGTATTTGCTATTGCTCTAAATTATTTGCAACATTCTCATTCTCAGCAACAACTTCAGCAGCAGCAGCAACAGCAACAGCAACAACAACAGCAACAGCAACAAGTCTCTCCACTAAATACCCCCTCCGCCTCTCCTATGATGAGCCCAGGCGCTGCTAACAACAAAGATATAAGTCAAGGGGCTTTAAAACAATACGTCTTAATCATGGCCTATCTGGTTATAACTGTCTGGTTTACAGCTATACCGCTTCGTGAACGTCGCAAGCATGTACCATTTATTATTCAACGTCTTCTCAGTGGTATTTCTATGGGTAAAACTATTGATGAACAGACGTATACATGTATCGACATGCTTTCGCGATTCACTTTTGCCGATGTCAGTTTAGCTCCCGAGAAATCTGTAGTTTCTAAAATTCTGATGGGTGATGGTGAAAGTTTAACTATGCCAGAACAAAAATCGGGAAAACAAAGCCAACGTACATGGATTTATGGACATACACTTTTAACACTTCGTACCGCCAAATCTTTAGGATGGGTTGAGGTCATGATTCGTAGACCCTCTGGTACAGTATCGATGATGTGCTATGTAGAGAACAAGATCAAATCAAACGATATTGATTATCGTACTTTACCTGCACTTTTAATGATGCAATATCAACCTGATTTAATGGCTTCCAAATTCATTCAAGAAAACGAACAGGATCGATCAAGAAAGTCGTCGGTGGATAGTACTGCAGCAGAAGATGAAGAAGAGAAAAAATCACCTGAAGTTAATGTTCATGATGTTTTATCAGAACCTAAATCAACCAGTAAAGAACCCACTTCTTCGTTTAGTAACAACCACCACCTACGAAAGATTGAGCCATCGATTGATCCTGGATTTTTGTATTTACAGTTTAATAACTATCCGGATATCTCGGCAGTCAGATCAATGGATTTATCACCTCCTTTGCCAGATGATGAAGCAACTGCACGTACTTTGGCAACTTTTGATCGTATTCCGGTAGTGGATTTTCACAAGATTGGTGTATTGTATGTAGGTAAAGGACAGCATCACGAACTCGAGATTTTGGCCAACACGTATGGATCTCCCGATTATGTTCGCTTTTTAAATGCACTTGGTACAATTCAAAGGCTGCGCGGGCGCACAGGAAATTCAGGTGGTCTTGATCGAGAGATGGATATTGATGGCAAGTATGCTTATTTCTGGAAAGACGATGTGACTGAAGCCGTGTTTCACATTGCCACATTAATGCCGACCAACTTAGAGCGGGATCCTCAATGCAGTGCTAAAAAAAGACATATTGGTAACGATTATGTCTCTGTTGTGTACAATGATAGTGGTATGGACTACGTGTTTGATACCTTACCATCTCAATTCAACTTTATAAATATCGTGGTATCACCTCACTCCATATCAACCGAAGCTGTTTCTCCGTCACATGCATTGACGGGTGGAGAGAATACTTTTTTCAAGGTAGAGATGCAAAGACGACCTGATATGCCAGATATTGGGCCTATGAGTGAACCGAAGTTGGTATCGGCACAGTCCCTACCGGGTTTTGTAAGATTGGCTGCCATTCATGCAAATATCTTTGCTCAAGTATTTTGGCAGGCCGGTGCTGGTGGCAAAAGAGAGTACGTGTCTCATTGGAGAGAAAGATTAAAACAGATTCAGCGCATTAAAGAAAGATTGAATGGAAAACAACCTACCGATACCACCAAGGTCGGCAAAGATTATGAGGCTTTACTCGATTTTACAAAATATACATAGTTCTACAAATAAAAAATTCCCCAGATCCCACTTTTGTAATATCACCACACTCTTTATTGTTATGATTTTTGCGTTACTGCCTAAAAAACTTTGACTTCTTCACTCGAGTCGACACACCTCTGGGTAGACGAGAAAAGAATGCCTCTTCATAGCTATGATAACTTCTGCTTGTGTCCTTCCTGTTATGTACAGGTATATAGTCAAAGGGGTAGACAGCCCAAAAAAGACTTCTGAGACCATTTCAATCATGTCAATATATTCGATGTGCCTTGACATAGAAGTAATCAATGCATGGTACAACCTCACCAAAAACCACGCCATATTTATTACGATAGTGCCACAAACTGATTCCCGAAATACGGTTGATTCACAATGCAAAAATAAATTACAAAAGTTAAAAATAGTTTTATTATATACACTGCATTATTCATATAAGAATTGATTTTAATGCTGTTGTTGGCTTTGGAAAGGTCTGCGTTGATTGATAATGACTGGTAAGTTCATGTTGGGTGATGTTAATCTATTTTCCGATCGAACTACAGAACCAATTGCTGAAACAAAAAAAGATTTAGCTTGTTTCTCTACTTGTTTTCGGAATGAATATATTTTATTACCCATGAAGAATCCAAACGAAGCAGCGGATCCAAGCATGTATTGACTTAACATGTTGATGGGGCCCTTTGTACCGGAACCAAATCTATGCAAATTCGGTCGATTAGGTTACAAACTATTTCAGTCGTGTTTTTTTATTTTGAATGCATTACCTCATGAGAGTAAAACTGCCAAAAACAAAACCGATACATAAACCGACTGTGCCACCCATAGCAGCACCCATTTTCATTTTATCAAAAGTCGAAGGCTCCATTTTTCAAGTGTTATTGACAGGAAATGGATTGAAATAAAAAGTACATAGGCAGGGGGACTGAAAATTTAGACTACATAATTATTAAAAAACGTCACCGAGTCACACAAGAGTTCGCTTTAACATGCAAAAAAACACGTACAGTAACAAAATTCTTTATGTGGTAAGCGGTAGAATATAAAAGAATGGCACCACTTATGTCATTTTGCAGCACAAGCACAATTTTATTTCTGTATGGTTGGCACAGCGCTAGTAAAGTATAAAAATCATTTGTAGCATTTACCATTACATTGTGAAAACCACAATATATCTGTATGTATGAACGGTAGACTATATACCTGAACGAGTTAGTTTTATACCATACTCAAAAATAAATAAATAAAGAATGCATGTTTGTAGAAGTAGCATGCCTTATGTACGCCAATTCAGTTCATAATATCGACAGGATATAATTTAATTTAGCTGTGATTTTCAAATAATCTCAGCATCCGTTGGCATGATGATGACCAAGTACTGAATCCTTTCTGCCGCGACTGACGTACCGCAGGTTTAAGACATATGCTTTTAATTATGAGCTCTTAGATATAAGAGTGGAAATATAACAAAATGTAACCCGCGATGTATTCAGCATATCAGGTCGAATTTCTACTTTTTATCTATTTTGTATTGAAGGTCAAAACTATAACTGTTAACTTCTAAATCCATAGCACAAGACATCTCTCTGTCTGTCTGTTTGTTTTGTATCTATTTATGAGAAGAGTCGAATAACGATAATAAAAAACACCGTCCTTAAAATTTATCTGCCCAGAAGGCCCTAAAAAAAAGACTTTTCATTTTATTGATTGCTAAATATAGAACTTGTTTTTATCAGGTACATATGATTAATGAGTGCCATTTCTTTATAATCAACTGGTATCATTGTCTAAAAATATCTACTTAATCTTATATTCCAGATAATATACTCTCTTCCTATACGATATACTAAAATACACCTGCACATATGTTTTCAGCATATTAAAAATAACACGCTTTATTTGCCGCTCATCATACTTAAAAAACTAACCAATAGGAGCACATTGTTTGTATAACATTGTCTGTCTGGATTTGGCTACTAATGATGCTATTTTGAACACAAGAATAGTTTTTTAGACTTGTGCTGCAAAATGACATAGGTGATTTGCGGTTTAGCTTACCGCTTTTAATATAGAAAAATACGTGCATAGGATGTTATAATTGTATTGTATCTCGGAAGCGCTTACACTAATTGACAAATAGAGCGTAGAACGCTCCGATTTAATAATTAAAAAAAAGGGCGAAAGACTAAAAGTCTGTGTGTGAGCACAAAAGAACAAAAAAAATTTTTTTTTTGGGACAGTATAAAAAGAGTTGAGCCCCCTCGGTGGTTATACCAACCCATTTCTCTTTCTCTCTTATTTTTCTTTTACCGAATACCATGGATCATATATACCAGCTTTTATGTATACCAAGAGCTCCTTCTCTTTCCATCAAGGATTTTAATAATGGAAATTATAACCAATTTTTGGAAAAGGTAAGCCTGGGTAGTTACGGAAATTTAAAACCAAAAATGAAAAATTGACTTTTCCTAGTCCATGAAATCAGCTTCAAGTCTTTCAAAAGATGCTGAACTTAAGGCTGATGCATCGAATCAACTTGCCAAATTGTTATCTGCAAAATCACATAGTCCTTCCAACACTCTGCGCACCATGAATGAAATGTTTGCAGAAGCAGCCAAAGCGTGTCATTTTGATAGAGAGCGTGCTTTGATTGAATGGCTTCAAACCTGTGTGTCTACGGTGGTTGAATTTGGCTTGGATCCAGCCTCAGCCGACAACAAAATTTATACTGAAAAACCACCCATCGAACAAAAAAAAAGCAGTGACCGTGGTGTGGCTCAAAGTAAAAATAAGAAGAAGCCTGTACAGGAACCAGAGGAATCTGAATGGGACGACGATGAATTTGGTTACGATCGTATTGGTCATTCCGACGATGACTATTGTCCTTCTGACGAGGACGATGCTGTTGTTCCTAAGAAACAACCTGGTCGTAAATCCTCTCCCGCTAAAAAAGCAAGTTCCAGTAGTGACACCGAAGTCAAGAAGCCTAAGGCTCCCCGCAAAAAGAAAGACGACCAGGTCGTACCTGTTTCTAAAAAGGACGCTACTTTCCCTGTGATTAAGGAAGGTGCAGGATCAAAGGCTCTTCATAAATATATCCAAGATATCCCCTGTGCAAACGCACTATCTTCTGATGCCTTATCAAATGGTTACTTTGCTCGAGCCTTCTTCTTCCCCTCCAAAGATAGTTTTAATGTAAGTTCCATGTCACTTTAGTAGTTCTAAACAGCTAAATTTCCTCAATAGGCGTTCTTGTCCGTTTTAAACTCAGCTCAAAAGTCAATTGATATTTGTGTGTTTGCATTTACAGACGATGATGTAGCTGATGCATTAATTGCAGCCAAAAAACGTAATGTGGCTATTCAAATTATTACAGACAACCAACAAGCTGCTGGTAAAGGTGCGGATGCGAAGAGGTTGCAAGAATCCTACGGTATACCCTTTAAAACGGACAATACGTAAGAACTACTTTACTTGTTTGACACAATCGATAGGAGGACTAAATCCATTTTTCTAGTACTGGTTATATGCATAACAAATTTGCCATTATTGATAACAAGACACTTATTAACGGAAGTTTCAATTGGTCCAAGGGGTATGATGTTTTCTTAAAGTTTATAGTGGTTTATACTAACTGACCAATTTTTTTTTTAAAAAATAGAGCACGATTCAAGAACCGAGAGAATGTTTTGATCACTAATATCCCTCAATGTATCAAAGAATATCAAGGTCAATTTGACTCACTCTGGAAAGAATTTTAATAACATTTAAACATACATTGTATCTATAATAAATATTTCATACTTATCACTATCGCAAACACCCCTTTGATACATCAAAATTTAGGGGAAAAGAACCGTTTTCACATTACCACAATGTAATACTCTCCCTAATAAAAAAGAGGCCAAATAATGAAAACAAAAAAGTTACATAGTATTATATTATGATTTGTATTAAATGTGTAAACAAAAAGAGAGAATGAGTGGGTAAAAGAAAGGGAGTAAGGGGATTATAAAGTCAACAAAAAGCAGCATACAATGGCTACAAGTAAGACGGATTGACTACTTGATTTGGCACTAGCTTCATTATTATGCATTGCAAAAATAGAACCTCCACCAGATGGACGAGCCTTATTAGTATTTGTTGGTATTGTAGTTACTGGTGCAGCATAAGGTCGAACTAAAATGGATACAGATGTATTCGATTTTGAAACAGAGTCTACGAATAAGACGATGTAATTTCCAGGAAGTGTACTATTTGGGATAGCGTACTACAGTTATTTTAAAATTGTTAATTGCAATTAAAAGATATTATTTTCGAAAATACATTACACTGAGCTGATGTTCATAATACACATACATATTATGCGTTCTTCTAAAACTGAACCCTTGAGAAATATCTGCATTTGATGTGATTGTAATGTCTGTGAAATTTAAGGTAGGATCTTGCGTAGTAAACAATACAGATAGTTGTAAAACTAAAAATACGGTGATAAATTAACATTTTTTTTTATTCTTCCTTCACTATAACTTACGATTGGGTAAATTTGTATCGTCAGGTAAAGTATAACTTATAGGTAACATCTGCCCGGCAACATAAGGTGCATTTGGCTCAGGCAAAGTTACGTTATAATTGTGTGATGGCGATAATACTTCGCAGGATACTAAATGACTTAGAATTGAGAATAATGCAAAAAGTATAAATATCATGTTTTTTATTAAAAAAAGAGAGAGAAGTAAATGAATAAACAAAACAAAAAAAAGAATATTTATTTTAAAAATGATATTATACTACAAAAAAATAAAATGCCCTGTTCTGAGTATAATTGTACATTGAAATGCTTTCTCCTGCATAATGAGAAAGAGAGAGGAAGAGTAGATGCGGAATAAAGGGGGGGGGGGAGAAACAATTTTGACAGGGTAGCTGTAATACATTATGCTTTTGTAGTACTAATAACATGTTTATTAAATTGCACATTTCGTTGGTCTGTTAAGTCCCAATATTAATAGATTTAGTTGCATCATACAGCGTTGATGAACCCTATAAGTAGTAGAATATTGCACTCATGGATTACCCTCGAACTCTATTACATTACAATAATGGTCTAAATAGAGCAGTAAAGACATGTCCTACGAGCAACCGCATACTTTTTTTTGTTTTCCTTTTAAAGCCGAGTGTGGATATTAGCAACCTGCATTGAGTGTGGAAAATTACCGTTAAATATCATTGGATAATTATACGCGCACCATTTTTTTCTTTTCGGGCTTAAAAATATTTTCGCGCATTATATTTTTGTTGGCACACTATACTTTGTCCTTTTGACTTTATTGTTTATTCTAATGAATACAAACGATTCAAAACAATCTTTAAGCGAAAGCCAATTGCTTACTTATAGTCTTTTACCTGCCATGGAACCTGTAGAAAAAAGTTAAGGACAATTTTGAGGATGCATTTGACAGACACGTTTATGAGCAGCTCAACACTGATCAAAAAGTTACAGCAGACGAATACGGCTGGTAATGTCTTAATGAATATAGGATGAAGGACATCAGCTTCAAGACAACACGACATATTCCATCTTTTGCTGAGACTGTGTCGGTCCATGAACGTGTAGCTAATTTAAAAGCTATCTTTGAAGCCGAGTTTTTCTGTTGGAAAAACCATCGTTGACAAGGAAACCACAAGACTCGAAATACAGTCTTTCAATAAGGCAAACGAACTCTTGATTATTTTGAAAGAGATAAGTCTTGTATTAAAACGATCTGCAAGCATTTTGGTAAATATCGTGCTGCCAAAAAGGGAGAAGGTAAAATTGACTTATTTCCGATGTTTATTGATATAGTGCCTAAACGTTGTTTTTATAGCCAGATGAAATGGATGCCATTAAAAATGAAGGACTAAGAAATGGCTTTCAAAGACCTAATAGAACTACCAGGAGAACAGGATGTTTGTCATTTGTTTACATTTGCAAGGATGTGAAATTAACCCGAGAGCCTTGGACAGTTTGATCCAGCTGTTTCGAGTATAATCATCCTTCAAGCGAGAATAAAAGGGCTTACAACAGCAACCGAAAACTCAATGCAGAGGACCAGGAGTTTGCTATCGCTCTTAAGTGTGGAGTTACAAGTTCCAGTAAGACGTTAAAGACAATGTTTAGAAATGAGATAGAGAGAGCCTTTGAGAAATCAGTAGTTAAGAAAGCTGTGATCATAATAAACGTTATTTTGACTGTTATATTCTTTTCAAGATTAAATATGTCCTCAATTCGTAATTTAAAATGACATTGATTTCTTGATAATTAGATGCTTGAAACAAGAGTCGTAAGCAATTTAATTGTAAGTGATTTAACGAACATTCAACAACAATTCTGTCGGGACAGCCACACTGATATGTGAAATTTCGTCAAGGACCTTGAATCTAGTGGCCACCAAGTTCGATTTTTGACAGATGCTTTGATCCACTTTTGTCCCACTTCTTGGTCTGGATTTGGAAAGAATGAATGATCCCATTCAACTTTTGTTTGCCAATAATCATTTTTATATAATTTTACCCTGATTAGACAACAAAACGAAGAAGGCTACCGAAGTCAAAAATGGCCAATAGTAAACTTTGTCCACAAAAAGTATTCGACGGGCATTTAGACAATTGTGTCAACGACGTGTTTGGCTATTTCCAAAACAACTAGACAGGATATTTCTATAACTTACTCCCTCAATCTTAAACATAAAACCGCTCTTTTATATTTTATCTCACAATGATCAAAAACCAAAACGAAAATAAAATTTAGACTAAAAACACTCAAAACCACATTGATTTTACTTGTCCTTAAAAAGCATGGTGCGCCAACAAAACTGGATGGTATGCAAAAATAATTTCACCCACACAGTTCATGCATTAGGCGTGATGACATAATAGATGTTACACGCGTGGGAGAAATAGTATGTGTAAACAAAAGATAAAGTAATCGGTTTCAGTGTTTAAGTTATTTTTTCATTTTCATTAATATTAAAAAAACCCAGTTCTCCGTGCGCAAGCCCTGGGGAAAAAACAGTGTCTCGCCTATGCGGTAGACAACCATACGCTCATGGACAACGCCGCTCAACATACCCAGTACATCGTCTGACAAATGATCAGGTGGGAATACGAGACCGGAGTACCTCAGACATTGCTGCCGTTTTTTGATTGAAGAGAAAGAAGAAGAAAAGAGTTTTTGATGAAAAAAAAAAGTGCCTTTCTATATCTTTTTCTGCATGAATTGTAGTACACTTTTTTTTCCCATACTACTAAAAAAAATTTTGGGACTGCTCGAAGAAAACATGCATCGTGAAATCGTAGTCAAAATTTCCAGTAACCAAGACGGAAGTGAGTTGCCAACCAAAATAGACAATAATATTGATGGTGCTCCATACGAAATATAGTGTTGATCATAACATATTCAATTTGCTAAATTTATTATACCACCGATTAGCGAAGCTTTAATCATATTTAGCCCATAAGCTTGATATCGGTAAACGTGAGGCGGTGGTGTAATAAGAGCTCTCATCAACCAAATCTTACATCCAGATTTTTCAAATAAGCAAAAAATAATATATATTTGTCGATTTCGTACACATAAATTCAATAACTATCACTTGAAATGTCTTTGTTTTTTTAAATCAAAAAGGAAAATATGAACGCACTACGATGTTCCGTCCTTCATAACATTTTAGAAGAAAATCCCCTTCATTCATTTTATTTTTTATTTTTTCATAATCGATGATTACATAAGCAATTGAATCAGTTTGACGTAGGCTCTTGTTTATCATTTTTATAAATAAATTTTGTTTCACAAACTTTTATTTCCCTTTTCTTACTTTCAAGAAATACTAAATTATTTATTCTTTTTTATAAACATATAAAAGATACATTGCCATTCTTGCAATATTACGGCTACGGCTAGTCTTTGCTATAGGATGGTGACCTCCTAGGGTAGGTTCTTGGCTGTAAACACTCAGTCGATGAGCAGGCTGTAAATAGCTGGGATTACACTGTAAATAGGTGTAAACAGACCGCCCTGGCCGGTCTTGGCAGTAAGGTAGTATTATCAAATTTGATCTACAGTATCTTCATTCTTACTGATGCATATTATAGTGGTGCTATAAAAGAAAATACAAGGCATACCATTGAAGACTCACTAAAAATTCTTGAGTGTAGTGCATCTGCTTTGAAAAAAGTAGTTGCTTATATTAAAAATGCCTCATTGAAAACATTTAAAAAACTGAAGGTTTATTCAATAAAAATAATCTAGACACAGGTCACTCTGAGTGAGATGTCTCTGTATGACAAAAATTACTGGAAGTTTATTGAAAAAAGGTCTGCTAAATTACCAACGAACCGGAATGATCGACTTTGTTTTGTTCAGTATCTTGAACTTTTAGCAACTTTTTTTGTATGTATACTGCAATCGCAAATATGAAGATTTATAGGTACTCAGACTATTTTATGTAGGATGGCATTCTTACAACACAACAGGTGCAAAAACAACTAGTAAAAGAAAACCTTGGGCTCGTTGAATTAATGGACCATCTGTCGAATCAATTAGCAAAGAAGCAAATATTCTTCTAGAGTGATACAGGCTCCAAACAGTAGTAATTTTTTGGAATAGCTTAATAAAAAGATTGTTTAGTCACTATATTGGTTTATACATTTAAGTAGCTGATTCTTTTACCATTGCAGAAATGAAAAAAAATAAAAAAAAAGAGTTTTCATCATTATGAACAATAGTCTTATCCACCTCTCTTTTTTTGATGTGGAAGCTTAAACAAAAGAGGCCATATGCTTATTAAAGAATAGTACTGGGTGAAGATTAAAATTAATAGTAAGAAGCAATTCATAGGATAAGGAGAACAAGCTCAGGCCTGGCATGGCTGCAGCCTGTTAGACAGTTACTGTCAGAAATTGCCAAAACATTATTGTACCCTCAAAAGAATTATGATACAGGAATATCAATAAAGAAATGGCTATGACATATTATTTTAATTATCCAGTACGTTTTAATAAGTGCAATTATTCTCAGGCTTTTACAATTATTCAATAAAAATAATGAACAGGGAATCAGATACAATGTACAATGATTAAACGAAGCCTTCTCGACAAAAGCTTAATAACCCATAATATTTTATAACTGAAAGAACGATGATTTATTTGTGATTGAGTAGGAAACAGATTAAAACCCAAAACTCTTCAGTCACATAGGGCAAATATTCCCTTCTTCACTACTGTTTATCCATGTATTCGTATTCGTTCATAGCAATCTTTCCATGATTACGATCTCCAGTCTGTCTACTGAGATCTAATATTGGATTTCTATTGTTTCTATGGTTTAATACATCTGCGATACAACATTGAAGATAAAAAGGGGGTTTCAAACCTACGAAGAAAAAAACATCAATACATAAGTTACCTTCTTCTTTATCTCTCCTTTTCCTTCTTACCATTCGAATTCAATGAATCTAGTAATTTTTGTCAAAGCCATTAAAGATGGAATAAAATTTTCAACAAAGTGAGTTCTTTCATAAATTTGTGTAAACTCGGGCACGGTTCGACAGACTAAGTGAAATGAACAAAGACTATGTTTGATGATTTCTAAAATTGCTTCTGATTGAGGCGTTAAACTGTGACCGGGTTTGAATGACCAAAGCATCTGGCTATATGTATCAAAAGGCTCATCGCCCAATAAAGAGACCAAGCAATCGACCAAATTTAGCGATCGGAGGGATTTGTTTGACTTTTGATCGTTTTCGCATGCTTGGTATTCACTTTTAGTCAAAGGATTGGTGGAGGAAAAAAAAGTACCAAAGTGAAATACATTTTTCAATGCGTCAAGGTGGGTTTTTTGCAATTTAGGCTTGTGCGGACTCTCGGTTTCACTGGACGGTATAGCGAAGCGGTATTGGTTCTTGCCTTCAGTTGCACGTAGCTCACACTACATTATATATTTGAAAGGGTATTTGACATTTTGCACGAAAAGGGGTTTCAAAAATGTATGCCAGCTGTTGATGCATCTGTTCAATTAAAGTAAAGTTGATTAGGGTGACATTAGTGTTAATGATATTTAAATCTTAGATCGCAATCTCATCGATATCCGCTTCGGTGATTTTGTGCTGCAGACATAAAAATCCTAAGCGTGAAATAGCCTCGGGAGCATGCTTAATAATGTCGCTTTTTTTTTTTTTGTCTATGCAACTCTCCCGAATTTTGTTTTACATACATTAAGGGTGATAATGTAGGCCCAACATATATCAGAAACTGTATCCAGTCTACTCCACGACAATATCCAGATTTTGTGGATACGCCTATAGTTATTCAACTGGGTGTTAGCGATAACTATAAACCATATTTTTTAAGCTGTTAGGTATCATTACCAACAAATTTCCCGGTTAAAACGTTGGGGGTGCTAGTTTGTAATGCGACCATATGTACCCCCAACTCAACTCTAATGCTCTTTTTAAGAAACAAAATATTACTTTTGCAGTATTTACTGCTGACAACTTCGATTATCTGCCATAACTGTCGAGAAATATTATGTCCAAAAAGATGAAGCTCGTCAATGCTATAAAAAGCAGCCCCGTGAAATGACTTGAGCAAGGTAAACGGTGATGGTCTTTTCAGACCGTTACGCTACATAAATAATGACAAGTTTAGTAGCAAAAACAACAATATTGCTACAAATACCTACGTTGCAGTCAAATTGGTATTCTTGAACCGATCTCAATGGAATAGCTTCCATGTTTTCTTCAGGAGGGGGAAAATACATCCCCGTTTTTCTTGTATGAGTCTTTTGCTGATGTCCTGTACCTTCAATTGGGCTTTTCGCGACTTGAATTGGGACTGAAATAAAAAACTTAATTTCTTCTGCTCTTTCTCTTTCTCTCAACAACAATAGCAATAACAATAAGATAATGACAATGACCAAACACGAAGAAATTGTCGCTAATATATTAAACTTCGCGGTGTAGAAGAGGCAGTTAATAGTCTCAAAGACTCAATGGATGCCAGCATCAATTTTGTAGGCCAGGCCGATAATACGAGTTTTGTCCCTATTGGAGAGTCGCAAACTGTGAGCAAGCGCAGCGCTATCAAGGCCTTGATACATAAACATTGTCCTGATGGGATTGACCTTTACGACGTATTGTTAAAGGAGTGACGTCAGAGTGTCCAGAGTATTTGAGGACAGAACGGAAACACTATCTGGAGAAGACTAAACGTGAACATTAAAGACTCGTTGATTTCCGACACTGCAAAGACTCTTGGCCAATCAAAACCGGGATTTGAGTTTTTAGGTCTTTGCCAACGTTTCTGGCCTGTCCGCTTTTTATGCCAACAGTCTTGACCATCAAGTGCAATTAAACGCCAGGCTCGCGTTCCTGTCCCAAGAAGTAGCGTTGAAGGTATTATTAACTATTTAACGAACATCATTCTTACATGACATGAACTAACATCCTATAACTTTAGTGTAAGGTGGTATTAAAGCTGAATACTATTTATTAGGTAACTGAAATTGTAATGCAGTAAATTAGATATATATCTAGATATATATTATCACATTTTTATTCAATAAAGTACCATATTTAACCATAAAAAAAGTGCGAACAATCAATAATTTTACGATTGAATGACCTATTACGTATACCATACGAAAGACATAAATGTATTTGTCTTTTCAAGAGTTACATCAAAACGACATAAATATATGTCTTTTTGAATAGCTACACCTAAAAGATGTCTTTTTAATAAAGACATGACATCGACACTATTTAGATGTCCTTAAATAAAGACATATGGATAACATGGAATATATGGTATTTTGGTGGTTTGATTAGGACATATATTTTGACATTTCTACCACAATATTTAATGTAAAATTATGTCCACAGCGGACATATTTTTACCATTTTTGCGACGTATTTTTTTGGTGGTGATAATGTTTCGCTGCATCTGACACGCTCATGCGCTTTTTGATCCTTACATCAAACATCTTACTTAATGAACATCTTTGTCTTGAGTCTTTTCTGTCAACATCGGGTAAGTCAGAGATAATTTACTAATAAGGCCGTAGTTTTCATAAGTACTTAGTATGGGTAGATAGCAATTGTCTCAACAATCATCTATCATGAACAACACTGGGCTTTATAGGCTCAGGGTTGCCATTCGCATCAACAATCCTTCCAAGCGCTTCATGATTTTAATGGTTTCTAAAATGTAACTATTTTTGATTGGACAGTAACATCAATTTCGATTTACTTATCTTCGACGTCAATTTTGATTGGTCACGACATTGTCTATTGGAAGCATTGTATTTCAGTTCTCGTCAGAGAATATGGACATCTTAGAACTATGTGCATATAATGAAGCCTCATATACTTACACAAATTATCGTCATAAGCCAATCATATTAATTGCCCAACTCGATCATCTCTCATCAGCATTGGTCATTTTAAGCATGTGATTGTGGAGAGTGCCTCCGTGAACCCATGTTATGTCCGAAAATCATTTCATTTATCCGGATTTGAAGTGCGAATTGTGTATTACATTATCAGGAATACATTTCTATTGTGCCTGTCTTTTTTTTTAAGTACATGTTGAAATGAAGCATATCATGTATGCTTTTACATTCCATTTATTAATAGATCCCAAGAAGTTCTAAAGCGCTTTTATTACAACTTGGAATTGTGTCTAGGCTGCATTTTTTCATACGCAATCTTGGATAAATAATCTGTGGGGTTGGATACAAAATGATCCTTAATGTTACGGATATCAACCATGTCGGGTTTAATGTCAGCAATCTTTGTAACACCCATAAATCGCATCACCATTTCGAATTCGTCCTAGGCAAAATGTACATAGATTAGATATGTGAAACGTTATACATGCTTAATATCTTACCTGGAAAAGTCCCATAAGTCTCTCAACACCTTCTACACCATATGAGGACATGGCATACTATGTATCTTTACATTAGTCTTATGCTATTTTTCACTTATGTCACTACTTTAACTTACCAAAAAGGGACGACCAATACCAACACCTGTGGCACCAAGAGCAATTGCCTTAAAAATGTCACTACCACGACGGATACCACCGTCAATGTAAACTTCAAATCCTTGATCTAAATTCTCTCTCTTGAGGGCTTCCATAACCTCAGCCAAGATCTCGATAGCAGAAGGAGCAAAATCCAATTGTCTACCACCATGGTTTGACAAGACAACACCCTTACAACCATGTCTAGCGGCCAAGACTGCATCTTCAGCAGTTTGAATACCCTTGATCAAAATGGGCATCTTTGTGATAGACTTGAACCAAGCGATATCATCCCAACACAAAGAAGGGTCGATGAACTGACTGATAGCTCTAGCAGCACCTTGGTCGCGTACAACGGCAGTTGAGTTACGGGCAATCTCATCAGGTTCCTCTTGGATATACTTTTGTCTCATGTCCTTCTCACGATGACCTACGCGGAGTAAATAAGGTTAACCCAACCGGAAAATACTGACTAATTTGTCCTCCCTCTTCCCCACACACACACACGTTACCTAATTGAGGGGCATCGGCGGTAATGAAAAGCCCCTTCATACCTCTTGACTCAGCATGTCTGACAAATTTCTCAGATACCTCACGGTTAGAGTTGACATAAAGTTGTAACCATTGTGTTTGATCAGGACCGGCAGCGGTTACAATTTCATCAAAGGAACAAGAGGCTAAAGTGGGGATCATTTGAATGATATCGCGAGACTTACAAGCCTTTGTCAAGACAACTTCACCCTCAGGGTGACCTAATTTACCAAGAGCAGTGGCAGTGACATAGATAGGTAGAGAAGTACGTGAACCCAACATAGTAGTAGAGGTGTCGACATCTTTTACGTTTACCATGACACGAGGACGGAACCAAATACGGTGGAAGGCACTATGGTTTTCTCTCATCGTGATTTCGTCATCAGATCCAGAGGAATAATAAGCCCAAGCGTCGGATTTTAAGACAGATCTAGCGACAGCTAAAAAATGATAATATTTAAGGTTTTAGCGCAAGTGTAGTGTGAGAGTTTTTTTTTTTTTGTAGGAATGACTTACTTTCAAAATCAAAAGAGTTGTACATCTCCTCTAATCTAGGCATATTTTCTCGGGCCAATCTTACTTTTTTATCTTCTTCTGTCTCTTCGACAACCACTTTTGAAAGTTTGGCAAGGTCAACAGAGCCCATACAGACCTTGGGAGACAAGAAACGTTGGATGATGTCAGGAGGATGAATTGGTTCAAACGCCTTGGTAGCATCTTTACCGGCATACTTCATAATGATCTTTTGTCCTCCAGGATGATCAGGAAGGAATTCGGTAAGATCATATACTTTACCGTGGATAATAAGCCAAACGTCATCTACATATCTCATTTAGTTTGAGGATAGACTTATCTACTGTTTTCACGTACCTTTCTTGTTATGCTTTGCAACCTCTTCGGGTGAAATAATGACACTCATAATATAAGAACTAAAAGAAAAGTGTATGGGAAAGAAAAGAAACAAAAACAATAAAAAAAGTTAATCTGTCTATTAAGATCTTTTTGTCGGATAACACACGCACACAAACATATACTCCGAACATTTCCGATAAATCGTTTTGGCTTGAAGTTGTTATTTTACTCCCAAATGTACGCTTCCCCAGGAACTGAATTCGCTTCTGTCTCCGACTAAAAATCATTTTCATACTGCACAAAGTTCGCTTTTTGATTGGACAAAGATAAAGTACACAATTGGGTTTTGTTCATGCCTTTTTTTTTTGCAGGTGTATTATGAACATGTAAGGAAATTAAAGACTTGTAGCACTATTATGCATTTTATATTGCTCTACGAAACAACGGTTTTTGTTCGTAACAGCAATCTTTATTGATACATAATGTTTGCTTTCATATAGACTAACGTGGGAATTTCTTCCAACAGTCAAAGCTATTCAAGCAATTGTAGCGTGTTTGGAGTAATGTGATACGCCTGTGTGCTTCATAAATTTTTTGGGTATTATGGAGTTTAGCAGTACCTCTACTTATTACCCACAGTAATGTTTGCAAGTATGCACTAATTCATGTACATTCAATTTCGTTTCCTCTGTTGACAGACCACTTAATATGTTTATGCTACAGTTTCACTTTTATGCGTATTTTTGTCTTTTTAGAACTTTGTATTGTATACTCGGATTAGGGCACCTGGAAACTCTCTGACGCGAAAACCTATCTTAAATAGATATCATCTTTATTAAAATAACCAAACCTTTAAATTCAAAGGATAAGTATATTGCTTTCTTCTTTTCTGTAGACCCATAGCTTTACTACACAGCTGAAAGATTAGTAAAAAACTGCGATTAGGAAGAGGAATATTACTACGTATTTCTCTATACATATGCTTAAAAAATAAATAACACCCATTGTTAAATTCGACAAAATTTGATCAATGTAGTTCTAAACAATGGCCAATTCATTTTCGAAGAGACGTCCTGTTGAATTTGAATAAAAGCCTCACAAAATATTCCAAGAAATATACGGTTAGATTATTAGAGATATCTATTTATCAAATAAGGACTTCCTTTTCATAAGGAAAAGATAAATAAAGAAACTAGGTAATTTTGCATTAGTGTTTACCTTATCAAACTGAAATAGTTCTTAGAATGAAACGAGTTTTACAAACCGGAAGTATACCTGTTTTTCTTTGGGGCCTACGCTTCAAGTTCATCGATGAAGGCGCAGATCTTGGTATAAACCACAACTAAATTGGCCAACTAATTATGCCAGTAGCTAATTGAAGTCTAATTTCAATATTCTCAGCGTCATTTTTTCTTACCGCGTTAGTTGACAGCTCTCTTAAACATATGCTTTTCTTGTGGCTGTTACTTTATTTTGTAATCGACAATATCGACCAGCCAGACTGGGCATAAGCGAATTTTTGTAGTTTACAAAAACTAACTTTTGCTGTATAGAAAATAAATTTTAGTCGGAGACGAAAGCGAATTCAGTTCCTTGGAAAGTGAACTTTGGGAGAGGAGCCACTGTATTAAGAAAAAAATTGTAAAAAAAAAGGTGTAAAAAAAAAATATACAAAATATGGATGGAGAGGTTTTTTTTTTTTGAAAAAAGGGAAAAAAGAGGGTATGCTAACATTAATAGAATGAATGAGAGATAGTAAAAAGGAGAGAGAGAGAGAGAGAGAGAGAGAAGAGGGAAAGAGAAAAAGATTATTAAAGTAAATAATATATAATGTGTTTAAGAAGAAGGATCTATTACGTTATCCAATACAAGCTGGACATCATCAACGACTGTTAAATCTTCTAAAAATGCAACGAGATCAGTTAATTCAGTGTCATGAGGATCGTTGAACCATGTCGAAACAGGGACAGCATTTGATGTATGGAATATATAACTAGCAGGTGAATTATCGAGAATAAGTGTTGATGCGAGTTCTCGTCCAAGTTGTGATAAATCCTAAGATTTCATTTTTAGCCAGAGAATAAATATAAAAATGATAATTGTTATGATCTCCTTACCTTGACATATGTTCCTTTATGATTGAAGCAAGATTCTCTGAATAATCTGTGCTTCACTACCTTGTGAATATCGAGCATATCAAGTACAGGATCTGCATATTTAGCTAAACTGGCAGTGAATACAACAATTTCATATTTCTCTCCCATTTTACGCATAAATTCATCAACACCGGGTCTTTTCAATACATACACGTTATGGTATTGATTGTCGATTTCAACAGGTACAATAAAGTCAGGGTTAGGAATAATCTGTAGGTTATTACATATAAAATTTTAATCGCAAAGAATTAGGGAGTTACGTTGCTGTATGGAAAGGACTTACCTTGAAAGAACTGTGAACTAGAGTTTCGTCAAGATCAAGAACAAGGCATTTTCTGTCTTTGTCTTCAATGTCCAAAGGAGGCAAAAGCCAAACAGTGGAACCCTAAATAAGAATAAAGGTTAAAATAGATAATCATAACAATAACACGGACTTGGCTTACAACAGGAGAGGTTTGAGGAGGAAGAGAAATGGGAGAGGTGGATTCAACTTCTGTAGGTTGTGGTTCAACTTGTGTGATAATTGGAGGAGTAATAGGTTTGGTAATTTTCGTTTCTTCTACATTATTGTTAGGTATAACAATTTGCTTTTCTTTTTGAGAGCTATTTCTATTCTTTTTGCTGTTGGAAATAGAAGATTTATCACTGTTATCGAGAAATGAACCAGCACCAACTGTGCAACATAATAATAACGATAAAAATCCACCCTTCTGAAATGGTTTGACAGAACCACTTGGAGTACCATTTGTTGTGGTAGAGGATGGTCTATTATTGGTGTCGTTTGATTGAATTGGTAAAGGAGACTTGACATATTCAGGATCAACTTGTTTCTTTCCTTTCTCTAATTAATTTTTCTTGTGTTAAATTTTGTCCTACAATGTATAAACACACCTATTATTACCTTTCTTTAGTTTGCTGCTGCTACTATCTTGTGGTGCTACTTGTGAAATATTATTTGTCGTTGGACTACCAGTTTTTGCTTCCTCCAAACTGGTTGCTTGTTGGATCGTTGTAGATGTCGTCGACATTAAGGCTTTTAAAATAACGAGATGATGAAGAAAAAGGGATTCTCTATTATTATTATTTTTCGTCTACCTACGACCCAAAACAACTACTGTAAAAAAAAAAAAAAAATCAGAATAAAAATAAAAAGGGAAAAAAAAAATATTTCAAAAGAAAAAATAAATAAATAGTGAAATTTATCACGTGCGGCATGACCTAAAGTAGAGGCCGCGAGCCGTTATGTATTCAATAAAAAGATAAAAAGCACGCACCATATTCAATCCCTTGATTTCCTCGCTGCTTCAGATTATTGATTACCTTAATTAGTATCCTGCCCTTTTTTACTTGATACATTCATTGTCTCGTTAGATGCCCGCCTATCATCATCATTTTCCTGTAAGTAACAAGTACGAAATTGCATGAATCCCTCTTTCTTCATCTTATTCCCTTCTTTATCTGTCTTCTTTACTGTCACACCGCATCAACACACACACATACACACCCAGGATCCTAAACGCATTAAACCCGCTTTCTGGAAAACATGAATTAAGGAATATTTAGTTTGTTTCGACACCTTGGTTAGCTTGGTAACATTAAGGTCATAATCAGATAACTATCAACAGCGTGCATCTTACCCACAATCCATCTCTTGCACACCATTCCAACCCCAGCCATGCAACGGCCTAGCAACCAATGAAATTAATCGAATTGAAAAAGTGCGGTGATTCAATTAAGGCTTTCTTTTTTTTTTTTTTTTTTTTTTTTTTTTTTTTTCTTTACGCACACACGGCAAGGGCCAACAAAATAGATCTACTATTTACATATTTTTTTTTCTTGAATCTAATTGTTAACCAGAGTATTTTGTCATATCTTACTTTGCTTATAAGACTTGAACTCGTCTCAAACAACCTACTAAATACTTTCAAGAATGAATAATTCTTTACCAGATATTTTTCAATTGCGGAATAATATTGAATTTGCGTCAATAGCACAATTCTTTCATACTTTTCAATCTGCCTTTCGCCCTTGGCCAGTAACAATTCAAGATGTAATCTATTCGCGTAATTCAGATGCCAATGACTATGTATTTGAAACTGAGGTAATTTCATATTTTTTGTTTACTTGATCCTTCTCTCTTTCAATGCATGGAACAATGAGGAATGGAGAAAAAAAATAAAAAAAAGTTGTTGCACAACTTTTTTTTTGCATAATTTGTTTATATTAAATAACTCTAAATAGGATCTTGAGCGTATGATATTGGATGCATCCGAAAGAATTCGCTTAGAAGACTTGATTGTCAGAATGTTACGACTTGTCAGTGGAAAACGCTTCATAAAGTAACTGATAGATACCCTTCAATATCTTTTTTTATATCTGTTTGCTTATATTTTCTTAAATTACTAGTTCATCCACTTGGCAAATCCATTTTTCCAAAGAATTTCAAAAGAAATTGCCAGACGAAGAAAATCCTTTTATCCCGACCGATGACGATACAAACGAACCTGTCAACTTTTTTACAATGCCATTAGATACGAGAATCCATTTGTTGTATTTACTCTGTGAGGTATGCTTTTTACTCTTTAGCTTTGCCGCACATTATTTATCTCTTTTTCGTTAGTGGCAATTGGATGAACCAGACAAGTTTAGAGAGCACCTCGAAAGTGAAGAAGATGCTGTACAATGGAGAGTCGATCCAGTTGGCTATGATAAGAAGGGAAGCACTTTTTGGTTATTTGATGATAACAGACTGTACAAGGAAACTCCAAAACCAAAGCCTACTAAAAAATCAAACGCTCGTAAAAAGAAACCTGCACCTACACCAGCATCTTCCTCCTCTCGTAGAAGCTCACGTAGAAATACCACAGCGGAAGAGGAGATCCCACAGGAAGATAAAAGTGAAGATGAAGGGGAATGGATGCCTTGGAAATTGGTAAGACCGAAAGATTTTTTCCTGTTGATTTTGCATTATCTTGATCAAGGTTAGTAATTGTAATTTATAGGTTTGTGCTACGAAGTGTGAGTGGGAACAATTTCCTTTGAAATATGCCAATAGTAAAAACGTGGACGAACAGAGATTCTATTCGTTGCTTATTAATGACCTGATACCAAAAATCATACCTGTGCTTGAAGAGCATGAGCGAGAAATCAAAAAGCAAGAGGCCCTCATCCACCGAAAGAGAAGTTCCCGTATCATGATTAAAGAATTAGAGGCACTTGAAACATCTACTGGTAGCTTTGACGAAGACATGGAAAGAAGATCAAGATCATCACATAGAATCGAGAAAAAGACGATGGAGAAGGAGCAACAGGAGCTAGAGAATGCAGCAAAAGCAAGAGAAGAGAGGTTGATGGAGCGTGAAAGAAGGATCATGGAACGTGAATATAGAGCCATGGCTCGTGAGAAACAAAGCGAAGAACCAGATGTACAGCCTCTTCCTTCTCCAGTGAGTGATGCTGCAAATAATCAAGTCTCCATTAAAATGATTGTTAAGGATGAAAAACCAAAAAAGAAGTATAAAAAGAAAGAAAAATTTGACGCTGATGGAAATCCTTTACCTAAAAAGGTGAAATTGGATGCGGATGGAAACCCCATTCCCAAAAAAAAGCGAGGTAGAAAACCCAAAAACAAGGATTTAGAAGAGGAAAGTTGGATGTTTGATTGTGTTTGTGGTGTATCTGGTAACAATTTGGTAACATCAACTAGAAATGTGAGAAAATAAGACTTTGGTATTCATCAGTTTTCGTATTAGGATGATGGTACGCCCATGATTGCTTGTGAAAGTTGTGGAGTATGGCAACATATCAAATGTCTTCAAAAATCTGGTCAAGTAGAGAAACAAAAGAGTCTAGATGATATTACGTTTATTTGCCGTAAATGTGAAGAGGAGCCCCAACCAAAGAAACAAAAGGTGGACCATGAGCAAGAATTGCCTCAATTGCCTCATATCCAATCGACAATCCCACCTATTAGCTCTATTTTACCACCTCTTATTCACAACAATACACATGTGCAGGCACAATCACCTCTAGAAGCACAATCACCTTTAGAAGCACAACCACCTACGCTTTCACCACCTCATGCTACCCTTAAACAATTACCCTCAATTGTACCACGACCTGTTCCCATTGAACCTACGGTTACACCAACCATTCAATCTGCACCTCATGTTCAACAACATATTACTACTGCTGGCTTAATACCACCTGTTGAGAAGCCTATTAATGCCCAATCTACAACATCTGTTCTTGAACCACAGCTTGCTGCTCAACCTACTTTGCCTGCTTCAGAGGCACAGCAGCTTATTGAACAAGCATTACCTCCAGTTTCAACAGTATCAACTCCTGCAGCCCCATTATTGCCCATTGTTACTGCTCCTTCAGCACCGACTATCCAGACAGCGGCACCTGCGGATACGCCAGCAGGTTTAAGTCCATCCACTGTAGTGCAAACACAAGCGACTGAATTTTCAACCATTGTGAATCCATCCACTTCCACCGTCCCACAATGAGCCAATTTAGACTTGACTCCAATGATATAATAGAAAACTACAAAATAAAAGCATTTTGAACCCTGCCACGTTTTTTTTTATTTTGGTGTGAGAATAAGTGGTTGTCAGCGTATTTTCTCACAAGTTGTAAATGCAGCCATTTTTTTCTGTATTTTTTTTTATTATTGTTTCAAAACGGCATAGAAAAAGATCATCCTATTGACAGATTTTATTTCCTGTTTCAAATCCATCCCTTTTGTTGCCGCTTTCTATTGTTTTCTTGGGGAATTAAATAATGCAAAAAAAGGTTTTTTTGTACGACTAAAACTAATTGATAATCATATGGTTATAAAAATATAAGCTAAATTTAATTCAATATTAGCATTTATTCTTTCTTTCTTTCTTTATTCTAAAACTTTGAAAAAAAATGGATGATATTCGTAAAGTTATCAAGACAACTTCACCACCTAGTGTGGTTATTCAAACATTAAGAACTGCTCTTCAAATGCCTCCAACAGCTGCCCGTAACATTGTCAAAGACTTGACTCGGCCTTTAAATGGTCAAAAGAGATTTATTCGCAAGTTTGATAATGAACATTGGAAAGGCACGCTAATCATGTCAGAAATGGTTCGTTGTGACGATGCTATTGCTCTTCAAAGATTGAAAAAAGCTGATATTGTTATTTTTGAAATTCACGGTATGATTTCTTGATTTTTTTTCCATATCTTTCATGCTAACTTTTTTTTATACATAGGTGGTGGGTTCAGAGTTGGTCACAGTACCATGTACATGGACGCATTTATTAATTGGCTTAGATTAATGAAGAGTAAACACAATCTTTATGCGTGTATCATGTCCGTTGAATATGGTATGTTCGGTAAAAAAAAAAAGAAAGACGAATTTAAAAACTGACAACGCCATGGTTATAGGTCTTGCACCCAAACACAAATATCCAGGCCCTTTGAATGATTGCATCCGAGCCTATGATTATCTTACCAAAGATCTTGCTGTTTGTCCATCCAAAGTAGTCTTTTCAGGTGATTCCGCTGGCGGCGCATTTGCATTGGAGACTTTGATGAGAACTTACACACCCGATATTTTGGACGACCTCAACAGTCCCAGAGAAAATTACAGCATACCTATTCCTGCTGCCGTCTTACTATCCTCACCTTTGGTCTCTGCTGAGACGACTTCAGAATCATGGAAACTGTTTCATAAAAAGGACATGATCACGCTCGGACTAGCCAAATTAATCTACAAGGAATATTTAGGTTTACCTCACGTCAAGGTGGAAGATTTACCCGTCATGAGATTACATCATGTCCGAAAGGACTTTGATCGTTTCTTGCCCAAGAATGTCATGGTCTTTGTGGGCGATAAAGAAGTTTTACGCGATGATATTTTGGATTTTGCTAAAGCAGTAAAAGATGATGGAAAAACAAACATTCAATTGATCAAGGAACACTATGTTCATGACTGGTTTATGATCCGTGAAATTGTCAAGAAGAAGGACAAGAAGAAGCTTGCTAATTATGATGAATTGTTTGTCGATTTTGCTGTTCGTGCTGTAAAGGAAGCGAAAGCAGCTTTATTACTATCTGTCCCACCCACCAAGGAAGAATTCCCATTAAGTGAAATGCTGATTTCGGATAACACTTCCATCAATGGAGATATCCCGGTAAATGAAAAAATCCCTGATAATATTCTAGCAACCAGTATCATTAACACAAAGTTCGATACTCCTCCTTTTGAAATATCCGAAAAGGTGCAATTCTCAAGACCTTCTCAGTATAAACCAAACACAATCTTGTCTGAATATGCAATTATTACAGACCATCCTAAAGGTGTTACAGCCTAAATCATCACTATTCAAAAAAATTAAACGTTTTTTTTTGTTCAAACTGTTTGTACTGATATTTATTTTCAAATGGCCCAAACTACCATTTGTCTATTATATTTACACGATCTATTCTTTTTTGTTAAACTTTCGAAATAAAATCTAACTTTCTATCTTTTGCTTTTTTCTTTCTGCAAGACCAATTCGATCACGCAAGATAATTTTATCGGATGCAGGGGCTAATAATCGAAGCTCTGGTGCGCTTCGAACGGAACGGTTCAGAAGCGATCGTTTTCTATTAGAAGAAGAAGGGTTTTCGGTTGTGATTTTAGCAGTATCCTCATGAGTTGTACTCTCAAAAGACTCAGGAGTCGGGCTAGTTATCCTAGGAGTGCTTGGCATGGATGCCAATGTCGTAGGAGTATTTGAAAGTGTCGAAGGAGTAATTGTCAAAGGTGTGGGATCATCCGACAATGGTATATTATGTTTAACTGGCACAACTGGTTTGAAAGCTGGCGCCATATTAGAGGTAAGAATGTTTTTTAATGGAATTGGTGATGTGTTTCTGAGAGGTGTATTTGTCACAGGTGTAGGTGTACACGATGTGGGTTTCGGTAGCAACCCAGATACATGGCTTATAGAAGCCGAACTGCGTGATATCGGAATAGTATTGCGAGCATAAACAGGTAAAGATCCAGGGTTATGAGCTAATGAGGCGCCTGTTTGGGTCTGGTTAGGTGTGGGTTGTGAAGTATAGATGTGAGCTTGATGTGAGGGAGGTACTTGAGGGGTTGCTTGTGAGACAATCCCATGAGATATGTATGTAGGAGGAGCTTTTTGGCTCTGGTAATTGAGTGTCGAAAGTGGAGGAACATATGACGCTTGACGAGCCACAAATTGTGGAAGTTGGTGACGCGCTTGATTAGAAGAAGAAAGCTGATTAATCATGAGTGCATCCCTTCTAGCCAGTTTATCCTTGTAAGAAGAACCTGTACAGGAATTTGCCCTAACTGGATTAAGTTTTAATAGTAGCATGTCGCGCTCCTTTTCAGTCTGGTCCAATTTCTCCAACAGACTATTGCATCTTGATTCCAGGATTGGGAATTTCTTGACAAACTGGACATTATTGACAGCCTGTGGTGACACAGTATTTAATGCCTTGTTATACTTTTTGGACATTTTTTTAAACTTTAAACATTCCACATTCTTAAGATCAATTTCCAAAAGTTGCTTGGCGATTAGTTCGTCCTTTCTCTTTATTTCTACCTCAAATTCGAGTCGTTGGTTGGCAAGGAAGGCGTCTTTTCTTTTGATTTCGGTTTCTAAATCTTGCTTTTGTTTTGCTATTAATTCGTCTTTACTCTCTGATACTAGTTGCTGCGCTTTGATTATATCATCTTTCTTTTCTATTTCCAGTCGGTGTGTCACAACCAAATTGTCTTTTTCTTTTAGTGCAGCTTTTAGATCTAGACATCGGTTCGCGATCTGCTGATTCAATTCTTTGGTTTTAAGTCTAAATTCAGCTAGTTGCTTCGGAAAGACTTTGTTGTCTTTTTTTAGTTCCAAGCACTCTTTCTTGAGTTGATCCATTTCGCACTATGAAATAATGTCAGTCATTCTGAGTAAATAGTAATAATTTGCTTTGGTTCATTACAAGACGTTTTTGGTGAGTGGCAAGTTGCGTAGCAATGACTCCATTTTTTGATTTCAGCAGCTCGTTTCCATGTTCCAGTTCTTTAATTTTCAATTGAAATTCTTTCTTTTCTTCAAGAAGTTTCAGTGCATCCTCTTCAAACTTTTTTTGTGTTTTGACTGCCTTTTTTTGTGTAGCTTTTGCCTTGGCTTTAATGGCGTTGACTCGTCGTGTTTTCTGCTTTAAATCTTTTTCCTAATTAGCACAAAGAAGATAAAAAAAAAAAACTAAAAACCCCCTGAGAGTTTTTTTTTTTTTTTTTACCTGTTTGCAATTCTTTCAGCATTTCAAATGCTTGAATAGTAGACAAAGTGGCTTTCTCTATGGCTTCATTACTTTGTTTACTATCCTTCATGCTTTTAAAAATATTTTATAAAGAGAACAACTGTCCTTTGACGTTTTTTTTTTGCCTTTTTTTTTGTTTTTCTATCTCCGGCACGAAAAAAAAAGAGAGATGATGACTTGTTGAGGCAAAGACAATGAAAGAATGTGTCTAACCCCTTGTGGGGGAGGGATAAACATCAGTATTATAGCCCATATTAGGCTGTCGTTACAATAGCCTATTTTATTTGGATCACCAATGACACAAATCATTGGGTTTTGGTAAAATAAACTCGTACAGTCCTATATTATATGCGTGGTATATATATTCGTAATACTTCTAAATACAAAGTTTTTTATTATGAAGATCACACTAAACTACTAGCCACTTAGTTTAATTGATCTACGAATAAAATTCACGTTCCTGTATGAGTTTAATGATTTTTTTTATCGGGATTCAATGTTTTGGTCGTTGTTACAATCTGTCTCCGCGTTATTACTGCTAAAAGTAAGTATTTATTTTCCCATCATCGAACACAATGCGTAAACATTGGAAAACGGCGATGACACATGTTATAAAGATGAGACCAGCTGTCATACAGGATAAGTAATTAAGGATTATTTATTTTTGGTATATATATACAGTATATGAGGTAGATATTAAATACAGGTGTAACGTTTTTAGTTTTTAGTCTTCTTCAGGATTCACAGTTTTGTTGGTGTGGTAAGTGACTCTACTTTGAGGTGGGCTTGGGAAATACTTATAATACGAATTTAGAACAGCAAACAGAGCGTAAATGACGAGACTAACACCAATAAGACCCATAAAGAATCTACCGCCACCCGATGTCGATAATTTGGCCATGGCTGCAGCCACCATATTTTTGTTGCCGGATTCATTCTGTCTAGCTAACGAATCCCAAAAGAAACCGGACATAGTCCCAAACAAAGCTGCTCTTCCTCCAAAACCGATACGACCTAGCAAATGAACAATAAAGGCTTCATATTTATTGGCGTCAGGTTCACTGGTTTTAAGATCTTTGATGAAGTTTCCTGTGATGGCATTGATGATTTGTGTAAAGAAGGCAATGACAAATGCAATCGCAATAATACCAACACCTGCTTTACCAAGCTTGGTTTTACTCCAGGAAGCGGGGAATTGCTGACTAGAGGCGGATTCTTGTTGTTCTTGCTCGGTTTGTGCAAGCATCTGAAAGATATAATAGGCATAGACAATGTAAACGCAACCACTAACAAAAGGTGATAATCTGTATCGAAAGAAGTTCTTTTTTTTGCTGAACGTTGCGTCGCAACCTTGACCTGAAATCGCTTCCCACATTCTTTTGAAGTTAAACGGTTAGGATAACAATATCAATCGTCAATAAATTTTTTTTTTGCTTACCTCCAAATAATATACAGACATAATCCGATGGCCATAATGACAAGAATAGGTTTTCCTACTGATGGAATACCACCTAGTAATAAAAAGGCACCCTGTGGTGATTCATTGCCCTCGCTTCCGTTAGGTGTGTGGGCGCCAGATAGATTAGTCAAAGTCAAGACACCAATACAGCCATAGACTACGCCTTTGGCAATAAAGCCAATGCGCCCCACCCATTTGACGACGGGCTTAAATCGTTCTCGTACACCACCTTGATAGAATTTCAAGTCTTCTTCTTTGATTGGTGTATGTTCTGAGGACGGTGTGGATTGATCAGTCGAACTATGTTCATCGGGTAGCACACTCTCTTCATCTTCTATTGTCTTTTTTGGCTTGGTTTTGCCAAATAATTTATTAAACATTTGTGTTGTATTAAAGAGAGTAAAAAAGGGGTAAAATGAAAATAGGAAAACGGAAAAAAAAATTTGTCTTTTTTGGTTCGATTTGTTTCTCTTTATAGTAATTTCCATTAGTCTTGAAAAAGATCTCCGTCATAATGACGTAAATCAAATGCTTTTTTTTTGCTTGTTTGATCTAAGCTAAAAAGCTTATTGTCATACAGCGATCTGCCTTTAAATCTTTGCTACAAAATGGTTGGCCAAGTTAATTTGGTATGATGTCAAGAAATTATTGCGTTCTTTTGCTCTAACATTATCACAAAAAGACCTATGATCAGGAGGGAGAGTGAATTTTAAATCTGATGGGAAACTATGATCTAAACCTATATCACTCAAAGCCATAGCGAGGCAAAAAATTCCTGGCCAACAGAGAATAAGAGACTGCAGCACCTATGCAACCGCAAGGAGAGGTACCATGACTGACATATGAAACCCACCAAAAAAATTTAACTTTGCCGAGTGCATCGTACCTAGCTTGCCTAGATATTTATAGCCTAAAAGTAGTAACCTCATTTAAGAGATTGACGATGTAGTTTTCTTTGATATATGTATATTAAGATGATAGTCCAAGCAGCATAAAATAAACACAAAAAATTACAGGTAATAATAGCTTTACAAAATACGCACCAATGACAACAAATAATGCCGAGTCATTGATAAACAATCGAAAGTGACCGCGGTAGATATAAATACTAGTTGTTAGGTGGGGTATGTCTTAATTATGTATCTATCTATCTTAAACTTTATAAAAATACACCATCCTTAGGTACGTCAAATATACAAATTTATGAGCTTAACATTCTAGGCCAATGATTGATAATTCAAGCTGAATACCTGGAAATATTAGTCCCATCGGGGTTAGACAGACGCACAACCCGCAATATAATTTTGCGATAGTTACTTAACATCTTCAAGTTTCATATCGTGATAATATTTGAAGAGTTGTTGAGCTACACAGGGGCAACATCGTACCAGGGTCAAATAGTCCGTACACTCATGAAGTAAGAATCACATGTCTGGAACTCTTTTTATCTAGGGATGTATTAATTACAGTTTCTGGGTGATTTATAAAAATTCACTACTACAGGAGGGTTTATTTGTCTTCGAGACGTTTTTTATTTTTATTTTTATTTGAAACCAAATGCATAGCTAATTTATAAAGGAAATCCAGGTGAAAACGTCAACAAAACTAACGTAAAAATCGATGAGACATCGAAAAAGAAAGTTCGCCGTCTAACGTGCTGATTTCTCCATTATCGATTATCGTAAACACCGAATGATAATCATAATAAGTAAGTGCAAATTTGACACGCTTAAGACATTTTATGACAGCTTTTCCAAACATTTTATTCTCTCCGCTTAGCTGTTCATTCATCTGTTTCAACGTGGTTTTGGTTACTGATAAAGCAGCATCGCTGATTATAAGACAGTAGTATTCCCAATTTTTATCCAAGAATTGTATTTCTAGAAATGTAGTATCTCGGCCTTTTTCACATAAAAATCGAGCACTCAACTGAACTGAATTTAACTGTTTGAATGCAGTCAAGTCGGCTTCAAATGATTCATTTGCTTGGTCCTCAAAGTCGTCTAGACCACAAATAAAAGCTTCTGTTGCAGGCATATACGTTCGCATCAGATCCAGAAATTCATTCGATGGTTTCATGTCTTTAAGTTTGATAACCTTGATATTTTCTTGGATTGTATTAGATGTATCTTTCTTCTCCCTAACAAATTGAGATATTACTTCAGGGTCAGTACCGATATATATACCATAATCAGGGCTGTTCATTGATTTGTAAGAAAAATGTTGAAGGTTTGGGCAATTAGTCAATGCGTATCGCAAGAACTCCAACGGTAAATTTGGATTCGTGTCACACATCATGACATTCATTTCATGTATGACCTCTGGTCCTATCGTTGATATGAAACGATTGGGCATTACAAATTGAATGGTACGGTTTGACCGTTCTTCTTCTTCATCCGGTTCTTCTTCAGATTCTGAGTTGGCTGTTGGGAGATAATAATCAGATCGCTTTAAACCGTGAAAAAAATACAAGCTGTCATCTGGACCTAACAGAATAGACTTGTATACACTTCTAAAATTACTATAATGGGCTGTACAGTACAATTTTCTCCCTCTCCTCATCGCGTTAAGTAAGGTATAAAAAAGTGTAGGTTCGGATTCCGTGCTGATAGTCTCTCTATCATGGTGCTTGTATGGTTCCCAACGGATACTAGCGGTTTTCACCTGGCTCAAGCTGCGCAAAAACTCCACCGCATTATCAAGTCCAAATCCCTCCATCCAATCGAAAACATCGATATCATTGATATTTATCTTCAAGACATCCACATGTGGGACAATATAATCCTTGAGATAGGTGGCATAATGATAAGGCATGGTTGGGGCCGATAATTTTAGTTCTTTTAAGCTACTGTTCAACCTCTTGGGGCTTGTATCATCACTAAAAACGTCCTTTACGCCTATATCCGGAAACTCGTACCGGCTGTGGTATGTTAACGATATCAAATGAGGACAGATATTCATGATGTCAAGTGTAGTTAATTCGGTATCGAGTCTGTTATAGAATGTTAAATGCGTCAAGCTGTCAAAATGTTTTAACAAAATGAGCATTTCGTTGTTGATAGATCCCATAGTAAAATACAGAGAATAATAGTCAACGTGTAGTGTCGCAATAGTTGCACGATACTTGTAACAAACAGCAAAGTAAGTGTTTTTACATCTATTTGAAAGACTAAAGAAGTCTAGGTCATTACCAGATATAATCTCTCTAATTTTGAGCCGCATTATGGCCGGATCATCCGAGTCAACGATATATTGCAAGTAATCGATAGCCTTTTCACTGTCCAATAAATGCAGAACTTGTAGGTTTGGCAGATATCCCAAAAGCATGATCCATTCTTCCTTTGTATACTGACCGTCAGAATTTTTTAATAAGGTGTTTCTACCGCTGTATCGAGCGTTATCAAATCGGATAACAAGTTTTTTTGTGAAAGAGCCGTACTGAAAGTAACGATCGCGTTCAATGGGATCTAAATGTAGCAGTTTCTTTAATTCAGCAGCCCCATCGAATTGGATAGACAAGTCCTTGTATAAAAACGCTAACGCGCTTTCTTTCCAGCTTTTACAAGTCAGAGCACATTGAAAAACTGTTGTTTTATTCGAATGGCTGTATATAGCATTTAGGATTTCCAACGGTAACTTCGACGGAAATGTCTAGACCTCCGTATTTTTTTCAAAAGTATTTTTTTTGTACCACTTACAGGAATTCTGGCCAGAAGACCAGCAGACCAGTATGATTGCACCTATTTACAGTCCAATCCCAGCTATTCACGGTTCGTGAGTTCCAAAAACTCAAGAACTCTGCCTAGGAGGTCGCCCTCCTATTGCAAAGACTAGCCGCAGCCGCAATATCACAATTATATATCTTTTTCGATTTAGCTTCTTTTCAAAGAAACAAGAGTCACTACTAAACTAACCTTTTTATGTGATCGGTTACTTTCATACGATAAAAGAAGTATGTTAAGGAAAAAGAAAAGGAGAAGAACAAAGTGTGTGAACCAGCTTTATTTATTGATAAACAAGCTTATGTCAGGATGATTTCATTTGTCTATTTTATCATCCATAATGTTTGAGCCTTTACTTAAAATAGAAACAGTTGCAAAAACCTCCCAAGCAAGTCAGAGCTTGGTAATTGTCTATCTGCATTCCAGTAGTAGCTTGTAATGACAGTAAAGCAGATTTTATGGAAAACAGAAAACGATCATCCAATGAAGTTTAGATGATATGGCATGTCAATCGACGTGTAGACCATCACGTTTGAAAAAATACGTTTGAAAAAATACGTTTGAAAAAAATACGGAGTTCTAGACATTTCCAACTTCGACATGGTTGCCAAAAATTGAATAAAAAAGAAAAAGAAAAACGTTCATTTTTTGGACACCTAAATCATTATAATCAAGTAATTCCTTCCATTTAAAAAGACAGTGCGTTTAATTATTTAGGATCTGATGTAATATAGACGAACACGCGGGTTAGAATAAAAAGTGGGACGTAGTTTTATAATAATCCCTTCGTCTAACTTACTGATTTTTCCATTATAAATTTCTGTCGTCCTTGAATTATTAGAGAAAAGTTCGAATTTGACCTGCTTGCGGCACTGGATGAAAGCTTTTCGAATATTATTATACTCTCTGATACTTATCAGTTCCTTCATATGTGCCAAAGTAGTTCTAGTTACATTCAAAGTCGTACTATTTCCCCACAGATGGTAGTATTCCCAACCTTTATCCGAGAACCGTATTTCCAGAAATGCTGTATTTTGTCTGTCATATTCAAACAATTGAACATCCAGCCGCACTGACTTTAAATACATAAATGCTGTCAGGTCCAATTCAAACCATTCAGCAGGTGAATAATCTAAATCGTACAGGAGACATATCATTTTTTCTACAGCAGGCAAGTACTGATTAATGAGGCACAACAGTTCTTTGGATGGGACAATGCTTCTAGTCTTGATGAAATTGATATATGGTTTTTTGATATTTGATGAGTTTTGGATACCTTTTACAGCGTCACCGCCCATTTTAGGATTGACATAGAGTAATATCTCATGTTTATTATCACCAATTGAGTTCAAAGAAAATCCTTGGAGATTTGGACAGTTCATCAACACGTATCGTAAGATCTTCAACGGTAAATTTGGATGTGTGTCGCCCAGAAAGACATTAATCTGATGAATGACTTCTGGTCCTATGATGGAAGTGGAACGATTAGGAATTGCAAATTGAACACGACGAGTTGAAGAATCTTCTTGTTCAAAGTTTTGATTCGTTAATGGTAGATAGTAGTCAGATTCTTTTAATCCGTAATTAAAATACAAGTAGTCATACGGAGTTAAACTAAAAGACTTGTGTGTACTTTGGTAATCATTATAAGTTGCTTGACAGTGCATTTTTTTGTTTCTCATCATTGCGTTGAGCAATGTAAAGAAAATTGTGGCTTCGGATTTAGTGCTGATAGTTTGTCTATTGTAGCTCATATCAGGTTTCCAACTGATACTAACCGTTTTTATCTTGCTCAAACTGCGCAAAAACTCCACTGCATTCCAAAGTCCAGTTCTTTCAGCCCAATCGAATACATCTGTATTACAGATAACCAATTTCAGGACATCCAAATACGGTGCGACAAAGTCTTTCAAGTAATCAGCATAATGCGTTGAAATAGTGGGCACCATCAAATACAGTTCTTTTAAGCTATGATTCAACCTCTTGCGATTCATAGCACTACCAAGAATATTCTTTACAGTAAATTCTGGAATGCAGTGTTCGCTCTTGTAATCAAGTGATACTAAATAAGGACAAGCATCCATGATATCAAAGGTAGTTAACTGGTCATCACAACTATTGTTGAACGTCAAATGAGTCAAGCTATTGAAATGATATAGCATCGTAAGGAAATCAGCGTTAATAGGTCCTAATTTATAAGACGTGAAGTTGTATTTAACTTCTAAAGTGGTAATGGTTGCACGATACTTGTAGCAGACGGCAAAGTGCATGTCATTACAATCATGGGTGTCAGGCATGGTGCGCTGGCGATCAGCCTGTATGAAGATCCTAATTTTTGGCAATATTTTGTCGGAATCCGTACAGCTTAGGATGTATTGCATATATTTAATGGCGTTTGGACTGCCAGATAAATCCAGAACTTGTATGTTTGGTAGGTATTCCAAAAGCCAGATCCATTCTTCCTCTGTATAGTCAACGACGGTACTTTTTGAATCATAAGGTTTGTTACGTATAGTCCATATGAACAACAAGATTTTTTGTGAAAGTGCCGTATTGAAAGTAACGATCGCGTTCGATGGGGTCTAATTGTAGCAGTCTTTTTGTTTGTAAAATTCGGTTACCGTCGATGGACAGACTGTTGTAGTAATGTTTTAATGCACTTTCTTTCCAACTTTTGCGGGTCAAAGCACATTGTAAAACATCTTTGTTACTTAAGTGTTTGTATACAATATTTAGAATTTCAGGTGGTAATTCCGACATGTTTAGTAAAGCAAAATCCATCTTTATTTTCTTTTCGATATAAAGTTTTGGCCAATTTCTAGTGTAACTTATGACTTGGTTTTCCCAGAATAAGTATAATTAAAAAAAAAAAAAATAGAAACCACATATAATTATTTAGGATCTGATGAAATGTAGACGAACACGCGAGTTAGAATAAGAAACTGTAACCTAATTCCATATAAAGCTCTTCGTCTAACTTACTGATTTTTCCGTTATAAATTTCTGTCATCCTTGAACGATTAGAGAAAAGTTCGAATTTGACCTGCTTGCGACACTGGATGACAGCTTTTCGAACATCACCATACTCTTTATTACTTATCCGATCAGACATATGTGCCAAAGTAGTTTTAGTTACCGTCAGATCCATATCATTTCCCCACAGATGGTAATATTCCCAATCTTTATCTGGGAACTGTATTTCCAGAAATGCGGTATTTTGGTCGTCAACACCAAATAATTGAACATCCAGCAGAACTGACTTTAAATACATAAATGCCGTCAGGTCCATTTCAAACCTTTCAGCAGGTGGAAAAGTCAAATCGTCCAGGAAACATATTAGTCTTTCTACGGCAGGCAAGTATTGATGAAAGAGGCACATCATTTCTTTGGATGGGACTATGTTTTCAGTGGTGATGACATTGATATGTGATTTTGTCGCATTTATTGAGTTTGGGATACTTTTTACAATGTCATTGCCCTTTTTAGAATTGACATTGAGTGATATTCTAAGATTAATTTCACCAGTTGTCTCGGACAAAAACGTTTGGAGGTTTGGGCAGTTCACTAAAGCATATCTTAAGATCTCCAACGGCAAATTTGGATGTGTGTCGTCCAGAGAGACATGAAAATGATGAATGACTTCTGGTCCTATGATCGAAGTGGAACGATTAGGAATTGAAAATTGTTCAGGAAGAAATACTGAATTCCCTTGTTCAAAGTCTTGATTCATTAATGGTAGATTATAGTCATAATCCTTCAGGCCGTAATTAAAATACAAGTGGTCATCTGGAGTTACACTTAAAGATTTGTATGGACTTTCGTCATCATACTCTGCTCGACAGCGCATATTTTCGTTTCTTATCATTGCGTTAAGCAGTGTAAAGAAAACTGTGGCTTTGGATTCCGTGCTTGTATTAATAAGTCTAACATCGTGTTCCTCAGGTTCCCAATTGATACTAGCCGTTTTAACCTTACTTAAACTGCGTAAAAACTCTACAGCATTATAAAGTCCAAATCTTTTGACCCAATCGAATATCTCCATATTACGGATTGTCAGTTTCAGGACATCCAAATGCGGTGCCACATAGTCTTTGAGGTAATTAGCATAATGCGTTGAAACAGTTGGGATCGTCAAATATAATTCCTTAAAACTATTATTCAACCTCTTGCGGTTCGTATCACCACCAAGGATATTCTTTACAGTAAATTCTGGAATACAGTGTTCGCTCTTGTAGTCTAATGATACTAAATGGGGAAAGGCATCCATAATATCAAAGGTAGTTAACTGGTCATCACAACTATTGCTCAACGTCAAATGAGTCAAGCTGTTGAAATGATATAACATCGTAAGCATATCGCCGTTAATAGGTCCATAATTAAACGACTTGGAATCGTATTCAACTTCTAACGTGGTAATGGTTGCATGATACTTGTAGCAAACGGCAAAGTAAATATCATTGTGAACCTTGGTGTCACCCATTTGGCTTCTGATATCAGCCACTATGATGGTCCTAATTTTATGCAGTATTTTGTCGGATTCCGTACAGCTTAGGATGTATTTCATATATTTGAGGTAGTTCCTAGTCTCAAGCAAATCCAGAACTTGTATGTTTGGTAGGTATTTCAAAAGCAGAATCCATTCTGCCTTTGTATAGTAAAGGGATGTATCGCTGAAATCACCGGTTAAGAAATAACTATCATCTCTATGAACAACAATTTTTTTTGTGAAAGTGCCGTATTGAAAGTAACGATCGCGTTCTCTGGGGTCTAATTGAAGCAGTTTCTTTGTTAGTAAAACTCGGCTAGCGTCGATGGACAGACTATTGCAGTAATGTGTTAATGCAATTTCTTTCCATCTTTTGCAGGTCAGAGCACATTGTAAAACATCTTTGTCACTTGAGTGTTTGTATACAATATTTAGAATTTCAGATGGTAATTCCGACATGTTTAGTAAAGCAAAATCCATCTTTTTTTTTTTTTCGCTATAAAGTTTTAGCCAATTTCCAGTAATTGGATCGTGTAACTTATGACTCTAATCATATGTATTTCTTGGATCATTATTATCAAGTTGTTACTTTTATTTAAAAAAGACACTGCGTTTACTTATCGACGAACGCGCGAGTTAAAATAAGAAACTGTAACGTAATTCCATAGAAAGTTCGTCGTCTAATTTATTGATTTTTCCATTATGAATTTCTGTCGCCATTGAATAGTCAGAGGAAAGTTTGAATATGACCTGCTTGCGGCACTTGATGACAGCTTTTCGAATATTACCATGCTCACTGTTACTAATCCGTTCATCCATATTTTCTACAGTAGTTTTAGTTACAGCCAATCTCTGGGTACTTACTAGCAGACAGTAATATTCCCAATCTTTATCCCAAAATTGTATTTCCAAAAATGCAGTATCTTGGCCTTTATCACAGAACAAGAGAACATCCAGTTCAACTAACTTTAAACAGTTAAATGCTGTCAGGTCCACTTCAAACAATTCTGTAGGTGGATCCATGTATTGGCCCAGTACACATTTAAGGTTTTCTATTGCAGGCAGGTATTGATATATGAGGCACAATAGTTCTTTGGATGGGACCATATTTGCAGTCTTGATGAACTTGATATTTTCTTGTGAGGTATTTGAAAAGTTTTGATAACGTTTTATAATGTCACCGCCCATTTCAGGTTTGGCGTCGATCAATATGCTATGATTATATTCACTAGTTGAGTTGTACCAAAACCGTTGCAGGTTTGGACAGTTCATCAACGCATATCGCAAGATCTCCAACGGCAAATTTGGATGTGTGTCGTCCAGAAAAGCATTGATCTGACGAATGACTTCTGGTCCTATGATCGAAGTGGAACGATTGGGAGTTGCGAATTGAACACGACGAGTTAATGAATACCCTTGTTCAAAGCTTTGATATGTTAATGGTACAAAACAGTCAGATTCCTTTAAACTGTATTTGAAATACAAGTGATCATCTGGAGTTAAACTAAAAGACTTGTGTGTACTTTGGTTATTAACATAATTGGCTCGACAGTACATTTTTTTATTTCTTATCATTGCGTTAAGCAATGTAAAGAAAATTGTGGATTCGGTTTCAGTACTCGTATTAATTTGCTCATCGCTGTGTTTCTGAGGTTCCCAACTGATGCTAGCCGTTTTAACTTTGCTTAAACTGCGTAAAAACTCCACCGCATTATAAAGTCCAAATCTTTTGACCCAATCGAATATCTCCATCTTACGGATTGTCAGTTTCAGGACATTTAAATGCGGTGCCACATAGTCTTTGAGGTAGTTAGCATAATGCGTTGAAATAGTTGGGATCGTCAAATGTAATTCTCTGAAGCTATTATTCAACCTCTTGCGGTTCGTATCACCACCAAGAATATTCTTTACAATTGGCTCTGGAATACAGTGTCTGCTCTTGTAATCAAGTGATACTAAATAAGGACAAGCATCCATAATATCAAAGGTAGTTAACTGGTCATCACAACTATTGTTGAACGTCAAATGAGTCAAGCTGTTGAAATGATATAACATCGTAAGCATATCGCCGTTAATAGGTCCTGAATTAAAAGACTTGGAATTGAAGTTAACTTCTAAAGTGGTAATGGTTGCACGATACTTGTAGCAGACGGCAAAGTGCATATCATTACAATCATGGGTGTCAGGCATGGTGCGCTGGCGATCAGCCTGTATGAAGATCCTAATTTTTGGCAATATCTTGTCGGAATCCGTACAACTTAGGATGTATTGCATATATTTAATGGCGTTTAGACTGCCAGATAAATCCAGAACTTGTATGTTTGGTAGGTATTCCAAAAGCCAGATCCATTCTTCCATTGTATAGTTGGCCATTGTACCTTTGTCTGAGACGGCATATGTTAAATCATGTTGTAGGTGATTTGCAGTATCCATATGAACAACAAGCTTTTGTGTGAAAGAGGCGTATTGAAAGTAACGATAGCGTTCGCTGGGATCTAATTGAAGCAGTTTCTTTGTTCGAACAACTCGGTTATCGTCGATGGACAGAGTTTTGTAGAAATGCGGTAATGCACTTTCTTTCCAACTTTTGCAGGTCAAAGCACATTTCAAAACATCTCTTTTTTTTAGATGTTTGTATACAATGTTTAAAATTTCACATGGTAATTCCGACATGTTTAGTAAAGCAAAAGCCAACCTCTTTTTTTTTTTTTTTTTTTTTTTTTTTTTTTATTTTGATATATCAAATTTCGACCCAACTGGCAACATTCTATATCGAATTTTGGCTTCAAAGATGGTCATACTCGGGTATGAAGAAGCAGAACGCTAGTCATTGTTTACTGTCAATTTAGGGGCAGCCTAGGTATGTGGTAAGTGAAATAAGGTGATGCCAAACACGTCTGTTTTGTCCTCTCTCATGTAGATAAATGCCCATCTTCACGAGCAGGTTATCTATGCTGGGATTAAAGCCAGCACCCGATTGATTGGCTCATCCCGACCCCAATAACAGAGGGTACCCCCAATATATTATTTTTGCTTTTTTTTTTTTCTTTTTCGACATTAACACGGCAAATGAAGATTACTATTGCTTCGCGTAATCCAAAGAGCAACAAGTTCCCTTTAGAGCTTGAAGTTGCTGGTACAGCCGAGAGTATCAAGACCAGCCAAGTGTCTGAGGCTTTAGCCAAAAAGTTCCCCAAATATTATATTGAACGTCAACGTTTAACAACCGAAGATAAGAAAGTGTTGGATGCTGACAAGACCTTGAAAGAACAAGCCATTCTCGATAATGGTACGATTTATTTCAAGGATCTCGGACCCCAAATTGGCTGGCGTACTGTCTTTATGATTGAGTACGGTGGACCTCTTTTGATCCATCCTATTTTCTATTATGCAAGTCAATTGATCTATGGTGAAGCCTATGAACACTCTGCCATGCAAACCTGGACTTATTACATGGTGATGCTTCATTTCATTAAGCGTGAATTAGAAACGATCTTTGTGCATCGTTTCTCACACGGTACCATGCCCTTCACCAACGTCTTCAAGAACTCTGCTCATTATTGGTTCTTGTCGGGTATCAATTTGGCTTTCTGGGTCTATGGTCCTTGGTTCTCTGAAGGTAAGCAAGCTGCTATTCGTAACGATGTCTGGCTCTATGGATCTGTTGCTGTCTGGGCTGTAAGTATATATATTTGTGTGTAAAATGTGAGAGAGCTAAATGATGCTTTTTTTGATTTGTAGTGGGCCGAACTTTCCAACTTGATGACACATATTACACTTCGTAATTTGCGTCCTCCTGGAACTCGTGTTCGTGCTATTCCTTATGGTTATGGTTTCGATCTTGTTTCTTGTCCCAATTACTTTTTCGAGTTCCTTGCTTGGACCGCTGTTTGTTTCCTCACCACCAGTTGGAGCGGTAAGTTTTATACATATGTAAAGAGATAAAAGTATCTAAACGGATTTTATGATAGCTTTCCTTTTCAACATTGTGGCCACTGGACAAATGTACATTTGGGCTGTCAAGAAGCACAAGAATTACAAGAAGGAGTTTAAAGATTACCCTCGTAACAGAACTTCCATGATTCCCTTTATTGCTTAAAATAAAAACTTTTTTTTATTATTATTATTTCTTGATTAAATATCTTTGAGCCACATCACCGAACTCTTCAAGCACACCATGAATGGTTTTACGGAAGGAAGCAGAATCCGTGTCCTTGTAAGAATTCCAAGAACTAACACTCATACGTACGCGTTCTTTACCGATGGCATAATTAATGCCATAACCTTCTGGTACGACCGCACCAAAACCACCCCAAGCCAAATCACCAGGTGAGGTATTGGATGTGGATAACAACCAGTACTGCGAACCCCAATAAGAAGGGTCACGATAGATGGCAGCGTCTTCCGATGCAGTTTCTTCGGGTGTCATTTGACATCTGAGACCCAACAAGTGTCGATCCACGCCATGACCGTTACTAGCGGCCTTCATATATTCCATATGACTTCCGATGGCCTTTTCAAAGAGACCCAATTTATCAGCCATCTTGATATCTTTATCCTCCCATGCCTTGGTGAAAGCCACAGTATCGGTGGAACAGGTACGGACAGTCTCGGTACGACCAGCACGGAATTTACGAGTAGAAGCTGATTCATAGGTAGGGCAAGATTTACCGTAATGACGATAATAGGCCAGTTGGTAGACCATTTGGAGCCAGCCATCGGGACTTACTTTGGCCTCCTTCATCATGTTGGAACCGTATCCTCCGTAATGAAGAAGAACACTATCGAGGTCTGAAATTAAGGTGGAAGCGTTCTTTTCAGCGGTACGAATAGCGTTTCCGAGTTCATGAGAGACTTGCCATTGTAACACCTTGGGTTTCTCCAAGTTGGAAATCGCAGCAGCGGACATGGAGTCTACAATAGGCTCACTTTTTTTGTTAAAAAAAGCATTGTGGGTTAGTGATTGAGTTTTTTTTTTTGCATATTCTCCCTCTATAAAAAAAAGACACTTTACCGAGTTAAAACATCTTCTACGATACGAGAAGGAATCACGGCGTCAGCGGGTGAATGCTATTTCACAAGTGTTAATATACTAATTAAAAAAAGGGGCGGAGTTTGACAAAGACTTACTTCGCCATTGATGCCTGCACGACCGTTGTTCTCGACAATAAATTGCAAGGCTTTATCAAACCATCTGTTTCTTCCGTTTCTGCCATGGAAGATATTACGATGTGATAAATCCAGATCTAAAGGAGAACTATAGTCATCTAAACAAAACACAAAAATTGAGTCATCGATGTTCTTGAGTGATTGTGCGTTTAAAGTTTGTTTCTCCATGCTCTCGCGAATCTTTATAAGAAGAGTGAGTTATTCAATCAGATGGGAAGGGAAAATGTAGACTTACGGGTCCCCAGGTATCACGGTGCTCTGTGGTGAGTAAACCAACAGCAGGTTGACGTTTTTCTACGGGTGTATCTTCTACCTGTTGCACAACTTGACGCAATTGTCTTTAAATAGAAAGAAAAAAAAGGGTTTAGTGTAAATAAACAGAGTCTTTGTTCCTGAATATATGCATACTCTTCCAAGGTCTTGATGGGGACAGTTTCACCGTTGGGACCAATGACTTGAACAGAAAAGATTTGATCCTTGTAAATGACGTTGATATGTTTATTTAAACAGGGCCATTGAGTTACAACTTTATCACACTCGGGAGCAGCAATACGACTTGTACCAAACATATTCTTTAACTGATGCATACAAAAGGGACCTGAACGGGACATATCTGGTGGAATTTCCTCGCTTTTTTTTTTTTTTTTTTAAAAAAAAAAAAGTGTATGTCAGCCAATATTGAAACCCTTAGCCAAAGCATAAACTTACTTGTTGACGCGGTTAGAATAATCAATTAAACCAGCAATCATGCCTGCAGATCGTTTCAACTGAAAATCCGAGACTTGACCTTCAGGTGCACCTTTTCCTAAACCCGAGACGGGGTCTCTGAATTGATTCCACCAGTTGACGTTAATTAAGGTAGGGATACGATACTCGAGATAACCCTTCTTTAACCAAAGTCTATCCAACCAGTTTAAACCTAATGCGGTCTCTTGGTCATCCAAAGCATGCAAACGTTGTTGTAACGTACTGGCCAAACCATCCTTGGCAAAGAATCGATCAATCTTTTGTGAGGCTTGTTGGTGTTCAGCGGCTGAAAGTAAAGGTAAAAGACTGCGCTTGTAACGGGCTGAAGTGAGTTCGAGCTCGGGAATAGGTAAACGTGGTAAAATAGCTTGGTTCGAAAACGTCTTTGCTGAAGTTGTATAACCACGTAACCTTTGCTTGAGAGTATCAATAAGAGAGAGAGGGAAATATGATGTATGTATAAATATGAGACTTACCCTGCACGGCTGATGACTCTGGACATTTTTCTTTTTTTGTGGGTAAAGGGAAAAAAAAGGGGTGAGAAATATGGATTAGCAATTTTCACAGGAGTTTTTATTAGACTCCATGTGATAAAGCCCGTCACTTTTTAATAGAGTTACACACATGAAAAAGTTTATTAGCTAATAAGGTGGATAAGGGCGTGGATTATAATTAGGTCGAGCGGGTGGATGAGAATACATTGGTCTTTGTTCATTAAATCCTGTATTTGGATAAGGTGAGTAATTTCCTACATCAAAAAAGTTAATTTCTTTTCATACACTCTATAACACTTATTTTTTTTACCTGGGGGAGGAGGAGGAGGTCTAGGAGTGGGCGCGGGATTATAGGCGGCAGACAATAAAGGTTGTGGGGATGGCATACCAGGAGAAAAGTGCTGTGTACCCATAGACGATGAAGGCTGAGGGAAATGAGGTGGAGGTCTGCTATGTTGTGATGGTGGTGGTGGTGGTGGTCCTCCCATTGAAGGTCTATGGTGTGATGGTGGTGGACCAACCATTGAAGGCCTACTTTGCAATTGTTGTGGTGGTGGTGGTGGTCTGTGCATTTGGTGCTGAGACATGTGTTGTGGAGGAGGAAGGGGTCTTTGAGGGAGAGGTCTGTGCTGGTGGTGCACAGGTGGATGGTATTGCTGCTGCTGATGATGATGCTGTTGTTGTTGTTGTTGTTGAGGAGGAGGAGGAGGAGGTCGATGCTGTTGCTGTTGAGGGGGAGGGGGTCGATGTTGCTGAGGAGGAGGTCGATGCTGATGTTGCTGTTGCTGAAGAGGAGGAGGTCCAGCGTAAGGATAGGGTTGACCTGCAGGGTATCTCACTTGCTGTTGAGGTCTTACTGCAGTATTTTGCTAAGGCATAAATTAATTATAATGTATGAATAAAAAAAAAAGAGGAGAACAACTTACGGCTGAATAAAAGGTTAATTCGAGATAAATGTCACCACAGTTTTGTTTTCCTCTATAGTGTAATGGAAAATAGCCATCGTGTTCTTTTTCTCGTAATACTTTGGATAGATCTACTATGCCTTCACCCATAAGATTATTAGGCATAGTGTCTTTATCGAATATCTGCACATGCATTTGATGGTAACCAGCAGTAACTGGCATATTTACCTTTTTTTTTTTGCACTGATTAAAAAAAGAAAGTAATATGATTTTTTATTTTTTTACCTGGTCGTCCCAAATAGGGTAAAGACCGCCTCCATGATCAATTTTGGTTCGCTTGGCGATATCTCCAATTCGAAATAGACAAAACGGGTCTTGTTTTGCAGGAGCCTATGCCATGTCTTTAATGAGGATCAAGCCCATTGCAGCTTTAATAAGTAATATATAAATGAAGAGTTTTTACCTGATGTTGAAGTTTTTCCTAAAGAGGTAGTTAGATATATTTGTTCAATGGGTCTACAAAATTAGAGTTAGATATAGCTTACAGCTTTCAAGGCAACTACAACGAGTTCTCCAATGACATGCGGTGGATGAGACATGGTTTGGTTGAAAAAGGTGCAAAAAGAAGAGAGTGCAAAAAAAAAAATAAGTATGTAATATTTATTTTCACTTGCCGCTCCCTTGTATTTATTTTTCATTGTGTCCTATCACTCTTTATACCTAACTCGAGCTTTTTTTTTTTACATTAAGTATCAGCTGAGATGAGTGTCATAATTTACTTGTGTGTTCCCTTGTCCGTGGCGTGTTCAGAACATTCGAATCTCTTTAAAAAATTGGCTATGTGCACCTCAACTGTATCTGCTATTAGGCCCTCTTTTTTTATTATTTCCAAATGTTGTATAGTAATGTAAAGACTAAGTGTTATATACACACATAAAGAGAAGCGTAAATGAAAAAAAACACAGGGCAATTCTTTAAAAGGTGTAAAGGGGGGGGACCTTAATGCGTCTGTGATCCAATATGTAGGTGTAACCTTTTAAGTATGCATACTTCTAAACTTTTTTTGACAAGAAAAAGATACCCGGACCGGGGTTTTGCTGTATAGTTTCTCTCTCTCTCTCTCTCTTTATTTAATGGGACAACAAAAAGGAATCCACTCCGTTCTTTGTGCTACCGTTGTGATTTATATATATTTTATTCCGCCCCTTTTTTTTCCTTCTCTTTCTTTCTTTTTTTCTTTCTTTTTATTCAGCAAAAAGATGACTACCACATCGATACTTTCGGACAGACAAAAAGATGAGTTGTAAGTTTGCAGGTGGGGAAAAACGTAAATTAAATGCAATACGAATAACAACCAAAACATGATAGGCACAAGGCGATATTAGATTATTTAAGTGCCAGTGGATTTAATCAGTCCTTTTCGGCCTTAAAAAGCGAGTCAGAGAACCCAGATTTCGTAGCGGATCCCAAGCAAAAGTATGCAGGACTTTTGGAAAAGAAGTGGACGTCTGTGATTCGACTACAAAAGAAGGTTTAGTGAATAATAAAAATAAACACATAGAGATTTTTTTTTTTTTTTACTAACCGTACCAATAAGATTATGGAGCTGGAAACCAAGTCAACACAGATGCAGGAGGAACTGAATAACGCTCCTACTCGTAAACCAACCAGTTCTGTCGATTGGATCCCTAGAGCACCAGAGAAATTCGCCTTGATGGGTCACCGTAACCCCATCACACGCGTCGCATTTCATCCTCTCTACCAAGTACTCGCTTCCGCTTCCGAAGACACTTCCATCAAGATTTGGGATTATGAGTCGGGAGAGTATGAGCGTACCTTGAAAGGTCACACTAAGGCTGTACAGGACATTACATTTGACTCCAAGGGGAACCATCTAAGTAAGTTCTCTCTCTCTCTATATATATATATATATATATATTGTTCTGTATAAACTGCTTTATTTTATATCCTAACAAAAAAAAACATCTAGTCTCGTGCTCCGCTGACTTGACAATCAAAGTATGGGACACAAACAATGATTATAAATGTATCCGCACCTTGTACGGACACGACCACAGCGTTTCGTCTGTGGCTGTTATACCCACCACCGATATCATTGTCTCTGCCTCACGCGATAAGACCATCAAGTTATGGGAGATGGCCTCTGGTTACTGTGTTAAAACACTCGTAGGTCATCTCGAATGGGTGCGCGACGTCTCCCCCAGTGAAGATGGTCGTTTACTCGTCAGTTGCTCCAACGATCAAACTGCCCGTGTGTGGGACATACAAAAGGGTGAGACCAAGATGGATTTCAGAGGCCACGATCATGTTGTTGAATGTGTCATCTTTTTACCCGTCTCTTCTTACCCATTTGTTTGGGAGTGGTTAGAAGCTAATGTGAGTAGATCAACCTCAATTATTATGGACTGAAACTGACAGTATAAGAGTTATAGGTCAAGTCAAATAAGGATCAGGCAGTGCCTGGTCAATACATCATTACAGGTTCCAGAGACAAGACGATAAAGCTATGGGATGTCTCCACCGGACAACTCTTAAGCACTCTGGTAAAGTGGTTTGTGTATATATGTGTTGTGTGTGTGTGTGTACTTGGTAGAATACTAACAATCAGGAGTAGGTTGGCCATGATAATTGGGTGAGACAGTTGGTAGTGCATCCCAGCGGCAAATACTTGGTGAGTGCCAGTGACGATAAAACAATCAAGATTTGGGATCTACGAAGTGGTCGATGTGTCAAGACAATTGAAGCGCACTCGCACTTTGTCACGTGTTTAGCCTACTGTCATACCACACCACTGGTTGCCACCGGCAGTGTGGATCAATCCATCAAGATATGGCAGTGCCGATGATGATTTTTAATAAAGAGAGAGAAAAAAAGAAAAAAGTATATTTATATGTATAAAAAAAGTCTATAATTTCACAGCGGACCAAAAGGCACAATCATACACGTAATTTAACATGCCATCGGGATTACGTGTATAAGTGGTAGATATCATCTTTTGGTGCTTAATCTCAAAACCCATGAGAGAAACCGTTTGTTTCAGCTGTTCCAGGCTGAGTTCGATAGAAGGTTCTGAACCAGCATTATCTTCAAAATGATAGAGTAAAGGGCCCATATTGATCCAGGTACCACCTTTGACAAGCGTGCGATGAATCACCTCAATATACTCGAGAATGTTTTTAGCCGTATCCATAAAGAAGCAAGTAACAACCACGTCCCATGCTTCGGGTTGAGCGGCATAGACGTCAATGAAATCACCTGCCACCATGGAGAAATCCACGTTTGGCGCTAAAGAGGAAGGTAAGACGTCTGGGATTGTGATTGGCAAAAGAGCATCCGTCTTGATGTTTGAGAATGAATGAATGAACGGATAAATAAGGTACTGATCACTCTTGGTCATTCTATTTATTATTATCCAAGGTGTATCAGAATATGTGTAAACAAGAATTTCCTTTTTACTTACCTATTGAGAACGAAATGTGATGCAAAAAGCTGTTTCTCATTTAATTATCATGCATATGCTTGATTCTTTTGGAAAATAACATTACTTACCATATAGTACGAAAATTCATTTCCTAACCTCGAGTTATTAAACTAGTTGATGTATGTTTTTTTCATTTATATTTTTTTTGCATGATGGTTACCTTGACAACTGAACCCTACAGAGATAAGAAGGAGAGGGCAGGAAGGAGAGAGAGAGAGAGAGAGAGAGGGGGGGTGAGTTTAATTATTGTTTTTGCATGAATAAAAAAAAAAAGAAAATGATCACCACCCTTATTTACCTGACTTTGCAATATCAAACGCCAAACGACCTAAGCCTGCGCCAGGTACCAGGACACGGACATCACTTCTACGTAATATGTATATATTTTGATAAATAAACGAATCACTGTTTTAAAAGATAATATTTAGAGATTCAAATACCTGTTTTCAGTGTTCTTGTAAATGGTATCAAGTTCATTCATTATGGGATCATATGTTATTTTCCGTTCCACTTCTCCCTTTTTTTTTCACGAATGATTAATGCGAAACTTCAAGGAGTTTACAAGTAAATTGTTTACCTCTTTTGACCAGTCTCGAACGAACTGTTTCAATGTACTTTTGACTTTATCCATCTCGGCAGGGTAAGCCTAGTGTGATCAATATTATAGATCTATATTTTAGAATCAAGCCGACGATAGAAATGTATTGTAGAAAAAGCGTCTACCTGTGCATCCATCATGGGTTCCTCGAGAAACATGTTGGTCATGATGTCCTGAATAAACATCATATTATGGTCGATACATGTATCGACCTTGTTGATTTTCTCGAGGTGGGACGATATCAGGGCTTGATGCGCCTGACTAAGCGAGTGAAAGTCGCGTCTTCTTCGGTGGTTTTGTGCCAGTGCATAATTTTTATAATGACTGAATGCCGAATATACTTTTAACAATGGTGTCGATTCCATGACTCACACACAATAATAAAAATAAATTAAGTCGGTTAGAGAGAGAGAGAGAGATGATAAAAATGATAATAAAAAAAAAGCCAGTCATAGAATAATAAGGGAGGTGGAGACTAAAATTATAAAGATAAGAGGTGCAGAGACAAAGTGGCTGTATTTCACATGTCATGTGCAACATAAAAGATTGTTGATGATGAATAACGAAAAAGGAGGGGCAGGGAAGGGACCGGATCCATCAAGTATTGACAATAAGGAATTTGGTTCCCTTTTATTTAAAAGACCGAAGCGTGTGTGCGCGTGATGCAACAAAAAAAAACTTATTTTATCCAAGTATTTAAAAAAAAAACCCTTTTTTATTTCTTTCTCTTTATTTCCTTTTTATCACAAACACACCTTATCTCTTTTACTTCTTTTATTACTCTTACAGAACAATGAACGTGTGTACTACCGAGATGGAAGGCGTGCGTCGTCATCGTCACTCGATGTCCGAGGGCCGTCGTCACAATAGCAACGCAACCACAACAACCACAACGAGTTCATATGATAATTACAGTTTTTACACAACAACGTCAAGAAATTCTTCTTTTGAAGTGATCTTCTCAAGACTACTCGATGTGCTTATTTTTACTTCAGCCATTGCAATCACAGCCTACAGTTATCTGACCGGCACACTTGGTCAACCGTTTGTTGAACCAAAACCAGTACTAGTTGGATATCAAAAGAGACCTGTGCCTATCATGGCTGAAAAGAGGAATCATTACGATCCTATTGAAGAAGCCAAAAAGAAGCGTACACAAGAATGGGCAGAGCAACAAGTGTCGCAAAAGAGAAGGTCCTGTTCATCGCTGGTAGAAAAGAAGGTACACAAAAACACACACACACACACACATATGAAAGCTCTTTATAAATCTCATCCTTTTTTTTTTATTATTATAATTTTAGGTTCAACCGCTGCTCTCTGACGGAGAGATGAAACGCGAAAAGAAGAGAACGCTTTCTTTACCAGAATCTAAACCCGATGAATTATTATCACTTGTACAATCCTTGATTCAACAAGGGCAAGATGCTTTGTCTACACCAGTTGCCTACAATGGTTCCACATAACTATAATATTCACAAAAAAAAAAAATACAAACAAAAAAAAACCCAAAAAAATCATTCTGTATATTTTCTTTTTCTCTTTTTTTTTTTCTTTGCCCAATCTATGTTTATTCTACACACACACACATACACACACACACACACACACACGCATGTATATCATTCAATCATTCCACCCCTATTTTTTTTAATATTAAAAAAAAAAAAAAAAAAAAATAGTGTCTAATTCTTTTTGCTTATTTTACCTTGGCATAAATATCGCACACACACACACAAAGAGAGAGAGAGTTTGGAAGGTGACTGCGTTTTCAAAGTTAAAGTTTTTCCTTCACCCACCCACCCACCCGTGCCCATGCGTGTTTTAACCCCCCCTTTTTTTTTATATATTATATATATATATTATAGACATGAGTCGCATGTTGAGACAATTAAATATGCTTGAGAGACGTTCTCTCTCTACTTTCACTCAAAGAGTATTGACCGCTCCTCGTGTTCCCACCACCACCGTAGCTGCTAGACGTTTAACCCAAACCCAGAACTTTTTATCCGTCAAGAAGGTGTGTGTTTCTTTTTATTATTTCTCACGGAAAACTAACAACTATAAAAGATGTCTACTGCTTCCAGCACTATTTCCAACTTGGAAGCCGCACAGGTATATAAGAAAAAAGAAAAGTAATAAAAAGAGAGACATGAGAATAACATTGCATGGTAGGCTGATGTGCTTGCTAAAAGCAATTTGGCTGTACGTGAAGTCGTGTTAAACCGTCCTCAAAAGTTGAACGCCTTGAATCTCGCCATGGTACGTGCCATGACACCCGAACTCCAAGTATGTACACTAGAGAAATAGAAGAGAGAGTATGTCTATACTTACCCATTCATTTTGAATAATAGGCTTGGGAAAAGTCAGATTTGGCCAAGGTCATTTTACTCAAGAGCTCTGGTGGAAAGGGTTTCTGTGCCGGGGGTGATGTGAAGAGTAAGTTCATATGTTTGAAAGAGAGAGAGAGAGAGACAATATTTAACTTTGAAAATTGTAGCTGTAATTGATTTAGCAGAGGCTGGAGATGCCAATGCCACCAACTTTTTCAAGGAAGAATATCAATTGGATCATTACATTGCTACCATGGATACTCCCTTTGTCTCCATCATGGACGGTATCACCAGTAAGTCTTAATTTTTTTTCCCACACTAAAAATAGAACACTAACACTTAAAAGTGGGTGGTGGTGTCGGATTATCCGTGCACGCTCCTTTCCGTATCGCTACGGAAAACACCTTATTTGCTATGCCCGAGACCGCTATTGGTTTCTTGCCTGAGGTGGGTGGATCTTTCTTCTTGTCACGTTTGGATGGCCAAATTGGTACATACCTTGGTTTGACCGGTAAGCGTTTGAAGGGTACCGATGTATTGTATGCTGGTGTTGCTACCCATTTCGTACCTTCTTCTCGTCTTCCTGCTTTGGAATCTCGTCTTTCTGAATTGGACGGAGCTAACCACGAGATGATCAATAGCGCTATTGAGGAATTCTCTGCTGAATTGGAGAATGAGCCTAGTTTCAGTTTGACAGGCGAGACACGTCTTGCAATTGACCGTTGTTTCAAGTATGACCATGTTGAGCAAATTGTGGCAGCAGTTGAAAAGGAAGAAGAGAGTGAGTGGAAGACTGAGACATTAAAGGCCTTGAACAAGATGTCACCTACTTCTCTCAAGGTGACATTACAACAATTGCGTAACGGATCCACCTTGAGTTTGGCTCAATGTTTCAAGATGGAATATCATTTGGTGCAAAAGTTTTTGGGAGAGCATGATTTCAAGGAAGGTGTGACCGCTACTTTGGTCACCAAGACACAACCCAAGTGGCAACCTAGCCAATTGTCTCAAGTGGATGATAAGCAATTGAAGCAACATTACTTTGATTCTCCTTCCCCTCTTCGTTTAGAGTTATTGTCAAGCCGTGATTATAAGAACTATCCTCATCGTAAATTTATGTTGCCTAGTGAGCAAGATATTCAACGTGTGGTTACGGGCGAGGCTGCTGATGTGGGCAATTATGCCTTAAACCGCCAACAAGTGATTGATCATTTGCTTAGAGAACGTCATGGTAAACAAGGTCTCTCTCAAAAGGTGTCTGAAGTTCTTGACCGCAAGACCATCAGCAAAAAGGGTGATGACAGCTTAAAGTGGGTTTATTAAACTTTTTTTTATATATACGTACAAAAAATATAAATATGCGTTTTTTTTTTCTTTCTTTCTTTCTTATTATAAATGTTGATTAATTTGATGGATGATTCACAATTTCTTGTACCATATCTAAAATATCTTTTCCTTCATATCCCAATAAACGCGCAGCACCAATTAAAGCACTTAGACTCTTCATAAATAAACCTCGACCTGCTTCCTTGTTCTCTTCCAAGGATAATTTTGGTTGTTGAGTACGAACGGGTGATTGTGCACCGCTTTCAGGGTATGCACCCGGGATCAATCTCTTCTCTTCTGGATGAGTTCTTAATCTTGAAACGGCTTTTGGTAATGCGTTTGTTTGTGTTACACGTTTTGTGGCCTGATGCTGCTGATGTGGACCGGGAAGTGAATTTTGAAGCATGGTGGTGAGTTCGGTAAGAGCAGCTGTATGAGCGTCCATTAAATTGGGCACACTGGGAACAGTAAAAAGAGGATTGTAACTCTGATCGTATTCTTCAGCCATTTCATCTTGTTCTTCTTGTTGACCGGGTGTTAATGTGCCTGGATCTTTGCTCCAACGTGAATAATATTCTTCGTCCGAATCTCCTTCGGACTCCTTAAGAAGATCGTCTCGTAATGGATGAGGACCTGTGTGAGCTTCCTTTTGTTGTTCGCGTGTAGAGGAAGATGTGCCATCATCCGAAGACCAATCTCCCCAATAATCCTCTGGTGCTTCCTTCATACCCTATATAGCCACATATTGTATGTTAGTGAGATGTTTTTATGTATGGGTATGACACACACACATACGTCGGGTGTTCCAGCGGTGAATACTCGCTTGTGTCGTGTGACTCTTGTAAGAAATACACGTTCAGCATCCTCAATGGTTCTTGACCAATTTTCAAACAGATCGATCCATTCCTCTTCTGTGAGTCTTTTAGTATTGTAGTATTTGAGATCAGACATTTCACCAGACCCTTCTTCCAGACTGAGGATGACAATGTAATGATACTTTTCCCGTGTGGCGAATTCCACTACGGCGTGTAAAGTGTCAGCGTCAATCCGTTGGTAATAGACGGGCTTTTGATAGATTTCGTCAGCGACAGAACCACCACTGGACCAAAGGGACTCAATCATGAGGGGACAGTCGTCGGCTTGCCATTGCACGGCATTGTCCCATGCGGAAGGCGTGGTGGGTTCCAGGATTTGAATACGCTGGCGTAACAGAGGAGAGGCGATGGGTAAGAGACCGACGTAATGATGGCATTGACGTTCTTCCAGTGCGGTGTAAGCTAAGGACCGAACAATGTTCTCATTGGCATAATCATCAATGGCTTCCATTCTTACCAGATTAAAAAAAAAGTGTGGGAAAAGTGAAAGAGAAATGTAAAATGGTCAAGTTTTTTTTGGGGGAAGGAGTATATTTTTATACAGGTGTATATATAATTTTGGTCCTACACACAATGATGTATAATAAGCTTGTATTTTTTTTTTTGTATTATTTATTAAATTAAGGTTTTTTTTTTTATGTCTATGTAAAAAAATTAAGGTTTTGTATGGAATAATTTAGAGCTTTCCTTGTAAAAGTTCCTTGACGGTAGCCTTTCCGTAGAGACGAATGGTATCGTACAAGGTAACCATATCAACGGTAGAAAAGAAGGTATCGAATAAACCAAAGGGTAACATGAGAGGGATCCAACCTTGAGCATATTCAAGAGCCCAAGCATGTTCAGGGATCTTGTATTGTTGCGATTGACCTCTAGGTAAATGATGCATTTGACCAGGTGTGTAGACTTCACGTTGTAATTCACCAGCCTTGTAAGCCCATTGCTCGCCTTCCAAAATAATAAAATAGTCATCGGCCAAGAAACGACCGGTGTGTCCTTCAGTACCGACAGGTGTACCAAAGATAATGACATATTCGGTGAGAGAAGCATGCAAGATCCACATGGAGCCCATGGCACCACCAGCATTGTTAAACACCCATTCCTCGTCCATTTGGACATGACCTGGGTATTCCTTTTCTAAATCGAGAGCAATGTGTTGAAGCATGGTATGTGTGTCGTTGCCATAAAGCGCAATATTCTTTTGTGCGACGGATTGAAGAACATTTTGATCAAAGATGAAGCAGCGTTCCTTGATTTGATCTAAACCGATAAAGATAGATCCAAGCAAGGTCAAGATAAAGAGCAATTTGACCCAACAAGATCCTTTACTGCATTCACTAGCACACTTTCCCATTGTTAAATTTGTAAAGAAAATAAAAGAGTAAAATAAAATAAAAAAAAAGGCACCCCCAGACATTTTTATACAAGAAGAGGGGTGAACGGAGTTGTATTTGATATTTTTTTGCTGCCAGAGCATCCGACCACGCTTTCATTCATGCCCTTTTCGCTAACAGGCTCCGGACTATTGTTTAATTTGTTTTCAAAGAATATCGTATATAGGATTTTTTTTTTTATTTTTTTTTTAAAAAAATGAATCAATCTGTTTTATTACTGTGGTGCTGCTGGTTGAAGAATGGGGAGCTGATTTTTTTGGTCCAAAAATCGAATGGTACCTGTTTGTCCAATTTGAGCTTCAATCTTCTTTTTTTCTTCATGAGCCACAGCAGCTGCCGCCAAAGCTTGAACCTCTTGTAAATCCTGAGCAAGCACACGTTCCATACCCTTTTCAGTTACATCTTGAGCCCAAAGTGCTGCGTCTTCGGGTGTAATACCCGGTGTAGGTAAAACACGATGATAACGAAGGGGGCCTTTAGCCACATTGGCTTCTTGATGAAACGATGCCTTCTTTAAAATAGCGATATGCTGGTCTGCCTCTACTTCTTGTCCTTGGTTGTATCGGAAAGGTTGGGACATGCCTGCTAATCCGATATAGATAGTCAATTGCGTAGAATCCTTGGTGATACCACTGTTCTCCAGCATATTCGCGAGTTCTTGAGGGTGAGGTGGGAATGCGAGACAATCAATGTCAAGACCACTGGCTTCACATTCATGTCGGTACCATGTCTTACCACCGTAAGCCAGATGAGATAAATGAGAGAATTTAACTACACTGAGACCGATAAGACCGTAAAACAAGATACGGCGGTAAAGAGCTGGTAAACGTAACGTTCCTGATTCTAACATTGTCGCAATAAGACCTGTACCGAAATACATGCTACTTAAAATATCAGACATGCTCAAATCAAAGGAAGGTGTGAAACGAAGTCCTGTAAATTGGATCAACACGGCACTGTAAAACACTAGAATAGATCTTGTATAGAATTCATTGCTCACAACATGCAAACCTAGTAGATATTAGTTATCAACCACCTGAAAAATGTGCATAATAAAAAAAAAAAAAAAAAAAAAAAAAAAAGACTCACCAGCGGGGTACAACCAGGAGAGATAATAAGGTAACTTTAATTGTCTTTGTACCAAGAATGCATTTAAGCCCAAGAAACCAATACAAGTAGCCATGGACATCAAGATGACGCGTTGAACAATGGGATTAATGACAAGATGACTAGAATAACCCGCCAACTCGTTCCAGAGACGAAGAGTAGCACGTTTCAGGAACCACTTGTTTGGATTATCGTCCATGTTGGAACGTGGATTGGTAGCTCCTTCCACAGTAGCACCAGCACTTAGTCTGTCATAGACAACATCAGGGTAGGTCTTCATGAGTTGATGAAGTTCTTTAATCATACCCCATGTAGACATTTTTTCGTAGGAGATTGGCACCATCTTATCCACTACATATATTTCAATTATGTGCTCACATAAAGTATTTTATAAAGGAAAAAAAAAACTTACATTGGTCATGGTAGGACGATTCGACGATCCATGGCGAGATATGTGTACCTGCACTGGCCATACAGGTGACTTCTTGATGATTCTCACCTGCGGGGGGACCATAATAAGCATGATGACTGATCAAGACACAACCTCTAGCATGTACCAAACGAAAGCGCTGATTTAAAGATTTCCAAGTCAATGTGGTATCTTTGGAAGGTCGATTTTCATCCGTCAAGATATTCAGGGTCCAGAAATCATGAGAATCTTGAATATATCGATCTCCGTACGCACTAAGACAAAAAAAAATTATTTAGGGTTTTCGGGAATGAGGACCAAAAGAAAAACAAATATTTACGTGACTTCATTGTGTTCTTTTCTGGCAGAGAGTTGAGGTCGATGGTCATGCGAGTGAAGTTTACGCGTGGAAGGATAATGCTCTAAACGAATACTATCCTTGTTGTTAACAAATTCAATAGGTAAAGAGGAGTTCCAGATTTGGTTGGCTTTATGGACGGTCCAGACATTGCCAAGATCAACATGAGGGTACAAAGTGACTTCTTGTTCTATTCATTATTCACTAGCAAACGTTAGCATTGTTCAAGTCAATATAAGAATTCCACGTACGTGTGCTACCACCAGAAAACCGTTTTTGATGAGAATGAAGATATCCACCTGCTGTACCTGCGTGTTTAATCACAATCTGTGAGCCATACGCAATATCTAAGTAAGTTGAATTAAAAGTCGGATGAGTGACAAGAAATTTTCAAAAAAAAAAAGTGGAAATAACTTACTAGGTTGACTGGGTTCGAGCACGTTGCCAACCAAAGAATACTTGAGATGTGAGCTTAATAACAAGTCATGATCACCGGCTAAAGGAATCAATGCTAAATGAAAGCTAAAGATAAGACCGTAAATGACAAGCGGTAAGAGACCAACGGTGAGTAAATAAATGGCGTTTTGTTTGATGACGGATTTGACGGTATTTCTCTTATCACATAATTTATTATAGGTTTCGAAAGCGATAGAAACCCAAACCATGGGAAGTGCCAACATGCCTGTCCATTTGCAACTGGATGAAAATTAAAAAAAAAAATGAGATGTTTGTTGTTTTAAATGATTTGTTTGTCTTACCTAACGGCACACCCTAAAGAAGCACCAGTGATCAGTTGCCAAATCGTCGATTGAATCACTTGACTAGAGAAAAATACGGAGACGTCAAAAAAAGAGAGATTTTAATTTGATTAAAAAAAATTTGATTGGCATGTGTTCTTTAATTTACCTTTGATTTTTATGCATATAAGTCCAAGATAAAGTTGCCATGGCACTAAAGAACAAGACATAGACTTCAGGTGTAGCATACCTTGATTGAGTGATTAATCCGTTTTCTGAGAAGTAGGGAAAAAAATAAAATAAATAACGCGTTTTTTTTTTGTTTTTGTTTTTTTAATATATACCAAATATGAGTAGACCTGCAGCCAATGTTGCAGCAGCACGCGAATGGCCTAAACCACGAATTGTCATATACATGATGGGAATCAAGGAAGCGCCCAAGAGTGCAGAAAACCTTCTTAGAGCCACCAATGGAAACTCCACAAAGGGTCTTTAAGTAGAAATCGTATCAATACACACACACACACACCAGCAAACAATAAAATAAAAGAGTTACTTACTGTCCAGCATAGTTTAAGGACTCTGTTCCATAGTAACCCACAATACGAGATAGACCAGAACAAATGATTCCTACGAGTGGAGGAAACTTGCCGATAAAGAACTTGCCTGCCATGTACCAATTGACTTGTTTGGTAATTTCTATCTCTAGATCAGTCACGTAAGCAGGATAACCTAGTTTCATGGAACGCAAGTAGAGACCCAAGGTAGTTAAAACTGTCAGACGAATCTGATCGTGCATGGAAGATATCCATGAAGGTGTCTCCTTGTAGGCTACTCCTTTAATGACGGATTCCTTGATGAATGGATCATCCGTCTTTTCAGATATCTTTCTTGACCTAACAAAGGACATTTTTTAAGAAAAGAAGAAGAAAAAAAAAGATGACTGAAAGAAGAGAGAGAAAGGAGGATATCTCTTTTTTTTTTTTTTTATTTATTTATAATCTAGTATTCCCAATAGGCACGCTAAATTAATTTTTTTTTTACTTCGCATGAAAAAAGGTACGGATAAAAAAAAAAAAAAGAAAAAAATGTTTCTCACTTTGAATTTGAATGTGACGTAGTTAAATGGCTTGATTGGCTCGTGGTAGGCTTACAAAATAGAAACTATTCTTGGCTTACACTCTCTTCTTTTTCTCTTTTATTATTTTTCCCTTTCTTCTTTTTTTCTACCCTATCTTTTTTTTATATATATATTATATACTTAATCCGAATTCGTAAATGTCTACAGTTACAAGAAGAAGAGTGGCTGGTCAAGGCTCCAACTCGGATGACGATGACACTACACAACATAGTCCCATGGCTGAGAAAAAGATAGCTCATGACCCTCGTGACATAGATGAAAGTAAATCTACCCCCAAACTCACTCTCATGGAAGAAGTCTTATTATTAGGACTTAAAGACAAACAGGTATACATATAAAAACAATAAAAAAAAAGAGAGAGAGATAGAGAGAAAGAGAGACACGTGTTCACTCTTTATGTTGATTTTAGGGATATCTCTCATTCTGGAATGACAGTATTAGTTATGCTTTACGTGGTTGTATTGTGATTGAATTGGCTCTTCGAGGTCGAATTGCCATGGTAAAAGATTCAAACCGTCGAAAATATCCTCTCTGTGATCGGTATATCGAAGTCATCAATGAAACTTTGACAGGCGAAGTCTTGTTAGATGAAGCCCTCAAAATGATGAAAGTAAGTGAAAAGATGAGCGTATCAAGTTGGATTGATCTGATGAGTGGTAAGGTAAAATCATGTTTTTCTCTTCTATCTTTTTATCCTCTTTATACGAATCTCTGGTTATACTTACCTTCTTTTCTTAATAGGTGAGACTTGGAATGTCATGAAGATCGGGTATCAATTAAAGCAAGTGCGTGAACGTTTAGCTAAAGGCTTGGTCGATAAAGGTGTATTGCGTACCGAAAAGCGTAACTTTTTGCTATTTGATATGGCTACGCATCCAGTGGCAGACCCAGCTGTGAAGGAAGAGATTATTAAACGTGTTTGTACTATGTTGGTCACGCGTGTCTCTCCTGCCTCTGTTGACGCTCAATCCGATGTCCCTCACGCCTATGTCAGAACTGTCAGTATGATTTGTGCTGCTTATGCTGCCAACGTTTTGGAAAATGCGCTTTTGTATTTGCAGCCAGATTTAAGAGAGCAGGCGTTCAATAAGGTGGATGAACTCATGAACGATTATTCCTCTTGGCCCTTCACCAGTACCAACGGTAAAGTTGAAATACCTTCAGGTACAGATCTTTCCTTGGAGGTTGTCGCTAGTGTATTAAATGTGCTTGCAAAAATGGATGCTATTGTAAGTTTTTCTAAACAATTTACGACGCTTGTTTCAATATCTAACATTCTTTATCATAGCTGTAAATTACTTTTAGTAAAAGAAAAAAAAAACATACAGAAACTCCCTGATGGCCCTCTCTTATAAAAACAAAGCAAAAACAAAAAACAAAAACAAAAAAAGCTGACTCTATTATTCTATAAAACCTCTTTTTCCTTTTATTCAACCAGCTTTATCCGGAATTTAGAAAAAACCTCAAATTGAAGTGACACCAATTAGTCGTCTTATTTTATTTTTCAGCCCAATTTTATTTATTTTCACTTGAGGAAAGAGAAGTAATACAAAAGCTGAGATTTTATCCTTGCAACAACATAAAAAAGAAAATACTAGCTGGAAACCTGAAAGTGTTGAAGCCTTATTTCAGAAGGTCTATTGACAATTTATAAAGACAAATAGAGCTAATAGAAGGCAATATATGCCAACTCATGTGTGATACAAAAAAAAAGTAGCGATAAACATCCATATCTTTACTTGAGTTGCAAAAAAAAAAGTAGGAAAACTGGCAATAAATATAATAGAGCCTAAAAAGTGAGGCTAGGCGGGGAAGAGGGAAACTCCCAGTAGGAATGTATATTAGTGCCTGATTTCTTTATTGTGTCTTGTGAAACCATTCATCATCTTTTTTATTCATGAATAAAACCCTTTTCTATAAATATCTGCACACACTCTAATTGTCAATGCGTTTCTTTTTCCCCAAGCGGTTTGCATAACCTATATTTTGTACTCCGTGTGTGTCCTAATTTTCCTTTTTTAATGCGCACCCCTATGCTAAACAAATTGCTTATCTCTTAAACAGTGGCATCAATTAGATTGGATAATATGACACATTCAGTCTAGGAGTAAGCACCGGTCATCAAACGAAACAGAATGCTTGATCAAGACTCCATAGTCCGCTATAGACATTCTCAAAGAAGCTGGTTCTAAAATGAAGTGCTTTTTTCTTTTGAAAGGACGCTTTCTCTAGACTCACATGTAGATGTTGACTTCGATCTGTTTGCTTATAGAAGGAGGAAGAAAAGTTTTTTTGGGTGTTCCTCTTTTCTTTTTTTGTGTCAAAAGTCTTCTTTCTCTGAGCTTTGTTTAAATTTCTCTACTCTTTTCTAATTACAAGCTCAAGTAGATGTGTGCTTGCTTATATCAAAAATAGATATTTGTGCTTCATTGCTCAAGTAAAAATCAGCTCATCGTTGGTCGGTTATTCCAAAGTAAGAGAGGAACTTTAACAATTCCGATGGTCATCCCAGTTACTTGCTCCAGACATATTATGTTTCAGTTTTTACTAGTGTTCAACATGAACTCACTATGTTATGATCTTTAACTGAAGACTGTAAGCAATAAAACCTCTACTAAAGACTGTGTGGACCCTTTGGAGGAAGGGAATTCGGAATGTCAAACTCCGGATGGTAAATATCGAAATGATTTTTCCAGGACTACAATGTAAAAAAATAAAGGTATTTGAGAATCATGCTTGTATTTTCAATTGTTATATTACGGTTGCCATGTCTACGGGGAGCCTAGTACAATTGTACTCCTGGCCCCTGTTCAACGGTTGAGAGAGCCAGAGTCTTCAACCTCTGTCCAGACGAAGTAGGGGCATGAGAATAATCTCTTTTGTTTTCCTCAACAAAAACGTTGAGCAGCAGACCCCTTAAAGTAAATAACAAATGGAGCACTAGAGGACAACAAACACCCAAGTCAATATATAATAGTTAATTTGATAAATAATTACACTTACAACGGTCAAGGCGGATTAAAAGTTGCACTTGGCTTAGGACGTTCTGATATCACAGCGGTTAGATCTTCCCGCCCAAACTAAGTTTTAATGCATTTTTAGTAAATGGATTACTACTTAACTATCTACTGTCGTTTTTCCTTTCCCTTTTTGAATGTGTGAGTAAACTCGTTTCGATTGCTTTATAGTGATTTCAATGGATCGGCTAATTTTAACCTTATTTACTTGTTTAAATAGACAAATAACCGGTTGTCCGACCAAATGAGGGCTTTTTAATAAAAGCAGTTCAATACTTGTTGAAAACAAGCCATTAAATATTCAAATAAAGGAAGAATTACTTCGTAGTTATCATACATGATTATTCAGTTTATTAAAAATAGTAAGGGTATATGCCTATACTAGATAATGGTTTGTATTGGAATGATAGCTTTGAAAATGTGTGGGATATTTGAGCTGTTAACTGTACCTTGATGTGTTAGACAAGGATATTCATCCTTTTCCTCGAATATTTGCTATATTGTAAAGCTGATCTTTGATATAGCTGCAATTACCTTGTGAGTATTATTTAATAAACTCGTAAAAGGTTGTCATGATAAAGTGTCTATAATATGCAATGTTTTAATAGACGTTTTAGGTTGTTAGAACAAGCGCGGATGAAATCTATAGCTGTTAATGTAGTTTCGTCTAATGCTGATCACACTTGTTGCAGCCTCACTTAAGGTCCCTATTGTATAGCGGTGACTAGTTATCGCCTTATTATTGATTGACTTTATTAAGGGTATTTGATATATTTCTACGGGAAAGTACTAGAGAAAGAAAGAAGTGTAGATCATATGATAAACAAAAACATTAAATTATATGAAGGGAACAGACAACCTTCATAGCATTCAAAGACTAAATTACACCCTTTCCCTGTCGCAAGTTCATGTAGGAAATTGGACTTATTAGTAGTGAAGCTAAAGAAATATGGGAGATCAGAAATCACATGAATAGACGGAAGCCTTAAACGAATGTGTGAGATTTACCGATCCGAAAATGTGTTTTCACGTTGCACTCATATTTTAGTAGCTGACAGAATTAATAACACTGTGTAACTTGAGGACGACGGGTACGCTTTTTGGGCATGAGAAACTCGAAACGAGCCAACCAAGTAGTTACTTTGACAAAGCGGGTAAATGTTTCAGTGACCCCATATAATTACGGAACAAAGGGGAAATAAGTCCACCTCTCTCTCTCTCTCTCTCTCTCTCTCTCTCTCTACTTGTTTCAACAATTTTTTCTGGAGAATGTCTATTTTATCTACACGTAGATTCTTTGTTCAAAGACCCTTGATTCAACGTTCATTCACCTCGTCCAGCATTCAGCTTCGAGATTTCGTTGAAGCCCCTGTAAAGCCTCGTGCTCCATTAGAAGGCATTCGGGTACTTGACTTGACAAGAGTATTGGGTATGTTTCATTAAGGTTTATACTATTCTTTTTTCTCATTCCTTTTACATATATAGCTGGACCATACTGTACCATGATGCTCGGTGATATGGGGTAGGAGAGCATAAAACCATATTGTAACCCTATATAATTAAACATGAATTTCCAATAGTGCTGATGTAGTGAAGGTGGAAAACCCCAAGGGAGGCGATGATACACGTACGTGGGGACCTCCCTTTGCCGAGAACAAAGATCCTTCCGACACTGCGGCAGGAGAATCTGCGTATTTTTTGTGTGCGAATCGTAACAAGAAATCAATCACGGTCAATATGAAATCAGATGGAGGACGTCAACTTATTTATGATCTTGTCAAGGAATGTGATGTCTTGGTAGAAAATTATTTACCAGGTAAATTGGAAAAGTTGGGTTTGGGCTATGAACAAATCAAAAAGATCAATCCAAAAATGATTTATGCTTCTATTACTGGGTATGGTCATACCGGGCCATATGCAAATAGACCAGGTTATGATGTGATTATTGAGGTAAGTCTTTCTTTCCCAAATAAATTTGACATCCATCTTATTGATTTTATACATATATGGTTAGGCTGAGGCTGGGTTGATGCATATCACTGGTGAGCCCGAGGGAACTCCTGTCAAAGTAGGTGTAGCTATCACTGGTAAGCGTGTAGTAAAATAACTAGATGTCAAGTATTCTAAAAAAAGAAAGATAATTAGATCTTACAACTGGTCTTTATGCTCATAGCTCTATTTTGGCTGCTTTGATTCAAAGAGGAGTGACAGGCAAAGGACAGCATATCGACTGCTCATTGATTGAGTCACAGGTAGCTTCTTTGGTCAATATTGCTTCTAACTATCTGATTGGAGGTCAAGAAGCTAAGCGTATGGGCACATCTCATCCTTCTATCGTACCTTATCAAGTCTTGCCCACCAAGAATTCGTTTGTCATGATTGGAGCTGGTAACGATGGTCAATTCGCCAAATTATGTACTCGTATCGGTCTGGATCATTTAATTACGGATCCTAAATACCAAACCAATGCAGACCGAGTTAAACATCGCAAAGAATTGATCCGTTTACTGGAAGATCGATTGGAAGAAGAGGATACATCCTTCTGGCTTGAAAAGTTGAATGGAGCTGGATTTCCCTTTGCACCCATCAATAATATCGAGCAAACGTTTGAACATCCTCAAATCGTTGCGAGAGGGCTTGTTCATGAGATTGAACATGAACGTGCAGGAAAAATCAAGGTTGTGGGACCTCCTGTCAAATTTAGCGATGCTACCACAAGTATTCGTTTACCTCCTCCTCTTTTGGGTGCTCATACCGATGAAATTCTGTCAGACATGTTGGGTTATTCTAAATCCAAGGTGGATGCACTTCGACAAAAGGGTGCTATCGGTGCATAAATCTTTCTCTTTTGTAACACTCGCTCTTATAAAAATTATAGATAATAAATTGCCTCTGCTAAACATAATTAAGAAATTTAATCTTTATACACTATCTATTACTGCAAGGTATACTGGTGAAAAAATGTCCAAGAGGTAATATAAGCGTATATTCAATAGACAGTGCTGAAAAATCTGACTGGAAATGAAAGTGATCAAACGCTCTTTGAAGGGAATTGACAATCGATGCCGGGTGGCTGAGGGAGATGTCTAGAATTCCATATTTTTTTCAACCGTTTGTTAAGAATCACGCACCAGAAAAATATTCAAGTCAATTGACACTCCATATCATCTTAACCTCGTAGCATGATCGATTTTCGTTTTTCATAAAATATGCTTCACTATCAGTAAATGCTACCACGGAAACACTGAAAGACAGCTACCAAGTTCTGATTTGCTTGGGATATTTGCAAAATGTTTCTATCAAGTAAAAGCCCAAATATTATTATTATGGATGATTTTTAAGTCCAGTTGCTTTTTTTTCAGCCTGCACGTAAATCATTCTCCAAACATCTCGAGGTCACACACATATTTCTTCCCCTAAGAGTTTCTTTTACTTGGTATACTAATAACACACAATGTCAAGTCAAGGTATTGTTTTAGCAGATTTCGTTCCCAGGGAAGTCCCCAATTACGTCGAGGAGGAAGTATTTTTCGAAGGGTCAGTAGCTGAATATGAATTGTGGTTCGCAAACGGTCCCAAGCGTCATGCAAACTGGGTAATTCAGCATACTTTTGGTTCAAGAAGAAGGGTCATGCCTGGTCAAACTATCGATGAAGCGAGAACCTTAAAAGTTGTCAAACAATTCGTTTGTGACCATGCTGGAAAACCGGTTCACCGTAATAAGTCTATTAACAGCGACGGCATACCCAACAAAAAAAGACGCGTTACTAATCCTTCGATCAAGGTCGGTTGTACCGCGAGAATTCGATACAAGGAGATGTTAAACGGTCGTGTTTACGTTACTTACTCTTGGGCTCACACCAACCATAATCCTGTAGATTTGCACGATTATGCAGGATACAAACTTCCTCCGGAGGGCAAAGACTGGATTAAAGAACATGTTGACAACGATATGGACTCTGTGACAATTAAGTCTCTTTTGCACTTGGATAATAAAACATCAGAAAACGTACGTGGCTTAACGATCTTTATTAATTTATAATTTACTTATCGATTTCTTTAAAGACTGAAATAAATGTAGATCCCAAAGGTGTACTTCCATCGACGTTAATAAATCATAAAGCCGTGCAGAATTTAATCTATAAAAGGCTTGAACAGTCAAGAAAGAATGAACTGGAAAATAGAGACGTAGAGAATATGATTAAATCTTTACGCGATGAAAGCTATCAAACCTTCGTGTATTCCAATCAAGAAGATGGGCATCTCATAATCGGATGGCTTTCCCCTTGGCAAAAAAAGGTACATGTTCTTTAGTTTGTTTGGTTAAAATATAGCACTCAATTTTAAGCTTTATTTTAGCTGCTAGAATCCTCAAACGAATGGTGCTTGGTTTTAACTCCAACGACATGCAAGTCATTTATAAACAAATACACTGTTTGTGAGTTGGTAACCATTATGGTACGCAACGCTACGAATAGAGGCATACCTGTTGCATGGTTTACTACCAGTATTGTTTCTGACTTCGCTTTGATCAAATGTCTAAGCTGGCTGAGGGACAACAACGATTTGCAAGTTAAGAAAATAATGATCGACGGTAGTCCAACTGAAAATTTAGCAATCAAGAATGTTTTTGGAGATAGCGTTGGTATTTCAGTATGCAATTGGCATATTGAAAAAACTTGGGGGAGCCAAATCGAGCAGGTATAACGTGCTTAAAAATCGTTCACCGAAATTGATACACTAAACAGGATTTTTTTTTCTGCGTAAATTAAGTTACTCGAGGCGACCAATGATAAAGAGCATATGAAGACAGTTTTTAGAACCGAGTTAAACGTGCTGATGTATGCTGAAACCAAAGATGTATTCTACACAAATTGGTCACTGTTCAAAAAAAATTATGAAGGAAGTCATGGTTCTTTTGTCAATTATGTCGAGACGACCTGGTTTCCCAAGAGAGCAGATTGGGTGAAGGCATGGAGAGTGGTAAGGTGTTGATCTAGCTAATAAACTGTGAAATATGAACTGATAGTTATCTTTTTTAGGATACATCTTTTCATACTACTAATGATATGGTTAATTCATACTGTGTTAAACTTAAACTCTTACACCCACGTGTAACGAAAGTTACGAGACTAAGAACCATGATTTTTAATCTTTCCCGTGGGATGGAGCTTGAATTTAGGCAAAATAACTTGTTTGATTACAATGTGCTTTCTAATCTCACAAGTAGGTGCCGTCAATCTGTTTATTTATAGAAAATAAATCTTTGTGTCAAAAATCTTCATTGGTGATGTACCTGAAGTCACACGATACATCTTGGATTCCAGGGCGATGGTCTTGTTAAGCTATTTCGGTACTATGTGCTATTTGGGTGATTTCTAAAGATGCGAGGTTTCATGGCTTCTGGAATACTAGATGTAGACTACTAGTTCTGAATAACATCACCTTTCACAATTTGTTTACATAGTAGCGGTTTGGGGATATTTAACATGCTATTAAAAGGATATTTAACAATGCTTTTTCATTGATAAGCATATTTCATGTGTATTAGATTAAGAGCAGGAACTGTCTTTGTAATTCAAGGCGGTATCTCACTTGTGGGTTGTACACTTGAGTTGAAAGAAACGGGTCATTCGTCCAGCTAGTCGGTCATTGGTTTGGGATTATAAGTGAGCCTCTAAGAAGACTAAGTTTCCACATTACGAACATAGTGTTTCGACCTCTTTGTAGTGACCACAAGAGTTATCTTCAGAGACATCAAACAGAAAATAAGAGAGCGAGTGCACATGGAGACCGACTTCCTAGTAGTTGTACTTAGACAGTTTCTTTACTGAAACTGGTTAGCGAGTCTTCGCTTTATGAAATGATTGAAACGCATGTCTTTTTTTTTTTTCTTTTTTTCATCTTTTATGTTTGTCTTGATGTAAGTATCTCGTCTTTCTTGTGAAGAAGCAGAAGTTTAATTGCCTTCAAACCTTTCTTATAGAGACAGTCGTTGTCTATGAATTGAATATATTGCGAATAGTTAGGAGTCCGATTGATGATATGGTTGGTATATTGATACTAAATTGCATGAAGTAAGGTTTCCAGCTACTAAGAGAATATCTTGGATATATTTGGGCGCAACTAACAAAGTGGTGCTCACTTAAGGACGTAGTATTCAGATGGTATTTTTCAACAGATGCTGATCTACCAAAATCGCTGGGGGATTTCATTGTGTAGTTTGCTGTGCATCCAAACCCTATTAGGTTTGGCCAGCGCCTCGGTTCTAAATATTTGGCGAAACCTATACAAACATATTTGTATGTGTATGGAGGAACACTGTTTTTATAAACTCTGTGGGTCCTCAATAATATGGGAGGTATGGCATGTAATAATTTCATAAAAGAGAAAAATAAGGTAGATAAATTTAGGATCAAATGACATGGTTGGGTTCCACTAAATAAAGGTAAGTCAAAAAGTAGATACGTCTTATTTACACCTGTCAGTTTGATCAACTTACTTTAGACAAGAGTATGTTCGTACAGATTTGTTTATCGATAAATGATTAGCTCTGATTTCCATTAATTACATTGATCAGCCCCCCCCCCCTTATTTTTACATACGGGATCCCTTTTTTATTGTGTTTATTATACTAAACTGTCATTATTTCTATTCTTGTGAATAAAAAAGATCCCGTATCAATAAACAATAACAAAATCAGTTTAAGTTGTGTAGCAGGCTTTGGTTTTTATTTTTCATTCAAATAATGTTGTTTATAATGTACCTGAGAGAAGAAATATCATCAAATACGCAGTCTGCGAATGTTTATTTAAAATTGATGTATGCCAACAAAATGGACAACGGTATTTTGATTATCAAGCTCAAAAGAATATATGCTAAAGGCATCAGATAGAATATAATGACTGAACCCACAATGAACAATGAAGTATTTTTATAGACCAATATAAACAGTTTAGTAGAAATAAGAAAGAAGGGCCCTGATGTAATGGTTTAGAGAGATATTCAAGTACGCACTAAATCTTGTTTTTACCCAGAACATGCACAAAAAATTTATTGATGAAAAGAATGAATTTCTCCCGATATTTAGTTAAGAACAGCAATTTCTGAAATAACAATTTGAGCTTCTTGAACCTCATCGATATCACCATTTTCGCCATTTTCCTAATAAATAGATATGAATATAATGCAAAAAATAAACATGTGTGTGCCTTGTTATATTACCAACTGGTTTTGTAATTCTTGATAAGCACTGGCAAGTCTCTTTTTGACATCAGGAATCATCATGAGAGTTTCATCAAGGACCTCCTTCTACATCATCCCAATGTTTGAGCATTAGAAAACAATAAAAAGAAAAAGAAAAAAACCTTACCTGTTTTCTAACATCGTATTCATCAGCACCTGAAGCAATCAACTTGTCAATACGCTTTTGTTGGGTCTCGGCTTCTTTGCCATAACCGATATGTTCTTTATAGATGCTAGAATTTTAGGGTTAGTCTATACCGCAGAGCAATACGGCTCTCTCTCTTACCGCTTAACAACGTTGGTCTTGATCTTCAATGGGCTAAGAGGCATTTTATGTGAGTATGCGTGTGTGAGAGAGAAATAGGGGGGTGGAGTTAAATGAAAATACATTTACGCGCCCGGCTATAAACACCACTGTTTTTAGTGACCGTTGCTTGACAAAATCATGCATTTATACCAATTTACTGTCGTCAGTACAACCTAACGTTGCTGAAAGCCATTCCAAAATTCTACAACAAAGATGGCTCTTACATTATAGTCGTTTTTGGTTACAAGCAAAATATGATATGGCGTGTCATTTGTTTGATATTAGGTATTATAAAAACGAAAGGATCTCAAAATGCATGGTAATAACAACAAGTATACAAGGTGTCTTTTTTTTTTTTTTAAAAAAAAAAAGCAAAAATGAATGTATTTGTGTTTATAATGTGTAATTAAGACTTGGACTTGTCCCAAGTTTCGGAATTTGTCGCTGATTTAGCTCTTGTTGCACGTTTTGTGATAGATTCGGTTTTAGTTAATGCCTAAATACTTGTTTAAGTAAAAAAAAAAAAAAAAATGGAAACATATATTAAGTAACTTACATGCGCTCTCTTCTTCATTGAATCAATGATATTGGCCTGTTGTTTTAACAGCTCGTTTTTCAGTTTATGTTCTCTGCAACCTTTTGGATTTAGCCAGGACATCAATTGTTGGATCTAATAAAAATATGAATATGCATAAAAGGCAAAGAATTTTTTATAGGTATTCACTTACCTCTTCAGGGTCAGAGTAATACTTCCACCATCCTTTGTAATCACTCGCATGGTCTGTATTCAGCTCATCCATGCGATTTTCAAGCCATATACTTTCTTCCAAAAGTCCTTGTTCACGCATAAGTTTTTTGATGAACCAACGACCACCTCCACGACCCCAAGGTTGATCTGGAACTTCCGTATCATAATCTCGTTCCATCATTAATTGAATATCCCCATCCGTTGGACTATTCACATAGAGCCTGCCAGATCCATAGGTATTTGAAACACCCACATTATCCAAATATATATAACGATTATTAAATCTATCTTTTCCTAAAGGACGGATCCTCAGGGTCATATATCTTCGCATTGACTTTTCTAAATGTTCCTCTTTCTTTTTCAAAATTCTTTCCTCCTCCTCTAATTTTCTTCTTTCTCCTGCCTTGGTGCGTTGTTCGTGGTTCTTTAACTTTGCAACTTCGCGTTGCTCAGCATACATTTTCTTTCTTTGAATCTCCATCTCCTCTCGTTCACGTTGTTTTTGTTTGAGTTTCTCTTGTCTAGATTGATGTCTACGTTCTCTTCCCGCTAATCTATGTTCAGACGAGTCACTGTCAGCATCTGAATCTTCGTTTGAATCGTTCTCTGAATCATCTGAATCACTGGTATCCGAATCATCTTCATCGCTTGTTTCTTCTGACTTTTCAGCTTTGTCTCTTTTGTCCATTTCAATACGTCTGAAAGATCTAGTATTGGGCGTTACTGGACAGTTTGTTCATTTATACGATTAAAGTCTACTTACAAAGATTTGGATTCCTTGTTCAATTCTACCTTTTGCTTTCTAAATTCAGATAGTTGTTCTTGACAGTAATCCATATAGTTCCTAAATTTATATAAAATGCTTTGTTTAGAGAAATGCCGTCATGTAGAATAAATCAAGTTTGAGGTTACTTTATCAGGTTAGACTCATTGACAACATCGACCAGAAACCCCAGTATATCTAGTTTCTGCTTAATTGATAGAGTAGGGTATTGTTTTTCTCTATCAGCTGCTGTTGATCCTACACGAGGGACCAAATGTCTGAGCAAAGCATCTAAATCAGGTACCAAATCAGGAGTAGCGATATCATTTAAACATCCTATCAATGTAGTTTCCCATCCACGACGATCATAGTTTGCTCTTAATTCTTTGCTATCCCATTTCTGACTCATCTTTAAATGTTCCTTATCCCGCCAACCTCTTTCTACCTTTGGTAAGACGGAAGTCGTTTCATCTTTTAATTTTGATCCGTTGTTGTTCCCATCATCTTCGTCCTCGTGGTCTTCCTCTTTTTCTTCTAATGATTCAACATACATTTCCATGACTTCGCCATTGATCGTTTCGTTCACTGTGTCTTCCTTTCTTTCGTTGATGATGACGTTTAAAAGACAGGAGTTGTATTCTACCAATACAGTTGCCTTTGGTTGATGTGTATTATGAAACAAAGCGCGCTCAAATTCATCTACACTGTAGGCGGACAATTTTAAGGGTTCCGCAAAGACGGTCAAGAAGGCCCAGATGGACAAGAATGAATCAAATAGCTCTGGTGGTATGGGCGAATCATGATGTGGTGTAGGTCTTTCTGCTCTTCCTCCACTTGGGTATGGTATAGTAGCATCTTTAGCATCGAATTTGAGCGGTGACATGTCAACCAAAACCCAGTTCAGATTGGGGTCTTTGCGGTAAATGGGAAGGTCGAGATCTTCTAATGGGTATTTTACAGCAGATTGTTTTTTTCGTTCCTCGCGTAATTTATCTCGTTCTTGTTTCAACTTTGCCTTTTGTAATAAGGTTTCTTCCTTTCGTGCCTTCTTTTCAGCTTCTCGTTCATCGGGTGTTTTAGTTTGCGAACTTATTTTACGTTTCTTGGAGGTCTTTGCGAATGCACGGTCTTGGGCCTCTTGTAAATGTTCGGGAAGTCGTGTATCAATGTTGTATGTTGAGGCAACCGCAGCCTAGAGTAGAGAATTTAGTTCTTGTATTTGAAGCAAAAAAAAAAAAAAAGACGAGTTGAGTTACCTTTATCAGCCATGGTGCATTAATATAATTGTCTCTGTAGGAACACTCTCGAATAAAACTTTGTACGTTTTGTCGATTATATATATACTTTTCTCTCTTGATGTCGGATGCCTCCACAATACGAGTGCAGTTTTCGAGTGGATGACCTCCTTCGTCAATTAACTGGACCTTGTACTGACACAGATCCGAAAATGAATCAGTATCACTTTGTGGATCTTGATTCGAATCATTCTCTGAATGGGTTGGAGACTGTGGTGTAGGATGAAGAAATGCATCGGGAAATCGAAGACGGCCATTGGGTTGCCTAGGAACATTCGTATCATCTTCTGATTCCGAATTGGAAATTGAAGGAGATTCGTTATGCTGTTGATGGTGTTGGATGGACCACGTAATAGGACGTTGGTATTCGTGTGGTTGCCTTGGGAGTATCTCGACAATTCTCGCAAAGTAACTAGATTTCACTTCGATTTTAGTATGATGTAAGGGGGATGATAAAAGAAAGATATACGTACTTGTAGTCATTTAATTTACACTGTACAATCTCATCAATTACATAGTTATTTTTAAAATATGTAAAAACATCATTGACAAGAGCTTCCAATCGAACCGTTTCTTGTATGTGCGTTATTATTCTACTCTTTTTCAATATACAATAGGCACTTACGAAATTTAATTCTGTTCAGTATGCTGATTCGTAGTGCTTGACAAAACTTGTATTCTGCTCTATCGTGTTCTGTTTTTTCACTTTCTAAAGCTTGTTCATAAGTCAAGTTCTGTCTTCCTGTTGCTTCACACTCCCAAATCGGTTGGTGGTATAAAGTAAGTTTGTTAATGTATGATCTGTAATTAAAAGTTAAGGACAATAATGGTTATACATTATTCAAAAAAAAACAGTAATAATGGATTAGTAGACACAAAAAAGGATACTCGTAACTCGTAAAGACTTCATTTGTAAAGCGGAGATACCAGACTTCCTTTCTTTTACGCTTTGGGTCATAAGGTATATTTGGAGTTAGCGGAACTCTTTTTCTGTTCAATAAAGGCATGGTGAACAATTAAAGAAAAAAAAAGAAAAAATATTCATAATGTCGCGTTGGTGTCTATTAGTTTTCCCGGTCCGTCCGGTCATTGAAGTTTTTTCAAAAAAAAAAAAAAGAAAAAAAAAAAAGTCCATAGTAAATGCTGTGGAACCATGACACAGCCATTAAATCAATATTTTGCATATTTGCGTCTGATATGAAAAAAAAAAAAAAAAAAAAAAAAAAAAAAAAAGGCCTGTTATGATTCGGATGTAATATATGTATTTGTATAGTTTAAGTGAGCACCATGCTTTAGGGTAGCAAGCCTTAAGTTATAAATCAGAAGTGAAATTTAGTAGAGGAACAGACTAAAGTTTATTTATATTGTAACAAAACGTATTCGTACTATCTTTTATAATTCCATTTAAGTGAATGAGAGTATAAAAAGTATTTTCATTATAAAGAGTTCTGACATACGGGCAGCTTCAAACTAAGCTGAGAGGAAAGTAAGGTTAAGGCTTTTTCTGGCAGCCTTGTCCCAATTCTACTGTTTTTAAAACACTTAAAGCCAGCTTATCAAATAATGCTCTTGCCAAATTTTATCACTTTAATGGGCCAAATGACAGGAAAAGAGACACGAAAGTAGGAAGCATTTTATCAGGCGAGGGTGCTTTTCTTCTTACACACGCTTAAAAATCCAAGTTCTATCGTATTTAATTTTGTTATCCCAAGAAAGACCGTTTGTTTCTAAAGTCTTTTTGACAATATCTTGGTCTTCTTCATCCATGATAAAAAGACTTTCACTGAATCTTCGAACAAACTCCTTGCATAAGGTATGTCTCTCGTACGGCTTGATCATGTCCATAAAATAAAACATGTCTTTAACAACTCTTGTGTAAACAATAGACGAGTCTGAATCTCCTTGGTTCTTCACGATACTCAGAAACATCTTGTAACCAAAGAAAGAGTTATCTGTATCTGCCATACTTAAATGTCTTCTAGGAAAAGGGCTCCAAGTGCTTCTTTAGCTTTGGTAAATTTGTTGACTCTATTGACTTCAAATTCTACTCTATCGCCAGCATTCTGACGGACCAATTCTACTCAAATTTTTCCATTATGTATATTTGTTACTACTTCGGTAGCAACGACTTTGGCCTCAGTTTCTGTTACGAGATCTATCTTTAAGACTACCAAGTTAAATGGTGTTGGACCAATTTCTTGTCCAGGAACAAATGCAGGGACTCGTACTCTTGGATAAAGTTGATGTTAACAATGTCCTAGTCTTTGACATAGCTTACAATCTGCCATATGTAATAGCTTTTTTGCTGTTTCGAGGCTTTAAAGAAACATAGGTGCCTGGTACTGCAGCCAATCTAAATTGACTTGGTGTTACACATGATCGGATATTTACTACTTTTTTTAATCAGTTTTACCTTGACTAAAACCTAGTTTTTTAATAATTTGTAATTGACTCCTTTGTGTTTCCCTCAACTTTTATATCTCTTGCTTATCTTAAATCTTTACTTATCATATAAGATTTAACTCAAAGTTCATATTTCACACTCGACTTGAATCTCTTTATTATCAAACCGTATATAAGATATTGTTTATAATAGCATAATTACTTTTCTTTTTAACCTTGTTAATCAGTTTATATTCATATTGCTTACGCCTTCTTGAAATCATCGTTGAACATCTTTTATCCCTAAAATTCAAGTCATAAGATTTCTTAAGTTGATTACTTCCAGTCTGGTGCTCACTTTCATAACTACTTTAATATTAACATCGTTGTTAATATCCTATATCTACCTTATCCCTTAAGAACTAGTACTAGTGACTTAACACTGGGAAACACTTTCTTGCAGCAACACGCGTACCGATTTCATCCCACTTACGTATTTGGGGGTACTTCAATATTCAATCTTCAAACCAGTCTAAATACGTTGAAACGTTACTGTTGGAAATGATCGATAAAGTTTTGATCCACATTTCAACTGGGGTTTATCTTTTCAGGGAAGAGCCACTGTCACCAACACTTTAATCCTTTCCAAACTATGGTACCCTCTCCGGCTGTTAAACCCTTCAAAGGTTTTTTATTAACAAGCTGGACGGTAAGATTGGTAACTTTATGAATTACTCGAAGAGAATCGGCAGATTTTCAGTGGCCCAACTCAAACGCCCAATTGGTGAGGGTGGACTAGGTATATTAGATCCAGTTATTCAACATCAGGCTTTACAACTTCGTTGGGTTAAACCTCTTCTCAACCAAGCCCCAGATCAGATTATCGATTCTTTGGATATGGCGGTATTTTGGCTGCGGCACGTCATTTCTAGTACAATGAATCCTGCCTCAACTTTGGATGCTGGTCAGTCCTCACAAACTTCGTCTCCCCTTTTGCTACATTCCAATTTTGTTTTGTTTTCAAATCAATTACGCTCCCAAGTTGCCTCGAAATTAAACCTCTTCTCACCTATACGATCTATCATTAGCGGCATCAAATCTCTTCCTGATCCACATAATCATCCAGAATTTCAATTACCAATAGCGGTGGTTTTAGAGCTTCCAATTAACGATATTTGGTCTACATCTAGTGATAAATGTCCCTTAAAACCCAAAGTATACAATAAGGTTCAAGTAAAACACTTTTACACTTTCGATAGTACCCACTCCCATTTAATTCGGCGCGCTCATCAAGACCCAGAGAAAAAATATCCCATTCTCGGATCTCGCTTTCATCAAAGTCTTCTGCTTGATTCAGCCCAACTGTATCCGTTTGCTCTGCGACTACTGACACCCAACAATCATTTGTTCGGGTCGATTGAAACTGAACCATTGACTGACTTTTTTCGAAACACTTTATTAATCAATCAAATTTCAACCAAGTCCTTCCGGGAGGAAATGGTCCTCCGCACTCCTCACCGAGTTACGTCTGTCAGTCGTTACACCAATTCTACTTGGAAAGCGTTTTGGCGTAGTCGGTTGAACTTTCGTACTAAAAACGTCTGGTTTCAAATTCTGCATAATAAGGTGAATACGACCCTCACCATGCATAGATATCTCCCACAGCTAGTAGACTCTCCTCTCTGCCCGTTATGCTCTGTAAGTTCTCATAACCCCGAGCTTATGTTTGTCTCTTGTCGGCGTGTCTGGCAGATTTGGAAACGATCCTTCACATATCTGTATCCGCAATTACCGCCTTATATTTACTTAAACCGTCTGAGGTCCTATCCAGTATATACACGTTCAACTTCCCCAGTCGTAAAATGTTTCATCTTCACACCACCCAATTTTTCTTTTGGGGTCTATCCTTGAAGGTATTTGGAAACATCACTGGAGTATTAGTCTTGATTCCACGCCTTTTAACTGCTCTCTCATTACATCATTTTACGATCGCTGCATACCTCTTATTATGACGTGTGGCGTTAAAAAAAAAAGCAAAAACTGTTTGGAGCCACAGGTATTAAATCAGCTTTTTATTGGGTGATATTGTCCAATCAAATTTTTTTAAGACCGGAGTTTCTATCAAGCTCGTCAGCTCCGGAAAAAAAACACTCTTCTAAATAAACGTAACCGTTTATTAAATGCTGTACTTGATTGGGGCGGGTTAACACACATTCTGGCGTCCAGGTGTGTCTAAATTGAATGGTACGGCACCTTCTCTTTAGTTGGTAATTCGTATTGGTTTACTCCTGTCTTTTGTTGAGGTAATTATGTATGTATTTATTATTTGAACTTAATGACTAATGCGTTTCTACCAAGTAGTGCTTCAAACTGTTATACTACTTCAACGGATCACCACACATTCTGGCGTCCAGGTGTGTCTAAATTGAATGGTACGGCACCTTCTCTTTAGTTGGTAATTCGTATTGGTTTACTCCTGTCTTTTGTTGAGGTAATTATGTATGTATTTATTATTTGAACTTAATGACTAATGCGTTTCTACCAAGTAGTGCTTCAAACTGTTATACTATTTCAACGGATCACCACACATTCTGGCGTCCAGGTGTGTCTAAATTGAATGGTACGGCACCCTCTCTTTAGTTGGTAATTCGTACTGGTTTAATCCTTTCTTTTGTTGAGGTGGATATGTTTGGGATTTAACAATTATTACGCTTTTTGTAACATTAATAAGTGTAGTACTTCTACACACCCAAGTAAACAAATTCCACAGATACAGTTACATACTAAGACAGCACTCGCGGGGAATGGAATATAAAAAAACAGATGGACAAATTGAGAAAACAAAATAAAACAAAAAACGATAAACATATTGCAGTGATATACACTATTTTCATAAATTTTTCGTGCACGCTTAGAATAAAACTTCAATCAGCGACGGAATAAATAAGCGCTTAAAAATTAATTAATTTTCCATGCATAGTTTACAAACGAAATGAACGAAAGAGAAATATATCTGTTATCATTAAATGGGTATACTGCTAAAAGTAGAAGAACAATTTTCCATCATATTGAAGGACCCGAATAAGTGCACTATTGTATGCGTATAATATGACTTTAATTTAATGTCACTTCATCCAAAAGACTAACCTGCTCGAGCTTGCTCTTGAAAATTGAACGATTGGGTTTAAACCAAATAATTATTGTCTTCTTTTTAGGCCTATTTTGATACGCACAAACGAGAAAAACTTGATATTGTTGTTATTCACCCATAAGGGAAGCGAGGGGTAGCAACCTTCCCCTTTAGATGTGTTGCGTTACCAAGAGTAAATTAAATGCCACTACCTCGTCATGAACGACACAGTTATTGGTAACAAACGTATAAGTGGATAAATATATGGATGTACCAGACTTCCTTCCTTACCTGACACCCTGAAACGGTAACCTGTTTTTTTTTTGTCAAACTAGAAACAAAATACCTAAAAACGCTCAGACAAGTACATGGTATTTAGAGTTTTACTTGAAATAAAGTTTTATTTCATTGTATGTATTAGGGGTATTTCAACCAATTTTTATTTTACTTTGAATAACACAATTATTTTCCGTTTGCTTTCGTATAATTTCTGGGCAATCCGAATTTTTCTATAATGAATATGAGGTATGTACCTTCTTGCAAAAGATATATATATAAAATGAAAGCTAGAAAAAGTGTATTTATTACTGCTTCATGCGAATTTCATTGTTCTTTGTTTTTCTCCCCCTTTTTTTTTCAACGAATTATTTTAAAGTCAGAAATGAACAATGAAATCTTATATAAATAGTCGGTAAAAAAGTTTACCTCAATCCTTACTCAATTTTTATTTTTCTACAAGAGGCAAATATTGTAACAACCAATCCAAAAATGAGTGACATTTATCTAACATGTTAATATAGCAAACTTCTTACTTCAAATAACTGCCCTTTTTTTTACCAGCATGGACTCTGATAGATCCTTGTCTGGTACGCCGGGTACACCTGGAAGCAATATGAGCACATCTAGCTCTTTGGCTCCTGGCGATCGTATTATATCTGTTAAATCCTCTATTGATGGTATTGGTTGGGACCCAGAGCGACGTGAAAGGCTCGAAGAATATGTAGTGACAGTCCACAACATCACTACACACGCATACTCACTCTCAAAGTACATTTTTTTGCGTGCCATTCAAGAAGATGAGAACTTTGATATCAGGCGATGTATCAATCGTGATTTTTTTGCAGAGGTCTGGCTCAAACTGACTCGGTATGCACGAGGAAGGGCTGGCGGAAGAACTGCGGCGACTCGTGCATTCATTGACACTTATCTTGATGACTATTTGGAGGTCACTGGTTTTGTTCCACCAGATTTCCGTTATGGTCAGCAAGCATCTTTAATCGAAGGAGCAAAGATCTTTACATCTTATAGCAACAATGTTCAGATGCGTTTGGGAAGTCATCTTAGACAAGCTGTTAATCATCTACTTCGTATTCGACAAAGAAAAGCCGAATTAATTGCTTATAGAAGACGTGAAGGATTAATTGATGCACTGATAAAATCTGAAGTATACAGGTCCAATATGACAGGCATTATCCAAAACCACTATGTCAACTTCCGAACCAACCATCGTACTGCTCATCCCTTGCACAGAAAATTGCGGCTATCTGCTTATATTAGAAGACAGCAAGGAAACGAGGATCTTATTTCAAAACTAGATGAACAGTTTGGTGTCGAAGCTGTTTATGTCATGGGTAACTGGTCTTCTCCTAATGCAAGATTTCATGAGCCGGTCCGAGGCCTTGGATTCCGTCGGTTGCTTCAAAAAGCTGGTAAAAGGGTGTACTTGATTGATGAATTTAGAACAAGTCAGTGCTGCCCAGCTTGTGAACGTAGAAGTCTTGAAACGTTTCGGATGGTCGATAACCCGCGCCCTCATAGACGAAGAGCAAATCCTCGTGTAATCAGACATGGTCTCTTAAGGTATGTTGATTTTACATGTTAATAATTTCTTCATCTAATAATTTTTTTTTGTTGTTCTTGTGACAGATGTACAAATCAAAATTGTAGAGCCATGACTAATAACACAAATAGGATTGTTCCTCGTCTATGGAATCGTGATATGGCTGCTTGCTTGAACATGGTTGATATTGTTCGATCACTTCGTGCTGGAAATGGCATTCCCCCAAGATTTCGACGTGGAGAGGTTCCCCAGAACCAACGGAGAAGAGCAAGAACCCAAAATGAACAAGCAAACATTAGAAATGTTCGTCAACGTCGCAACTAGAATTTTCCAGGCCTGTTATCGCAGGTCAACCATAGATACACTTAAGTGGTAAGCTCAATTTTTTTTTTTTTTCGGAAGATGAACGTATTTTTTTTTACGTTGTGAACGAATTATTTTTTTATTTGTGAACGAATTTTTTTTTACATTTTGATCTAATATTTTCTGAAAATAGTGTAGCTCCTGATTAACAAAGGGACAATTATTATTATATAAAAATTTTGATAGTGAGCACCAGACTTTTAGTTGTCAACTTAGTTTTATTATTTATTAAGAATATTTCTGAAGTGATCTTAGACGATAAAATATATGGATAAGACAATAAAATGCAAATCGATAATAATACAGTGAGAGATGAGAAGAGAATATACTTCTTAGATGTTAAAGAGAAAAGAGTTTACGACGGGTTTATGTAAGAAGATGATGTGATTGTATAATTTACAATATACAACAAACAGCAACAAAAAGCGGAGGAAATACTACTAGTATCAATTACAAGATAAATCCCAAATTTAGGTGAAGACAAAACTAAAGAATATATATATATATATTCGAACATAATTACAGAGCTCTGATAGAATTAATAATATCACAGAATAAACAATGGCTACTTTATCTAATACAAACTTCTTGAGAAGCACATTCTTTCTGATCCCAGTAAAGGACAAGGTGGTATATGAGTGATATAAACCGAGAAGCTTCGATCCCCCCTGATAGCGTGTTCTTAATGTTAAGTCACACTCGTCACTTAAAATAAAATATTAATAACGCCGTATGCATGTCTCACTTTTTTCTTTATTAAAATCTACTCGAAGTAATCTTACTATTGGAATGCTTTGCGATTAACAAAAAAAGTAAGTTGACACAACGATACAAAGCTTGGATTTCAGTTATATTCTCACCATCTCGACCCTGCTCAACCGTTTATAGTCCTTTCTCTAGTCTTTATCGAGTCTGTAATAACTTGACTAGGTTTAAAAATGAAATTAAGAATGTTCTTTATAAACATAAAACTTATCCTCTTCATTTCTAGTCGTATACCTCCAGCTGTTGTAAATAATTGACCGCAAGAAGGCCTTACTCACCGTAAAAGACTATTATGCAATGATAGATCGCCTATATTCACCAAATAAAAAAAGCGAGGGGGGGGGACTATTGACAAAATAATATGGCTTACAATTTGTATTTGCAGGCAATTAAGGCCCCTTTGCTGGTGACATTCTGGTCTTACCTACATTGTGGAATTAAACTCGTCTTGTATGCTGTCATTTCTGGACCAGTTTCGTAAAGGGCTTGAATAGATGTAGCAACCGGAACTTATGAGTGTTTGTAATTCTGGCAAAATTAAGTGAAGAAGAATTGTGGTATATTTCGGTAACATCCCATGTAATCAATGAGCATATAATTCATGCATATTTTTTTTTTATCTTTTATTGTAAAGAGTGGGTTGTTTCTCATACGATACCTGTATATTTTTCTTTTTCTTTTTTTATTTAGTTACTGCGAGAGATAAACATATTTTTTTTTTTTTTTTGCAATACATTATCATGTAGGCATACCTCTTTTTTCTTCTGTTATTATCAATGCAAACCATTGCCTTATTTAATCCTCAAAGTAAACGTATAACTATTTTTTCGGATCTTGACACAGTAGACTACAGATATTTTCTTGCGTTAAAATAATGAGTAATAACTTGCTTTCAATACTTCATCTCACTTTACTGTCGCACATTATGCTGCAAACTTGCTTAAAGCGCTTGCTAATGGTCGGCCTCTTAAACCATTATAACATTATTCTAATTGTGGTTGATTTTTCTTTAAAAAAGCTTTGTTAATTATAAACGTTGACAAACACAGTTACTTTTTTTAATTCCAAAACGAGGCATTTGTAACAATCTGCGTTCAATAGTAGAGCTTCGTTTACAAATAATAAGAATTATAATTGAAAAAGGCTTCATTGATTGCACACAGCGTTTTTTGTATGTTTTGCTGTGAAAACACTATTGTGGAAACACTATTGTTAAGATCGAAAGCGATTGTTTAATTTTCATTACGTTGTAAAAACAGAAATGAAAAAAGTGTTGAAAAAAAAAGAAGCATGAAAAAAAAAGTTTAATCAAAAAGGAAAGTGATAAAAAAAAGTGTGATACAGCGATTTGCGTTCAAAAATCAAGAGTCTCTAAAATAGAAATCAATTTTATCATCTGGCCAATCAAAAATATCTTAGTGTGTTCAAACTTTTTGCCGACCAATCAATTTTTTAACATCATACTCACTGACAAAAAATTAAAATAAGATTCAAGTCGGTTGTTACATATAAACCAAGTGACTGGCGAGGAAGTTGTTAGAGGGAATTATATATAGAGAATTCCGTTCGCTAAAACTATTTAACAGACTTTTTGA